TCCACAATGGGCGGGGGAGGGGGGTAGCTTCGTGTCGAATGTTGATTTCGGGCTGCTCATTCGAGCAAATAGTTCTTGAACGGAGCTTCATTGCGTTGATTTGGGGAGTGATTTAATAAACGGCTCGGTCCTTGAAATATGAAGATAGTCCGTGTTTCTGTGTGTGTGAACGAAGTTATTGTCAGTCAGGATGAAGATGGAAGATGGAGAGGGGAAAGAGCAGAGCCTAGCTTCAGCCGCCTTTTGTATATCTTGTAACTGTGACGACCTTGAAGGTAGGTTTAATCAGAGTTAGATACAGCCAAATACCAACTTTCCTACAGCCAGATACCCGTACTCGTTTAACCATTGGCATGGATAAGCAGAGCTATCATTGCTGCGTGGCTCGCCCGCGGATCTGCCCATCCTTATTCAACATTCGGCAATACCATCATTGCCGCCAAATCGTGTTTTTCTAACGGTGGTATCAAACTAGGTAGTATGATTGTGTACCTGTGTAACTGTGTACCTGCAGGCAAGTAAAAGACTACCTAAAGCCTGACATCTGGATGCCTCCAGCCACATCCAGCTGGCGTCAGAGTTAGCATTCGCAACACCATAGAATCCCTATTTAGCTTGGGGTCCAATCATGGCTTTGAGGATCTACTATGCAAAACAAGAAACTACTTGCTTGAGTGATTTGTCAAGGCCGCCTAGAGCTGGGCGTAAGGAACCAGAAGGTTGGCACTGGAAACAGGATGAAAAATCACCCATTGCCTGGAGGGAGGTAGGCGCTTGCGGGCTCAGCCTTTGCTCGGCTCCGGCTCCAGCAGAGGTTAAAGCGGCCACAGACCAGTCCCCGCACTCAATGCGGATTTGGGGCAAAATTCTTGTCGCGGGTAGGTACGCCCCACCCAAGTGTCCTTACACACCTACCGTAGTCACTGGGCAAATTTGCCATCGGCTGATGCATGTGCTAGTCAGAAAGAGTATAGCGACCGCCAAATAAGGGCTAGTGTTCTGGCAGAAACAGGAATCTAGTGATAGTACGGAGTAAAAGCATCATAATAGTAGGTATGCACGTGGGCAGCAGGCAAGTGAGTGGGTAGGTATTCTGACCGCCTTCTTTGACAGGTTTAGTCTCTCGGCCGCGATACTCTCTATGGTTAGTAAGTGCATTAGCCAATGGCAAACTTGCCCAGTGGCTACGATAGCAGGTAATGTACAGTAGGTAGTTCAGCATCATACCTATGACAGCGCACTTACCCAGATAGGTTAGGTAGTCTGGCCTCTGTGGTTACACGGAAACGGCGCCTGTGAATGGAAGCGCCCTTCGTACCTACCTACCTAATGTACCACGCTTAGCACTTAGCCCATGCCTAATGAGAAACTGCCAGCCTGGAAGGAAAGAAAGAATTAATAGGTATCTTTCCAAGGGAATTAGGTACGTACCAATCAATGCTTGCTTTCCCGTCCGTCTGGTCTGGTCTGATGATGGTGAACTTTCTTCATCGCCCCATATGCAGAAAAGAGATTAAGAGGCCGACATACCTCGGGTTATGATCGAACAACGAACATTGCCATTCCTGATGGCATCGACCACTGACTGGCAAATGCTCGGCATAAGCAACTGGCATGGCACTCATCCCTCCGGCCGGCATTCGCTGTGCCGTTTCTCGTGTAACCAGCTAGAGCCTCCGGCCTTCCCCTGTCTTTCCTTGTGAGACACTGCAGCACGTCCTGGGATTTTTGTTCGACCACTATCATTGGAGCGCAGCTAGCTCCGAGCCATTCGCTCCCTTCGCCGTTCCTTTCTTCGTGTCGATCGAGATAGTGGACACCCAAGCCCTGGATTCCCAGGCACAGACGCAGAAGCCGACGCAAAACCCGAGTTTTGTCCATGTTTGGAGCGAGCCAGCCTCAAACCACCTGCTAACAGTCGACGATCGACGATCAGCGCTACGGAACCATGCGCTTCTCTACTTAGTTGACTACCTATTCTACAGCCAGGTAGAAGCTTGAGTGAGCAAACGGCCAGGGGCCATCCCTTCTATATGTACCGGCCGTCACCTCTACCGAGCTATTCCTATGCCATGTTTGTTCGCAAAGAAACGCAGACTCGTCATCCGCCGTCGTCCTCGCCGTCTACGCCGATGCGCCTTCGGACGAATGCCCCGCTTACGTATCCTATCTACGCTATCGATTGACTGCCGGCAAAGGCAAACCGAAACAGGCTTCCACCCTGCTTTCTTTCCCACTCACTCCGTCGGCCCCCCTCGCGGCTATAAGGCGTCGTGTCACGATCTGATCTACATACCCAGGCAGTTGGCTGCTGTTGACGCAACCCACAGAGTCAGCCGGCATGGCTAATGCCGCCGCCGCCGCCGCCGCCGCCGCCGCCATATGGCACAAGCGGCCTTTGGGACGCTTTGGAAGGGATGGGTTGCACGCGGCGCGGCCCACGTTGTCCCCTCCCCACACACGGCACTACGGACAACCTAAACGAATTAGCAAATGCTCAATCCATCCATTCCTTCCCTGGCCTGCCACCTAGAGCCGAAGCAGACTCTGAGCTTCTGGCCTGCGCTGGCGAACGGGGCTCCCGTGCTCCCCCGACCATGTCGTGCACTTACGACGCAGTACAGTGTAAGATGGGCCCGCTGACTGATGTGATGTGCTTGCCGTAACTTGCTTCCCTGAACGACCAGCACCTGTGGCTTAAGATAACGTAGCTTGCACATGATCCATGCAACTTCTGGTTGCTCCACAGTCGGTGTTGCTGGGATGGATTCTTGTTGGCAAAGGAGCATCCATAAACGCAATGCCTCGCTGACCATCTATCTGGACGGTGTGGGCTTGGAAGCTCTCAGTTGAGAGGCAGAAAGTCCTAGAGGAAGCAATTTGGAGCCGATTACAGCGCTCAAGAGGCGGCAAAAATAGCGACCATGTTGAGCCACTTTGAGAGCTGCCCGTCCCCACGATTGCCCATGCCGCAGTGAGATATGTCGATTGCCCCAAGATGCGGTGTTTTTGGCATATTCCGCCCTCTCCACGTTATGTTCCACAATATTCGTTCCCGCTGCAAATTAACAGTTCGGATAAAAAAGATCAATGTGCCAGGATTGAGCCCGGCACACCACCCCTCCCCCCAGTCGTCATCATGCGGACCCGGCCGAGAACCAAATCTGGACCTGGGTATGCCAACTAGCAACAAGGCAACGGACAAGATTATCGGATACGAATCCATATGCGCCCAACTAAAAAAACTATTTGCCCAGCACGCGTCATCTGAACGATGGTTGCGCAGTGGTGCTTCGAAGTCTCAAAATGCGATGCTCGCGAGACACTCGGCGCCTTCGCCGAGAGACATATTGCGTACTGTCCCTATATTTCCTTCCTCGACAGAGAAGAGCTTCTCTTCCTAGTTGATACCGCTCGGAATCGGTTCCAGCATCCTTGCTGACCCAATCATGACCTTGCTTGGCCTGGTTGTCGGTCTTTGGATTGGTTCCTCCCACCAATACCCGCCTCACCAGAGCCATGGGGCGGCAAACTCGCACAATGCTCACCAACTTTTTTTTCCTTTCCAATGCAAGCTAGGCTGGCTCATCTGTGCTGTTGTGTTTTCGTAGCATTTCTCTTCCAAAGTCCAGTACGGCCTAAATGACGGCTACAAAGAGCCAAGCCGTCCGCTTTCGTTCTAGACATCATCGATATCATCGACACAACCGATGCCGGTGGGGAACTTTTGATGCAGCAAGGCAAAGCTATAACCCATACATGGTATATCGCAAGAGAAACAACAGGCGCAAGGGAGGGAGGGGGAGAAAGAGAGAGAGAGAGAGAGAGAGATGAACCAACCTTGTTAGCTGGCGACACGCCCTGGCACACAGTCAAATTGGGCCGACAGCACGGCCAGAGCCGATCGACCCTTTCTCACCCTCCCTGCCCCGGCCCTTACACTTTCGCGGGAACGCAAGCTTCAGACCACATCATTGCTTATTGCTCTCTCTGACCGGCTGATATCCGCCCCCGACCACATTGCATTCGTCGTCCTGCTTCCCTCGTCTGCTCGTGTGTTGCATCCTCTCGCCCTGGCACGCGCGCGTCTTTTTTTTATTTTTTACACAACGACTTCGTCGTCAGCACCCTGCAACAGTCTTTATCACCACTGCTCTTACACTGCTCTTACTCTGTGCAAGCTCATCTCCTCAAGCCGCCTACCTGACGAAGATCCGCACGTTCAGCTCCCAGCCACGACATCCTGACCAGTATTGCTTCTTCTTCTTCTTCTTCTTCTTCTTCTTCTTCCTCTTCCTCCTCTTCTTCTTCTCTTCTCTTCTTTTCTTTTTCTTTCATCTTCTTACCGCTGCGACAAGAAAGACATTGGGCAACATCTGCCCGAGAACCGATCACATTCGCTACGGTGAGTGTCGCTCCGATTCTATCCAGTCACCGACCCTCGACGACCAACTTTCCGGCTCACTGCAGGCGTCTTGCGTACTACCCGAAGCAAACCCCCTCTGGTTACACAAGCTGTCGATATCCGTTACTTGCGCATCTTTGCTGTCGTACTTTGCTCAGTCTTTTTTACCCCCTCGACCAACCTTTCACGAGCATAGTCATCCTGGCTTCGCACGGTTTTCCAGGAGGGGAGCCCAGTAGTGGTGCAGCGAGTCTGTCCTGTCCAGGCCTCTGTTCTCAATCGTCCGCCACCCCTCACTGGCTTCGCGGGTCTACAACGGGCCCGAACCGTCACGATTTCCTTCCAACTTCGCATCCAGTCTATACTCTCTCCCGCATCGGACTCCGATGACGCGCCGACGGCATCCTCCACCCAGACCACACCGAAAAGGAGGTTTCAAGACATCTTGCAGCCCTCGGAGAGGGCTTCCGTACCCTCGGCGGTAGTAGAGCAACGTTCCGCCGGAGGCAGGTCGTCCATTTCCACCGTGCCCGACGACGATGATGCGAGGCCCGTGGTAAGCGGCGGCTTGGGCGCCAAGAGACCCTCAAGAGCCATGCGGCCTCCAATGAGGTCCAGCATAGCGTGTCTTCGGTGCAGGAAGTCCAAGATCAAATGCGACAACGACAATACAGGATCGCCCTGTGACACGTGCATCAAGGCAGGCCACAAGTGCGAGTTTCCGGATCCCACACCTCTACCAGCTAAGCGAACAGAGCCTCCTACTGTACCGAAACAGGACAAGGACGCCGGCCATGATCGAAAACGGGCGAAGAAACTCGAAGAGGCCACTAATTCTGAAGGACGTACGGGCACCGTTTATGCCCAGGAAGTACTCTCCGCGCCATACTTGACCGTGGATATGTGGCATCAATTGTTGGACATTTACAAGCTGCACTTTGTCACCGAACTTCCTTTTCTACACCTCCCGACGTTGAAGGGTATCATCCACAGCAAGGACACCAGCAAGCCGTCGGCCGAGTCGAATCTCGTCCTGCTAGGCATCTTGGCTCTCACAGCAAGGTTCCAGCCCGGACTGGTCAAATATGTTGCTCACATATCATATGACAAAGTAGCAGGCCCCAAGTCCCGCGGTGCATTGCCCAGGCCGGAGCCCTCCATGGCATCGGAATACTTTGCGAACGCTCTAACCAAAGCATTAGGCAGTCTGGAGTCGGCTTTGACCTCGGCCACTGTTGTTCGAGTCCAGGCCTTTCTTATGCTCGGCTTGTATAAATGGAGCCAACCCAACGGCGGGCTGGCTGCATGGATGTATGTCGGCGTGGCCGTCAGGATGGCTCAGGGCCTGAAACTAGGCTTTGGTGACATACCATTGCGTGGAAAGAAGATTTTGGGTCCCCATCCACGGCCAAACCAGTCGACCGCACACCTTCCGTCGGAGAAGTGGAAGGATCAGGAAATCAGGCGACGCACCATGTTCAGCTGCCTCATACTTGATCGGCTCTTGTCGTGTGGATCCGACCGAGTCTCAATGGTACGATCCGAGGATCTCCAGATCCAGCTGCCTTGCAACGAACACGCCTTTGATCTCGGCCGCGTCGTTTACACCGGATTTCTCCAGCAAGTGGGAAGAGAGATGGAGAGACACATTGATGACAGTGTCCTCAGCCGTTTTGTACAACTGGTCGAATTTTGGGGAGACATTACAAAGTACAGCTTTGCGGGAGGCCGCCATACGGAAACGCTTCCCCCTTGGGACACCAAGTCGAGCTTTTACCAGCTGAACAACAAGGTGGTGGCATTCTTTGCGCACCTACCGGAAGAATTTACCTGGTCCAGTGCCAACTTCTGGAAGCACGACAACAGCATGTACGTGTCCCTTCACATGCTGGGGGCCCTCTGCAAGATTATACTGCACCGTGAATACATACCCTTCCTCGCTATCAAATGCCAAAAGCCAACGGGCCCTCTGGAAGAACCCGTTTTCGATCCCTCCACTGTCCCGGAGCATTTCTGGGAGCGGAGTGCAAAACAAGTCTTCCAGGCAGCGAAGGAGATCATCGACCTGATTTTGACATGTCGGGACAAGCTTCCCCACTCGCCACTCGTCATCTTTGCTATTTGGCAAGCTGCGATTGTCGGCATCTACGCTCGACACTACCCGCACATGGATACCGAGAATCATATGGTCAGCGAAGAGGAAGTCCAAGAACGGGCTTCCGGAATGGTGCCTGAGATGACACAGACGGGAAACACTGGCGTCGCCTTCCAAGCATTGACCAAAGTCGCCCCTCACTTCAACATGGCCTCTAATTACGTGACGTATTTCAAAGACATTGACTGGTATTATACCAAAGTTTTTTCCGACTATACAAACCGAGAGTCGAGGAAAAGCAGCGACGGACGTTTGAGTATCCGGCTGAGTGGGGGCGGCGGCGGCGGGCTCGAAGACTGGCGAGTAAAAATAGACAAGATGACGAGCAATGGCACAATATTGGACGAAGACCGACCGACAGGCTATGAAGGATCCGACGGATCGCGCGCCAGTACGTTGGAAAGGAGCTCCTCTTTGGGCCCCGAATATTCACACTTTGGCGCCGGCGGTCTTGATGGCAGGAGAGATTCTCGACAAGCGTTGTCATTCACCGCCATCAATACCAGTCCGTTTAATCAGCAAGCCGACCCAGGAGGCTTTGTCAGTGGTATGCCCCATCACTCGCCAACACAGAGGTGCCTCCCGACCCCTGAACCCATGGCTAACAGCTTCGCGATCGCGGGCGCCCACACAGAAACCGCCAACATCGAATCGTACGTTGAACAGAACCAGGGCCAAAGATTCGGCACCATGCTCGAGGACATTCAGGAGTTTAGCACCGGGGGGATGGTTTGTGTGCCCCGCATCGGAGACTGGGATAGGCTCAGGCCGCCATTCTACACGCAGATGGCCGACGGCAGCAGCCAGCAGCCAGCAGCCGCAATTTGGTAGCAGCTGCACTTGAACCGAGCGTGTATGGGTGGGCACTGGGGCACAAAAAGTTCAGCACGACTTCAACGCCCGGGTTGCAGTGGTTGCGGACGCGCGTGTTTGGGACAGATTTGCAGACGGTGTTGCGTTTACATGGAGTTTGGTATGAACGCTACAGCTCAGGCTGCCTTTGCCCGTGAGGGAAAGCTGCCGGTCAGATCTAATAATCACAAGGAGAAACTGGTTGAGCAAAAAAAGAAAAAGAAAAAAAAAGAAAGAAAAAAAAAGGCAACAAATGCATTGCGCCGCCTTGATGACTGATACCACGTTCGCTACCCTCCCAAGTCGCGATGGCACACACGTTTGCCACATTGATGACTGATGCCATGTTCCCGCCTCGTTTCGAGCTTGGATACCAAGGCGCTTCGGCAAGCGCTAGCCTGGCACCCCCACGCTTCCTTCACATCGGGGTGGTCTTTCTACTACGTTCGACCCCAATTAGATACACGTGGGCCCCGGCGAAACGGCGGAGTTGTCCTTGGCGATAATGTTTTATTTTACTATTACTGCCATTTCGGGAACACATGTCTCAACAAAGCCCCGACCGGGGCGCACCAGTCGAGCGATTACTGTTCTTGATGTGCAAGCCTAATATTCTGCGTCTTTCTGATTATTTGTTTTTCAAAGGAAAGGGATACTTTACTTTAATAGAAGGTGAGCGCGCGGGCGCGGGGGGGGGGGGGATTCATACGTTTGTCTTCCGGCAAATGGCGATTTCGGATATGTCGCGTCCGGAATCAAATACTCGTCCGCCTAAAAGCCTGCGGCACATTCCGGGCTGAGACTGGGGCAAGCATGGGAAGGGGGGGCTGGTTCAGATGCCGACCGGAAAGAGGTGTGGCGGTCCTCGTCAAGATCCGAGCCGCGGGGTTGGAGCGGGCCGGAAGGCCAAGACAAGAACTCGGGAGAACATGGAAGCTTGAAGAGGCTGGAGTAGTCATCCCATGGACCTTGCGGGACTCCAACCCGGGATTTTTGTTCCTTGTTGTGGGGTAAAAAAAAATACATGGCAGTTTCTCACTCCCGTCCCAAATATAGAAGCCGGAGCCCGGCTCACGCAAGTCAGCCTCAGCTTGGGGAGACCTGGGTAGGATCCAAACCCTGGTTTATAGGGCCCATAGGCTGCAGGCAGCGGCAAACGCTTGCACCGAGCGAGTACAGTCACAGCAATTATTCCTTTGTTAGACACGAGAAGGGTGAAGAAGACGAAAAAGAAAGAAGAAGCAGAGGGAGAGGGAAAGGGAAAGGATACAAGAGCAAGGCCAGCACGGCCAGCCGAGTCAACCATACCCGATATAGACATGCGGGAAGCAAAAGAGCCAATCATTTGTTGTCTTTCCCCAAGTCGCCAGGTCAGGGATTACAGGCAATAAGCTTATGAGCTTATTCGTGCGCATCCCGCGAGAGGACCTTGGTCGGATTTTTGTTTGTGTTCCACGATTCGACCCAGGACCAACGACGCCCTAACGTCCGTCCCATTGACACCCCGCCAGGCGCGTTCGCTGCTGTGGCCGCCGGCTGGGCCATGGCCACCAAATCTTGCTCCCCGTCAATTTTGTCCTTTCTTTGCTTTACTGCCTGCCCACGCCATCATCGCGCTGTGGAGGCGCAAGCGAAACTTGAATCGATGCCAAGAACTGAGAGCTGCGGCGTCGGCAGAGTGATTATGCCGTTAGTTTGTCAGCCCTGAGACCTGCGAGATCGTCATCTTAGAATGAAGGTTTTTCTGGCGGGGTTCTGCCCCTTCGCGCCGTGGTAACTAGCCTGCAATCATTACTTGAGCCAATTTCCTCTCCACGTTCTCTGTGGATAAACGGCCAGTGTAGAGTTGTTGGGAAGAGGAAACGAGATGCTGGATAGTATATGATCGGGACCGTCAGGCCTCTCTGCATATCGCTTTTTGACCAGTAGTTGTCGAACATCTCTAGGCCCGAAATTCCCAGTCTTTTGTAGGACAAGGAAGTCCTTCCTCCTTCTTTTGTAGCACCTTGCCGTCTTTCACTCCAAAATGAAATGGTCTGTCTTTTCCTTTATGGTGGCTCTCGCAGCCACTGCGATAGCTATGCGGACGACTTCCGCCCCCAAGATGCGCAGGAAACTTGATGGCCTAACTTTTGGTGGTCTTGAGCCCCGGGCTCACTCTGGAGACCAGGTCAACCAGGGCACATTTGACCAGTTTCTCGACCACACAAATACTTCCAAGGGCACTTTCAAGCAACGATACTGGTGGAATGCTGAGCACTGGGGCGGCCCGGGTTTCCCTGTTTTCATGGTGAACGGAGGCGAAACCAACGCCGGCAGGCTGACAGGTTATCTGGAGAACGGGACGCTGGCGAGTCTCTATGCTGAGACGCATAAGGGCGCAATTATCCTGATCGAACGTGAGCCAACCCCGGCAACAACGATCTGTCCCGAAGAGTTGTCTCAAAACTGATCTTGATAGACCGATACTATGGCGAATCCTGGCCTTTCAAGACTTCGACAGCGGACACGCTGCAATACCTGGATGTGCCACAGGCCATCCGCGACAACATCCACTTCGCCCAAACTGCTGATCTTCCATTCGACACGAACAAGGGCGCCAACGCGAATACATCACCCTGGGTATTGGTTGGGGGCAGCTACGCCGGTGCGCTTGCCGCGTGGACATCGGTGGTCGCGCCCGGTACATTTGCCGCCTACCATGCCAGCTCCGCCGTCGTCCAGGCCATTGAAGACTTTTGGCAGTTCTTCACTCCCATCGAGCAGGCCATGCCGCAGAACTGCTCGACTGATATCAAGCTAGTAATCCAGCAGGTCGACCGCGTGCTCGATAACGGCACTGCACAGGAGGTCGACGCCATGAAGCAGAAATTCGGTCTCGACACGCTCGCGGACCACGCCGACTTCGCGTGGTACCTGCAGAAGCCCATCATCATGTGGGCCTACGACCCGAGCAAGGTTTTGGAGTTCTGCGACTGGATCGAGACGAGCACCAACGACGGCGAAGTCATCGAGGGCCGCGAGGAGTCGGGCGTCGGCCTGGAGGCTGCGTGGACCGGCTACACGTCGTGGATGCATAAGAGATACAACGAACAGTGTCGGGAGGAGGAGTCTTGCAACCTATATGGCAACGCCGTCGGATACAACACGCCCGATGACCTAGATTGGTCGCGCAGCTGGGTCTGGCAGCTCTGTAACGAGCCCCTAGGTTGGTGGCATACGGGACCATCGTCGTCCAACGGCACCGGGCTTGTGTCTTCATACGTGCATCTCGAACACCGTAAGCGCCAGTGCGACCTACGCTTCCCACAGACCTCTGGCCACAAGCCGGCCATATCGAAGGGGATCACAGTTTCCATGTTCAATGAGTGGACCGGGGGATGGAACGCCTCCTACGAGAACGTCCTATTTATTGACGGCGAATTCGACCCTTGGAAGTCGGCGACCATGAGCTCGGACTACCGTCCTGGCGGCCCGTCTGAGAGTACCGAGAAGGCCCCCCGGCTGGTGGTGGAGGGAGCAACCCACGTTCCGGACTTCCGGCTCAGCAAGCTGAATGCCAAGGTTGTCCAGCAGGAGGTAGAGATCATGGGCAAGTGGATCGAGGCATGGAAGCCGAAGGAGGCGCTGTGAGTAGGTCGATATGGGCACAAAGCAAGCGGTTTGGTTGATACATATGCATCGCGCGGCGTCAAGGCTGGCTGGGGCTTGGTTACTGTGGCTATATTGCGATCTGGGACGGCACGACGTGGTGCATTCTCAAGATGATACCTGTGCATGTGAGATGGGACGACATAAGGCTCAGAGAACAGAACATACCACCAGTGTGTAATTTCTGGTTGATATTGGACTTATCTTTCATGTTTGACCCGAAGCTGAGTAGACGTAAGATCAGTGGTTGGAAAGACACCAATGCCTGTTTTGTTCAAAAAGATACGAACCCGCACCAGTATTGATTTCAAGATGATTGATGTTATTCGGAGAGAAAGACATCTTTAAAACTCAAGAGGCGTCTGAATGATGTCAGTCGTAGTTCATGCAAGTGAGGTGTAGGTTCCGGGGTATTAGGTATAACCCGCCGAACAGGTGCGAAAACAACGGCGGTTGACTACGATAGGTACCTGCCCATACCTTCTTCCCCTCGTCGGGTTCTCCAACTGGCGAGGCTCTCTCGGGCAGGCGCCCCCGAATAAAACCGAAAGGTCGTGCATTCGGTTCTTTCCCGTCTCCAAACGCCTCTCTTCGACCCGGATGCAAAACGACCGACACTGTCAAATCTTGCAACTTGCCGCTTGTCACCAATTTCGATATGGTAGCCCATTTCAATAGTGGGCGGTGGCTTCATGATCACATGGTAGCTCCAAACTTTCTGTCGCGAGTACGCCAGGACGGCGAGGAACAAGAGCGACAACGCTAGCCGGCGAACGCAACAACAACGAGCGTCCCGATTACGGCTGTTGGCGGATGCGGACGACTTCTTATCTACAGTTGGCCTCCTCGACCCCGACAAGCATGAGCGCTCGATTGGCCTCAGCGCCCGCTTTGAACCACCCCAGCTGTTGTCGAGGGCAGAATGATCGTCCTAGACGGCGACTGATAAGCTTATCAACTTGACAAGATCACACTCTGAGGACGGAAGCGCCCCTAGTGTCACGGGAACTTACCTGTATGTGGCCTTATGCAAGGAACAAGTGATACAATCGGTTCGCCCCAGGGTGAGATTGCCGAGCAGCGTTAATCTGGCTGTCACCCGAAGATTACTGTCGATACTTGCCAACCTACTCTCACCTTGCCCCGACTGAGCTTCACCGTCCCCGACGAACCCCACCACATAGGAGACCACGAGAGACGCCGAGGCACGCCGGTAGCCAATTGTCGGACCGGCTACGTCGGCCTCCGAATTGCACAAGACGAGTCTCAACCGAGTCGGTACACAAGACCAGGCCCCCGCAAAAAAGAGCTCAGGAAGAATCGAGCATCAGTACTGCCATTGAAGAACCTGGCAATGGCCTGCATTCGTCGGAAATCGTGAGTGGACGGACACACATGAGATCTTCCGTGGGCTGTTTTGACGCAGAAGTCTACAAGACCGGTGAACAAAGCTACGCCGCACGGCAGCATTAGCAGCCGTAGCAGTACCATGACGGGCGCAAATAATCCTCCGCATCCCAGTAGGCTATGGGTGCCATGCCATGCATAAATCGCGCTTTTTGCTGGTCGACTCACTCGACCTGCCCATTCTCGCCGCATTGGCTTCGACCTTGCAGCATGGCATTGCCATAATCCGCACTTGTGGTAAATCAATTGGATCGGTGCCTGGCCTACCCCGCCCTCGAACTCAGCATTGAGAGCCGAAGGTAAAGCCGCTTTTGCTCTGATGTCCCGGCAGAAGTGGAGATGACGTCGACATACTCTCACCCACGCGCACCATGACCCGTCGTGTGTCGGAAGGATCGGTCATCAGGGTGGGCTGAGGTTCATACAGGCACGTCGTCGTGGAAATGTCGGGAACTTCTTGCCCCCCTCCCTGTTGCCTCGGTATCCCCGCAAGCCCCAGGAAGGTCCGCAGCCAAGAAGAGCCGGGGTGGCAGCCATTGCACCAATCCGGAAGCCCTAACCAGTAGGCAACTTGCTCCTGGATCTTCGGGACAGGAAATAGTGATTCCAAACAGCCTCGATACAGAGGAGGACACGACATGCATGCTTGACCTTTAAGTCTTGCGTCTTTTTGCTCCTCAAAGCGCGGAGAGTTCTACATTCTCGCATCGATTAAGTTCTCGGCATAATGGATACCTCTTCATCTCGACAGGATTTGGAGATGCTTACACAACCAAATACATCTTCCAACCTTCTCCCTTGTTACTCTCACTCCCACGGCTTGCAGTGACCCCGCATTTTTCAATTGATTTTTAATCAGTCCACGGAACCAGTAGGTATTTGATCAGCCAACGAAACAAATGCGTTCTACCCAAGCCATTGAACGAGCTTACCCTTCCCGTGCGGCAGGGCCTAAAAACGGCCGCTTTCAACATTCCAGGAACAACAGCCAGGTCGAATTCGGCAATCCGCATCAAGCTCCAACAATATTAGCGTGGCTCCCCCTTCGGTGGGGCGTGGGATACGCCTCAGATGACGTCCGCGCTGATTTGCTCCGACGCAAACCTCTCCCACTCTGTGTCAAGGATGGAGCTGCCACCCTCCTCTTCTGTCTGCACGTTGTGACAAAAGAAATGGACAGACTGGTACAAGGTCCACAGATCCGGGCTACCTGTAGTGTACTTTCAACGTCAGCTGCCAATTAGTGGCCGCACAACCTGACCTGACCACAGACGCCAGTATCCTGCTTGTACACGTACCCTCTGTCTACCAACATTCCCAATGTGCATCTCAGCTCCATCAAGTCGCTGCACTGTACATGCCGACAACAGCGGCAAACTATGGCCCGCCGTGTCACCAATTGTACGTCTGACAATCCACATGGTAAGTCCCTGGCCTGCCCTATTGCCGGTATAGCGGCGCCAACGTGTATCGCAGCATGCTTGCCAGCGTCTCCGCCGGGCCTGGGAGACCCGGGTAAATTTGTCGTGGTGGCTATAAGCTGTAGGTACCCGTCCGTTCTTGTCGCCCCGAGCACATGTTGTTTTGCACATGCTACTTCAAGTATTCTTCATATAACTTGGACCTTTGTTCCGCACTCTTGTACCCGATCGGTATACGGACCCCAAGCGTTTTGCCGTTAACGAATCCCAAATCACTTTCACAATGGGTTCTATTGCTGTCTCTCAGGATAGCCCCCCTCAGGATGTGCTCAAGCCAGCCAAGCAACAGGCAGCGCAGCCACCCGCTTACAACGGCCTTGACATCATCAACATCCAGCGTGTTGCGGTTGAAACAAACTTGAAAGACGACATCATTTCCATGTGGAACCCCAAAAACGGACCCCGGAAGCTGCCTACCCTACTTCTGTATAACGAACGGGGCTTGCAGTTGTTCGAAGAGGTGGGTGCTTCCAGAAATCTAATCAGCTCAGCCACATCTTGCGTGATCCGCGTGCGCTCACACCTTCTTCAGATCACTTATCTGGACGAATACTACCTGACCAACAACGAGATCGAGGTTCTCGAGAAATATTCGAATGAGATTGCGCAGAATATTTCGCCGGATTCCATGGTCATTGAGTTGGGGAGTGGGTTTGTGAATCCCTGCTGAATGAGGACTGGCATGGGATGATTCTGACCTTTTTCGAAGCAACCTTCGCAAAGTCTGTTTGTTGCTGCAAGCCTTCGAAAATGCCGGCAAGAACGTCGACTATTACGCACTTGATCTTTCCAGAGAGGAACTGGAGCGCACACTGGCCCAAGTGCCCAAGTTTCGTCACGTCAGATGCCACGGACTGCTTGGTACCTACGACGATGGCCGGGAATGGCTGAAAAAGCCCGTCAATCTAGCTCGAACCAAGTGCATTTTGAGCTTAGGATCTAGCATCGGTTTGTGATATTTTCAGCGGGGGCTTTTTTCAAAAAAACAAAAAAAAAAAGATTCCTGACGCCTTGTCTAGGAAACTTCGAGCGCGACGATGCGGCAGGCTTCCTCAAATACTTCAGCGATGTCCTCACGCCATCGGACAAATTGCTGATTGGGCTGGATGGTTGCTGCGACCCGTCCAAGGTCTAGTAAGTGTTCATATATCACACCCTGTAGTAGTGGCCCGGGCTAACAATGTATTTAGCCATGCTTACAACGGTACTTTGTCTAACTCATGAAGCTAGATGGCTCGGTTTAGCTGACATACATAAAAACAGACAAGAAAGGGGTGACCCATGCGTAAGAACTGCTGGTTTTTAGCTCCAGTTCATTCAGTTAACATCCTGGCAGTTTTATTCTGAACGGCCTCGCCAACGCCAATGAGATACTTGGCGAGCAGGCGTTCAACCTTAGCGACTGGGAGGTTATCGGCGAGTACGTGTACGATGAAGAGGGCGGGCGTCATCAGGCTTTCTACTCGCCTGTTCGAGACACATACGTTATGGGCGCTCTGGTGAAGCAGCACGAACGCATCCAGGTGGAGCAGAGCCTGAAGTATTCCCAACTGGGAGCCGAGAACCTGTGGAACTTGGCTGGCCTAGTCGAGACAAACTGCTGGGTCAAGGGAGACGAGCACGGTAAGTGGATGATTTCACTTCAGGAAACCAGAGCCGAGAATGGCCACCCCTTTCGCGACTAGTTCGGCACCCCATAAGCTCCCCCCACGTTTGGCTGCCGACGTGGAGCCACTTACCCCAAAGCTGAAGCACATTGTCCGAGACGTAAGGTGACCTGCCTTGATGACATTGTACAGCCGGCTTATGAATCTTCTGTCTCTGGAAACTAGTCGCATCATCAACGCCTCCTCTCGCATACACTGGCCTAAGAAAGCTAACTTTGATACAGGACTGCACATGATCGCGAAGAGAAAGATGCCTTTCTGCCTCCTCCCCGACCTGTATGCCTCGTCGCCGTGTCCGACTTTGGACGATTGGTCGGCGCTGTGGACAGCATGGGATGCTGTCACGCAGAAGATGCTTCCTAAAGAAGAACTGCTGGACAAACCAATCAAGCTCCGCAACGCTTGCGTCTTTTATCTTGGCCACATCCCGGGCTTCCTGGATATACAACTGACCAAGACAACCAAGACACTCCCAACCGAGCCAGCTGGCTTCCAGCCCATGTTCGAGAGAGGCATCGATCCCGACGTCGACAACCCCGAAAAATGCCACTCTCACTCGGAGATTCCCGACGAGTGGCCTCCTGTGGAACAGATTCTCGAGTACCAGCAGCGTGTACGCTCGAGGCTGCAGGACCAGTACAGGAACGGAGTCGACAAAATCCCCAGAGCCATCGCTCAAGGTATCTGGGTGGGATTTGAGCATGAGATTATGCACATGGAGACGTTGCTCTACATGATGCTCCAGAGCAACAAGACTATTCCGCCGCCTGATGTTCATCAACCGGACTTCAGGCGTCTGGCTGACAAAGCCCGTCAGGCGCGTGTACCTAACGAATGGCACGATGTGCCCGCCCAGTCTATCACTCTGGGAATGGACGAGCCTGATCTCAACGCCGGTATCAACGGGTACTTTGGATGGTTGGTGCATCTACCCTTGGCCGCGAAGATGTACTAATAAGGGTCCAGGGATAATGAGAGGCCAACGAGAAAGGTGGAGGTTCATGCATTCCAAGCCAAGGGTCGGCCTATCACCAACGAGGAGGTAAGCACTAATTCCGCCTAATGAGCATAGGCGGGAGCTTACCAGAACAGTATGCACAATACATGTTTGAGAACCACATCAAGAAGGTGCCTGCCTCGTGGGCTCCTACAGAATCCAACACCAAGGATGTCGACGCCAATGGCCAGGTGTATCTGACCGACGGATACACGGATGGAAACACCAACGGCCATGTCAATGGACACACAAACGGTGCCAGCAATGGATATAAGAATGGCCACCAAAACGAACAGGCTGCCCTTCCTGAACATTTCCTCGACGGCATTTCTGTTCGCACCGTTCACGGACTGGTGCCGCTGAAGTTCGCACTAGACTGGCCCATCTTCGCCTCGCACGATGAGCTCTCTGGCTGTGCTGCGTGGATGGGTGGTCGAATCCCGACATTTGAAGAGGTCCGGAGCATTTACAACTACGTTCACAACTCAAAGAGGATGGAGGCTGAACGCACGCTCGGAAGAACGGTCCCAGCAGTCAATGGGTAAGCATCGCACTAGCCGAACATGCGGCTGGTATCTATTGACACGATATAGGCACCTATCAAATGATGGAGTCGAGGAGACGCCACCATATACTGGCTCTCTTGAGGCCGAGAAGGCTCGTTCGGAGCTCTTCGTCGACCTCGACGGCGCCAATGTTGGATTCCAGCATTGGCACCCCGTCCCCGTGACGGCCAACGGCGGCCGTCTCGCGGGCCAAGGTGAGCTTGGCGGTGTCTGGGAATGGACCAGCTCGCCCCTCGCTCGGCATGAGGGCTTCGAGCCGATGCCTCTGTACCCTCAGTACACATGTATAGTGTTTTCAAAACCATCGTTTTCCTGTTCTCTGTTGGCTAACTTGTCCACAGCCGACTTCTTCGACGGCAAGCACAACATTGTCCTCGGAGGATCTTGGGCGACGCACCCCCGCATCGCCGGACGACGATCGTTGTGAGTCAACTCCCGCCATTTGCCAAATGTAGCTTAGGTGACGGCTACTAACGGAGCTTAGTGTCAACTGGTACCAACACAATTACCCCTTTGCCTGGTGCGGAGCCAGACTCGTGAGGGACATGAACTAAAGCGATCACGCATACACACCTCCAATCGTGCTATTGCTCTCGACTGCTGTACTTTGTATTGAATTTGAATCTCTTTCTAGCTTCTACGTTTCGCCATGACTAGTGCTTCAACAGCTGGTTCTGGCCCGAGGATGACTCAACTTCATTCGCCGGGTGCTGCGTTTTTGAGAGAAAAGCATGTGATTTACGTTGTTGGAAGCTGTTCCCAGTTTCCTTGTCAAGATAGGCTCTGAAGGGGGACAAGGATCTGAGGTCTACGATTATAGTTATAGTGTATCAAGCTTCATAGTTTCCGGTCCAACCTGTACAGCCTTCACTCGTGTTCTTGTTCAACAATGGGTAGGTCTGTAATGTATCGCTGCCTTGCGCCAGTAGCGCAGGTTTCTGTCGGGGATAAGCAAGACTCATGCTCGCTCCGGGACCAAAATCCCCAAATATTTCTTAGCTTTGATGCTTCAGTTGCTGATGTGTTGAGAAGGAGTTAGTAAACTACCGGGAAACCTTCTCCGCACACCCGAATGAGGCCCTCTTTCCCCGCCTGCTGGCCCCCTTCCCTGCGTAGCCGCGTAAGCGGTCATTATCGTACCCAATGTAATACCGGTATACACGACAGTCTAACCGTGCCTGCAGCACGAGTAACACATGATGATAATGATGACGAGAACATAACCCCTGCCGCCCTCTACGGTAAGCTGCCGCGCTGCGCAGGCTCACGTACATAATATTGCATGTACTACTCCACCAGGAGGGGAGGGAAGGGGGGGAACAGAAAAAGAAGAAAGTGAGAACAACCCGCTGATGCACCCCCCACGGACCTTTCGACGTCTTGACGTCACCGGCCCATCTAGGAACGGACGGGCCGAATGATTTACATTGCGCATTGGGGTCGGTAAGGCCCCTGCGAAGGGGAGAAGGAAGGGGTAACTTGCTCAGTACTGGATTCAACTGTGCAGCGTCGCCAACGAATGCATCTTTGGGACATTTGCCGACTGCCAAGGCACCTCTGCCTAAACCACCTACACTACGTGACTACCTACATGCTACTGAGACCGGTCACCAAGTACCTGACTGGTACGTTGTCTACGACCAGTACAACCTCTTGCCGCCTGTTTGAATCTCGCCCCCGTTCGTGGCCAAGAGTCACGCCCCCTTGATTGCCGTGTCTGGGCACCGGAGGCGTCGGCCGCTCCACAGTTCGCGAAAAAGAAAAGAAAAAGCCGGTTTTACGTCCCCGCACCGCAGTACGGTCAGGCTCGCTCCGAGCCGGGATTTCGTCACATCCACTGAAAGGCCTTTGGACGAAACCAGTTGCTTTCAACCTCCCTGCTTCAATAAACTCTTGTCTGCAAGACTTAGACTTTATGGCCTCCCAAGTCGATCGCGATATTGTCATTAAATTGGCTCAGCCGTTCAGACTGCCGTAGATGTCGAGGAGCTGCTCGAACACGTAGCTGGGTAGTTTGACGCCGTTCTCCGTCACGAGGTTGGAGATAAAGTCGGGGGGCTATCGGACACTCTATTAGCCCATGCTTACATGCACAAAATCACCACCCGCGCAAGACTTACAGTGTAATCCACGGCGTCCTCGGGCTGTACGCTCGCACCGTCCGTCCGGAAGTCCAACACGTGCTGCTTGAACCCGAGATCCCGCTGGTCAAGAGGCACTTTGCGCACGAACTTGTGCGACTCGGCGGCGACGTAGAAGGGCAGACCGGCCTGCTTCGCCAGCTTGGCGATCTGGTAGGTGCCCATGCGCGAGATGATGCCGCCGTTTTGCGTGACTGCCTCGGCGCCGACAATGACCATGTGGACCTGACGCAACAGGCCTAGAACGTGCGCGACGGCGGGCTCGGCGATCTCAGCGACGGGAATGCCCTTCTCGCGGAGTTCCCGTACGACGCGGTCCGACTCGGCCGGGCGGTGCTCGTCGCGGACGTAGACAACCTTGAAACGGACGCCGCCGTCGCCGAACTGATCAGCGGCGCGGAACAGGAGAGTGGAGACGGCGCGGGAGGCACCGTGGGTTAGGACGACCTTGCCGTCGCGCACAAAGCGCCAACCGGCGTCGGCGATGCGGTCACGTGCGGCGATGGCGCGGGAGGCAAAGAGGCGGCCGTTGCGGAGGAGGTGGGTGCGAACGGCGTCGAAGGACTGGTGCGGATTCGTGGCAGCGGATTGGCCCTCCTGCTGCTTAAGCGAGGAGACGAGGTACTGCAGGAACAAGTCGGTGCCGGCCTGGAGGGGTACGGGATTGTTGACGGAGGCGTGGAGGGTGTTTGAGGCGCGCTTGACGAGGTCGAGGGTTTCGTATACGGTCGTGGTACCCGAGGCGTTGAGGAGGGAGATGAGGGCCTCAATGGCGGCGACGGGTTTCGTCAGGTCGGGGTCTTGGAGGAGGGAGTGATATGTTGAGACGATGCTGAGCAAAAGTGAGGTCAGTTGGAGTTATAGTTTAGGGTTGCGGGTGGTGTACTCGAAGTCACCGGTCGTCTTGTTGCGGATGGGCATGTCGGAAGCCTGAGGCTTTTGGCTGTCGCCTGTTTCTGTAGAGCCACGCTGTCAGTCCGCATTCGCGTACATATCGAGTATGATGTGGAATGGCGGAGCAGCGTACGCGTGAGGTCACCGGTGGCCATGGCGATGTGTGGGAGGGACGAAAGTCAGGGTTCCAAAGACAGGCAAGCCCCTTCGTATTGTTGCACCTTATGTGTTTGTCTTGGAGAAAGGCGGCTGAAAATATGCCAGAAGCCGGCAGATGAGAAACGTCGGAGCGAATTCTGGGTCCCGAGACCGAAGATGCGATCAGGACGTCGGCTGTCGCGATGGAGGGGAACGTCTGGTGTTGAGGCTCTAAGAAATTTTGGGAGGCGCCTGTGACTCAATTCCCACACGAGGTAACTAACTACCACCCACCACCGGATGGAGCTTGCCGGGCATCAGCATTGATCGCTCTGATTTGGCGGGGTAGTTCTGCTAATCTAATCAGGGGTGGACGAGACCATCCCAGATATGGGGCTACCCATCAAAACATGTCACCTAGCCCTGTTAGCCAAGTATCGATCTATCTGTCTGTCCCTTAGCTTCCCCCCTCCCCTCCACGAAATAGCCGTCTCATTCACTCGTATCGCCCTGTATCATTCTCCAGGCATCCCACTACCGACGGCGGGATCCCACCCCCCTCCACTCCCGAAACACTGGCACCCAGCTAATAAAGCTCCCTCCTTGTAAGCCTTCATGCCCCGCCCCTGACCAGAAAGCAAGCAATTCACTCAATTCCTCCTTTCGTCATGAAGATTCCTCTACCTTTACACCATCGACAACATTGTCGAAGCTCTCCATTACCCCCTCCCGTACCAACCTGAGACCACAAAAACGAAGAACAACACAGACCACATTCGCAATGGAGCAAATCGACCCTGCGACCGGCGCTCCCCTCCCCGCCGATGCGATCCAGCGCATTCTCTTCATTGCCTCGGGTGCCCATGTCTACAACATCCCGCCCATGACCTCGAACAAGGGCTACACCGCCGCCGGCTGGACCGAACGCCAAATCTTCACCGCCCGCCTTCGCGTCCTCGAGACCGCCTGGGAGACCACCGCCGCCGCCACACCGACCCCCGTCGGCGTCGGCAGCGCAGTGATTCCCGTCGCACCGGGCGCCCCCGCCGGCATCACGAACAAGGAGAACCATATCAAGGTCGACATCGTTCTCGAGGACCCCTCCAACGGTCAGCTCTTCGCCGCCGCCCCCTACACCTCCATCTCCGTCGTCGAGCCCGTCCTCGACTCGTCGCGCTTCTTCGCCGTGCGTGTCATGGACGGTCAGGGCCGCAAGGCCGTGCTGGGCGTCGGCTTCGAGGAGCGCAGCGAGGCTTTTGACTTTGGCGTCGCCCTGCAGGAGGCGCAGAAGAGCTTGGGCCTGCTGGACGCGAGCCACGCCAAGCAGGCGGCGGAGAACAGCAAGCGCGCCGAGGAGGAGAAGAACAAGGACTACAGCCTGAAGGAGGGCGAGACTATCACCATCAACTTTGGCGGCTCCAAGATCGGTCGCCGGTCGAGGCCCGAGACCAACGCCAACGGCGCCGCGGCAGCGTCGGGCGCGGGCCTACAGGCCTTCTCGCTGCCGCCGCCCCCGAGCGCGCCCAAGGGTGGCAACAGCTTCCTGCCGCCGCCGCCGACTGCCTCCAATGTTCGCGAGCAGAAGCGGGAGAAGAGGAGATCGGCGCAGGACCTGGGGTTTGATGATGGTCAGTTTGGCGAGTTCGCGTAGGGTCCTTCATGAGCAGAGGACTTGCGGGTGCGGCAGGAGGACGGTTCCCGTCACTCAGCTCAGGGGGGCAATGCAAGGAGTTCAACGGCCATTTATTCCATGATTAATAGTAAAAGATTCCCTTTACCATTTGCTGCGATTACCCTACGCGAGCCTACCAATTGCACATGTAATGAAAGACCAAAAGAACGACAGGTCATACGCGTCTAATATCGATTCCGTAATACCCCCCCATCGTCCTACTGGAACCAGAAGAGTCCACTGTCGTGCTCCTGCAGCCCACGACACTCCTCAGACCCGGGCCAAAGACATTTCAACACAGAAAGACCCATTCTTCTGGTGAGACTTCGGAAACTGTCGTCTCGGCTGGGAGATCGATTTCGTTCTTCATCGACAACGCGGGTCAATGCCTGATCTTCGTACTCAAACCGCAAGCCATGGTTTCCCAGTTCGTCTGCGCGGATGTCGAAGGCATCGCTGCAGTCTGGCAAAAAACCAACCTGCACTCCATCTGGTGGAGCGTGCATTTCGGACTCGGAATGTGATGATACAGCCCGATGGTAGCTCGTCGGGAAGAACACGGGGGAGGCAGCGTCCAAGGGTGTCCGGATCATGGTCGTTACATTGGAAGGCGTTGTGACTTCCGTGGACCACCAGAAGGAGCACCGTCGCTCGTAGAATTTGCTCTGGATCTGCATCCACGCTTCAAGGCTCTGGAGCTCCACTTGAATGTCACAGAGTCTTAGAAGAATCGCCTACTTTTGTCCCGCGACCTCCGTGATTCTGCTCTTCAGCAAAGCGGCCCTCTTCCTCGACTGACGCTGCTCATCGGAAGCCAGCCCGTCGTCGAACATCTCCTGAAGCATAGATAACTTCCTCATAAGACCCGCTTCTCGGTCTCTTTGGTTCTCCAGTGACCACGTCAGATATGCTTTCTCGGCGTAGAGGTGCTCCAAGGAGTTTGGCAATGTGAATGCCGGCCATCCATGCTTTTGCTTCATGTCGGTGTCCATACCACCTCTTGGACTCGCACACCCTATGCTCAACGAGGACCGAAGAGGCGATGGCAGTGCTTCAGGGCAGAGAACGTCTGATCCTTGGCGACGAGTTCCGAACGGTGGCTGGCTTCGTGATGAATCATCGGAAGAGGTAGCCACCGTACCGAGCGTATTGGCCATCAAAGGAACGAAAGCCGGAGCTTCGACATAGCGATCCATGATGAAGAGTGAGAGGAAAATGCAGAGACCGTTGCCGGAAAAGTTGGTCCTGTCAAGTCAGGTATAAGTACATAAACGTTTGATCGGCTTCTTAACGCATCCGAGCCTGGCAGAGTGGAAACAGAGAGATAAGCTCTGAGGATACGCTGTTGTGACATCTTCCAAGAACTGATAAGCACTAATTAAATTAAAGCAGATAAAGATACAGTGGCCTTGATTTGTCCGAGTTTACCATGGTATGTCGGAGAGAAAGATACGCCCTGGAGGAAGTCGAGAAGCCAGCATGACAGTCAGAGCTCGGATGTGATCAGTGCCTCGACGACAATACTAGAATTCCTATTGAAAGGAACCGGCAAGCGAGGCACCGGCAGCATAAAAGCCCATGTGCTGGTTAAGATAGACTGGGATGGTCATTGCTACCTATCTGGGGGTTCATCAGCTCAATATTCCTCAGGCGTGGAGACAAGGCGACTTGGGCTGCAAAGCCCTGCTAAAACGCATTTGTGGATTAAGACAGCAGTCCGAGGAAAGGTACGATAGTAGACCACGCTAACAAGGTTGAGGTACCTGGTGGTGCGATTATCAATCCTTCTCGTACCTTCAATTGTTGAACACTTTGTTTGTGTCTTAACAACTCCCCTGCTTAAGTGGCGCCGAGTTCCGGTGCATTTACAGATGGTCTAGCCGTTCAAGATCGTTCCATCAACTTGCCAAGCCACTCTTAATAGGTGCAGGGGCACACGGCGAAGTCTTGAAGGCGATGCAAGGGTCACGCCCTCAAATGTTGAAGCCGTCGTGTCGGGGAGGGTCGCAAAAGCGCCATAGACCAATTGCCTCTGCGGCCCTGCGCACCGACGAAACCTCGTCGCCTGACACTGCTCGGTTAATCTCGTTATACCGCACCTCATTATCGTGATGTTCGGTGCCGTCCTTTGTGCGTTTCCTGGCCTTGCCAACATGAGCATCCGGGCGATACTGCTCCATGATGTTGACGAAGCAGTCCTTGGAGACCTCCTCGGCCAGGAACTGCATGATCCGCCGCCCTTCTGCTTCTTTTCCCGGCATTACCAGATGTCGTACGAGGAGACCCTTTTTGGCTATGCCATCTCCGGTAAAGCATAAATCTCCGACTTGTTTTTGCATCGCTTTAATGCTCTCGCGTGCCGTGGCTGCATAGTCGTCCGCCTTCAGTAAGCGCTTAGATGTGACCGCTTCCCAGACCTTGAAATCAGGGAGGTAGATGTCGACCAAGCCATCCAGTAGTTCCAAAGAAGCCAACGAATCAAAGCTGGAGGTGTTGTAGATGATTGGAACCTTTAGGCCCAGTTCCTTCGCATGAAGAATACTGAGCACAACCTGGGGAACCACGTGCTCCGGGGTGATCAGGTTGATGTTGTGTACGCGGTCAACTTGCTGCAGCTTGATATACCATTCACCCAACTCTTCGGGCGTCAGATCCTGGCCGTTACGTTGGTGGGCGATGTCATAGTTCTGGCAGAAGACGCAACGAAGGTTGCAGCCCGAGAAGAATACGGCGCCGCTGCCATTGTGCCCCTGTACGCACGGTTCTGCAACGGTAGTCAGTGTTTCTACCCTTGCATAAACTTGAGAGGGAAGATGTTTGGCACAACGGTGGTGGATGCGCCTGACCTTCACCAAAATGAGGCGCAATCACGTTGACCTTTGTGTTCTCGCCAATCAGACACATTCCGGTCTTTTCGAAGCGGTTCACACCGCATAGCCGCGGGCAAAGATTGCAGTTGGAAAGATGGGCATAGGCCTTAGATCGCTTCTTGGATTCATCAATAGAGGACAATGTCATGTACCGGGGCGTATAATCTTCAAGGAGGAACGGGGGCGCAAGGTGAAGGAAGCGGCAGGAGCCTGCCATGACCCGAACACGACAGAGATTCAAATTTCGTCTTCCTAAGATTCTTCCCAGTCTGTTCATTGTGCAGCTTGATCATTGAAAACCGAGATGAAATTGATGGAAACGGCTCTTGCGTCACACAGGCTGAATGATTGAAGGAGAGGTCGGATTACTTAAGGTGCTATGCCATTGGCCAAAGAGGTTAAAGTGGGTCTCGGAACCTCCTTGCCTATTCCAGCCACAACTGTGCTTTGCCTTTTTTCCCTTCCGTCCGACTCAACAGGTTCCTAGGCCATCCTATCTCGGTAGGTAGATGGTGTCCTAGACAATGTTTGCTTCACGGAACTGCCAGAAGTATGCCAGATCACAAGGTGACGTTTACCAAGAATAACGACAAAGAAACCCCCGTGTCCCATGAGAGCTCTCGGCATTCCCCTTAGGCTAGACAGACCTTTTTAGGTTTTCCTTGAATCTCATGAGGAATATTAGACCTCACGAGTTTTCAATTTTTCGGGGTCATTCTGGCCGTAATAACGTTCGGAACCAGCGATTTTGTCCTCTGGTTTCGAAGCCTCTGGACAGTTAACTAAGTAAGTGGTTTTCCATCATAGTAGATATTCGTTCAACGTTGGACATGGCTCTCTAGCTTATGAACCATCGAGCTTAAAGCCTGATGTCATGGAGAGGAGTGATTCCACCAACAAGCAAGGCACTTGGCTGTCAAGCAGATTGATTGCCATGGATCTGGTAGAAAGTATTGGCGTCGTCTTCAAGAGTGACAGAATTTAAGGCCGGCACTCATCTAACATGATCTCACGCCATTCGCATTATTTTTAAAGAGACGCTTATTATTTATGTAGGCTTTTTCCTTTTTCCTTTTTTTTTCGAGAGGAAGAGATTGAGAGCGAGAGATCGGCTATTTCCCTCGAACAAAAGCAGGAATGATATAAGGAATGATAGGAGGAATGGGAACGGCCAAAGGGTCGTTGCTGTAAAATGAATGAAGGTTTGTATTGCGATGTTGACCATCGCCTGGATATCGGCGGTGAGGATTAACGCCGAAATGGCCAGAATAACTACGGCCGATTCACCGTGTATCCACCGGATCCATGGGGACATTACACGGTGATTTCACCGCGTAATCCTACGATAGTTCCCTTTCTTTACGCATAATTCAGAACCGGTATTTACCCCTATTATTCGTCAATTGCCTATTGATACGTACGGTTAACCGTATCACCACCCTGGTGATAACCAACAGTTTGTATTCGAACAATGAGCTGTAGGCTACGACCTCATCCCATCTTTTTACCCTACAATTATCCCTTCTGTTTGGTTCTCGGTCCACTCAGTGTACACCTAATTAACGGCCGCACATTTTCAACAATCTTGAAGCAATCTGCCTTCAACATAAGTGCTCATCATTAGCTCGTCACCTCTTATAGCAAACACATTGTCTGGTAGAACGTGTGCCCCGAAATACAGGTTACCTAACAGGAGTCATAAACTTCGGCCGGATACCATCGTATTTGAAAGAAGCCCCATTTGGATTGTTTAAGCTTCTGCAAGAATCTACTCTCAATTTGTCGCTGCGTACTAGGCTTTCCTCCTCAGAGGATCTCCCCTGCTATTGGCCTCTTGATCGTCATAAACTTTAACATCGGTACTGCCGAGGAGGAGAATTCTACATCTGGATAGCTGGGGGTTATTTAGTGTCTTATTAGAACTTGAAAAATTAAAAAGGACTCTGGCGAATAGCCCTCACACACTTGGTAGCTAGAAATGGCGAATGTAGATAGTAAGAGGCGCACTTGAACGAACTTCTGCAGGGGAGTCCCGGTGTTAATTAGAGCAGTAAAATCTCACTAGACTACCTACTCGTCATGCAGTTATAAATTTCTCACCTTCATTCTTCGAGACACGCGCGACCTTGGAGGCAACTTCCTTCGTTTTGAGCAAGTACATTTTATTTTCATTCCTTCTCGTCTTTGACGGCTTTCCTCAACATGTATTACCCATTGGTATTGGTTTCCTTTGCCTTCTGGACGCTCCTTCCTCTCTCAAATGCCCTCCATATTACGAACCAGACCATTGACAAATTTCTACTTGGCGAGTATGATTACGTCGTTGTTGGAGGTGGTACCTCGGGAATGGTAGTCGCGAACCGCTTGAGCGAAGACCCGAACGGTACGAAACCCCGTTGCCTCCCATCCGCACTTGAGCGTTGCTGACTGGATGCAGTAACTGTCCTCGTGATCGAGCGCGGCGAACTGTGAGTTGCTATTCCAAAGACTTTATCACCACAAGATACATAGCTGACCGTTTTAGTGACGCACGCGAGAGTTACATCATCGCTCCTGGGTACATTGGCCTCCAGCCTCCCTCGCCCTATGTAACGAGTGTGGGAACTGCCCCTCAGAATTCTCTCGACGGCAAGACGCGTGATATTACCCAAGGCAGAGTCATTGGTGGTGGCTCGGTATGGAACGGGATGTGCTGGACCAGAGGCGCGGCTGCCGATTTCGACGGTTGGGAGGAATTGGGAAACGCGGGTTGGGGATGGCAGAGCCTGCAGCCGTACTTCAGGAAGGTAAGCGTGGCATCCTCGCAGAAACTACGAGTTGACGAGTGCTGAATCGTGGACTCCAGGTTGAGAAGTACTCAGTCGATATTGACGCGGATGTGCAAGACCGCCTCAACATTCACCCCAATTTGTCGGTTCACGGAACTGAAGGATCGATTGATGTCGCTTACCCACGGTACTTCTACGACGCATCAGGTGAGCTAGTTGTTCCACGCAAAGCTGAATGCGTGATTACTCTCGGGCCCTGAAACTAATGCTGTAAAGCTCATGTTCTTAACGGTCTCTCAGAGCTGGGCCTCCCGCTTACGGGCGACCTTAACACGGGCGACTCAACGGGGGGTACAATCGTCCCATCCAGCATGTCTCCCACCAACCAGACTCGATCCGATGCGAGAATCGGATATTACGACACCGCTGCTTCCCGCTCGAATCTACACGTCTTGACCGGGCAGACTGTCACGCGGCTGATTCTGGGCTTGCCCAACTCACAAGGCACGGGCGGGGGGCGTCGTATCATCGGAGTCGATGTGAGGCAACCTTTACCTTCTGCTGTTTTCCCGTTCCATCCACTGACTCAGACCCTGATAGTTCGCTTCGGAGTCTATGGGAATCAACCGGACGGTAACGACCAACAAGGAGGTTATCCTCGCCGCCGGTGCAATCCAGTCCCCTACCCTCTTACAAGTCTCGGGTATTGGCCCTACAGAAGTTTTGAGCTCTTTGAACATCCCTGTTCAGATCGATCTACCAGGAGTTGGAAACAACTTCCAGGATCATCCCATGGCTCAATTTCCGTTCGAGTGTGAGCTCAAGACTGCTCCCCGATCTGAAGACATCCTGCTGACCCCTATTATAGACACCAATTCGTCCCTTTATACATCTCACAACATTACTGGCGATGCTTTCGATGACGCGCTCACTACTTTGATCACCAATCATACCGGTATGTAAATACAATTCAGACTGAGGACCAACAAGCTCACTTTTTCAGGACCATTGACGGCACCCCTGATCAATACCGTTGCCTTCCCAAACCTTTTTTGGCACGGGGACGAAGGGAAATCCCTCCAAAACGCCGCAACCAAGTCCTCCTCCGATTCCCTCCCTCCCGATGCTCCGCCAACAGTACAGGCCGGCTATGCAGCGCAAAGGCGTATCGTTCTCGATCACCTCACCCGCGCCGACGTCGGCGCCTACGAACTCCTCGCCGCCTCGTGGGGCTCGATCTCTATCGCCGCTCAGAAGCCACTATCGCGTGGCACCGTTCGCCCAAAGTCCGGTTCCATGTTTGACGAGCCACTACTCGACCCGCGCTACTGCGCAGACCCGCTCGACTGTGAGATCATCCGGCTCGGCCTGAAGACCTCACGGAGACTCATGCAGACGGAGGCGATGACGCCGCTGCTGCCCGTGGTAGATGTACAGTTCGAGTCAGCCGATGATACGGAGCTGATGGCGACGATCAAGCCGCTGGTCGGTACGGAATTTCACCCCAGTGGAACGACGAGTATGATGCCCGAGGAGATGGGTGGTGTCGTCAATGCCCAGTTGATGGTGTATGGGACGTGTAATCTGAGGGTGGTTGATGCGGGTATCATGCCCTTGATCCCGTCTGCGCATCTCCAGGCTGCGGTGTACGCCGTGGCTGAAAAGGTAAGTTCACAGAAAGTTTGATCTAATTCTAGTCGATTCTAAAAACAAGTTTACAGGCCGCGGACATCATCAAAGTTGCCGCAAAAGACCCTCCAGCCTGCCCCTCCGGTCTGGTATAGTGGCCTATTGGCCAGGGTATGGTTTGATTGGTCATTTAGATGGAAATGAGTTTTGGACCAGGAGTTGGGAAGAGAAAACTTTTATTGCTCGCTGGTAATCATTATGGTTGGTCCACTAGGGCTTTTTGAAACCATTAGAGGTTAAGACTCATTGGCGGGTCACCGATACCCAGACAGGAGTAGAGAGGAATGGAAAGACAGCAATGTTGCATATTCCCCGTTTCTTTAAGACACCCAGGCGACTGAACGTTGTCTTCCAGAACCAGCGAGAGACCAGTGATACAGCAAGATGCGTGCATTGCTTCAGCTACCTAAACATCTGAGGTTTCTCCAATGAACCTGCTTGCAAGTGGTATAATACAGTTTCGTCGCAAAGTCAAATCATTCCGTAATGGCATCAGGCATTGTCTTCAACCCATTGCTCAATCCGCTCGACTAGTTCAGTCTTCTTCCCTGTCGTGCTCTGCCCCCTAGCAGCGAGGATGTCCTTTAGATCCGCCACCAGCATCTTGCTGAAACTGCCGTGATCAACAGATGCCTTGAGCTGAGCCGTGGTCATACTAGAGCCAGAAACCTTTGCAGGCTTCGGCGCCGCTTTAACCCTCTTGGCGGGCCTCTCGTCATTGTCGCCGTCCGCATCGCGTTTGATGGCCGCCTTCGCTAGCGCGGTCTTGGTCTCGGCTTGTAAAACTTCGGCCCAATCATCCAGATAGCCGCCTGCACGCTTGCTGATGGCTTTGTATTTCGGCTCCGTAAGGTCCTCCGCCTTCTCTGGGTACTCCTCCTCGAGGGCGAGTACCTGAAGAATCTTGTAATGCCATTGCAGCGAAGGGTTAGGGTACTTCTTCGGGTTGAACATGGCCTTTGGCAGCTGCAGCTGCTGGACGATGACGCGCATGCGGTCGGTGAGCTCATTGGAGCTAATGACGAGGTTGCTGGGAGGCTCGGGGCCCTCGCGGAGGTCGTCGGCGAAGGGGAGTGGGTAGAGCCAGAGACCGGCGGGGAGGTACGGAGTCCCTGAGTCATCTTCCGACTTTTCATGAGAAGGAATGACGGCGGCTAGTATAGGGCTGGCATTGGAGCGAGTGATGGCCCAAGCAATGCCAATCTTCTTGTCGTTGAGAAGTTTCTGCCACAAGGCGCTGAAGACGCGGGTCGAGCCGACATAGTCCTCTTCAGAGGGGAAGATGAAGGTAGACTTCTTGACACTGGCCCAAAAGGGGAGTATGGAGCGTGGCTTGAAGCCGATGATTCGGATGATGGGAGAACCGAAGGCCTTGAGAGACTTTTGTTCCTCTGGGGCGAAATGCACGAATTCGCCGCCAAATTTGTAAGCCTTCTTGAACTCCGTTTTCTCTACCGTCCGAGCACTGTCCTCGGCGATGCGAGTCGTCTCTCCATGAGCGAGCTGAGGCCTGTCACTGTCCAAGTAGATGTAGGACGTTCTGGCTGGTGTCTGTCGGTGGATGACGTTGTAGCCTTTGACCGATATCCTCAGTCCGGGGGCAATCTCGAAGGGAAGGTTGGAGAACAAGGCGCGTTTCGGGGTTTCTTTGGAGTTAATGTTGGATATCAAAGAGTTGAGAAGTGAAAGACCATCTCCTGACTTTGAGCTCCGTACCTCTGAGAGGTTGGCCTCCGCTATTTGGTCTCGATAGACGATGTCCTACACTTGTTAGTTTAGACCGTACCGACGAGACCATCTGTGACACTTACGTCGTAGAACTTCCCGAGGTCAAATTTCTTGTCGTCCCTGGTAATGGGAAACAGTTCAATGATCACTCCGAGGTCATAGAGGTCCTTCGCTCGAACAGCCGCTGCGGATTTAGCGTCCTTATTTTTAGCGTGAGGGTCGTCGTTGTCTGTGATGATGAAGAGGCGTCTGCTGCCAAAATTCGCCGCCTTGGTTGTAAAGATCTGGTTTGCGCAAAAGAACACGTTGGCCATCTGCACTTCGTCCTTCGCCGGTACCAAGACCTCATCCTCGTCCTCGCCCTCTTCGCCATCGGCGCCAACTAGCGTCTTCAGCGCCTTGACATCCTCTGCTGCAGGAATGTCAAGATCGGTGAACAAGTAACAGTGCGGGTACCCTAGGCCAGACCGAGCACTTTCCTCCTGGAACTTGGATTTCTCAGTGCCAAAGAAGAGAATGCCCATCATGTCTCGGGGGTTCGAGATGATGCGCTGCTGCATGAGGTGGTAGGCGCATTTCAAGGCTGCTTCGACGGCGCTGTCCTTATCTGCCTTCTTAGAGCCAGAAGTTTGAGGACGCTGAAGCATTGAAGCGCTGACATCGATGGCGAGCAGAATGGCATCTTTCTGTGCCTTGTAGTCCTGCGATGCGTCAGTTGTAAGTCATCCATTGTGGACATAGACGCTTACTGTCTCGTCAATCTCCTCCTCGACATCATCTTCATCATCATCTTCTCTTTTGAAATGTCCGTGATCAGCCATTGTTTGGTCTTTCAAAGTCCGGGTATGATCACAAATTGGCTTGCAGAGACTTGGCCGCAGCAGCAGACGAGCACTTATGTATGTCACCTTCGCGAGCTTAGTGTCTAGGCACCAACGCGGTCAGACCAGGGGTGAGCTTCGCGCCAAACAAAGAGCTCCACTGGAGCTTCTTGCGCGCGATCACGTGACAGCAGTTTTTTGATTACACACACGTTGATTGGCCAACATCTGGAGCGTTAGGGGTGTACTTGAGGTGGTGCAGACTGTTTGAGTGCCAAACCCAGGGGAAGGATAAGTGGTTCCCTATCAGCCCGCCTTTGCAAGGGACCAGCTCGGTGTTCGGTGGGCTCATGATCCAGATCGGGATTTCCGTCGTCATCGAAGCCCGAATTCCACAAAGTGTTGTCCGGTATCGAACACGCATCACCAGGATTCGCGTATTGCCACAAGTGCGCTTTTCCCAGAGCCACTGTTGCATACCCCCCTCAATTCCTGTTTTGCGAGTCTTTCAATTCATCACGCTGTCGCAGTTGCAATGGCTTTCAAATATCCAACGGGTCGGCTTTCCCGGAGCTTATCCAAGGCGACACCCTTGACGCGCCATGCCTCGTCACCCTTCGCCCTGGCGTCGCCTCAATCCAGGTTGTTGGCGACTGTTCCCCCTGTGACGCAAAACTCTGTCGGATCCAAGGGCCCAACAGCCATGGTTTTTATGAACATGGGCGGTCCCTCGACAACAGGCGAAGTGGGAGACTTCTTGAGCCGGCTTTTTGTACGTGGCCTCGCGGTTGTTGGTCCAATGGACAGCTAACAGTTCATAGGCAGATGGCGATTTGATTCCTCTCGGTCGCTTCCAGAACTATCTCGGCCCTTTCATATCCAAGCGAAGAACCCCCAAGATCGAGAAACAGTACGCCGAAATAGGTGGCGGCTCACCCATCCGCAAATGGACCGAGTACCAGAATGCAGAGATGTGCCAGATCCTGGACGAAATCTCGCCCGAAACCGCACCTCATAAGCCGTATACTGCGTTTCGCTATGCCGACCCGTTGACTGAAGAGATGTACAACCAGTTGCTGGCAGACGGTTTTGGAAACGGAAAGGGCGGAAGAGCAGTTGCCTTCACACAATACCCCCAATACTCATGCTCAACGACCGGAAGCAGCCTTAACGAGCTATGGAAGTGGAGGCAACGACTGGAAGGCAAGGCAGTAGGAGAGACGACGCCGGGTGACGGTACAATTTCTTGGAGTGTCATTGACCGATGGCCTGTCCATCCTGGTCTGATTGAGGCATTTGCGCAAAACATTGAGGCCAAGCTGTTGGAATACCCCGAGGAGAGGCGCAAGGACGTCGTGCTGCTGTTCTCTGCCCACAGTTTGCCCATGTCGGTTGTCAACAGAGGCGACCCGTACCCCGCCGAAGTCGCCGCGACAGTCTACGCCGTCATGCAGCGCCTCAAGTTTTCGAACCGTTACCGTCTTTGCTGGCAATCTCAGGTCGGTCCTTCGGCCTGGCTTGGACCGCAGACTTCCGACTCGGTTGAGCACTATGTTCAAAAGGGGCAGAAGGATCTGGTTCTGATCCCTATTGCGTTCACCTCGGACCATATTGAGACCTTATACGAGCTGGATCTCGAAGTCATTGGGGACTCTGGATCGCCGGAGACCGTTAAGCGAGTCGAAAGCTTGAACGGAAGTCCAATCTTTATCAAGGCTCTTGCAGACATCGCCAAAGCTCACCTTGACAGCGGCGTTGCCTGCTCGCAACAAATGGAGCTGCGCTGCCCTGGCTGCACGAGCGAGCGCTGCCTGCAGTCGAAGAAATTCTTTGCCGGACAGCAGACGAAGCTTTCCTCGGCGCAGGAGAGAATCCTCTCGCAATGAATGTCTGCCAGTCGCTGTTCATGAAGGACGGTGTGTATTTATGTACAACTTTAGAGGAACCGGCGATCTATTAGGGTCTAGATGGGAGCCTGGCAATGGCGGGAACCAAAAGTTATAAATTCCCAAATATGACATACATCCTTTGCTTTCATCTGCATTCCAGAAATCCATTGGAAGACAAGCTGTTACTGTTTTGCCGTGGCGTCCAAGAAACCAAGGTCAAGCTACTCCGTACCCGAAGAGCAATTTGTGACGATGACGCCACTGTGTTTCTTCGACAGTGCTAACAATTTTCCAGTCAACTCCACACGGTTGCCGGAATTTTCGGTTGAACTATTTACACACCGCCTACAATACACGTATGACCTGGCTGCGGATTATGTTCATCACTTGGACTTTGACGAGAAGACTACCCCAAGCTCACACTTTTCACTTGCGACGAACGATGAGCACTCAGGACAAAATCCATTTCGGGCCCTTTGAGGTCACCGACCAGGTCAGTCGCGTCTCGTTGAGTCGTCTCGAGTTACCGACATGGCCATGGCGCATAGATTGAGACGAGTCGACGACACAGTCCTATCTATAATCATAGCAGCGTTTTTCGTCTGAGATTGTCTCAGCATGGCAATGCGCATTTTGATTTCTCATCTAAGGCCTCGAGGTCTTAAGGAGTGCTGTTACAACGTGGACTGACACGACCCAGGTCTTCTTCAAGACGGCCCACTCCTTCGCCCTGGTCAATCTTAAGCCCCTCCTCCCGGGCCACGTTCTCATCTGTCCCCTGAAGCCTCACAAGCGCCTGACGGATCTCCTGCCGGCCGAGGTCACAGACCTCTTCACCACGACGCAGCTGGTCCAGAAAATGCTGGCGCGTCGCTATTTCTCCTCATCATCATCATTGCCGGCGGCGCCGGAGGCAGGGTCCTTCAACATCGCCGTGCAGGACGGCACGGACGCAGGGCAGACTGTGGCGCACGTCCATGTGCACATCATCCCGCGCATCCCGGGTGAGACTGGTAAAAACGGGTCCGGGCCAAAGGATGAGATTTACGAGCAAATGGCTAGCGAGGAGGGAAACTTGGGTGGCGCGTTGTGGGATAAGGAGTTGGGCAAGAGGCCGGAGGCTGGGGGACAGTTCGCGAGGATTGAGGATGCGATGAGAAAGGCGAGGACTATGGAAGAGATGGTCGGAGAAGCGAAGTCCTATCGGTCATTGTTAAAGGAGATGGGCGCTGTCAGTGAGAGGTAGCGAAAGCAAGCGAAACCGAAATGACATGGAGCTACGCTTGACGATACGATGATATTCCACCTCAACCATCAAACATGTCGTTGTTAAGGCCGGATCATTTTGAGCTAGTGGCACAGTGTTCCCATGCTGGGCAACAAGTAACTACCCTTTCCTGCAAGAAGTACATGGTCGACTTGTTCAATTGTTTTCGCTATATATAAAGTAATTAGCCGGCCTTAACTGACGTTAACTGAACGGTTTCTTCAGTTTGAATATTCACGAAGAGTGATGCTTCTCTAAGCCTAAGACAGTGCTCAAGCGCAATTATGCACAGTTGACACTGTGAAGCCTGGGCCCACCAACCATTAACGCGTCCAGGGTTCGCGTTTGATCGCGTCTCCCCCCAAGATTTAATTGTCACCATAGCGATACACCATATCGTAACGCTCAATAAAGCACCTACACCAGGACGATTTCCGCGCCATTTAGGCATTCACATCTCCGCATTTGATCCGTCAAGATGCCGAGCGCCTCATCGCCTATTACCTTTCCCGCCAGTTCCTCACCACCGGCCACGAAACGCGCGAGGCCTGCAGCTGTCGAGCACACGAGACCGAAACCGAAGGTCAGCAGCGGATTTCTCCTCGACGACGATTCCGATGACGCCGACAGTGACCAACAGCCTCCGCTAAAGAAGCAATTTGTTGATTTTAGCGCCCGCATTCAACGTTCAACACCCGTCACGACGGTCCCAGAGGAAGGCATAGCTGAGCCGATTGCATTAGCGCCTCAGAAGACCAGCGATCCCGCCATAGCCAACCCACCACAGGTCGCACCACCCGAAAGGCCATTAAGCCTTGCTTCGGCATTACTCAGCTCTACACCATCGTTTTTAAGGTCCTCCCGAACCTTTAAGCTCACAACATGCGCCGGGACGTCTACTACAATCAAGCAACGGAAGCCAACGACGAACACCTCTTACGAGACCATCATCGCTGCGAGGTCCAAGACGAAGGAGGGGAAAGCGAGACGAGCATACTACGGTATAGACATCAACGAACTAATTGATGCTGCAAAACAAGAAGATTCCGAGTCACGTCAACCGAGGAGAAAGGAGACTGATGTGCCGGTTCGCTCGGTGGAACAGCCAGTTGCCGGCAAGCAACACAAGAAGACACTTTTGTGGACCGAGAAATACAGAGCCAGGAACTTTCTGGATCTTTGCGGTGACGATGGTACCAACCGAATGGTCCTTCGTTGGCTAAAGCGCTGGGACCCCATCGTGTTCCCTGGTGTTGCGAAGAAAGCCCCCATTGTACGGAGACCCGGCATGAAGCAGGTTCCGGAGGAAGAGAAACCACACAAGAAGATACTAATGCTTACGGGACCACCGGGTCTCGGAAAGACTACTTTGGCCCACGTCTGTGCCAGGCAAGCAGGGTACGACGTGATGGAGGTCAACGCCAGTGACGATCGAAGCCGAGACGTTGTAAAAAACCGGATACGAACCTCCTTGGGCACTGAGAGCGTTAAGACTGTCGAGAACATAAAAACAAAAGACGGGGAAACACAGCAAAAGGTCGCCAAACCGGCCTGCGTAATTGTTGACGAAGTCGACGGAGTTGTTGGCGGCTCTGGCGCCTCAGGAGAGGGCGGCTTCGTCAAGGCGTTGATTGACCTAGTGCTACTTGACCAGAAAAACAGCGCTGGTGCCTCCAATGCCTCTGGTCGGAAGAAGAAAAAGGGCGATGACTTCCGGCTGATGCGCCCGCTCATTCTTATCTGTAACGACGTTTACCACCCCTCTCTCAGGCCCCTCCGGCAATCCGGCATGGCGGAGATTATTCACGTTGGCAAGCCAGGCATCGATGCTGTCGTCACGCGGCTGAAGACAGTGTTTGACAAGGAAGGCATTCCCTGTGAAAAGGACGCGGCCCGCAAAATCTGCGAGGCGGCCTGGGGCATGACGAGCGGCATCGACGCAAAGCGCGGCGCAGAAAGCGGGACGGAAGGTGATCTCAGAGGAGTCATGGTTGTTGGCGAATGGGTTGCAGGCCGATTTAAGGCCGCCGCCGGATTTAACGATCGACTGACAAGGCAGTGGCTTGACCAGAATGTGCTCTACGATCTCACCAACGGTGCTGGAGGAGCGAGGGGGCTCGGACGAGGAAGCACAAAAGACATAGTAACGCGTGTTTTTCAGGAGGGCGGCGGTTTCCCGAAGCAAGCCTTGGACACTTCACAAAACTTCAAGCACAAGCACGAACAACCCAAAAGTCAGCTTGGCTTTGCAGAGTATCACAAGAAAAACGCGATGGAACGGCTGCGGCACATGGTTGACACCAGTGGAGAGGTCGAGCGGATCATGACCGACATCTTTCTGGAGTACCCCAACCGGGAGTTCAATGACGACTCTTTCTTGTCGAAGCCAAACGCTGCGTACGACTGGATGAACTTTTTGGATACCTGTTCATCACGCACATTTGGAAGTCAGGAGTGGGAGCTGGCGCCGTACCTCAGCCAACCGATTCTGGCCTGCCACAACTTATTCGCCTCGTCTCGCCGACATCAGGTCACCATGGGTTACGACAAGAAATGGGGCGGCGGCGAGGAGGACAATGAGCCACCTGTACCATTCTCTGGACCCCGAGCCGATTTCGCCGCCCACGAAGCGCAGAAGCAAAACAAGGCCATGCTTCAGGCTATTCAGGCACAGCTTACTCCCACACTGGGACGGTCATTCCGAAGCGTTGAGGATATATCCACAGAGTTCATGCCATACCTAGTCCGCATGGTGTCACCAGACGTAAAGCCGGTTGTTATTGGCGGCAGCAACACAAGCACAGCTAGTGTGCGGAAAGAAACGGAGAAGGTCATGGTGAGGCGGGCCGCCGAGGTTATGGCCGAGGTCGGGATTGTCCTTCAAAAGGGCAAGATTGAAACCGATTCGTTGGTAAACAGGGGGCCGCAGTGGGTGTACCGCATGGAACCGTAAGTTGACCTCTGATCGTGCTTGTGACCTGGACTAATATCGGACAGTGATCTTGATGCCCTCGCAGTGTATGAGACGGCGGGCAACCTGGTACTCTCTAGTCAAGCCCCAACGCGCTACGCCGTGCGACAGGTGCTGGACCAAGAGCTGCAAAGGACCATTGCCCTACGCGAAGCCGCGGCCCGCCAGGCGCGATTCAAAGCAGGAGGCCCCGTGGAGTTCGAGGAGATCCCCGTGCACAATAATAATGAGGACATTGTCAAGGAACAGGCGAGAGTACTCGAGGCGAGTGTAAAGAGGGACTTTTTCGGACGCATCATACCCGCGCGACCGCTGGGGGCGGTGAACGGGAACGCTAAAAGGAGAAAGGAACAGAGCCACGAGAAGAGCGACAACAAGGTTTGGGTCACGTACCATGAAGGTATGAATAACGCCGTCAGGAAGCCGATTACTCTGGAGGAGTTTTTGAAAGGCTTGTAGGATCTCCTTTGGGCGATGAGCTTGGATGAGGTGAATGCATCACGAATTCGATTCTGTTTCAATGGCGAGAGTTTCCATTTAGAAATTTCACCAACGACGCCAATTCTGCTTGGTGGCTTCTGAATAATAAACGTTCTACGTCTGCTACCTTTTTCTGTCATGGCTCCAAGTTGCCTCTTTCGAACAGATATTTCCAAGGCCCTGTCTGGTTATCGAGAACTGTCGAGACGAAGCCAATGTCTTGAATTGCCGAGAGGTGCAAACCTTCCTCCACGCCACTATCCATCGACTCTTGTACATACGAGGCCTCTGAGATCGGTTGCCTTTGAAATCCTAATCCGATCCTCTTGGGCGTCAGATCGAGACGACAAGCAGAAATTCCTTTAACGTCGGAAAGGATATGATGCATAGACACTTTAAACACACACCTTGAGAATGTTTTCATACGGGAGGCCGAGCTCCAATGCATTCCCTACCTTAGTCATTTACGCGTTGTTTGAAAACATGGCTATATGTTATCCTACTCTTCGGGCCGGGAGCCCTCAAGGTTTTTAAAGCCAAAAGGGTGCTCCTTTATAAGGACACCACACATCGCCGATTTAAGACAACTTCAAGCCTAGCTTAACTCAGGTGTTAGCAGTCGGGGTTACAACGGAATCAAATTTGAAGAATTAGAGGTTATATTCCGTTGAGACTCGATTTCAATGAAGGCCTAATTAATTAAGAGAAATATGAGAAAATAACGAGCGTTCCTTCCTAAAGTTTAACTGCTTTTTTACGGCATTCCTTGCCGTAGTCAAAGGAAGTATCATGAGCAGTAAGAATCATACCAAGTGGCCGCGTATAAGGGCCGAGTCTTTAGATGCGCCATTACATCTGATCGCCAAAGCTGTCGGCAGGCCACTTCTTTCTCCAGGCAGGCCCATAGTAGTAAACCACCGGGATAAAGACGGCGAAGCCAGAAATCAGCCCAGTATAGATCATCATCGCGTTGAAGTATCCCATCTCCACAACCCAGTCTGAAATCTTGAAAGAAAGCGCAAAGGCCAATAAGCATCGGAATGAAGCAATATTTACCAAGGCCGGGCCCGCAAGATGGGGGTAGCACTCTAGAACGTAGACGGCGCCAATACTGTTGGCGCCCAAGAATCCGAAGGCCATCAACCCGAGGCCAGTAAGAAACGTGACATAGGAGTAGTTGTTTTGGTCTGAACCAGCCAGGCCAAACAAGATGGAGCCAATGATACCAGCGAGAGTTGGAAAAACCAGATTAATGAGCTGGTTTTCCGGAACACGGACCCCGCGCTTCTTAGCAAGTCGATTGGCCATCCAGTCGGCAGCGCTTCCAGTAACAAAAGCGACGGCAACAGCGGCAATGAGGACTGGTAGGAGGCATAAACCAAGTAACATGAAGTCCCATCTATAACATATGTTAGCCGGAGGCTCTTATCAAGTAAAAGCGTAATCACTTACGACCAAGGCGCTGTCAGAAGAGCTGGAGCAACAGTGTATCCAGCAGCAAACGCACAGGCGATCATGACACTGTTGAGCATGGTGATGAAGAAGATTTGCGGGTAGAAGAACGTGCGAAGCGTATCGACAAAAGCATTCCAGCCCTTTCTCCATTCCATTTTGCCGTGGAACAGAGCAATGTTGTACTGGAAAGTTCTTGGCGAGTGCTTCTGACCAGTCTCATCGCGAGGAATACCGTCTAAAAAGCCCAGAGTTAGCCTTGTATAGAATTCCCAGTCTTGTAACAGTCGAGCACTTACTCATCTCATCACGCGTTCGGTGCCATTTGGTCTCCGGCAGGAAGAAATATACGCCAACTAGGAAGAAAGCTGCGCTAATGGCGGTAATGAAATACATATAGCGCCAGCTTAAGTTGATAATGACATATGGCGCTGCAATGCCTAGTACGATAATAATAAGACCCTGGATTGCAAAGATCCCAGAGATCCAGGAGTTCCGTTGGTGAACGTGGACCATATCTTGGATGATGAATGGAACCAAGCTTTCAACAGTGCCAGCGCCAATCGCTTGAACGCAGCGAGCCAGCAAATGCGAGGTCAAAGACTGGCTACTTCCAGACCAGATACATCCAATGACGGCAAGCAAACCTGTTGCAAGAACAACTGGACGACGGCCAACAGATATGGCCATCGGTACCAGGATCAAGTTTGCCACGCCTATGATCAACACGGGAAGCGAGGCTAGCAGGTAGATCTGAAAGATTGGTGGCGCGCCCGGCAGGTTGGCGAGGATCTTCAAAGGATCGCTGCCCCCGGGAAGGCCGCCACTCGAAGTCAACGGCTTGAGGAGTTTGGGGTCGAGGCCCGAATACTCTAGGGCGAACACAGGAAGCATTGCGCCCAAGATCAGCTCGGCCGCGGCGGCCAGCGCGCCGAAGCAACATAGGCAGGCGCACGCGATGACCTTCCGCGACAGAGGCAAGTTCAAGGGGTCCCGCGGGTCCTGGGTCGGCGCGGGTTGCAGGATAAGTTGGCCATCGTGGTAGAGGACACCTTCCTTGGCCTTCTCCTTTGCCTGGTCGTCGTCGAAGGACGACTCGAAAGAATCGACATGCTCGAGGTCCTTCTCGAAGGCTGTTGATGAGCTGTCGTGACTGTTGGCCCTCTTCAGTTCGGTGGTCTGGAAACCGAAACCATGATGAACAGTCTTTTCGTCCTCAAGCGGCCAGTTCGACGCGGCCAAGCTAGAAACCGTTGATTGTCTCGGGTAACGCGGGGGATCGCCCGGGTGAATGGGTTCAGGTAGCTGCGGGGCGGCAGCAGCAGACTCCATGTTGCAATATTATCGGGAGAAGTTGTTAAGATACGATAATGGGGGTGATCCGGAAGAATCAGATCACTCTGGAACGTCAATCGAGAAGACATCAATTGCCGGTCAATATGTAAAGGCCATGAGGGCATTGGACCTCTGCTGATGATAATAAGAGACTTACACAGACCATCGCGCCCTAGCTGCCGAAACACCATGCTGCATGCTGAGAGACGCAACCACACAGACGCCGGCTTCGATATCATCACAGACTCCTGACCCCTACCCCGCCTGAGGTAGCCGCCGCCACCACGAGGTATTTCACGTTGAATATTGCAATCTCTGTTTCAGTGGCGTCAAAACTCCGTGTTGGTGCATCTGTACATTGCCGCTTCTGCTTTTCTGCAACTTGTTTCGCTGCAGGTAATGGAATGGAATTGGAGCCGCTGACTGGACGATCAATTTGGCCTCGTCAACCGGATCGACTAACCCGAAGTGAGCCTGAAACTTTCCCTCGCAAGCGGAGGGTCGTGAGGACAAAGCTGTAGGAACAGATGCTTGTATCACACTGGTCCAACCTTGACTGGCTGCGTCCAAGGCCGAGGAACAGACGAGGAAGAGTTTTGATAAGCATGAAAGGCCCTTAGGATGTCGTGACACAAGTTAGAATGAGGTTGGGGCACCAAATGCCCCAATCGCAACCCGGGCAGCTGTCGTGAGAATGGACCCAAAGAGCAAGCGGGCTGATTGAGTTCGGGTATTTCAAATACAAAGCGGCGTGGCCAAGGAGCTTTCTGACGTTTTAGTGCGTATCAATTTAGATTTAGTGAGATATTATACGCCAAGAGCGTCAGTAATAAGTTGCGGAGAGTAGGTGAAAAGGTTGAGCATACTTTGATAAGTGCAGATTGCTCAAGATGTCCTTGGAGCATTATGATGACATCACATCAGGGAGAAGTACCTCTGCCACTCCTGGGTTTTCGATCGTGTTCCTCCCGATTATTGGCTGTGACAAAACATGACCATTTGGCGGGAAAATAACTAACGCGCTTCCCAAGAACGGACGTGGATGATGTCGAAATAGGATGAAGGTCTTGAATGTGTAATGTCACCTGAACTCATCCTTGTTTGCCCACTCCAAGTCTTGCTTTGGGACTCTGATTTGCTTCGAAATGGGGTTTCGCGTACACCTCAATACACATTCTTCCTTTTTGAACTTTCACTCCGCCAATCCTTGGCTCTTTCAAATCCGTTCTTGTGCGTGTAAAAGTCCTCCACCGCTTGTTGTAACTCCTCCCGACTGTTCATGACAAATGGCCCATGTTGGGCGATTGGCTGATCCAAAACCTGTCCGGCAATCAAGAGGAGCCGTGCACTTCCATGCGCTGTATCGGGAACCTCAGCGTCAACCACATCGCCTTCTTTTTCAAAAATGACTGCGTCAAACTTCTTCCCCTTGCTCTGACTCTTACTCTTTGAACCGAAAACCGCCTCTCCCTCAAATACATAAGCAAAAGCATTCCACTCTTGAGGTAAGAGCTGGGTAAATTTGCCTCCTGGCTTGATCTCCACGTCGAGAAACCAGACGGGCGTATATGCCAAGTCTTTGACCGAGACGACCCCACCGGATCTGCCCGAGATGACTTTGACATAGACCTGGCCGTTGTCAAGTTGAACTTGTGGTATTTCTTTCGCGCCCAAGTCCCGGTACCTGGGCTCGCACATCTTGAGATGCTTCGGAAGGTCAACCCAGAGTTGGAATCCGGCCCCTGGGGTCCCGTCGTCTTCCGGCAATGGCTGTTCGGAGTGCATGATACCTCTTCCCGCTGTCATAAACTGTGCATCGCCGGCTCGCAAAATACCCTTATTTCCCGCAAAGTCTTCGTGCTCTACTGAGCCTTTTAGTATGTAAGATATGGTCTCTTGTCCCCGGTGAGGATGATCGGGGAAGCCGGCGCCGGTGCTGCCGCTCATGTGGTCGAACATAAGGAATGGCGAGAAGTTGCGCTTGTGAATGCTTCCGATGGCGCGGCGCACTCGTGCCCCTGCACCCTCGGCTTGTTCAGGTGCTCTGAAGACTTGAACGATTGCTCGTGATACCGACATGGTTGATTATTGAACTTGTTCGCCCAACAACTGGAGCTTGAAATGATGGTTTTATGACACGTGGTTGTTGACTAGTTATTTGAGAATCCTGCGAAAGACACAACATAGACTTATACGCAAACCGAATGATTCAATACTAGCAGCAGGTGTTACGGTTCCATACTGATAATGCTTACAAATAGGTGTGCCGAGGCGATCTGAGACAGCACATCCACCACCTCAAGTATTAGCGGGCTGATACTAGCGTTAGGGAGTTGAGGCCCTGGTTGTGCATCTCGGCGATTTGGATGTGTGACCTGACGTGGGTTGGCCAGGAAGCCCAGCTCTGAGGTAAGTGCGGTAATGCCGATGTCGAGCCCCTTGAACAGGAACGAGGGCCTGACTAAAAGGAGGCTAACTTCTAATTGGCTGTCAAACACGTGTCTGTAGTTTTGAAGCTTGGCAATGCAATGTCATAACCGCGCGGGGGAATGAATTGCAAGGCCTTTCAAGTGGCCCTTTATCCAATAGAGCACGTGCATGGCATGAATGTGTAATACCCGCGCGCGAGATATTGGTCTTGAACTGCAAGTGATTTACTCCACATGTTGCACTACTTGTACGCTTTCCAAGCACACCTAAATGTTCTACATCTCTTTTAAGGTATAGATAAGCAACCTGTAACGTGATTACTCTCAGAGGTTTGTAATATATAATAAACGCTAAAAGACCTCTGTAGGCGAGCATTGCAAGCGCCATACATTTGCAATCGAGTAGTGCTAGATTGGTTCTGCCAAACACCTTGCAACCCCTAGAACATAAGAAACATCAGGACCGTCATGACTACTGCTGGGTGGAAACAGTTGAATGAAAAGGATGGCAACTTCCAGCGTCCTGCAACCGTTCTCCGCAACTTCATCTCCAAAGAGCCAGGGTCCAAGTTTCCGCCCGAAAAGGGAAGATACCATCTCTACGTCAGCTATGCTTGTCCATGGGTAAATTAGCCCTATTCCATATGGTTTTCCGGAATGTAGCTGATAACAGTGACGACGACAGGCGCACAGAACCCTCATCGTCCGTAAGCTGAACGGTCTTGAAGACGTCATCTCGTTCCCTGTCGTACATTGGCACCTCGATCTTGAGACAGGTACGGCTGTAGGCGCCCCGATGGTCAAGGTTGGAGGACGATGCTTCGGGCTGATGACTGACACTACTTAGGATGGCGCTTCCCTACCTCCTCGGAAGCCGAAGTCGATGGCGGCAACGTGGTGCCAGATCCTCTGCACGACGGTTTCACCCTCTTGCGCCAGATTTACTTTGATACCGACCCCAATTACTCCGCAAGATTCTCCGTGCCTGTCTTGTACGACAAGATCCAAAAAGTCATTGTGAACAATGAAAGCAGCGAGATACTTTGGATGCTCGGAACAGAGGTCAATATGCAATCACCGGCCCCTTATGAGCCCCACTGACGTCTATCAGTTTGACGACATTATTGAGGAGAAGTACCGCAACGTCTCACTATACCCCACGACGCTCCAAGACCAGATCGACGACGCTCAGGCGTGGCAATATGATCAAATCAATCACGGAGTATACAAGTGCGGGTTCGCGGTCACGCAAGATACCTATGAACATGCTGTGACGTCTGTGTTTGACGGATTGGATCGGGCTGAAGCTCACTTGGCGTCTCTCAAGCCCTCCGATGGCCCGTACTGGCTTGGAAAGGAGATTACAGAAGTCGACATACGACTGTAATTTTCTGTCAAATACGGTGCCTTCCTGAGCTAACTCGTATTCTTGCAGATTCGTTACACTTATTCGATTCGACGTACGTTATTTTCCTTCGTCCCCCGTCATTCCACGTCTCAATGATATTGCCACATGGGCAATACTTCTGAACAATTAAGCCAAACATGGACGTCATCAATATTGACTAACATGAACCACAGCCGATCTACACGTTTCATTTCAAATGCAACATTCGAGACATACGATCCGGTTATCCCCGCCTTCACAACTGGCTCCGCAACCTGTACTGGAACGTGCCGGCGTTCAAAGACACAACCAACTTCATTCACATCCAGAAAGGCTACACCAAGAGCCAAGCCAACATCAATCCACTTGCAATCACGGCGATGGGGCCGTTGCCTCACATCCTAGCGCTGGAAGATGAAGTGCCCGCTGTCCGTATCTTAAAATAGAGCGAGATGGCCAGACGAGCTTTGGTAACGAAACGTTTGGTCATTGAGGAACTGCAAGTTCGGCCCCGCAATAAAATTCCCCTGTTTTTGTTCCTTCAGAAAAGTATGGAACATGTCTTGTCAGGATTTCCATCTAGCCCCAGGCCTGCGCATGAGTGCTTCCAAGTCGTGGCCCAAAGACGTATGGGAGGCTCACCCCTTCATTGTCCTACACTTAAGGAGCCATCACGACAATGGACACTACAAGCGTATCGTTGGAAAGCTGCAATCAGGTTAGCTTTCTTCCTGCTCTACCAATTCGATGAGGGTGGATAAAGTTAGAAAGGCCAACGCATACTTATCAAATCTTTCCCGCTACCGTATTATCAGTCTCGTGAAACGGTGCGACGGTCATCTTACCAGTGGCAGGATGCAACGGTTCAAAGGGCTTCTTCAAAATCCTAGCGGCTTCCTTCTCGGCTTCCTCGTTTGGCCGCTCAATTGCGGCGGCAAGCGCGAGAGACATGGCCTGCAGGAGCAGGAGACCGAACCACGTGGTTTTCTGAGTAGGCGTCTCTCAGCCGATTGTCACCGGGCGGCCTTGGCGGAAACTTACCATTTCCTAGGCGTTCAATATACGCGAATTGCAGTGTTTGGTGTCTTCTTCACAGGAGGAGGTTGTGAGGGAATGTCGTCAAGCTTGGTGACTGCCACAATAGATGGTCGTGGTATGTTGAGAAAATAGAAGGTATATATATGTATATGAGAACGGGGTTATCGTGTCGTGTACCAAAGTACAAGGCCACTGTCACACGGTCCTGGACCGCATAAAAAATAGTCGCACACAAGGTATATTCGTTCGCGGAAGCCGGAAGGGATGGATTCATGTACTGGTAGGGCCACTTGTGCATGAATCTGTGGCACGATGATGCGGCTTGGGATCAAAAGAAAGATGGCAGGTGAGATTCGTGCAGATGTTTACATGACAACAATGACCCATTCTGCCTGGGTCAATTAGATGCAATCTTGCTATCCTAATGAGATGATGGTATTAGATGAATGAAAAAAAAACCGGAGGGGCTCTCCCTTCCAAGACCTCGCAGGCTGGATCGTGTATGTGGCGATAGAAAGGGCTCGCGCCATTAGATTGGTAAAAAGCTTTATGCGAATTGATAGAAACAACACCCAGCAGAAGCATAGTTACTACGATATTTCACACACAAAAATTTGGCGGCAAAGGGCTTTATTGCACTCGAACCACCAAGGATCATCCCCCGAATGACGCTCGACAAAGGAAACGTCCATCGGTGGTGGTCATCCTCGCGCAATGGTCTTCCAAGGGATGAACCCGGGAATGCCTCTGGGAGGGCCCACCATGGGTAATCGGAACACGACATCGACTTGAACCGATGACAGCTTCCGTCTATTGACCAACACCCTAGGATGCAGTACACTGTTCACGAGACAAAACTGTGATAATCAAGAAAAGTTGTATTTGTGGTATCGGGTAATAGTGGCTGTACCCAATGTGACATGTCGCAGTTGCTCCGAGGCAAAAAGAGCCCCAGATCTTCAGCGCTCAGCGCTCAGTGACGTTTACATCTATAATCTAAGTATGTATCATGACCTTATTCTCGCTCTCTTTGTAAAACCATCCTGCTACGTCAGAACGTACATCTCGCCAACTGGAGTGTCAGTTGGTGAATATCAATTCGTCCTCCGTCAACACCTCCAGCGCTTCCGAGCTGGCCTGGACGCTGGATTGCGGTTCCGATGTTGGCACAGGCTCATACGTCTCCTCGAGGTACACTACATCTTGTCAATTTTAGGCACAGCTGAGACGAGGGATGCGAACTCACCACCAGGGCGTACAACAAAGCTTGCCAACAAAGCCAAACCAAACACGGACGCGAGGAGGACAAAGATGGCCTGGTCAAACACACCAACTGTCGCGTAGTAGAGCGTGTTGAAAGCGATGGGACCCAACACCCTCGACAAAGCGTGGAGGACCCCGATAGCACCCAAAAGCTGTCCCACCTGATCAGCAGGCACGTGCTTTGTGATGGCTGCTTGGATCGTCGCGCTGCCGAGCCCACCAAAAGCCGTCACCATACCGGAGAGCACAAATATGGCCTCATTCCTAGCGAAAATGTAGCCCAGCGAGCCGGTGACATCCGAGAGCAATGAGAAGCGCAGAATCCAGCAGTCAACAGTGTCGGCGCCGTGGTTTCCTTCCACTAATGAGACACCCGAGACCCTTCTCCGGTAGGCCGCAGGCCTCAGACGGAAGACGTAGTTGATGGTAGGGAGAACAACGAGGAGCGCCACGACACGAACCATGGACACGGCCGAGATGAAACGCGAGCTCTCCAAGGTGCCCCAACCCCAGGCCTCTGGGGACTCCGAGTACAGCAGAATGACGGTGCCTGCGCTCATCGCCGCGCCGATGAAGATCATGTCGGTGAAGGAGAGGGCAATGATGTTGAGACGCAGCCTCGACGAGGTACCCTTGCCTGTGGGCCAAAGGACCCTGAGAGGGGCCAGCGGGTTCGCGGCCTTGAGCGTCGACCAAGTCCCCCTCACCACAGGCTTCTGCTCTTGATCGTGCTTCTCGCGGGCGCGCAGCTGGCGCTTGATGCTGAGCGACTCGGGAACGATGAACCCAACAAAAATGATGAAGAAGATATGGCAACCCATAGTGACGTAGAAGACGGAGAGAAGGGTGCCGGTCCAGGCGACGAAGTAGCCCGTCAATAGCGGTCCGAAAGCCAGACCCGTAAACAGGCAGGCGTGGAGGTAGCCGATGCGCACGCCACGCTGGGAGGGCCGGGTACAGTCACTCGTATACGAATTGATGAGCACACTACCGGCCGTGAAAGATCCTGTCAGTCCGTCAGCGACGGCGCCGAGGAGCAACCAGTTGTAGTGAAAAGTCCATGGGAAGTTGGCGCATAGAATGACGGTCAACTCGGCCACGACGCCGCCGCAGGACGCCAGGGCGAGGAGTTTTCTTCGGCCATATCGGTCGGACAGCTGTCCCAACCTGGGCGCGGTGATGGCGGACAAAATTCCGGTGATGAGGTTCATGGCCAGGGTAAACATGGAAACGCGCTTCTTAACCTCCTTAATAAGGCACTGGGGGTTATCGGCGCCAAGGATTACGGGTGTGTAGACGAACGCCGGGTCCAGGACCGTCTGGTCGGCGAAATGGCGCTGGCAAACCAAGTCGACGATTCTGCACCACAATGTTAGCGACCGCGACAGCGGTCGGGCCACGAGTATTACGAGGTTTTGACATACAAATTCAGCTTGGGCACCAAAGAGCCTCCAAAGGCCAGGGTGAAGAGGGCATACGGGACGAGAAGCCAGTAAACCTGGCGCACGCAGGAGAGAGTCAGCACACGTCGGGATCACAGGTGACAGGACGACCCGAGCCGGGCAAGATGTCCCTACAGATGGTGTCTTCCACCACGGCAAGCCCTCGAAGTCGGCGTAGCCAGGCCATGTATCCTTGCAAGAGCTGTCGCCGTCGGGAGCGCCCGCACTCAGCAGCGACGTCGTTTCTGTTGCCTCATTGATGGGCTTGTTGTGAACATCCCGGTCCACGCGAGTAACAACGATGTCATCTTTGGGAGCCGACATGTTGAAGGAAAATATCAAATCTAAAATGCCCGTGGTGATTGCGTTCTCGGATTTAACGGTTGGCGCCGATAGTGTTTTTTTTGTTGCATACAGCTCTGGGGAAGCCTTTTGAGGCTTATAATCAGCCAACGGGAGCCGCGCCGTTTAGATTCGGGTATTTTGCTTAGTTGCGAGGGTCGGATCGTCGGGCGTTGGAGCCATATATCGTGTCTCGGACAGTGAGTTAGAGGCGAATGCGGTAAGCTGGACAAAGTGAGACTGCCACGCTGCCATTCCTGTTGGATCGTGTCTGCTGCGCTCGATTTGAAGTAGCCTTTTCCTAGAGCGAGCGCTTCAGGGATGGAAGGGCGTAGGTGTGCATGGGCGAAGGGAGGAGAAATGCTTCATGCGACGCAACAATAGTGGGAAATGGGAAAAGAAATAGAAACTTGAGCTATGTCGTGTGGAGGGCCACCCGAGGGGGGGGCACTGCTACTACACCCAAGAGATAAGACAGGATGTGGGACGGTGATGGTCGCTGATGAAATCAAGAGCCAAGGGCCGGGGCGAGAGACTCACGCTACACCACGCTACTACCTAAAGGTACAGTAGGTACCTACCTAGTGCAGAGAGAACCAGACCTGCAGGGGGTCCGACTTCGATGGAAGATGTGGAGCAGGGTGGGATGCACGCTTGTGTACGTCTACTCCGTACCTAGTCTAGTGTAGAGCGGAAATGGAATGGGATGGCATGGATTACCTAGTGTAGTTCCCTCCGGACATGGGTCGTATTGTTCGCTTCAGAAAGCGGAAGGTCAGACAGAGCATCGACAGCGCCATCGAATCCTATTGGAGCGGCGTTGGCATGTTGACAACAGTAATGCGCCATCTGTCGTCCGCAACGGCCTAAACACGTTTCGGTTGCGAGGAAAGCAGGGAATGGACGGCGGAGAGCTCGGGCTCGGAAGAATGATAAATACCCAACCTATGAGTAGAGGGCTAGGTATCATCGTCATCATATTTCGGTCATGAATGTGTACACTGACCATCTGCGAAGCCGTTATTGGTGGGAGGGGGGATGCATTCCAGAGGATGGAAGTCAGCAGTGATTTGCTTGCCAACCCCTGCTAAGCCGCGAAAAGAAAGAAGCAGCAGCAGCACCACCACCACCACCACCACCACCACCACCACCACCAAGGACAGATGTCTACCTACCCAAGGCAGGTAGTTATCGCCTTGTTTGGTGACGAAAGAAGGAGACGACAGAAAGCCACGCGGCGTGTTCGTGCCTGTCGGACTCGAGAATGGCCCCGTCGTAGTGGGTGGTGTCGTACCAATCTCGTGGGACTGCAGGCGAACGTGATGCGCTGGCGTATGCCGGGCTTATCCATGACGCACGCAGTCTCGCAGGATGGGCGATAAGGGGGGTCGCCATGTAGTGTACCACGACATCCCAGATCTGCCAGGGGGTGGGCGACAAGGAGCGCGATTACAAAGCTTGAGCCACTTCCGCGCTGGCAGTTCGGACACCGCACGCACTTAACACTATAATGCAAGGTACCGATGCCGAACTCGGTCAACAACTAGTGCCACCTAGGTAGGTATTCGGAACCCAAAAGCAAGCATTGTCTTGTTTAGTCTGTCGCTTCATAATATGCTCCAAGCCCTTACCCTGTCTGACAAGAGGAGAGGAGCACCCCCAACGTAATGACCTGGAGAGGAACATTGCCATCCTGGAGGAACGTTGTCGTTCTCCCTCCCCATCCTTATTGTCGACAAATGGGGCACCATCCGCTCAAAATCCTTGATGTCCAAAACGGCAGCACAGCATCGTTGTGTGACTGTGGCCGGTACTCCGTCGACAAGGTTCTGTGGTCGCCCTGTTTCAGCACCGGCGAGCGGACCGGTCCCGCGGAACCGCCCTCCTGGAAGAACCAAAACCTTGCCCTACTTTTCCTTCCTCGTTCCCGGCCTGGACACAGTCGCCGAGTCTCGTCTCATCGACAGCATTTTCGCGCTCCTGCCCCAACGCCAACCGAGTTACCACCTGCTGCCTACCTGTAGGTTGTAGCTCACAGTAGGTGCGACTGCTACGGGATGAATTGTCCCATCTTCAAGCCGACGGCATATCCCCTGGTGTTCCGCGAGGGTGCGCTGTCGTTGTTTGACACGTCCTCTAATTGTCGGATGGTGTCTTGCGCAATGACACTTTGCTGTTTTGATCGCCTGCTGCCGCCTTCCGCGGTGCCTGATCCGAACGTCGGTCGGGCGCGTCCACCAAGTATGTAGCTTAGTTAGCATGAGTCGGTATCTCCCACACAGACACCACCCAGCAGGAGCGGTCCGAGGCCACGCCGTATTGCAAAGGCAGTGCCCAGAGCTCTTCGCAATGAATGGGCCAGGAATGTAGTTTGGGAGGAAAGGGAAGGGTGATAATCATAGAACCCTTTCCCTCCCTTCGATACGGAGGGCGCGGGATGTGACCCGTGCCTCGGCAACCCCAACATGGAAGTGAGGGGTTGTCGAGCCGAGTTGACTTTGTGTCGATGACTCGATTATTGCGTTTGTTCTTATCAAATCTTCAGTAAGCCTGCGGGCGTCAATCCCGGCCAATGTCGATGCACCCTCCTTCTGTCGTAGCGGTCATAGCTATAACTTTGATCTCTGCTCGTGCTGCTGCTCAACAAGTAGGTAAAAGGGCTAGCCCACATGTTTCCGAAATGACAGTCACGGCTGGACTCCCGAGTTAGTATCAGTGTATCGATTGAGGAAGTGGTGACTTTTGCCAAAAAGGAAAGCCGTTGGGCCAAAACTGAACTCGAACGTACGAGCCAAACCATGGGGCCTATGATTGCCTCTGCCCACCTCACCGAGACCTTTGACCGAGAGCAGTATGTCGGTGTAGTTCGGTGAGCTGCTGCAGAAGGTGACAATGTGGAGCCAATCAACAGCAGTTTTCCATGCTTACTAAGACGCGTTAATCCTCAGCCTTGTGCACCTAAATCCCTGACATTGGTCTCGCATCACAATTTCCTCCGCCCAACGCCCTCGCGACGAGGATTTCTGACGACCACATCCACGACACCTGCCCCGACTTCATCAGCCAGCTTCTCTACAATGGGTGTCGTCAAAGGAGGAGTCTGGACCAACATTGAGGATGAAATCCTCAAGGCTTCCGTCTCCAAGTACGGCCTGAACCAGTGGGCGCGTGTCTCATCGCTGCTCGCGCGCAAGACCCCGAAGCAGTGCAAGGCAAGATGGAATGAGTGGCTGGACCCGAGTATCAAAAAGACCGAATGGAGCAAGGAGGAAGATGAAAAGCTTCTTCACCTCGCCAAGCTTATGCCCACCCAGTGGCGCACTATTGCACCTGCCGTCGGACGAACCGCCAACCAATGTCTCGAACGATACCAAAAGCTCCTGGACGAGGCCGAAGCTAGAGAGGCTGGCCAGTTCGGCCTCACTGGAATCGAAGGTGGCGAGGCTTCGGCACCAAGCGCCGACGACGTAAGAAGATTACGCCCCGGCGAAGTCGACCCGGATCCAGAGAGCAAGCCTGCGCGCCCCGACACGATCGATCTCGACGAAGATGAAAAGGAAATGCTGAGCGAAGCGAGAGCGCGTCTTGCCAATACACAGGGAAAGAAGGCAAAGAGAAAGGCTAGAGAACGTCAACAAGAGGAGTCGCGCCGTTTGGCCGCCCTCCAGAAGCGGCGTGAGCTCAAGACGGCAGGCATCAACATCAAAGTCGTCACGCGCAAGAAGGGCCAAATGGACTACAATGCCGACATACCTTTCGAGAAGAAGGCTGCTCCGGGCTTCTACGACACCGGAGAGGAACAGGTTCGCAACGAGCACCAGCGCCAGGCTTTCGACCCAAGAAAACAACAACTTGCGAGCAAGCGCAAGGGCGATGGCGACGATGATGGCGAGAGCAAGAGAAGAAAGAAGGAGAAGGACGCGCCCTCGGCTTCGTTCCAAGCCGCCGTAAAGGCTGGCCAGATGCAGAAGATCCGGGAGGCCGAGCAGAGCAGCAAGCGGAGAGCACTGAACCTTCCGGCTCCTCAGGTGAGCGAGGGCGAATTGGAAGAAATTGTCAAGATGGGCATGATGGGTGAGAGGGCGAGCATGATGGCGCGCGAATCCGAAAATGACGCGACTCGGGGACTGGTCAGCGAGTACTCGACCCTGAACAACAATGCACCCATCCGAACACCCCGAGCCCCGGCGCAAGAAGATCACATTGCCAATGAAATCCGCAACATTAGAGCCTTGACTAACACTCAGTCCTCGCTGCTGGGCGGAGAGAACACCCCTCTTCACGAAGGATCCGAATCCACAGGATTTGACGGTGTTGCGCCTCGCAAGCAAGTCGTCGCAACACCAAACCCCCTGGCGACTCCAATGCGTGCCAACGGCGTCGGCCAAACTCCCGCGCGAGCTGGACAGACTCCGATGAGGACGCCCCGAGACAGTTTTTCATTGAACGCCGACGGTAGCCAGGCCCTTGTCTCAGCAACACCCCAAGACATTAAAACGCGAGAGTTGGCGTTGCGCAGCCAGCTGAAGCAAGGCCTGGCGTCTTTGCCCAAGCCCAAGGACAGTGAGTGGGAGCTCGAGCTTCCTGAAGACCAAAGAGAGGCCGCTGCCGGCGAGGACATGCTTATTGAAGACGCTGGTGAAAGGGATCGCCGGGAACAGGAGTTTAGGGCGGCGCAGGAGGCTTTGGAGGCTCGGAGACGGACACAAGTCATGCAAAGACAATTGCCTCGACCAGTCAAAGTCGACGTGTCTGCCCTGCTGTCAACTGCAGAGACAATTCAGGATACCGCCCAACTTCTTATTGCTAGAGAAGCTGCCGCCCTGGTCGCCAACGATGCGATCAAGTACCCCTTGCCCGGCTCAAAGGTCAGTGGGGTCCCTCCTCGCTTGGACACCATCGCCGACGATGAGCTTGCCGAGGCGCGTCTTCAGATTTTGTCAGAGACAAGGCCGAAGCCCTCTTTTGCTGAGATTCAGGCGTCCTTTGAGGGCCGTGGCAAGGATTCTCTGCTCCTCGGTTTGGGATGTTATGGTGATGACGAAGAGGAGGAGGAGGCAGCCATGAAAGAAGCCTTCGACGTATGTGTTTCACCCCCCCTCGACTTTTCGCATTTTAGTTACTAACATCATCACAGTCTATGCAGGACTTAATCGCCACCACCGCAGAGGAAGGCATCAAGCTTGAGAAGACCTTGGGCGTGTATTTGGGTGGATATCAGAAGCGACAGAAGATGTTAAAAGACAAGATTGGCGAGGCCGCCGAGGCGCTTGAGAAGGCGAACAACGCTCTTAGCGGTTTCAAGACGCTTGCTATCTCGGAAGAGGTTGCGATACAACGACGCCTGGGCGCATTGAGAGACGAAGTCGGATACGTCAGTAGAAGGGAACGTGAGGCGCAAGAACTGTATCGCAAGACGAGGGATGAGCTGGACGCCCTGCGAGCTAACAGCGTCAACGGGCGCGACTGAAAATTTGTATTACTATGGGACGATGAAAGGTAGGAAGGGGCTACGGCCTGGACCAGGCAAATTGAAAGCTGTATGATGTGCTTCCAGAACGCTCTGCTAGATGCTATATACCACCACAAGGAACGATTGGGTTTTTCGCGTTATTGTCAACGGTACTCGATGCCGCACCCGCCCCTCTACTTCCTAGTGCCAAGTCTGGGCAACTTGATGGGAACCAGCAGGCAGACCGACAGGAACGCTATCACTGTGCAGCACAAGAACGTCGTCCGCAGCGCCGCCTCGTAGCTCATAACGACCTGCTCGCGGTACAGCTCGGGCAGCTTCACGATGGACTCGACACTCTCCCTTACCTTGCGGATCACCTCGTCCTTCTCGGGCCCCTGGACGTACTTGTCGAGGTACCCCAACAGGGCGTTCTGCACGACGAGACTGCTGCTGGCGACACCGAGCACCATGCCAAGCGAGCGCCAGAGGATGAGGGTGCTCGTGACGACGGCCTGCTCCCGCTGCTCGCTCGCCGCCAGGACGGCCATGAAGGAGCCCGGGAATTGGAAGCCCTGGCCGATGGAGGAGGGCACGAGACAGAAAAGGTAAACCCACGAAGGCCAGCCGCGGCGCAGGAGGGCGAGGATGAGGGTGCCAACGAAGAGGCAGACGGCACCGGAGACCGGGGGCCACTTGAGGCGGCGGGTATAAGTTATGAGGAAGCCCGTTGCGGCGCCGACGCAGGAGGAGACGAGCGACGGGAGGACGAGGCGCAGGCCGGAAGCGGTTGCCGTCGTGAGGAGGACGGCCTGGAAGAAGAGGGGGCTGACGCGTGTTAGAACATGGTTGGGGGGAGCCGGCTGCGGAACCTACATGTTGAAGAGGATGGCGTTACTCAGGAGAGCCGCGAAGAAATTGGAGAAGATAATATTCATGCGCGGCGAGCGGCGGACTAGATAGAGAGGCATGATCGGGCGGCTGACGTAGGACTCGACGTAGAGGAACACAGGGAAGCAGATGCTGAAGATGACGAGCGAGGCGACCACGAGGGGGTGGGACCCTGTTACATAGTTAGCTACCGATCCTGGGGGTCAATACGGACCGCGCCATGGGTTCACTTACACGGCAGGATGTTTCCTCCCAAGTTCTATATCGAGGCAGAATACGTTAGGTCTCGGGGAGGGCCGCTGCTCAGCGAGGAAAAGAAGACTTACAAGGCCGAGAACGAAAAAGGTGATGGACGTTGTCAGGAGGATCGAGCCTTTGAAGTCGAAGGCTCTGAGGGCCTCGACAAAGGTCTCCCGCTTCCCCGCGAGCCCCAGGTCGCTGGGGACGGCGATGACGGCGATGAAGCAGCAGATGATCAGGGGGGGCACCTGGATGCCGAACTCCCAGCGCCAGCCGAGGTGGTCGGCCATGGCGCCGCCCAGAGCCGCCCCGAGGGCGGAGCCGACACCGTAGATCATGTTAACGTAGGACTGGTACGCGCCGCGGTTTCTACCTCGCGGTCAGCCTCGATTTGATGCAGCTGTCGCGTAAAAGAATTTTGCGACAAGAGGCGCTCCTGTCTCATTCGACATGCAAAGCGACGAGAACGAGGGACAAACTCACTCGATGGGAACCAGGTCACTAATGATGATGCTCCCCAGCGTCATCATGCCGCCCGCGCCGAGGCCGCACAGTGCCCTGGCGAGGATGAAGCTCGTCATACTCTGCGCGAGGGCGCACCACATGGTGGCGGCGGCGAAGATGACCATGGTGGCGACGTAGGGCGGCTTGCGGCCGATGCTGTCGGAAAGGCGGCCCAGCAGCGGTTGAAAGGCGGACGAGGTGAGCAGGAAGGCGGTGGACAGCCACGAGGCGCTATTGGAGGCGTGGAAGTAGGAGGTGATGACGGGATGCGAGGAGGCCATGATGGTACCGTCGAAGCAGGCGATGAAGTAGGTCAGCAGGATCTCGGCGAAGATGAACCAAAAGCGCGAGGGGGTGATGCCGTTCAGGTAGGGGGTGGACGCGGTGGTGCTGCTGCCACTTATAGAGACGGCGCCCGAGTCCCGGTCGGAGTCGGAGTCAACGCCGGCGCCGGCGCCGGCCTCGCGGTCGGTGCGGCTGGCGAGGGAGGACCGGCGGGTCTTGGAGGAGGTGCTGTAGCGGCGCGGACCCCGGAGGAGGGGGTTCACGGTCGACTCTGGCTCCAAGAAGGGGCCGGAGGTGGGGAGGGACCGCGAGAGGAGGAAGTCAAACTCATTGGGCGAGATGGCGTCTTCGTCCTGCGGGGTGATGGGGAGTGGAGTCGAAGGTTCATCGACCTGGAGGAGAGGCGTGCGCTCGTCCCCCCGGGCACGCTGGCCGTCGGCTGATGGCGACGGCTTGGACCTTGCCCACGGCACCATTATTGGATGAGGATTGCGCAGAAAAGGGAGGTCTTCGGCTCGGGGTAGGAGAGGGTGGTGCTCGCGGATAAGTCGCCGTGATCTCTGGGGTGTTTGTCGTAATCGAAGAAAGAGTTTATGTAGAAGGAGTCAAATGCAAAACTTTTGTCGACCAGGTGAGACTTGCTTCAGTTGAATAGAAAGCGGCTAAGAGCGAGACGGGACGAAGTTCAACGACAAGTCCCGAGGCGCCCTCCTGATTCTCCCACACACGCGGCTTTTTGGCTAATCAAGAAGAAATAGAGCTCAATGACATGGGGGATATGTACAGAATGTACTATCATGAGTAAAGGGCTGGGTGATGATGGAGGAAGTTGAGAAGAAAAAAGGAAAAGGGAGGAGTCGGCATGCATGCAGGAAACGGGACTTCGCCTTTGTTTCGCGAAGACCCTGGCCAGAAGGGAGGGGGGAACCTAAAGGGTTTTCGGTGGCTTCCCTTTCCCATAGGACCCTTTCAGCATGCAGAGGATAGATAGGTTAGTAAGTCCATGGTCCACCTCGGGCCATGGATGGCACCGTCCACCGCTTGTTCCGGCGGTCACATTCCCGTCATTTTGCGTGCTGGCAAGTCAGTTTCCCCCGGGCTCGTGACTCTGGCCAACCCCGAACATCAGCGCCGTCGTCTCTCGTCCTGCCGCCATGCGTGTTACTATTGTTCTCTAGGCTCGCTTGCAAACGGTTTTACTCCTGGCCACGGGAGATAACGAAGAGGAGAAAAGTCTGGAAAAAAGCCAATCACGCAATAGCGGGCGGGTATGCGTAAGACGGTGGAAAGCGTACCTCGTTAGACTGGGCGCTAGAAGGGGGGCGTTGAATTGGAGCCATTCTCGCGCTCGGCTCGAGTCCGCTGAAGAAAAGAGCGAAACACAACCAACCCCCCCCCCAGCTCCGTTCCCGCAGGGTGGTGAATCTGTGCATATGGGACGGACCTCCGATCCCGGGCGGGGGTCCCGGATGCCGCTACGTTGCACCAAGATTTGTTCTGTTGGAAGCTACCTAGCTTTCCATCATTGACCAATTGCATCCTACGCGAAACTGGGAATGCAACCAATGACAGTTTCTTATTGGAGAGATTCCAGGACATCATACACAGATATTCAGATACATCATATCCTTCATAACGTCAGGGCTTTCTGTGATAACAAATCCATTAAACCACCGAGATTGCGTTGCACAGGTGCGGCCAACCGTTGAATCCCGGGACTACGCATCTTGCAGGACTCGTTTCCCAGCATCGGTTCATGCGTCGCACGACATGTCAGCCGAGACGCCGAGATCGATTTCTCACATATCGCCCCTGTGCGACCAAGCCGGACCATTCCCGAGGAGTCGAATCCCTCTGATGGATTCCCAGAGCATGAACGGGCCGAAACGAGGCGGTACCGAGGTGAAGGCGAGACGAGACCGTCTCTCGGGAAGACTGACTGAGACTTTCCAAAACACGGCTCATCATGTCCGTATCCGCACTTCCTTCGGCTCCAATGAGTCATTGTAGCCGAAGTCGGTGCGAAGCCGAAGCCGAACATGTCGCACGGAGCCAAGACCTCGCATCCTGGAATATTTTGCCTCCCGCCGGAAAGGACATCACAAATTCACACGTTGTTACCCATGGATTCGGTTCGGGCCGGATCATACTCCTTGTCATGATACGGCCAGGTTCACATTACCTCGTCTGCGCAAAGCAACGTCGATGGCGAGATATAGCTAATTAATCAGAAGACCGCATCATCGCGGCTGGCTCCCTCGGACTCAAACGAAAGACTGCTACGAAAGGAAATAAATGTCTACCTGCAGAAGTGCCGTGTGGGCACAGCGCCTGTTAGAGCATTTTCCCTGGCCTAGCAACTCAGGCTGAGCTGAATTGACATCTCGATGATAGGCCAACGTTTAAAGTGCACCAAAGAATCAAGATCCCCGTTCTCGCCAAGGGTTATTGACTGTGAAGGCGCCGGTACAACACATGTCTGCAACTGGTTAGTCATCATCATCGCTGTCTCCGGAAAGGTTTATAACGTAAAGCATTTTGCAGGTGTCTTGTGCATATAGCATTCACAGTGGCTCGTTTCGTTCGCCAGATCCATCTCATCCATTCTGGGCTTGTGCACACACCTTTCATCTTGGCAGGGGCCACCAGAAAAGTGAGCTGGTCAGCCAAGCGAAGACCGGAGAGCAAGGTGAGGAGAAACGGGACCCTCCGTGCATCTTCAAAGTGCACAGGGCTCTCAGGGTCATCAGAAGTCGTAACCTTTGATGCTTCCACTGCACATCTCGATAACCATTGCCCCTGCATCTATGTACTGTCCGAGCTCAACCATACGCCAGGCGCTCTTCCATGGCTGACGGGTTCTGCAGCACCCGGAGGCGACACCTGCTCAGCCGTGATCACTGGGCTATACGGTGTTCAGTCCAGACGTCACGAGCTCGGACTATTCTGTCTACAAAACCTAAAGCGACCTACTCCTTCGTCGGTTATCGGCCCCTACTAGAGTGTCTAGAAGTCACGGTGATCCGCGTCAGAATCAAGAATTCTCGCAACTCCTCCATCAGTTGGACATAATGGGAGATTAGCATTGTTGGAGGGGAGAATTGTCTTGGCACTTTACCATGTACCTTGATATATTTCGCTTCCAGTGAAGGACATGCATGAGTGGTCCGTGGTCATAGTCTAGATGTATTGCATCCTTCTCATATCTGCATTAGTTGCATCTTCTTTTCAAAGTACAGTACTACCCGCAGCAGAAATGCCAGTCCTATCTATCCTGCAGCAAAAACGACTCATTCAACGCTCGGTCTTGCGACCTGGGCCCCACTACATTGCAGTATATTCTCACTAATTCCACGTTTCACTAGACACAGAGTGAGCGTCAGACCTCCTCTGAACCCAAGACTGTGACTGTCTGCCTCAAAACCCGCCCTACTACCCACCAGATAGTCTGCAGGGCCCCCGACCCCTTCTTCCGGTTCCCGTCTTTTCCAAATCTGCCCCAGGTTCTCAGTCTCTTGGTCTAACTGGCCTCCCGTGAACTTCGCCATGAGGGCACAAAACACCATAATCAATGTCCTGGGGATTGTGGCTTCTACGCCAAGCTTTATCGTTGCCACCCCCCTTCCTTGGACCGTCGGCCAGTCAGTTCAAACCACTAGCGGACTCATTCAGGGGCACGCTGCAACCGGCGCTGTTCAAGTTAGTATCTGGCTACCTGCGAACCGAATCTTCACTAACATGAATATCATCAGGTATCAGAATACTTGGGCATTCCTTATGCTCAACCGCCCATAGGTGCGCTGCGCTTCCAGCCTCCCGTGAAGTTCACTGGATCCTCAACCATCAACGGCTCCTCTTTTGTAAGTCAGACTTTATCTACTTTTGGGGCCCAGCGTGGAAGTTCTTGCCTTCATCAAGTAGAGAAAACACGCAATGCAAATGCTAATAGCGTCTGAACCAGGGACACCAATGCATGCAGCCGACCATTAACGCCAGCAATATTACGGTCCCCAAGGGTTTTGCAAACCTCGGGGTCCCCAATTCTGCCGCATCAGTACTCTCGGTGCTTGCCGACACTGGCTCACAGAGCGAGGACTGTCTGACATTGAATGTCTGGACTAAGCCTCAGGAGGGTGAATCCAAGAAGGCCGTACTAGTATGGATTCACGGTGGCGCATTTACAACAGGTAGGCATGCCATTATCTGGACTCCATATAAGCCATCGTAGACTGACCAAGTTTACAGGCAGTTCTCGCGTCCCAGCAAACAACGGAAAGTTCATGGCGGACCAGAATGATGTTGTTCTGGTGTCTATGAAGTAGGTCTCCATGTACGACGAAGAAGGTAAATCGACACTGCTGACGTGGGTTAACTAGCTATCGTCTCAACATCTTTGGATTCCCCGGCAACCCCAACTCTGCCCCGAACCTTGGACTTCTTGATTTTCGTATGGGTGTGCAATGGGTTCGTGACAACATCGAGAATTTCGGCGGCGACGTCAACAGAATCACCCTCTTTGGCCAGTCTGCTGGAGGCTCCTTGGTCGACTACTACTCGTACGCGTTCGCTTCTGACCCTATTGCCAATGGGTTCATAGCCATGAGTGGGACTGCCAACGGATTCGGCATCTTTACCAATCAAACCGTCAACGCGAAGTGGTTCAACATTACTTCTGCAGTTGGCTGTGGCAATTGCCAGACCGATCCCACGGCTGTCAACAACTGCATGCTCTCCAAGACCCCGGCAGAAATCCTCAATGGTGTAGCCGCGAGCGGTACTGGCACCCCAGGTGGAACCTTCTTTGCACCGGTCGTGGACGATACCCTCGTTTTCGCTGACTACAGCATGCGAACTTCTGCAAATGGAGGATACATCGTCGGCAACGATGACAACGAGGCTGGCCTATTTAAGCTTGGTGCTCCGGAACTCGACGATGCGTTTTGGACCGGGTTCAACCTTATTGGCTTCGAATGTCCTGCAGCGAGGAGGGCGACACGAGCGGCTGCCGCCGGCCTCCCAACGTGGCGTTACCGTTACTTTGGTAACTTTTCCAATTTGATCATCACCACCTCACCGCAAAGTGGCGCATGGCACACCTCGGAGGTCAGTAACGATTCTCATCTTTGTTTCGTTTATTTCAAAAACGAATGTCGAGACCTAGCATTCTAATGTCTGTTAGCTTCCTGTCTTATTCGATACGTCGCCACAGTCGCCGATCGTCAGCACGCCGCAGCAAATAGAGGTTGGGAGATACCTCCGTGGTGCCTGGGCTGCTTTCGCCAAGAACCCAACCTCCGGTCTCCTTCAGTTCAACGGCAACCAAAGCTGGCCTAACTATCAAGTTGATGGCAGCAACGTCAACCGCATTGGATTTCAGGACCAGACAGCCACAGACCTAGCCCCAGGGTTAGCCTTTGACGCATCGTGTGTCTTGGTGGGCATTCCGGTGCTACCTTAAGCGCCGTTCTCTTATATTTCATTTCTTATACAAAAACACACTGGATCACTCGTCTCACTTTCTTGATTCCCTGTCACAATAGTAACAAAGCCCATAAGTAGACGAGCTATATGAGTAAACTTTCACTTTTTTACGCGAACAAACCAATGTTTACATTCCGTGCTCTTATCCTCTCACCGCACAATAATTGCTCAACTCACACAGCTAACATAACCGGATATCAGCAAAGAGACCTATTACGATATATTCTCAATATTTGTCTGCCACCAGGCAGATTGGCTCTTTGAAAAAGTCTGAAGCTTTCGTCAGCCTCTCGGGGATTAGTCAGATACATGCACCTAGTCAGAGCCAGCCATGAGCATTGTTGGTGATAGGTTCTTTAAACGAATTCGTGATGCGGTACCAGAGTAAAATTGAAAGTTTATATGGCCTAAATGCAGACACAGCGATGTATCTCTGCAGTAAATTGTTTAGAGATTAAAGCAAGGTAGTTGTCTCTTGCTTGACGAGTCGCCGTGTCCAAGGGTGGAAGCCTCACCATTCATGGTTGAGCTCTGTAGAGAGAAAATAAAAGAATAAGAAAGTAGCAGAGAAATTAGAGAATTACAAGGTGCAACATCAGATGGTGTTTCCGGAGCGCTGAAGTTGCACGACGACTGCCAAAAGATGGGCACGAAGATCATAAGTACAGAAATCTACTGCCCATGAGTGAGGTACAGTTATCGCTGGACTTGTGGAGACAACCGGCAGAGAGAGTCGACGTCACTTGCTTAGTCATCGTATCGAAGACCGGTGAGCCGGCCTCAACCGACGCCAAGTTTTACCCATCTAATAAACCTTACTCAAGACAGCTTCACCTGTGGGGGACGATGAGCAGCAACAAACAATGACGCGACGTCGTGATGACGACACTGCAGATTACGATCCGTACACCGGCGTACTTCCCGTTCTTCCGCCTGGAACAGAGTTTCCGGACAAGAACCCGCGCAGCAACGCCGCAACAGCTGCCTCTGCCGCCGGAGTGCGTGCCTTGAGCGCCCAGGCCATCGCATTCTACTTCCGAGCCCCGGTAAAAGCATTCTTCCGGACCCGTGTCGACTACCTCGCCTACGCACGCAGTGTGCATCAGGCCCAGATCGACGCACTCGCACAGGCTGCTGCAAGAGAGCCATCGTCTAGGTTGCGGGCGACTCTCCACCAGGCATGGTTCTATCTGCGGGGCACTACCCCCGGCGTGCTCACCTCCGCCGTGAAGCAACATGGATGGAGCGTTCTGCCTAACCAAGTTCTTCCGCCGCTTATTGCAAATGTGGGTGTTGGTGCTGTACTGTACACCAGCTACCTCACAATCCTCGGCAACTTGCATGAGGAAAGTGGAAAGTCGAGAAAGACCGTCTACCCACCGCCACATCCGACGCAGACCTTCACCGCCGGGCTCCTCGCTGGAAGTCTTCAAAGTTTCATTGCAGCACCCTTGGACGCAATTCAAGCCAGATATGACCATCGTGATCTTATTACTGCCGAGGGTGGGAAACCGAGAAGCATGTGGGCTTTCAGCGCCGAGAAACTACGAGAGATAGGCATGCGCGGCATATTTGCTGGCTGGGGCCTGTCCCTTATGAAGGATAGTTTTGGTGCCGCGATATTCTTCAGTGTCTTCGAGTATGTGAAGGCTCAAGGATACCACCGCTTCGTCTCCTGGTATTACGGTGGACTGGAAGAGCATATCGTCGACTTTTTAGCCAGGAAGCGACCGCCCAAGAAAGACACATCCGACGAGGACGATAAGCAGCCACTGATCATCCGGCCTCACTATGCCATCGAGCCGTTGTTTCTGCTGCTCGGTGGTCTTAGCGCTTCGTTTGCCCAGCAGATTGTACTCCATCCGTTGACACACGTGCAAGTTGAACACTGGGATCGCCTAGAAGAATTAGACGCCAAGGCGGCTAAGCTAAGAGAATTCCGTGGGGCGAACCCGGGCCAGCGACGAGATGAATGGAGGATGTTTAGGGCCTACTACCGAGCATACAAGGAGACGTGGTCGGAATGTTGTGCTGAGGCTGCAAAGGAAGGACTGAGTGTGAGGAAATGGCTTTGGCGTGGCTTCTGGTGGAACACGATCCGCCAGGTTCCCAGTACAAGTGCTGGATTGATCATTTTTGAATTGGTTCGACGCAAGTATGGCCTGGGCAGCGAAGAGGTTCGTATTGAAGGAGATGGGTATGATATCCTGCTTAACTAGAGCATTTGGCGGGCGTGCGGGTGTTTCTAGATGGGCTTGAAGTGCTCGACCCCATTTAGCATTACAGCATCAACAAATAAACCTTCGTCCCTTCCAGTGGCTGAGCTGAGCTGTGCTGTCTGCCGTAGCGGGTTGGCTTGTGGCTTGACCCGCATATGCCTTATGCATGGCCGTGCCACCTTTCTGACATGGTTTTCCCAGTGATGACGTTGCACCCCTCCCAAGTTCATAGATAATGAAACAATCCCTCCTTCCTCTACTCTACAGGAATCATCTCGTCTAATTCAAGAGAACAAAGCACAAGTCTCAAAAATGACCAACATACCAGAATCAGACAGCGTTGTGCGTGTTAAACTTATTGACACAACGACCGCGATGGTCGGCACGGCCGAGTCGTTTGTGCAGCCGGTAATGCCAGGCCACGAAGTCATAAACTTCTGCTCCTTAGCTTTCCTTGTCGAAAACGAGAAACTCGGCAAGAAAGCCATGTTTGATCTCGGTGTCCGCAAAGACTATTGGAATCTGCCGAAAGCCGCTCAGCAAGGGGTCTTGGGTCCCGAAAGCGTCATCTTCGGGATCAGGGTCGAAAAGGGAATCGACGAGATCTTGCAAGATGGAGGCGTTGAGCCCGAGAGTATCGGTAAGAGCTCATGAGATAATAGCAACACTTCTTACTTACAAATATTGGAGATTTCTGCATCTGGTCTCATGCACATTTTGACCACAGAGGAGATGTTTCCGTTTTCCCAAAGTCGACAACCTTAGTCACAGGCCCGGGATACTTCTCGTCGAAGGGACGACCGGGGGGGCCAGACGACCCTCAGGCAGTCTCTGAGTTCGAAGGCCGGTTACTGAGAGAGGCAGATTTTGGCGGCGGGCTCATGGTGGGCAAGTTCAAAGCACAAGACTTTTTTGGCGACGGTTCTCTCTACCTCCTCGAAGCCCCTGGGCACCAACCAGAACACATCTGCGCCCTTGCGAGAACCAAACCCTCATCGGCTTCCGGCGGAGCAACTTTTGTGTTCCTCGGCGGCGATATCTGCCACTTCACAGGTGTCTTTCGCCCAACCAAAGACACTCCGTTTCCAGAAGGTATCCCGGCTTCGGCTATTACGAGACGCTTGGACTGGTCCTCAAAGGCAGCTTGTCCTTGCTCGCACTTTACGCCACATCATCCAAACGCGGAAGACGGGAACTCAGCTCGTACTACGCCGTGGTACCAGCTCCCCCGCCACGCAAAGCATCCAGTCTACACGGACCTCAGTCTGGCGATAGATTCGGTGTCAAAGATGAGGGAATTAGATGTCAAGGACAACGTCATGGTTTGCATTGCTCACGATGCAAGTCTGCTAGATGTTCTCCCCGTCTTCAACAAGCAGCCCAATGAAGACATCAATGAGTGGAAAGCCGAGGGTTGGAAGTCAACTACGTACTGGAGTTGGCTCAACGAGGTTTCCGTAGAGGGTAAGACGCCTCGACCACCTGTTGTAGAAGGGTTCTGGAGAGATGGCAAGAAGTGGGACTACGCTGCTTATCTGGAAAGCCTCAACTGAGCGCACGATATCTAGGTGGTTACTACACGCGATCCTTGGTACATTCTAAGCGCGAGAATATGGCCGAAGCTTGGAAAACAAGGGCAGAGATAGGTAGCATATTGGGTTAAGCATAACCAAGGATACTGATTCGGCACAGTGGGATGTGGCGTCATGAATCAAATTGCTCGCGTTGAGCGTATCAGTAGCTTCCTATGTAGTATCGTGTATAAAGCGGCATTAATCAGCAATTCTTTACACGGACGGAATGATTTCTTGTCGTGCGTTAGCTTAAGTGGACAGAGTGAGGATATAGAGCCTTCACCAGCAATTTACTATTGTAAATAAACCCTCATACTATTCTGATCGTAAGCCTTTTCGTTTACCATGTACCATCCGTCCCTCAAGATAACTAAGCACTCCATAAAAGTGGAATGTTGTGTCTCTGCATCGTCCAATCGAGGTTCTCGGGATTTCGCCGAATATAGTAGTGAACAGACCAGTAATTATTGTTCAGTGATCATCCGCTCATCGGATCAAAGCATCAAAATTCCATCGCCGTCTGCTTGGTTACCCTTCTCGCCCTGTCTAACGTTTTTGACCTCAACGATGCGATCATCGCCGTTCTTTCCATCGCCCGCCATTGAGGTTATCACACCACTGCTCGTCTCCTCATCTGCAGAGCCTGTGACTTTACGTTTGTCCATCTTCAAGTAATAGTACATGATCCAGGTGAACACGATCAACGCAATCGCACATCCGAGACAAAATGAAAAGCCTTTCCTATACCTTGGAGCCTCCACTGTGGGAAATGTAAGCAAAGGTGTCCAGGCAGTGGAGCTTTGCGATAGCAGATTAATGAGCACGAGAGTGAAACTGCGCTCCTCAGGACTGTCCCGCAGCAAGTTATTGACCCAGCCGTGAAAGACGGAAGACAGAGCATTTGACCAGTACATGGTGGCAAATCCGAACCATAGCCCACCTTCAGGGACCGTCCATATGGTCAGGAAGATGAGACCCATTGCATTAAGAGCCGAGCAAATCGTAATTGCCCACGCTGGGCCGAGAAACATATCCGAGGCGAAACAAGCAATCAGTGTGTACGCTATTCCTAGCGCAGGCGCAATGGTTCCCATTTCGTTAATCTTCGCCGCGCTGTACCGACCAAGACTTTTAATCCAGAGCAGGTAAGAACCGGTGGTCTTATGAATACCTGCGTTCCAGAATAGGACGTCGGTCGTAATGACGAGCCAGAATCTGAAACCGAGAAGGGTTCGGGTGATGTGGCCGAATTTCATCTTTCCGTGTACTACATGGCCGTGCTTTTCTAGGCGTTCGCGAGCGATTACAACGTCTTTCTCGTTGACGCACCATTTGTTGGGTTGGTCGACGGTGCCAGGGATGACAAAGAAACCGAGGGTGCCGACGGGGATTGTGATCAAGGCACAGATTACGTACATCCAGCGCCAGCCTTCCATGCCTGTAAAATGGAATCAGTTAGACAGGGTTCGTTCTAACTGACAATATGATGCACCAACCACGAACACCCTCTAGTGAGCTAGATGCTCCGGCTTGGATGAGACCGGCGGTTAGAGTACCAGCGCCCAGACCAGTGTAGAAGATACCTCCACGTCGAGCAATCTCGTGGCCTCGATACCAGGAGCCTAACGGCTCGTTAGCGATGAGTTGTCATAAAGTGATAGAGTCAGTGTACCAAAGACGTAATGCATCGCTGGGAAAAACGCAGCTTCAAACCAGCCGACCATGAATCTGTAAGCAGCCAACTCGGCATAGGAGTTGACACGGTATTGGAGCAGCGTGAATATACCCCACATAACGTCGCAGATCGGAATGAGGTACTGGATGGGGACATATGTCATGATGAAACTTGATCTTTAGTTAGTAAAGGTCTGGTAAGATTGCGAGCTTGGGTCCTACAGGAAGGGAATCTGGCCTAGCACCGATCCTAGGGTGAACAAGGTCTGGAGCTGGACGAGTTCGTTCCCGTAGAAGCGAAGGTCTTCCTTCAATCCCGCAACGTATGCATTGTTCAGGTTTGATTGATCAATATACTTGACCCAATACCCTTGATGGATAGTGCATCAGTTGGAGGACTCGGGCTTTTGTCACGCCGAAACATACCGAGGACCGAGTAAGGTACCAAGAGGAGATCAATCTTTGTGATCAAGCGTCTTTCTTCCTTTGTATCTTCAGAAGAGAACCATCTCCATTGCCACCATTTGTCTCCTGGTACAGACTCTTTAGAAGAAGAGGCCATGTTTGCAAGTGACTAATAAGTTGTTCTGCAGTTACAACCTGACAATCACAAACGAGGTGCAAGACAGTCAGTTTTATACAGCACGTGTATGACTGGTGTTTGTGCCGCGCACACAGCTTTCATCTATCCTAGAACCCAATAGGAAGGTTGCCCGCCATTGCGCCATTTCTACAAGAGTACAGCAAGATAGCAAGTAAGAGGAGACTTCGCAACGAGTCTCGGCAGATGGCCGACTGTTTAAAATGTGTGCTCGAGGAACTCGAGATCATCGAGGTCGGATGGAAAAGGGGGACTGCGGCGGGGGTTGGCAGATACGATATCGGTCGCACAAGACTAAAAGCCAAATACCGAAGGTAGATGACTTGTCCTGATTGCTGTTTGGGGTTCTCAACGGCATGGCCAAGCGATGTTGTGCTGAGCCCCCCACAATGGTGATAGACAGCCTTGCTTTCACGTCTTCGGATCCTTGTGTCTTATTAACCAATCCAAGTGTGTTCCGATCCGGGCAAGCCTTGCCGTAACATAATTTGGCGTGGTAAGCAGTAAATGACGGGACTAGGAAAGAGTAAGGTCGGGTCTCATCTCTCCAATCACTGACGATGCGGGACGCATCCGATTATCTTAGTTCTGCACTGCTCAGCGAAGGACTGACGTATACAGGTGGCACAGTCACGACTTCGGTCGCGTTCATCTTGCCGCCCCTGAAAGCATACGTGAAGGTCCATCCAGATCCCGCACCTCCATGTTCCCCCTTGTTGTTGACAACCACAACGCCACTCGACACTGCCGGGTATTTCTTCACCATGCGCACCACAGCGTCCCTCGCAGCCTCTTGCGGGCTCATACCTCGTCTCATACTCTCCACAGCTTGGTAGCAGGGTAGAAACCGCATCATGATGTCGCCATCACCGGTGGCGCCGCAGGCACCGACATCCCCGTCGACATAAGAACCCGACCCGGTAATCGGGCCGTCGCCGACACGCCCAGGGACTTTGAAGGAAGCACCGTTGGTCGAGGTGCCTGCCGCCATAACACCATTTGTGTCCAATGCCATCATTGAGATGGTGTCATGAGATGTCTGGGCGGAATTCGGAGCGATAAGGTCAAAGTAGTCTGGAGATCTCGAGTCAAGCTTGATGTGCGTGTAAGGACCACAGGCTGACTTTGGGTCGGGCGTGACGTTTTGCCTGTAGTTGGACTGGCAGTTGTTGCGCCGCCACTCAGCACACCTCGCAGCCGAAGCCTCTGTCGTAAGGTCCTCCACCGGGAAACCGTTTTCAATGGCGAATTCTGTTGCCAGGTCGCCAGCCAACATGGTGTGCGAGGTGTACTCCAGAACGTGCCGGGCTACGCCAATCGCGTTCTTGACGCGGCGGAGCGCCGCGACGGACCCCGACTTCATTGTCACGCCGTCCATAATCATGGCGTCGAGGGTAGTCTCGCAATGTTCGTCGGGCGAACCGCCGAAGCCAACGCTGCCGTCGCACTGGTTGGCCTCACAGGTTGCGCAGCCGATCTCGACGGCGTCAAGGGCTGAGGCGCCTTTCTTAACCAGAGCCTGATATGCTGCGTCGGTCGCAGCGGTAAACGCGCCTCCCCACGTGTTGATAACCATGGGGAGCCCCGGAGAAGACTGCGCGAGAACGACGTGCCCGGCGAGAAGGGAGAGGAGGAGTGGGGCGAAGCGGGGGACGAGACCCGGCATGGTGGGTAGCGGTTCCGGAGGCGACACCAAAGAGGTTGCTGAAAGAAGGGAGGGAAGGAGGGAGTTAACGCGTTGAGTTGCTTGGCAGCTCGGTGCAAAGAATGAATGACGATGGCGTGAGAGATCAGAGATGGAATTGGTGGATGGGATAACGACGGGAGTCTCTAATTAAGAGCACGGTCGCTCTGCTATCCGCCGCGCCGGTGCTGTTTACCCCGCGCGATAGGCTAACCCCCGATAAACAGGGGCTCAGGGCTTCTGGGGTTTATCAAATAGGTACGACGAAAATGGAGGCTGGGAAGAGATGGTTCATTACATACCACGTTACTTTCGGATTTGCCAAGCCAGCTTGGTCGTGCGTGTTTATCAACCTTCCTGTCTGAGCATTGTGGCAAGGACCCGGATAAGGCCCGAAATCGTGGGATGATTTGGGGGCTCAAACATCCCCCACCCTCCCTCTCTCTCTCTCTCACACACACACACACACAGAGAGAGAGAGAGACACACAGAATGAGTGACAGTGAAACTGGATGGGCTTGTGTAGGAACATATTCTACTCATCTCCATCTCTATATTGGGCTTTTGATTCATCTTTTGAACTCTTTCGCCGACATACTGGTACGCATCGCGCTCAAGCAGTGTAAGTGCAGAAGCTGCTTTCCATCTCTCCAAACTCTCACAAAACCTCGGCGCAGAACTCTTTGACAGCGTCAAGCACACGGCTGATGTGCTCCTCCCCGTGTGTGAGATTCAAGGCCAAGAAGCCCCGGTGGCCGACATAAATCCTCTTCGCGAGGAGGTAAAAGAAAAAGAGATCCAGAAGTTTATTCGCCAACGGTCCGTTGAAATGCACACCAATGACGCTTCCAAACCCGGTGAGTGTGACGATGGACGCATCCTTTGATGCAAAGGCTGCCGCCATATCGCTGCGGAGTTTATTGCCCAGCTCGTTGTTTCTTTCGAGAGCCTCTCTCGACAGCAGCTTCGTCGCAGCGATACCCGCCGTCATTGAAAATACGTTATTGTTCCACGTACCGGAGTGGAAGAGACTTCGCGGCGACTCCGGGTCGTACAGGTCCATGATCTCCTTGCGGCCGCCGAAAGCGCCGAACGAGAAGCCTCCGCCGAAATGTTTCCCAATAGTCGTCATGTCAGGCGTAATGCCGTGATGCTCTTGTAACCCGCCATATTTGAGCCTTGACGTGATGACCTCGTCGAAAATGAGGACGGCGCCGACCCGAGTCGCTTCGTCTCTTAGAAAGTTCAGGAACTCTCTTGACCCCTCGAACATCCCGGCGGCACCTTGCATTGGCTCCACAATGATGACGCCGATATCGTCGGTGATTTTAGGCCGGGTAAACTCAATGTCATTGTACCGACCGTAGATGAATTCATGGGGCAAAATGAGGGGATTCCCATGTGAGAAGGAGAGGGTTCCGCCGTGGTAACCATTCTCACAAACCAGAATCTGGTTAACATTTATGTGTAAGTAAGGGATCTCGTTCGAATCTAGGACGCAAGATATCTCTTTTCTTGTGTCACTTACCTTTCTTCGCCCGTTAAAATGCAAAGCTGTAGCGATCGCCATCGTATTGGCCTCCGTCCCTGAGTTACAAAACCTGATGGCATCGATGCTGGGGAACCTCTCCACGAGCAATGCACCCAGTTCGCCCTCCTTGGGCGTCGGTCCACCCAGCGTGAATCCGGTCTTCGTTACGCTCTCGACAGCAGCGATGATTTCCGGATGCGAATGACCAAACATTCCGGCGCAGTATTCAGATACGAAATCCAGGTACTCGTGGCCGTCCATCGACGTCAGGTGGCAGTCGTGGCCTCCCAAGAAAGCCAGTGGGAAAGGTTGGTAATGAAGAACAGACCTGGTCGTCCCGCCTGGTAATGACCCCGAGGCGCTCTTGTTGACTTGATGCGATTTTTCATTTTCTGCAACATACTTCTTGATGTAATCATTGAGTTGCTGCCCGATTTTAGACGCTGATAGGTCCGTTCCAGCGGGAGGGCAAGGTTTGGCTGTCACCTCCATTTGTTGGTTCTTAGACTTGCAGTTGGTTTCTTAGTAACTTAGTGTTGGTTCAGGGCGATATAAAAACCCGCGAGTGGGACGATTGGCTTTATTCATATGCCTTTCCCGCGGGAAAGCTGTGACCTGTGCCGTTGTAATGCCAGATAAGATGGACCCCGCTCGGGTATGTATGCGGTATCCGGACGGAGTCTTCTGCCACATAACGCTCGGAAAAGCTGACTGGTCGGAAAGCCGAAGCCCCATCATTCGCGCTAGGATAGAGACGTTACTGCTCTCAGGTATTCATAAGTCCTCGGGCAATATTGATTCTAAGCCAATTCGACTTAAAACAATAGTCCGCGATCAGTCGCCGAGGTGAAAGACGTTGATCCCAGGCCGCTGTTCAGTGCGTCAACCTACAACACAATTCAGTGTCGCTTGCATTATCAATGGGAAGTGAAAACTAACCAATGGTATTACACGAATCCCATGAGACCCATACGATGCAGCCATGCAGCTCTTCGTGTAGAAGACAAGGGCTGTGTTGGACAAGTTCAACTTTTGAGGTTGATTAGTACCTACTTGACTTGAGTGCAAAATGCCGTTTTGTCTATTCGTGCAGATAAATCCGGAAGTGCTCTATTGCCAACGAATCGTGTTAGTTTCCCTCGCTTTTCCTTGATTCAAACTGCGACTAGCCACCCATTGCCTTGTCTTCTCTAGCTCTCTCATCAGCTCCCATTCTCTTTGCCCTCCACCCTTGGCCCCAATACCAATGGGCCACCGCCAGAGGGCCGGCTGCAACTGTAACGAGTGCCAGCCCCAAAAAAGTAGCACCAGGTCCATTCGACTCGATCAACTTCTCTACAAGTGCAACGCCGACAGCTCCGAGTCCACATCTGACAAGGTTGTTGATGGCAGTGGCGCTGGCACCCTTTCCTGGGCAAATATCGGTGACGAGGGTCTGGTTCAGAGCAAAAATGGCGTTGCTCGTTGCGGCGATCAAGAATTGTAGTACGAGAGGTAGGGCGATCCAGCCCCGCCGGGAAGTCAAGGAGGAAAAGTTGAGAGACATGCCGTAGCCCGCAGTGGCGGCGACGAAGGCAAGAGAAATCCATGGCAACCGCCGTAGGCGGGCCTGCTCTATTGGGAAGTCGGCAGGTAGGTTGCCCCCCGAAAATTTCTTGGAAGTGTCGCATTTGTAAGATGCTTTGTATGCCTCCTCAACCGAAAGATAGTCTCGCGTCATCGTCTTGCCAGCAATAGCTGAGCCAATTATCGTTCCGAGTCCTTGTAAGAACCTGTCAGCAATGATGCTATCTCCGCCAATTCACGTTCAACATACCGTTAGGTAGAAAGGCAAGACCAATTTCGAGATCGCTGAGGTTGAAACGCTGCTTAAAAAGAACAGTGGTGCTTGACGTGACCATACTCCATACAGTGTACACCACGCCGCCGAAGAGAAGGTTGATTAAAATGTCTCTTTGAATCAGCAGCCGCAGCGGCTCGAAAAAGGTCATTAGTGTAATCTTTTCCCGCTGAATGGGCTCTTCGGGGTCCTCCAAGTAACTAGGCTCTTTCTTCAGATATAAAATTAGCGGCTTATAGACGCCCTCCAGTCGCAGCGATCCGTTTCCGGCAATGGTACGCATAGTCTCGGGAAGAAGGACAACAATAATCAGCGTGACGATGGAAGATATTATCAAAAGGAAGATAAAGATGGATCGGAAACCGAAGTAGTTTGTAAGCAATCCGCCGAGCACGGGTCCGATAGCAATGCCGAAGTTTCTTACTGCAAAGAAAGGTTCGCATTAGCCAACCTGACATCGAATGACGTGAAGCCGGGTATGATACAACTTACTCGCCTGGTATAAGCTGACGAACGCCCCCCTATCTGCTGGGGGGGAGATGTCCTGGATCACGCCATTACCTGTTGGATGCGGTTATAACCAGTTCAAGATGGGGCCACAGTAGTCAACTCACCAATGCTAACAGTCGAGGCGCTTCCAGCTGCTTGCAAGCCTCTAAAAAGCAGCAGGACCGCAAAATTTGGCGAAATGCTGAGGCCAATGTTGGAAAATATGTATACTGCAAAGGATGCCATGTATATGGGCCTTCTTCCTAGAGTATCTGATATCGATCCCCAGATCAAGGGTGAGATACCTTGAATTACAAGATATGAAGTGATGGTCAAGGCTACCATCTCGTGGCTTACTTTCAGGTCCTGGAAGAGTTTGTTTGGCATTGGATCAGATACTCGAAAGGTTGGGTGGGCCTACCTGGGAGATGGTGTCCAGTGCTGGAAAGTAGATGTTGGAGGAAAGCCCCGAGAACAGCCCAGCAGCACCAATGATGAGAATGACAAACCACTTCTGTCTCCTTGAAAAGACATGATAGGGCGATTCTATCTCCAACCGAGCCTCCAAATCCCTACGGTACGAATCATCGAACGGGTTTCGATTTCCGTCGGGAACCTGCGTCGGCAAGCATGGATCGATAGAGGGGCTGCAGAATTCGGCGCCATGGCTATCATCGCCCCGTGATATCGGAGGCAAAGACGGTGTCCTAGCTAGGAACCCCCCTGATGAAGCGGCGCTTCCTGTACTGGGACTACCAAAGTGGGAAATTGTTTGGCTCTTGGAGGAGGCTCGCGTGGGAGATATGTACTCGTTTTCGTAGCCGCCCTGGAACAGTTCTACTTCGCTCGTCAGGAGCCGGAGACTGCCCGACGCTGCCGAAGACAGGGTGCGGCGTAAACTATGTAGTGGTCGAGGCGGCGGCCGGTTGTAAGCGGCCATCTTCATTGGTATTCTTGGGTCCCGTCGGTCCACGGATGCATGGTACTCGGGAGGAATACGTAGGATCTTAGCTGGATATAATAATCATGTAATTATGACCCTGCAACCAACAGCACCGCCGGGAGACTGACTGATTATACCCAACACCACTGATGAAAGACGATTGATCACGCCGAATTCTACTTCCACGCGGCCCTGTAAGGCGATTCTATATAACGGATACCATCTGATATGCAGACACGCTAAACGAATCACTGCAAACCCTATCAAAGGCAGAGCATCATGTTCCTGCGGAAAATTTCCATTCCTGGCCTCCCGTAGAGCCCAGATATAGCAGGCGATGGTATGTAGGATTGGATGGTAGTCAAGGTTCTGGTCAAAGTCAGCTCGGATCGTATCGCAAATGGCCTTGCTTGAGCGCTGTCTGAAACCGCCTGGGGCATCGCCTCATGTTAAAGCGTCTGTTCCCCCTTGAGCACCGTATCATGTCAGGGCAGTTGAAAGCTTCAAGATTTCAAGGGCAGACACTGCCTCGTATGTGCCATATAGAGCAGAAGTCTCCTTTAACAGGTTTCCCTCGGACGCAAACTCCAGTCCACTTTTCGCCCGAGGTTCTGTGATTGATGGCCTCGGCGCTGAAGGCGTTAAACCGCATTTCCAAGGTGGCAAGGCGTTTTTTTCCGGCGACTTAATTAAAGCCAGGTTTCTGACATTACCAACAAGCTCACATGGTAATATAGCACACCGAATCTGTGAGGCAGTGTTCCCCCATTCAGACACTGAGAGAAGAGCCTCAGCCCTCAGCTTACCTATGTGAAGTCTGGCTCACATCCTTTTAAAACTATACAGACGTAAGCGGATGGTTTTATAAGAACAGTTAAAGAATGAAACATCTCAGAACGGGATAGTTCGTCTATCGTTGGTGGGGAGAGACACCTTCCAAGTTAAGCCTTGACATCCTTCCCTCATTATCTGTTACAGTAGTAGGTCAAAGGTCTAGCAACAGCAAGAAGAACAACCTAATTAGGAGTCATAGAAGGGACCTATCAGTTTAGGGTCACTTGTTAGGTGCCACAACAGGGCACCAGGGGGCGCTAGGGTAGGGCTAGACATAGATAAAATATTAACCTAGGGCTATATAAAAAAAGAGTTCTATAAGAATCCTAGGGGATAAAAGGGGTAGATAGGAACAATTATTATAATTAAACCCTAACTATACTAATTATCAACTCCTTTACTTCATACTATTATAGCCTTTAATATTACTTTATAGTGCACTACTGAAGGACGTGTCTTACCACCTTACTGTTGCTGTTGATTGGGCTATCCTTGTTGCTGTTGCTAGACTTTTAACCTAGTACTATAGTATCACAGGGGTGGTGATCTAGGTCGTTTGGGTGACGAATAATAGGGGCTAAGTGAGTAGTCTCTGTGATGCGTGAAGAAAAGAAGCCATCGCGGCTTGCTTTGATGAAGGTGGGTCAACTACCTACTGCCCGGGTGGTGCAGTGGGACAGTGGTGGGCTGTATCGGAGGTAAGCCCGTTATCGGCGATAGCGATGTCCAACATGGCTATTACTTGTGGTCGGATCTGATCCTGGCAGTAGATCGGTGTCTTCTCCGTTGCCCTGTGGTTTTACCACTGCCACGGCTATCAGACCCTGCCTGATTCAGCCACTGGCAATGAGAAGAACAGCAGATCATTGATGTCGTCGATTTCGTTCTCAATGGTAGTGGGTGGCGAAACGTCGATGCCGTTGAAAATTCAGACATTGGAGGGGACCCTTGAATGCAAGCGGGTAATATGTTGACTGCGGTAGGCGGAAGCCTTCGAGAAGCAGCCCGAGTCGAAATCACGAAACCGGCAAGATCCATCATCCAACGAGAAATAGAGTCGATGCATGTGCAGCACATAATTAATCACGGTGAATGGTAAGGCCAGAGATTTAGATAGAGACGGGGGAGGGGAAGGGGGGAGGACTGGCGATGTTTCGCTCGAAGCCCGGAATTGCCAAGACCGTGGGGAAAGTTCTGGCGGGAGTCTCAAAGGCGAGAGTAGATGAAGCTGGTCTGATACTTGACACTTGAGAAAAAGAGAATGGGCTATATGAGAGAGCGTCTGTGTGATAATGTTCCAAGAGTTGATGTGGTGGGGTATCAATGCTCCGTACGCCAAGCTTCCGTCTTCTTGTTGAGTGTGCACAAAGGCCGGACGGCCGAAGAGTGGCGATGTTGGCTACGATGGTCCTCGAAGAATCACGTCTTTGAGGTGCTAGGTATTTTACTAGGTATCGCGATTTGCCCCGTACCTGAGGAGTACCGGTATGCCGGTGACCGGGATGAACAAAAAGATGTCGTCTCGCCTTCCACAGTGCAGTGGACGACGGAAGGTGGGGGGGGTGCGTGACGTCGTGCACTTCGTGAGAAGCCCCACCCCCGGTCGGGTCCCATTCTCATGCAGTCGCGTATATATAGTTTAGGAAGGAAGAAGATGGTAAGAGACTGGGGGATGGCATGGGAAGGAGCAAAAACAGCGTGTCACCCCCTTCTTACTGCAGAAGAAACGGCTGAGGGAAGACCGATTGCGGGGGTGGCTCGACCAATGGAGAATTGCTCATTCCAATTGACTGATAGAAAGTCGCAACAAGCCACTGGAGAAGGAGGAGACACTGTGCATGCCTTTAGTTGCATAGGGTTGCATCGTGGAAGGCTCGGAGCTTTGCGCACACTCCGGTCCCGCCTGGCCGATGCCACTGGCCTAGGTATTGTTGCTTATCCCGCCAGTTTCAATTGGACGCAAGGGTCGCTTAAGTGCTCTGCTGTTGTTGTCGATCAGCAGAACTGCTACCTATTGTTGCTTCTTCCCCGGCCTGGGCTGTCTCCAATTCGTACTATACCGGTAAGTCGTGAGTGGATGCATGTACCTATTACACTGTACTTACCGTGCTTACCTATCTGCCTTAGGTAAGCACGTCTCGTAAGTACAATATAGATGCCGTACCTCCCGACCTTACCGGGGACCGCCTTGTAGCAGTACCTCAGTACCTGAGTCTCTCCCCAGATAGCTCCAGAGACACAAGGGTCGGTCAATGGTCCTCCCCGCACGGCATTATGACTCAGGTGGTCTTCCCTACCACCAGCCTACATACCGGTAGTACCCAGCTACATACCTACCTCCTCCATTCTCTCTTGCTTGGTGCTTGCTTGCTCGCCAGTGGAAACATGGTCCTTGATACCAAGCCGCTAGCTACCTAGAGCTGGTCACGCAAGTTCACGGTATTGTTGCATCTTTTGAAACTGTGAAGTTAACGCACCAAGGTGGAGTGGCAACCCCTCTGAACCTCTGCTAGGATCTCCTCGAAACCATCTGAATGTCCGCGTCATAGCAGCCAAGAGCCTTAGTAAGGCCTTACCAGCTCGATCTCTTAACGCTGCGAGAACTGGCCTCAGGGCCTTCATCGATTGTGGCCACCACTATTAGACCGTAGCCACTAGCTCCCCAAAGCTGGCCGGCGTGGTCGCGTCTTTTCTCGCTAACAGAGCGACTTCTTTTCTTTGAACTTGGTGGGGGATGAGGCAAAATCTCAAACACGCAGCCCAGGTACACTAACTGCATAGGTCGTATGTTTTGCCTGCGTTCTCGAACAAGTTCCAAAGGACCCTGATGTACATCGTATACAGACACATACTTCTCGCCTCCCATCATTTGTCATACCAAATATCGTCCCGGGCTACTATCGGCCAACCCCTCCCCCACCCACTCATCCACGATCAGTTCGGCATAGCTCTGGCTGTCACAGGTCAGTGCAACATGAAAAGAAAGGAGATGGGAGCGCACTGTGATTCTTACTATGCACCCTCGGCCCTCGATCACACAGCACACCCCCCTCCAGCCGCCAACAGGATTTCGGCCATTGGTCATGCAGTCCATGAGGGGTCGGAGTCGGGGAAGGAGGAGACCGTGGCATAAAACGCGGGGTCGCTTCCTCCCCGTTGCCGAGGGCTCTTGCCAAAATACTTTTTCCTCGTCTAGCTTCCCCCTTCTCTCTCTCTATACGACTTTACGAACGATTGACGATTTTGGGCAAAAGGCATCAATTTCATCCCATATACTCCTCAAAGAAAGCTATCCAGCACCAAAGACAGCATACAGTCAATCACCATGGCCGAAGAGAAGTGCCCCTTCATCCGGACCATGAACACCGGCGGTGGCGGCACCAAGAATCGCGACTGGTGGCCCAACTCGCTCAGGCTCAACATCCTCCGCCAGCACACTCCCGTCACCAACCCGCTGGGCGGGGACTTCGACTATGTCTCCGCTTTCAAGGGTCTTGACTACGACGCCATCAAGAAGGACCTCACAGCCTTGATGACTGACTCCCAGGAATGGTGGCCCGCTGACTTTGGCCACTACGGTGGTTTCTTCATCCGCATGGCGTGGCACAGCGCTGGCACTTACCGTGTCCACGACGGACGCGGCGGTGGTGGCGAGGTACGTTGGCCTGCCTTGTTGCTCATTCACCAGCCATCTTTCTAACCACCTTCTCCTACAGGGCCAGCAACGATTTGCTCCTCTTAACAGCTGGCCGGACAATGTCAGTCTCGATAAGGCCCGCCGCCTTCTGTGGCCCATTAAGCAAAAGTACGGCAACAAGATCTCTTGGGCCGATCTCATGATTCTGACTGGCAATGTCGCGCTCGAGTCCATGGGCTTTAAGACCGCCGGTTTCTCTGGTGGTCGCCCAGACACTTGGGAGGCCGACGAGTCTGTCTACTGGGGTGGCGAGACCACTTGGCTGGGCAACGATGTTCGCTACTCCCATGGACACCGCGGTAAAGCCGATTCGGGCGTCGTGGATGGCTCTCAGTCCACAAAGTCTGACATCCACTCTCGCGATCTTGAGTCACCCCTCGGTGCTGCTCACATGGGTCTCATCTACGTGAACCCCGAAGGCCCTGACGGCAATCCTGATCCGGTTGCTGCCGCCAGAGACATCCGTATCACTTTTGGTCGTATGGCTATGAACGACGAAGAGACTGTCGCTCTCATTGCTGGTGGTCACTCCTTCGGCAAGACCCACGGCGCTGCTCCCGATAGCAATGTCGGCCCTGAGCCCGAGGCTGCTGGTCTCGAGGCACAGGGTCTTGGCTGGCACAACAAGCACGGCTCCGGAAAGGGCCCCGATACCATCACCAGCGGCCTCGAGGTGACCTGGACCGCCACGCCCACCAAGTGGAGCAACAAGTACTTCGAGTATCTCTTCAAGTTTGACTGGGAGCTTACTAAGAGCCCTGCTGGCGCAAACCAGTGGGTGGCGAAGAATGCCGAGCCCATCATCCCCGATGCCTACGACCCCAACAAGAAGCATTTGCCTACAATGCTGACAACTGACTTGTCGCTGCGCTTCGACCCCGAGTATGAGAAGATTTCGAGACGCTTCCTCGAGAACCCGGATCAGTTTGCCGACGCCTTTGCCAAGGCTTGGTTCAAGCTGACACACCGTGACATGGGCCCGCGCTCCCGCTACGTCGGGCCTGAGGTTCCTTCCGAAGAATTCATCTGGCAGGACCCCATTCCCACCCCCAACCATCCTCTCGTCAATGAACAGGATGCTGCGTCTCTGAAGAAGGAGATCCTTGGCACCGGCATCGACCCCTCTAAGCTCATCTCAACTGCTTGGGCTTCTGCATCTACCTTCCGCGGCAGCGACAAGCGTGGTGGTGCCAACGGCGCCCGCATCCGCCTGGCACCCCAGAAGGATTGGGAGGTGAACAATCCCAGGCAGCTTGCTGAGGTTCTCAAGGCTCTCGAGAGCGTTCAACAGAAATTCAACAGCTCTGCGAGTGGTGGCAAGAAGATCTCGCTGGCTGACCTCATTGTCTTGGCCGGTGCTGCTGGTGTGGAGCAGGCCGCAAGGAACGCTGGCTACGATATCACCGTTCCCTTCACTCCCGGCCGTGGTGATGCTTCCCAGGAGCAGACTGATATCGAGTCTGTCGACCACCTTCAGCCCTTCGCCGACGGCTTCCGTAACTACGGCAAGTCGACTGACCGTGCGAAGACGGAGCACTACCTTGTTGACCGCGCCCACCTGCTCACTCTCACCGCCCCTGAGCTCACCGTTCTGCTCGGCGGTCTGCGCGTGCTGAACACCAACTTCGACGGGTCGTCAACTGGTGTTTTTACTAGCCGCCCTGGGGCCCTGACCACCGACTTCTTCGTCAACCTGCTTGACATGGGTAACGAGTGGAAGGCTACCAGCAACGAGGATGTGTACGAGGGCTACGACCGCAAGTCAGGCAGTAAGAAGTTTACCGCTAGCCGTGTCGATCTCATCTTCGGTTCTCACGCCGAGCTCCGCGCCGTGGCTGAGATCTACGCCCAGGCCGACGCTGGACAAAAGTTTGTCAACGACTTTGTCACTACCTGGAACAAGGTCATGAACTTGGATCGTTTCGACCTCAAGAACAACAGTGGCAGCGTAGCCAGCCGTCTTTAAATAAGATGAAAACGGTGAGAGAAAAGGGAGATCGAGTCATGAGAAATGAGAGACTGTAAATTTCGCGCATGGATATGTCCGTTGTTGTCTTGTATATCTTCAGATAGGATTATTCATTCAAGTTTGATGACAAAATTCTGGCTTTTATCCAGTGACTGAAGCAATGTGCATGGCTCGTCGGTGTGGCATCTGCATCAAGCTGCCAACCATGTATCCCACCCCTCGCCCCAATGCCACAGCCAGCCACAGCCAAGTCTCGTACCCAGTTGTTCACGCCTTGGTGACCAATGCTAACTAAAGCAGGCCGGACCAGCGTCGTGTGCGGCGACACATTAGTAATGCGGTTTACTCAACTGACTCTTAGAGGGCTTATGGGCGTACAAATTCCTGGGGATCATGCGTTGCCGCGAGGAATTGAACATTACCTGATACCACACATTTGTTGAATCACGGTTTATCTGAGCTGCCCAGAGCCCGTCACAGCTTTCTTGGTTTTATCAACTCAATTACATGGGTGCTTGGGTGGCTTCGTATATGCCCCCCAAGGCCTAATGAATCCAGGGTTGTAAAGCAACTCGCACAGCCCGCAACTCATTGCACCTTGTGACGTACCGATATTATGGCTTCATTCAAGTGACCACGTATACTAGGTTTCAACGTTAACAGGGTTTTTGTATCATTTTCTCCACTCAGTAGGAGAATTGTTCGTGATGTGCTTGTGGTTCGGGAATGGGAAACGCGAAGTCTTGTGTTCCACTCACTAACCAGGTACATGCGTTGGTCATACTGCCTTGTAGCATATATCAAGCTTTAGAAGCTTCAACCGCACCTCTACTATGCTCTGGTGTGTGCTCTAACTTGTGGCAATGTCCAAGTCGTCCTTGGCCATTTGCCTAGCGTCCCGGAAGAGTTGTTCCTCGCCCGCCCCGGAATATCGAGGACATCATGTGATAGCAAAGTGCGCCCTATGTATGCCATTTTATTGTTGGAATTCAAGATGGCCATGACTTTGACATGTTCTGCGGCTTTGTTGCGTGTGACGAACTGACCCTTGGGCATATCCGCCTACCTGATATGGCCCGGGGCTGTAGTGCCTATTAAGAACGGGGGACCTGTTTCTGAACTCGAATTCAGGAGCCAGATGGCAGATGCTTCATGCTCTCAAATAGTGCGACTAGTTTTCATTTATAGGTTGGGTCTTTAGTTAGAATTTTCCTCATGTATCGTCTCGCTCTATATGGACATGCAGAACACTTTCCCGACGCAAACATTGATTCTATGAAAATCATCCAGTCATCTCAGACACATTCGCGCAGGTAAGTAGCCGTTGTAGTATTCGCCTAAATCGCCGCCCCTGACACTGATATTTGGGATCAGGTGACGCTGCAGGTAACTGTATAGTTAGGTTATCGGGATTTTGCGGGAGGCACGGAAGCATTGGGGTCTCTGTATCGAACTCTATCAATTTTGGAGCTCGATCTGCTTATTCGGTCATCTTGAGATTGCTAATGTTACGATCTAAGATGCTTTTTGACGGTTGACGGCTGACGATGTGATCCAATCAATAGCTGAGAGAAAACTACAAGCCAACTACAGACTAACTGCTGCAGACATGCTAAGCTTTACATGTCAATTCTTACTTGTTTTGCGTTCCCATTCTCACAAAGTTGGCCCCGTGATTTACCGCCATGCGTACACCCTTTTGATGCCTAGGGGTCGTGTCTCGTAGCGACTCTTAGCTTCGTCGAACCACGAGCTCCTCAGCTAGAGTATCCTTTTCTAGCTCAACAAAGCACAAGTCCTTTGGCAAATTCAGTTGAGGTAATTGATCAACTGGGAACGGAGAGGTTTCGCCCGACTTCTTGTACCCGCAGCGTTCGTACCACGCGATGAGCTTCTCGCGCGACGAAAGCGCATTCAGCCCGAAAGTCCTTAAGTTCCAGTTCCGGGCAAAGTCCTCGGCGTAGGCGAGGACCCGGCGCCCGATGCCTCCGCACTGCTGTTCCGGGTCAACGGAAAGCATGGCAAAACGAGCAAGGTTGTCGTTGCATTTGATGATCCCAATCGATCCTAGGAGCACACCATTTTCGTCCGAGGCCATGATGATCGCTGCGTCGGGGTTGTTGATAGTTTTCAAGACTTCCTCGACAGAGTATTGGAACGATCGTCCGAGTTCCATGTCCGCCGTCCAGTCTGCCCGGCTGTCTTCTGCGCGAAAGGCGGCTTGCACGAGTTGTTGAATTTTCGGGGCATCCTCCGGCTTTGCGACCCGGAAGTTGAGGGGTATGATGTTCGCCATGCTTCCTGTTCTAGAGTAATAGGCCTTGTATTGTCGGTATGTGATTTCTAGTTGCGGTTAGTGGATCGATACAGCTAAATATCGACTGGAGTTGTTTAAAGTCGTATGGAAAATCTTTAGAGCCACTTAGTGAGTGACATGGACCAAAGGCGCATCATGTAAGGGGAAGGGCGCCAGCGACCCACAAATGATAATCATAAGCCTGGTTCTGCCTAAACAGAGTGGAGTGAAATTACTATGGACATGGATATAGTATGCTCTCTTATCTGGGCTGTAGATATGGTCTCCTCCTACCTTGAAATTATGAGAGTTTCTCCTGTAATATCACCCAGTAGTGCATACCAGATACTAGATGGTTGCAACGGGATATGGGAACACATCTTTGCTTCGGAACATCGGCATAAAGGCGGTGCGACTTCGGACGACTCGACTCTTGGTCGTAGTTGCGCTATCGGTCGTCGTCACTAACTTTAAGGTAGGGGAAGACCCCTCACTTAGCTAAAGCCGCCTCTGCCGAATGCGGAGAGCTGGTGCACTTCTCATGAAATATAAAGGGCACTCGCCCTCATATTGCCTCATCATTGGCCCTATTCATCCACGGCTCCTGCTTCAAACACGTCGCATACAACAAAATGAATTCTGAGAACACCAAGAAGCTGCGCGCTGAGTTGTTCGAGGCCGGGCTTCAAAATCGTCGGGAAGTGGTCGGGGAAGCTTACGTTGAAACTGCTATGCGCAATGGTTCCAGTGAATTTGCCTATTCTCAGCAAGAACTGATTACAGAGTAAGAATGTTGCATATTGTCACAAAACTCTACGAAGCAGATTCGGGAGGGTACGTTTGTTTCCTGTTCCAACTGATTCTTTCTTAGGTGGGCTTGGGGAAACATATGGTCACGTCCAGGCTTGGAACGCAGGCAGAGAAGCCTTCTTAGTAAGTCATTATCGTGAAAGGGGGGTTTATCTGTCCCGTATGGTAGGAGGGCCCGCTTTCTGACAATTTGACTAGATATCGGTATGCTGATTGCTCTTAAGAGCTGGGCTGAATTCGGTACCCATATACGGGGTGCTATTAGGAACGGGCTTACTGAGCTCGAGATTCGCGAGGCAATCCTACAAGCGACGGTATACTGTGGAGCGCCTGCCGGTGTTCAGGCTATGAAGGTGGCGGATTGCGTCCTCGAAGACATGATCAGCAAGGGAGAGCACAAGAGGCAAATGGCAGAAGTCTCGCCTAGTTACAGAAAGCCAGAGTAGAAAGTGATGAAATCAGGTGAATGAAAGAGTGACGCAGGGGCCTTAATACAGTATCAATCTAACTGCTTTCGAGAGTGGTTTGATCCCTCATTCTTGTTTTAGATGCGATAGATACATAGGAATGTCGGAGATGGTGATGAACAGCTGCTAACGAGCAATATTCACAGCAAGTCTGCGATATTAGCCGTCGCTGGGTCACTACGCATAACTGCCAAAGCTTTGGGTTCAGCTTGCCAGCCGCACACATCGCATCTGGGTTATTGAAGATTAGGAGGACGCGTCAGAAGGCGTCCAAGCACGATGTGGGTTTTGCGGTGCACTCGCCTATAACTCTCAGGGGTGGTCCAGTTGCACTACCTGTTTATTGGCGGTCTATCTATTATTGTTGCTTCGGCCTAGGGCTTTGACTGAGTTTCTTTGCAAAGGTCGGAAGTCAATATCATCTTGAGATCTGTGGGCCGCTTATTAAGTTGCACCCAATTCAATGCGGGACTACCCTCTTGCTTATAGAGGACATGGGAAATATTTTGAAGGACTCGTCATGAACAATCCTCAAATAAAGGTGCTCTGACGGCATGCTGAATGATGGCGCATTTACATTGACGTCAGCCTGTGCGCTGACTGTGCGTGCGATGCCAAACTGCTCGAGAATTTTGGAATGTTACGAAGTACAGGACCATATTCAGGTTCCCAGGTAGTCAGCCTAAGTGGCGGTGGTTGGAAAACTTTGGGTTTAAGGTTTTGACTGATAGGGCACAATCGAGTTCCCAGAAACCAATCATCAAGGCATAGGGGAAATGGTCAGAACGTAACTTTGGATTGCCCAAACTGGAAAGAATCATCCGGAGATCAGTGACAAGCCTGTGCGATCTCCTGCGACCGCAAGTCTTCTGGAAGGTATAAGAACCCAAAGCACCCGTTGCCGGTGTTTTTTGTATGGAGCCCTCTATCACCGCCCAGGCATTCGATATCTCAGTTGTACGATCGAGTGAGATTTCCAACATGAAACTCCTTTTTCCTCTGATTCTTTTCGCGGCCGTTGTCACCGCGGCAACCCCCCAGCTCCTGGCAAAGCTCACACGCGACTTGAATAGCCGTGCTGTGTATCCCCAAGATGGCCAAGTCTGTTGCAGGACTAATGGAAGTGGAAAAGAATGCGTTAGCTTACCTCCCGTACACGGGACACCCTAGTTGTTTGGGCTGTGCCAGCTAACCAACTATGCAATAGATATGCGTTGCCAACTCAAGAGATGTTCGTATCTTCATGTCTGTCAGAATTCGCGCATGGTACTCAATCTAAATATAGGACTGCAACCGAGGTATTTGTGTCAGTTAGACCGGATTTATCGGTTTGGCAAGTAAACAATGTTGGTTGATCTACATAGGCATAGTAAGTGTCAGGAGACATCGAGTACGGTGCAGTCGTATCTTCATGCAGATAATACAGAGCTTTCCGCCGCAGCTGATGATCCCTGTTTTTCATTCTCCGTGTCTCGGGTCCGAGTTATTCTAGTGTATGCAGGATGCTGTGACGGACGCATTGACCCAGGGTTCCGCTCAAAATAAAAAAAAAGGTCCGAGCCTCCCTGTTTCATAACCACTCGCGAACGCGAGTTAAGTCTTACAACGGTATCGGGCCAAAGTTTAACCCCCTCGTCAGGTAAATGTGGCCGTGCTTGAGTCTCTCGTTCGTGGGTCACAACTCCACACTACCTGCTAGGGAGTTTATACTTGCCCATCATACGTAGTAGGTTTTCCGTGCGCCCTTGGGCTTCCCCCACAATCCTTCGGCCGCCGCCGTGTCAACCAGCACCGCGACTGGAGTCGACCCCCGACGTTTGATCGCCAGTCAAAAGGATACCGAAAACTCTGAATAGTATGTACATGGTGTTTCAAAACGCATGACTCGTCCACTACAACTACTTGCACATCGTCATTGCTATTGGCCTGTAGACTTGTAGTCGTGCGACTACGATGACATAGTGCTTGAAGACCACCGCTCTGCAAGCTCAGTCAACATTGCATCCGCCACAATGAATTTTTTGCGGACTTCTTGCAATAATTCCTTGACAAGGCACTGCTGCCATCTCTGCTTCGCTCGTGCTCCAGCAATTCTCAATGGAAATAAGAACAACAAGGGTGATAGGCTAGAGGCCCTCATTGCTTCCTTAACTGTTGAGATAATGACGTCGAAGTGTTTTGCAATCTCCGCTGAGTCCAATACTTGCACTCCAACCCCTATCGCCTGCCAGTGAGGCAGATCATAGTCGTAATTTCCGGAAAGATAGATACTAGTCGCCGAATAGTAAACATTTGACAAGAGCATCTCTTCGCGCCTCTCGGGCGGGAAAACGGCAGAGCCTTTCCAGCTTTCAAGAGATTCACGCAAATTAAAACCCTCAGTTGCAAGGCTCATGGCTTCCAAAAAGCGACCTTCCACATTCGGGCGACCCGTCATGGATTTTATAAATTCAGCTGTACTGATATTGCAAGAGTCAGCAGTCTTCAATACATGCAATGACCAATGCTTTGCTACGCTCTTGTGGAGTGGCACTCACCGAGCCCGCAATGCTGAACATAGTACAATCAGTTTCAAGAGTTCGTCTAATGAGCCTCGAGTCATCGCAACACTGGACCTTGACCAATTGTCTGTCAAATCGATCCACTCGGGGGCTGCTAGAAAGCTGGTTTGGTTGAAGATGATAGACCTGCAGACCTCAAAGCTGCGTGCCTGGACAAAAAATGCCCGCATGGTCCCGGAATTGCATGCTGCCGGTCCACTTGCAATCAGAGCCTTCGAAGTGCCGAAAACCATGTGTTGAAGCCATCTTTGGCCGGAGGCGTCTTGCATCAGCTACAATTATGTGTTAGTTACAAGCCATCAACTTAGCTCATCGCCCCAGCAAGAATATTTCCGGCAATCACGGACCTCGAACAGACCGAGAAACAAAGTTGTCCAGAGTATAACGTCTCTCTGTGACGACGAAAAACTCATGACAGCTTCTCGAAGTCCAGCAACGGACTTTATATACGATTCAGTCGCGAACCGCAAACCAGTTTGGTGTTCCAAGGCGCCTATGAGCGCTGCATGCATAGCACCCAAAGCTAGCATTGCGTTGAGTAGGTAGGGACGCGGATACCGTTGTATAGTGTCAGAGCTCTTTACAGCATTTTGAATGTCGACAAGAAAGGATGGTTCTCTCCCTGTGAAGCTATTCCTGCGCACAAACAAATCAAAATAGAAGAGATATTGTGTTGTCGCATGTGGAAGCGGTGCACGAGGATAGGATACACTTGGAACTATGAAGTCCCTGATCGTATGTGCTTTTCCCTTATCCAGCATAATGGCATGTTCGTTTTCCGAGGGCGGCGATACTGGAAACACGCATCGTATGCTGCGTTTCTGGCATCGCATGCAGGGGACACAGCCGGAACACTCGGTTTAGTCAGCGAGAGCCGTTAAACAGTCACATTTACCTCTGCTTGGAGGGCAGACTATATCAAGAATAGATTCGCAAGGGTGACGTGCGTACCTTAGAGTGGCTTGCCGCGCAAGTTATGCAACGGAAACGTTTGGTCCGACGGTCAAAAGGGCCAAGAGGCATTGTCGAGCGAGCTCCTATATCGCAACATGAATTAAAAAATTGCACAGGTCTTTCAGGTCTGACATCTCTTGGACTTCGAAAATGAGTAGAACTTAAAAGCTCTTTAGTCAGAATTGATGCGCAACGGTAGCCGGCATCGGACATGTGCTGATCTTGGGAGCAACAGAGATGACTCCTAAAGTGGACCGAGCTGTAAAGCACTAATCCTAAAACGGAAGCAATCGGGCGACGCTAGTGATGCACCCTGGATGGAATAAGTGCTTGGCTGGTATAGGCCAATCACAACTCAAGTTATGATGAAAGCTGAAATGGGTTTTGAAGGGCTTCAAGACCCACTGGATACTGATTCCGTAGCCTCAACGTTGCGCGGCCTCTCTTGTAGTACACTTATCCCGAAGAGGAACAATTCGTGCGAAGAACGATTTACAAAGTCTTGGACATTGGCGATGCCGTAGTATAAGATGGACCAGTCTCTTCCTCAAATTTCCCGCCATCCTCATCAACCACAGAAGTAAATCACCTTGACATTTCTTAAATCAGTACAAATCACGATTGCAAGCATCTGACAATATGATCTCGACTCTGATCCTTGGGGCGCTGGTCTCAGCTACGCAGGCTGTCCTTGTGTCGCCGCCAACCGGACCTTACGCGGTTTCTATGACCGTTCAAAGCCTCACCGACAGCGCCCGACTTGACCCCTACGCCCCCAAGAACAAACCTCACTCTCGCCAAGTCATGATCTCAACTTTCCTCCCAGTTGACAAGGCCAAAACTCCTTGCTCTGGTTGGGAAAGAGTGCCATACATGACGCCTCTCGTGGCTAGGGCATACGACGAGCTTGGGATCGCTGTGGGTCTCCCCAATGGCACATTTTCTGCGTTCGAGATGGAATTTTGCCAGACGAGGGCTCGTTCATGCCAAAGAAGTCGCTCCAAGTTTCCACTTGCACTCTTCTCGCCCGGTTGGGGCAACCCGCGTTTACTTTATGGCGCCATGGCACGCGACGTTGCAAGCCATGGGTTCGCTGTTGTTACCATCGATCATCCTTACGATCCTTCCTTTGTTGAGTTTCCCAATGGTACTGTTTACCAGGCGGTGAATCTCGACCCAGAAAACACAACAGTATTGGAAACCCTTACTCAGGCAAGTCATCTAGTTAAATCAATTCGACTACATACATACTGACAGCAGGAAAGGTCCGAGCTGAAGACACGTCCTTTGTTCTGTCACACCTTCATGATAATCCTGTACCCGGAGTCGACCTTGATCGCACAATCATGTTCGGTCATTCCCTCGGTGGCGCTACAGCCGCAGCTACGATGCTAACTGACTCTCGCATTCGAGGAGGCATCAACTTCGATGGCAAGCTTATCAATCCTGCCCTTGGTGTAGGTCTTGATCAGCCTTTTGCTCTTGTGGGAAGGCCTGGACATATTGAAGAAGACCCGACGTGGGACGAATTCTACGCCGGTCTACGGGGGACAAGTATTATTCTGAGCGTCTCCGGAACCACTCATGCGAGCTTCACAGATTTTCCAGTTCTCATCGCGTCATTGAATTTGACTCTACCCGACGAAGCGAGATCGCTTCTGGAGGTTGAACTGGGCACTCTAGAGTTCGGTAGGGTAGGAAATGTGGTTTCCAGGGCTGTTGAGGCTTTTTCCCATTTATCGCTGGATAAACAGGTTGAAGCGCTGTTCACCAAAGGGGGAGATGCAGCATTCCCTGAGGTTTCAGTACAGCGATTCAGTCTTTGAAACTTTTGGGTTTGCACTAGTAATAATAGCGGTAATATCGGCCAATAGTTTCGTACATATTAACCATCTGTCGTAGAGGCACTGTTCGGGTAGGGAAGACCATAGGGAAAACGGCTTAACTATCTACGGTGTAGAGATGGGTGGGTGATCCAGCTCGAAGAAATACGTATTCTTCGAGTGGGTCAGCTGTGTGGGGACGAGGCTCGGTTAGGAACAACCATTTCTCCGGTCCGGAGAAATCGGCCGACCGGAGCCGGATGCGCGTGATGCACATGAGGGCATCACGACACCATCAATGCCTACATGTTGCCTCACCTTTTGGATTTACCTTCTTACGTCGTAATTAACTCACGAAGCTAAATGTCAAATTCAAAAGGGTCAATCACGTACAATCAAGCGCTGGATTACTTACCATACAGCATGATCCAAAGAATTGCCGCATCATGTGTTTATAATTAATGCAGTATATTCAACGTTCCGCTGGAGGGCGAGTACGAGCATCTTGGTTATCGATGAGATAAAAGCTCCGTCGCCTGGAGAGAGGAAGAGAACATAGCAATATGTCCTGCCCTGATAAGTCTGGCTGGATAGGTGGTGGTTCAGTTTCGAACAATAGAGTCGAAAGGATCGACCGGCATGTCAAGTTTTAGGGCTTTGGCCTGTGTTTTTGTTACATATGAGCCTTTATGAGAGATTGTTTGTACCGCGAGAACAATTTCTCAGTGAGTGAAGTTGCGAAGCGGCTGAGATATTGTGACGAAGCTCTTCTGAGATGATGTGACGATGGCGCCAAAGTAGCCCCACATGCACAGCAATTGGAGCTTAGCATCACAGCACGAGTTAGTCTGATCAGACCCCACTGTATCTGTGTTTACCACGCGTTCAAAACACGTTGTCAAAGCTTCTACTGAGACCGAGGCATTGTCTGCCAGCTTCCAGATAAGACAGAGACTTGCGCTCGCAACCAAGTCTAGAACACTTTCGACATCAACGCCTGGAAGTCAGGGAATGAGTTCTCGAGTCTCTCTTTGGTCTTACTCTTCGTTCAACTGTGCAAAGTACAGAGAAGTCTTACAAAATACCATCTAGATTACATGAACTATGGCCCTCGACCCGATCCTGAGACATGTGGCACCCTTGCTGTCGCCGGCGCATCGTCATGTCTGGATGGTGACCCGACAGACCGGATGGCGACCCGAACAGACATTCCGTCTGGTCCTCGCTTGTCTGTTCTGTCATCCAAAGGTCTGCAGCAAACCGTTGGCCTCTCACAGACCAATGTACCCCACGGACCATGTTGACAGACTAGAGCTAGCGCTGTTCTTTACCGGCATGGCTACCTCGATCGGTAATACCACACCCCATGGTTCTGCACATCATGTCGAGGTTTTAGTTTCTCGGCAAGGCTAAGCGCATCTCTGGTTGTACCATACGATCTTCTTCGCGGGACGATCCACGCCAGGGGCGGGTGATAGATTACAGTTCGCACTTGGTACAAGTCTCGACCGGATCGTAGGTGGAATCTGAGTGGCTCGTAGTCTTGATTCTTGAAGAGACCCCCTCATGCAACCTTACATTGGTGACAGAATCAAACAGGGGGTTCAATGTTCCACAACATCTAGCTCAGTCATATTTGGGTAACTTCTGAAGCATTACAAGGTCGCCCTGGAGAAAGCTTGCCTTCTCCACCAGCAATTAAGGTTCTGTCTCTCTGCATTTTGACGCCGGCTGAGTACCGAGCCGTGTCTGGAGCCGTTGTCTTTCATGTCTGAACCTAGCGCTTGTTTGTGTTCTAGGTCCATAAAAACGATCGCCAAAGCCCGCCGCTTGGTACGGAATCAAAACAAACAATCATCCAGAAAGAATAAAAAGTGAAACCGAGACACACCCGAATAAGCAAGGAACTCGCACAGGACCAAAAACCAGGCCCGATGGTGTGGTGGCTGTTGAAACCCTATTTTGAATGACCCCTGTAAAGGCAAAATTCTGGTTTTTCTCACGAATGAGCCTCAAGCCCCTGGTTCAATTCACCATTGACGATTGGAAGTATCTGGAGAAGAGGCCTCCGTGACTATTGATCATCAGGCGGGCAAGTCGCTAGTATCATTAGCACAGTATTGTAAGGAGCATGCGCCATAGCCGCGTTAGGTTTGATCAATGCATTATTCACTGTGAAAGTGGGCATTTTCAACGAGGGCTAGATCTCAAGGTAACGTTGACGGATCATGGCGATCATAATCGGGCAACACGAAGATCCGGTCATCGCTGACGCGGGAGTGCGAGAGGGGCTCCGGAAGTTGTCTCGGATCACTCAACTGGAGGTGGCTGAGATTTATTCTTATGAGCGAATCGCATTTCACGGTTGAAGCTGAAATCCACTTTTACTATCATTCAGAAGTTGATGGCCCGTCTTCCCGCCCTGTCAGGCCCTGTCAGGCCCTGTCAGACCCGGTCAGGGATGAGTTCGAGAGTCAGGGGTCACAGGGTATGATGAGGCATCTTGTTTGGTACAGGCCCCGTTGTAAGAGAGCTGTCATCTAGGAAACACAGGAAAAAAAGAAAGGACCATCCCAGTAACATTCGACATGTCAAAATCCTTGGATACCGATTGGCTCGTCAGATTCACCACCCCCTTGAGGCTCCAATCTTTTAGACTTCGGCCCCGCCGTCGGCCAAGATTGCAACATGAAGAAAAGCACAGTCAACCAGAGAGATACAAGGGATTGTTGTATTCGTACACGTATGTACACTACGATGTCTGTTGCAGGAGACTATTCTCCGCGGCTGAAGATGGCAAAGTCAGTACACGACCAGAGAAATCTCTAGTAATTTACTTCGTGGCCAGACAGCGCTGGAAACTCTGTGTCGTCGATCCAGTTGGCTCTTCGGAGGGAAACACGGTGGCATCATCCTCCGCGCACGAGCACAAAATTTCAGATATAGGTGGTCCCGCAATATGTCACCCTGGTCAACATAGGTGGCCCCGTAATCCTCTGTATATCACCCTGGTCAACCGGCGGTGCCCTTTCGTGTTCTCCAGGAGAATATGACACGGTAACATGGTCTCCACGTAAGCTGAGGAACCAATCGCATTTCAGCAAACACAGCTCATCCACCGGTTCCTTCGGCACCCCAACTGTTCGTGCTGCAGGACCCCTGGCAGAAACTTGTCGAACATCAATGTCAAATACCTGACAGCCAAAACGCTCGGACGTGGGTCCCTAATTTGGTGATAGATCTGCCCAGATGGTAAAATGTATAGCGCAGTTGCCTGCCAAAGGGTCTTTGGCATACTATAGCTTGATGACTCCGCCGCCGTGGGACCGCCCACGGTCGTCCTCAACGGAAACCATGCAAATAGACCCGGCGTTTGGGACTGCGATGTTGCAGCCAGATTCGGGCTATAAGACCTTGTTTATATGACTTGCGTGCGGCGCATTTGCAATTGTCAGTCCGCATCGTGACATACATAAACATCATCGTCGATCCAGCCGCTGCCAGATTTGGTCCCCTTCTTCAGCAGCATCTTCCACTCGACTTTGAATAAACTAGTCAGCACTTTTTCCTACTTGATCATTGTTTTACAATTCTCAGTCCTCATACATCAAACACCATGGAATCCTTTGTCGACGGAACCACCTACACTTATTTCTCTAATGTCGATAACACCTTGGATTACACATTCGACCCTCAGTTTATCCCCTTCCCATCAGGGGATGCACTTGACAGCTTTCTCTACCCTTACTCATTCCCTTCATTCCAACCACCAATGCCCTTGTTGGATACTTCCTGCACATCCAACCTGGACGCCAGCTACAACACGCTCAACGTCCAGTCAGTGGCGCCTTCTCCACCTTCAGCTTTCTCGCCTGCCTCGACCGAATCGTTGGACTTCGCTTCATCTCCCAGCAGTGGAGTTGCGTCACCACCATCTCCTCCCAGAGAGACGGAGCCTGAGAACTGGGGCCCTGCGGACTTGCATCAGATGGGCTATCTTGACGTGTCCGGCAACTGGCGCTGCCGGTACTCTGGCTGCTGCTCCTCTCGCGTTTTCCTCCGGGCATGCGATCTCAGGAAGCACTTCCGCGGCCACGCCAAGTATTTCTTCTGCACCGAGGAGAAGTGCCAGCAAGCGGGTGTTGGTTTCGCGACCCGCAAGGATTTCCAGCGACACATGGGATCACACAAGCCCGCCGTTCGCTGCCTGCATCCTGATTGTGATCGGATCTTCAGCCGCAAGGACAATATGGTAAGTTTCTGTGCATGAAAACATGCTCATCTTTGACACGAAAGCTAACGACGCATAACAGAGGGAGCATTATAAAAAGATTCACCAACGTCAGAGGAACAACCTCTTCCCGCGCAAATGCCGCGAGATTAAGATCAGAGAGTATTTGGCTGCTTCGCCACAGTCAAATTACGGGGCTTACACCGTAAACTTCTAAGCAAAATCTCGCCCAGGAGCAGGATATCCCGGTCTGATATGTGGCACTGGTCTGCCTTAATGTTTTTAATGCATTTGGGTTAAGCGTTGTGTTTTTGGTTTGGCATTCATTTACGGTTACGGCATTGAGCGACCATACCCCTTTGGTGATGGAGGAACTTTGGTCCATACCACTCTTTTTTTTACATTCACAATCATATCATTAGCCATGCATTTTGCACAATCCATACACAATATGGCAACATGAGACATCATTATGCTACACATGCTGGCCCAATCGCATTGAAGCTTGCAGTGGCAGGTGAGACAGATTGGATTGTCTATCGTATGGAATTCGGGGGACCATTCGGTTCAAAGGCTCGTTAATTAAGCATCTTTGATTTAACGGCTGTGATCTCTGTTTACCAAGGCTATACGGATACAAACAAACAACAGCCATTACGAAAGTGAGGCCTCGTACCATTTACCCTGCAGTCACGGGATCCGTGCACGTGACTCACCGCATACAGCAGAAAGGCCTGCCCCACCACTCGGGGGGAGGGATATCCCCTGCCTTGGCACTTCACTTAGAATAAACAACACCAACCAACCCACGAATATCGTCACTTTGCAAGAGTGAAGCTATTCAGGATTAAATCATTATATCTACGAAAAACCAACATACCCAAGAGGAAGCGATTGCATACAGACGGTGTTATGGTAGTAGGTTGAAGTATTTAATAGAACTCAACTGACTGCAACATAAATAATAATAATACTTATCTAGTAAACAGGAATTTTGGATTATGTTATACTATGTGTTATCAGTCTACAGTGTCGTCTTTCTTAGCCAGTAGTAGTGGAATATAGACTGCAAAAAAATCAGTTGTTTCGTGTTTTGCAGAACGTTCAAGTGACCATGCTTTCCTGTAACCGGAAATTTGGACTTCTACAACCCTGTGCAATGCTTTCACTTCCTTAGTTGAGGTGTGCTATTATTGGGTGCTGTAAAATGATAATCTGACAAAACCCAATGACTGCCAGCAGACATGAGATGCCGCTTCACTGAAAGATATTGACTCTGTTCTTCTACGTTTTTGAAATGGGGCTTAATTTCGGACTTGACAAGCGCTTGGATATGAGGTTGATCTGAGAAGGCACAAAGTTAAAAGCAGATATGTAGGCCAAACTGCCTTTAAGCATGTACACAGTGACCCAAACGGCAAGCCTGCTCCCATTTTTCAGCCGCTACCGCTGTATGTTACTTCCCAATTGTATTTAGGCAAAGCCTCTTGAGACAAAATGTAAAATCTGAGGCGGTTTGCAGAGTCTGCTCAACGTGCTTCCCAACGTTGTGTACGCTAACGTGCATACAGAAGTGTGTTGTGGAAAAGAAAAGGGGCAATGAAGCAAGACTAGTGTCGCAAAAACGACGCCGTTAATTACGGGCAGTAATTAACGCCTAGTATGTCCTGTGACAACTAGGTTCCGGATTTGAAGAATTTGGATCAAGATAGAGACTTTTTGAATTGGTTAAGACGGTAAAAATGTCTTCGAAGATCGTGATCTTCTACTGATCTTCGGATGCAAAATTATCCGGCTCTATCTGTCATCGCGATAGAAGCTAGACGTGAGTTCGACCATCCACTAGTCACTTGTCCGACCAAGACGAGAATTCCTACTCTCATCCGCTGAGAGCGCCGGCAACATTTGCGTAAATGACGTCGTCCTGCCTTTGGGTTTTCACAAGTCCGCAATAGGCGCGAGGCAGTTCCTTGAATCTCCGAAGTGTACATGCGGGCTTTTCCTCTGATCCACCGGGGGTTCCACTGGGGTGCTTCCGTTGAAGGCCCGGAGCAGCTACTGGCCCCCGAAGTAGACAGTTTTCTCGGCCTGATTCGGCGGACCCGTTGTTCCTGGGACGAGAATACGGGCGAGCATTAAGTCGGTGGAATCTCTCGTCCCTGGAAATGCGCAGTACATACGTCATATGTGGAGATGAACAAAAGTGCCCCGCGGTCGGTGAGTGAGGGGCTCACCGACGACACTCGCCAACCGAAGTGTGATGCGTACGACAATTGATAATTTGACATAAGACAAAGTACCTTCTTAATGGGCTTGGCATGTATCTTACACTCAAAACTGTTTACTATCAACGAAGATGTTAACATTTTCCTATGCAGTTGTCTCATTGTCGTCGTGTCGAGGCTTCTTCTCCAAAAGGCGTCACCATCTGTGACCAGCCGCCACCAGCCGGAACGGAGTCCACTCCCCCGTCATAATTCAGGTTCCTGAGTAAGCCCGGGCCGCGCGGGAAGCAGACGCAGACACCAAGTTTTTATGGCTCATCCCATTAATACAACATCACTACCTCGTCCCAACGGACCCTGCGTCTCTCAATGTTCTGGACCTGCGGTACAACTATCAGGGTCTTAAGATCAACAGTCTCATCCCTCCGCTCTTCTTCTTCCTCCTCCGCCTCGAACTCCATCTTCCGCAAAGCCTCAATCACTACCCCGCCAAGCCTCTACACCCGCAACATGTCCGCCGCAGCAGTCTCCCTCGTCGAGACGGCCAAGAAGGCTGCCGCCTACCGCGCCGTTGACGAGCACCTCTCTCCTTCGGCACGCTTCGTCGGCATCGGCTCCGGCAGCACTGTCGTCTACGTCGTCGACGCTATCGCTGCAAAGGGCCCTTCCTTCCACTCCAACATAACCTTCCTTCCCACTGGCAGCCAGTCCAAGGGCCTCATCCGCGCTGCCGGCCTGCGCCTGTGCAATCTCGATGAGCGGCCCCTGGGCGCCGACGGCAAGCTCGTGCCCATTGATGTCGCCTTTGACGGCGCCGACGAGGTCGACGCAGATCTCAACTGCATCAAGGGCGGTGGCGCATGTCTCTTCCAGGAGAAGCTCGTTGCCATTGCCGCTAAGAAGTTTGTTGTTGTAGCTGGTGAGTAACTATGATTCACCGAGGCTCTTATCAAATGTATGAAAAGAAGATGAGCTAACACGTCACAAAGACTACCGCAAGCTCTCTTCGAGGCTGCTCACCAACTGGAAGGCCATCCCCATCGAGGTCCTCCCCATGTCCGCCCCGGACGTGCTCGACAGGCTGACGGCTCTAGGCGCCGTCAAGCCCCTCGTGCGTCCTGGCGCGCCCGGCAAGGCTGGCGAGGTCGTCACCGACAACGGCATGTGGCTGATCGATGCGCCCTTCCCCCAGCTGCTCCTGCCCCAGGACCTGACAGACGCCTCGTCCCAGCAGCTGGGTCGCAACTCCGCCGGCGCGTGGGAGGTCTCTGCGCTCGCCAAGGAGCTGCTCATGATCCCCGGCATCGTCGAGATCGGCATCTTCCACGGCATCAACGGGCTGCAGGCGGCCCAGGCTGGCAAGGAGGGTCTGGCTCAGAAGCCGGTCGCCGCCTACTTCGGCATGGAGGACGGCAGCGTCAAGGTTACGGTCAGCCCATAGGTGACGAGTGAGGGCGTTTTTATGATTAATTTGGAGCGAATTTTGAATGGTAAAAGCTGGGTCCCTTCGTAAGACTACGGCAACGCATAGTATTTTGGCGACACTCTCTGCTGTAGAGAATGTTTCGTTACCCGGAACAGGGAAACGACAAATAAAGTGATCAAATTTGACGCACCCGACCACCCACAAGAACGATAGCTCCGCTAAGAGCACGGGTGCAAAGACATCATCGACCTTGCTTCAGCTAACTTGCAGTAGATCAGTCCATACTTGAAATTACTTATCCCAAGGCTGGTAACCTCATTGAGTTGCATTAGTCATTATTATAGACATTACTCTGAGCTAACTGAATATGTAAGCGGTATGTAGCAGAAATTTGTACAATCATGTCCAAGCCCAACACGAAACACGATAGTGCCATCATCGCGGCGTCATAACCACACTCAGGCATCGAGAACTTTCCAGCCTCCAACCAAGAGGTTGGTATAAATCCTCAACGGGTCATACTTGGTACGGATAGCCTTGAGCTTCGCGAGGTTCGCCGCCGGGTAACTCTGAAATATCTTTTGCCCCTTGCCTGCATCGTTCAGGTACATGTACCCGCCCGCGACGCCTCTGGCTTCCAGGCCCGCTTCCATGTCGGCCGTGACGGTGTCGGCAAACGACTGGGCCGCCTCGTCGTCTTTGGCCTCCTGCCACGTTAGATTTTCGACCACCCAGAAGTAGGGGGCCTTGGCCGGGTCCACACCCTGCGGGTTGCCACCCTGGGCGATGCCCTGCTGGATGAACTCCTTGGTGATGGGCTGGAAGGTGATGGAGGCAGAGAGACCGACGATGCCCGTGAGCTTGGAGCTGGCGGCGGCGAGGAAGGCGTTGTGGACGTATTCGACGGCGTCGCGGTCAACGACTAGAGACAGGACGCGGAACCTTGGACGGGTTAGCTGGGGTGTTTTGCTCCATTTTGTGACAGAAAGCGGCTTACTCTTGACGAAGACCGGTCGGCTGCAGGGCGTCGACGGCACTGACATAGTTCGCTAGAGGCTGCAGAGTATACGAATCATTCACGGGCGTGAGGACAGGCGAGGTGAAGTTCTCGAATGCCGTGGCTGAGTTGGTATCGGAATCGTAGAAACGAGCTGCCGCGTAGGCGGTGATGTTGTACGACGGGTAAGTAAGGATGGTGGGGATGATGGCCGCCTTGCCGTCCGCCGAGCCGTATTTGCCAAAGTTGTACACAGCGTCCAAGTACTTGGCGCTGTCGGGCTGCGCGTACTGCGAGATGCCGACCCAGACCTTGGGGGACTTGACAGTCTTCAGGTCGAAGCGCGTGACGATGGCGAACGAGTTGCCGCCGCCCTTCAGGGCCCAGAAGAGGTCTGAGTAGGCGTTGGTGGCGGTGGCCTCGATAATGGCGCCGCTCGACAAGACTGCCTGGTAGCAGACGACGTTGTCGGCAGCGAAGCCGTACTGATTCGAGTAGAAGGAGATGCCGCCCCCGAGCAGCAGGCCGGAGACGCCGACGCCGCCGATGCGACCCCCGACAGCGGCGAGTCCCGAGCCTGAGAGATAGGAGTATACGTCCCTCCACCTGAGGCCGGCGCCGACTGAGACAGTGTTCTTGTCCTCGGAGAGGGCCAGCACAGTCAGGTTCGAGGTCGACAGCAGGACGCCCGACGAGCCGATGCTGTTGTAGCCGACCACCGGCATATGGCCGCCGCTGCGGACCGCGAACTGCGTCAGGCTCAGAGTGAGCGTGGCGACGGCGAAAGAGGCCTGCTGGGCGTTCTGGGGCACGAAGACGCAGGCCGGGGTATCGTAGGCCCTCGCGGACCAGTACTGGGTCCGCGTCTCGTACGTGTAGCCGTCGGAACCCGCGAAAAAGGTTTGTCCAGGGTATCTAAAGCTCAGCAGCCCACAGGCAACTTTTTCTGAACCACGGAGGCTGGACACGACGGCCGACGTGGCGGCAGTGTCGGCGTCGGCAAGCTCTCCGGCTGCGGCCGCGACAGGAGCTGCGACGACAGCCAGCAGCTGCGCAAAGAAGGACGAAAAACGAACCATGGTTTCTGATAAATTCGGTTCCAGGCAAAAAAGTGAGACACTAAGCAAGCCACAAGGAATACAGTAAGCAGGACGGAGACATATTTCTATTGCAAAGATTTGAATGGAAGTCGTGGCGATGCGAATTACATTAAACCCGTATCCGTACCATACCCCAAAGGGGAGGGGCATGAACCTGCCTGCATCGTTAACGGAGTTCGGCTGGGATCATGCCGCCTTCTGCTGTCGAATGCAGAAATGTCTCCTCGCATTGTAAGCCTCTCATTGGCAGCCCGGCTACATGCTCGCTGACCCGAGATGAGGTTCGCGGGTTGGTGGCTAATCCCCGTCGTGATCCTTGTTCTCCCCCCCTCCCGGAATCCGCCCCCGCGCGCCCGAGTCGGACTAGGCTTCCAATAAAATGAACAGAGGACATCTGATATTGCGTGGTTGGCTGGTTGCTTACACTAAACTCTGCCTCCATGGCGGATTTCCAGCCGTTCCGTCTGGCGCAGAGCTGTATGCAACAAGATGTAACCCCAGATGCGAAAGGATTCGTCTCAGCGCAGCTCCAACAGCTCGGCACACGCGGGCTAGGGGAAAATGCCAGAATAACAGACATGCCCCATTAGTTCATTCATTCCCATTCATACACTCATTCTCTTAAGGCCCGTTACGGCCGCCCTGGGGGCTAACTGCTGCGTCATTGAGACACTCTGCATTTGACAAAAGAAGAAACGAGGAACATTATCCCCCCCCCCCCCCTCAACCAACCAAACCGTGTCAGTAGCCGGGGAATGAGATAAGAACTCGCATCATGGCACAATCAGTGATGGGCTTCAATGAGATAATGGTAAGCAAAATCAACCTCCGGAGGCCGGCCCACTTCCCTCGCTTCGTTCGGAGCGTGCTCCGGTGGATTCCCCTTCACACTAGCTAGCCACGGCTACCGAGCCCCTCCAGCCGCCTTTTCGCTAACGGGTTTTTCTCCATCGACAAGGCTCTCGTCTGGGTGCTGTGGGCGGCCGCGCTGGGGATGACCGTCTTCCGGGGCAGTTTCCAATGGATCCTCCAGCGGCGGCTGTACGCGGACGACTACCTCATCATTGCGGGCCTCGCCACGCTGACGGCGTTATCCGTCGTCATCACGGCCATGCTGCCGCAATTCTACCTCGCCGGCGAGTACACCAAGGTCGCTGCCAAGGACCCCTTGGCGCCGCTGCCGCTGCCGCCCGACGAGTTCGTCGCGAGGACGATTGCAGCCCTCAAGTTGATGTTTTCGCAGATGCTGCTGTTCTGGACCACTCTTTGGGCGGGTACGGGTTTTCTTCCTTTTATAGCGTGCAAGCGAAGCGGTGCTGGATGCGCTGACGCAAACCCGCGCGCCCCCTCTAGCAAAGTTCTCCATCCTCTTCTTCGTTAGGCGGCTCATCACCGGACTACCGAGATACATCCGCGCTTGGTGGGCGTGCTTCGTCGCCGTCCTGCTGCTGTACTTGGCCTGCATTTTGTCCAACTTCTTGACGTGCGCGCCGTTGACCAAATACTGGAGTGCAAGTGAGTACGGATGGCCCGGTTAGCAACCAGAACTGACGTGTTGGGATCCAGCCGGGTGTAGCGCGCCGGAGGATCTTGTGCGCGCCGATGCGTCCATCAGGTTCGCGACTGGCGCCGATATTGCCGCGGATTTATTGAGTGAGCCCCCCGCCACTACTCTTGGGTCGGCACACCCTCTCATCCCGACTGAACTAACGCGGCTCACGCAGTCATGGTCCTGCCCCTCAACCTGCTGCGCAAGCTCACCATCTCGCGGTCCCACAAGCTCGGCCTCACCGTCCTCTTCTCCCTCGGCGGCGTCATCGTCGCCTTCGCCATCGCGCGCCTCGTACAGGTCACCAAGGCCACGGGCGACGCGGCCAAGGACCCCACGACCGTGGCCAACGGGCCGGTGCTTCTCAGCATGTGGAGCCACATCGAGTCCTCCGTCAGTGTCATCGTCGCGACGCTGCCGGCCTTCCGCTTTCTCTTCAGCAAGAACAGAGATATGGCGAGGAAGACAACGAACAAATACGCCAGCCCGATGATCGGCGGCCCCGGCGGCGTGTCCCTGCGGTCGATGAGGCGGCAGAAGGGCGCGGTCCGGTTGGACGGCAGGGACAGCGATATGACCATCTCGGCGCAGGGCAGTGAGACGGAACTGCGGCCGTTCAGAGGTATCGAAAAGAAAGTTGTGTTCGAGGTTGAGCACTTGCCACAAGAGTCGAGTTTGGGGGAAACGAAGCGCAGGACACAGGAGCCGTTTGCCTGACAGGAGGGGACAAGGCTTCCTTGAGGTAGATCCGCTGAAGAAGAGGACGGCTTCAACAAAAACCATTCCTCGCATGAGTACGCGAATCATCTCCTTGCTGTATCCAGGGGTCGCTCTTGAGTGAGCACAGGCCATGACTATAGGAGATGTGGTTGAAGCAGATGTCAGAGCTTCGGGATAGAAATCGTGCACTTATTGCTCCCTAGAAGCATTCAGAAGCAACCACCTCTCGCGACGTGAAGATTGTTATTATTCGATACATTATTATGCATTCATGTGCCCCTCGTAAGACATAAGAGTTGAGTCAGTCAATATATAAGACCTTAAAAGGAAGCCCCCTGAGCACCGAAATCCAGCCCCAAACGCCCCAATTGGTTATTTGAAAGTTTCTATACGCATCCGCAACATGGTATCTGTGCTCAAGCCAGGAAGCCAATAAATAAATAAAAAGCTGGGATCATCCTTGGGCCGCTTTAAGCAGCGCCGGTCAGGTTCTTGGTGTTCAGCTTGTTCCACCTCGAGCCGAGTGACACAAGGAAGGCGACGCCAGCGCCGGTGATGGCCAGAGCGAAGGCGATTTTGAGACCCTCCATGTAAGCCCGGATGATACCTGGGACAACCTCGGCGGGGAAGGCAGTGCGAATCTGGGTAGCACCGGTGAGGGCAACTACGGCCGGGTCGACGCTGGGCAGGTTTTCGGCGACTTCCTTGAGGATAGTGATGAGGAACCCGGACTGGGCAGCGGCTACGTAGAAGGCTCCGCCGACGGTTTGGAAGACTAGAGCATGGCTGTTAGTGATCATTCTTCTAGATTGGTTGGAGGGCTGGATGGACTTACATAGGAGGACGGCAGTGGAAGAGGCGAGGTCATCTGCGCTGACGGTGCCCTGGACGGCGATGATGGGGACCTGGAAACCAGCACCCCACGCTAGGCCAGCGAGGATTTGGTACCCAATCCACTTGTCGCTTCCAGTGCCGACATCGAGGGTGTAGAGGAGACCGGCACCAACAGTGGCAATGGCGGCGCTACCGACAAGAATCGGAGTGTAGATGCCGGTCGCGGAGATGGAGACACCAGACACGATGGTGGCGATGGTAACAGCAAGGATCAACGGGAGGTTACGAACACCTGACTGCGTCGGGGAGGCGTTGTCGACGGACTGAAAGTAGATGGGCAGGTAGTACACCAGGATGAAGTAGGCGCCGCCGAAGAAGAAGGCATAGACGGAGGAGATGAGGACAGTGCGATCGCTGATCAGGCGGGGCGCGATCATGGAACGCTCGCCCTGGTACCACTCGAGAATGATGAAGGCGATGAGAATGACGAAGAAGCCGACAAAGAGGCCGATGACGGTGGACGAGTTCCAAGGGTGGGTGTGGCCTCCCCACTGCAGGGCAAGCAGGAAAGAGATAGTGGCGCCCATGATAAGAAAGGTACCGATGAGATCCATCTGAAGGAACTTCTCACGCAAGCTGGCCTTGACGGGAACGGCATGGGGTGGAGTGGTGAAATATAAGAGGATGATGGCGACGGAGACGCCTCCGATGGGGAGATTGATGTAGAAGCACCAGCGCCAGCTAACGTGGTCAGTGAAGGCGCCGCCGATGAGGGGGCCAATGACGGAGGCAATGCCGTACGCGGCCCCGACGATGCCAGTAAAGGTCGGTCGCTTGTCGGGCGGGGCAGAGAACCCAATGATGGTGTAGGCGCCGGAGGCGACGCCGGCGGCGCCGACGCCGGCGATGGCGCGGCCAATAATGAGGGCAACCGAGTTGGGCGCGACGGCGCAGATGAGGCTACCGATTTCGAAGATAAAGATGGAGAGCAGGAAGGACGTCTTGAGCGGGAAGTACTTGTATGCTTTGCCCCCTGTTTGTGCTCATGTTAGTATCGTGACTAGTGGAGTGTGCTCAGGGGTAGTGACTTACATGTCGACTGGAAGGCAGCGACACACATGAAGAATGCGGAACCATACCAGGCAACCTGGTCCAAGCCGCGGAACTCGTCGGTGATCTTAGGGATGGCGGTTGCGACAATGGTCATATCCAGAGCGACAAGGAAAACGCTGAGGACGAGGGCGACGATAACGAAGGTAAGCCGGATGCCGGTGGGGTAGACGGCCTCGGTCGCATCCGTAGGTTGTGTTGAGCCCGCTTCTTCATCGGTAGCGGTACCGGTCTCTTCCTTCTTCTCGACGGTATCACCCAGCACGGACGGCGAGGTGGTGGAGTCCCGGTCCGTCTCCCCCTTCTCGCGGGCCGGTACGAGGGTGCTCGCGGGAGAAGTCATTGCGTTGACGGTGGTGTTGTATCCGGATCAGACTCTGACGACGAGAAACAGACTTTGATATCAGGAGAAAGCTATCGTTTCTCGAACCCTAGTAATGTGTTGGGAGTCTGGGGTGTATAGAATGTGGTTGACTGTCTCTGTACTGCGTGCCATAAGACAGAACTGGGCCCAGAACCGGGAGAGGCCAGGCTCCCTTATGTATCTGGGAGACCGTCATGATTGACAAGTGATGCGGGTCGGACTTTGGGAGTTGCTAACACCCGGTGGGCTGCCCACCGCTCGGAGCTAGAGTGAGAGACACCGGCAAAGGTACTTTGGCCAAATGCGGATGTAGTGAGCTGGGCGTCTGACGGCGATGACAAAGATGGCGGATGGCATGATTGGATGCACTATCCCACGTCGGAGACATTTTGGTCTGTATTGCTCATCGTGTGTGGTGTAAAGCTCATATTGCACAGTAGCACAACGGGAGATGGGCCCGCCCAGCACGTCTGGTGGAAGCATCAGGTCCGAGAAGGGTGCATTAGGCCGGGACGATACGGCGGTACGCGACTTAACTCAAACCGTGATATGAAGGCGCCATTGGTAGGCCCTACGCAGTACGGAGCGACACAAGACCAAAACGGATAATGAATTAAAGTGTGAAGGCTCGGTTGCACAACCCGGGCGTCGCTGCTTGGTAACCAAACAGCACGACCTTCATCTAATCTCCGCCTACGTGCCGCGCTGAAGGTCATGATTTTTTTTGAGGCAGCCCCTTGGCTAGACTGCTCGGGCGTTGGTTGTGAATAGGCGGAATGTTTGAAAAGTCCGCAACATCCCTTGCGGATGTGTGTGTGTGTGTGTGCCCTTGCCTCGCATTGAGGCTGAGACAGGAGACAGACACAATAGGCTCGCCAACGGGGTGGCATTGCTTACGGTACTTCCTTCCAGCCCTTGTCTCTCTGCTGGCGTGGCGTGCTTGCATGTCCGCAGCGTGCAAGTGCCGGTTCCGCCGATTCGGCGGAAGTAATGGACATAACAGCCTATTTCTGCGGACTTTGGACGGGGGCCAAGCAGAGGTAGTCAAACCTGACGCATTTCCTAGCTTTCAGGGGGTCGGGTCGATCTGAGCTCCCGCACCGCACTTGCGAGGAACTTGGTTTATGCCGTTTAGGAGTAGTCCCAATTTCACAAGCAACTTTTTGGGTCTAGACGGATAAGGCTGCGCTTGGTGACCAGTCGACGCCGTCACATCAGCAAAGGCTGCGCCCGCCCTGTATCTCGGGCCAATATTGAGCCTTCTGATTTGTAAAGCAACTTTGTACCCAATGTTTCGCCTACCGGTGACTCGTCATCCAGTGCTTGCTTTAGTAATGGGCATGGTTGAGGCGACCAGATATGCAGACGAAGCAATAGGAAAGAGGGACAGAGCCGACGCAATGGAACCCACAGCAACAAGCCTAACCAGACCAACACTCTCGTTAGCGGCGGAGCAACGATGTGGAGAAGTACCTTGCTAGGTAGGTAGTTAACGTAGGTACCTAGCTGTGGCTGGCTAACGGATACATGTCCCACCGAGTAAGCTTTTGAAGGGTGAGTCCGTTAGCAAGATGATGCATCCGAAGTTCAGACATGACGCAGCCCAGAGGACAGGACCCATGTTGCACAGCAGCATGTCATGTTCGGATGAGGGACAACCTCCGTCTCTGCTCGAGTAAGTTGTTGACGCCAAAATACGGTGACATGAGTCACCCAATCCTTCGGTTTCGGGCGCCTAGGCAAGAAGGCGCCTTCACGTAAGACGGATTCGCAGCTGCAGCCCAAGGTCAGGTCAGCATGAGCCCGTTCCGGGGTCTCCGCTGCCTCCATAGCGTGCAGTTTGGGTTCCAGTCCGTTGTGAGATGTACTGCCCGTAATCAGAGGAACGCCGTTGGGGGAGAGGAAGACGGTCAACAAGACGGGCGTGTCAATCGTTACACTGAGGATCAGGCCAGCAAAGCAAGTCCGAGATGACGCCAAGGGGAAGCCTGCTCACTTGCTTAAACGCTTGCTCATGCAAGGCAAAAGAAGGTCTTGGGTGCGACCCAGTGTTGGTGTTGCACGTGTCTGGCGGTCTTGAGATTGGCTTTTGTCAGATTTACGAGTGCTGCAGCTAGCGAACATGATTGCTCAATGAACGGTGGCAGGATCAGGTAAATTGATAAGCAGGTAGGTACCCTACGCTACGCGCCCACCTAACAGGTAGGTACCCTACGCTACGCGCCCACCTAACAGGTAGGTACCGTAAGTTTGGCCGAGCACGGACGAGAGAATGTTGGAATATTAGGTAAGAACGACACACGCTGTCGCCCATCCGTCCACACCTTGTGAGGTAGGTACGGCACTCCGTACCTAGGTACCCAGAAATGTCACCCCCCGGAATAGGAAGGGACGAGTGAAATGCTGCCCCCTCCATCCACACACACGTATAGGTAGTGCACACTACGGATAGAGAAACCACAATCCCGTCGTCCTGGTACCGGTCATTCCCGTATGGCCAAACGAGGGTGTCCTGATGGCACTTGATCCGCCCAATCGGAATGCCATGTGCCAGGTCGAGCACGGTTACTGTGCAGTGTACCTAGGTAGGTCCAAGGTGGCGGGCGCCCTACTTGCAGCTGACGTGGACCAAGCATCCCACAATTATATCCGTCCGGAGTCTCGGTCGAACTTGTTCTTTCCGCAGTCGACCGGATATCTCGGTCGAAACGGCCCAACCGTTTACATTCCATCCACCCGCCCCGACGATCAAATGCCGAACCTCAGGCCGCATTGGCAACCCGGGTCGTGGACGAAGCCTCGACGGCCCGCCCCCTCGATAAAAGTGAGAACCGAGGTACTAGCACAAGGCGGTCCCTCGTAAGGTCGCACAGGTACACAACACTAACCATAACCTATTTCCATGTGTATGTGTAGTTGTTTGGATGAATGTTGCTAGGAGTATTGTGGAGGGAAAGCTACTTGTAGTGACCTCGTGCCTTCCGTAGTGTGGCTTACCTAAGCAGTCATAAAAACACAGGATAAAAGTGAGAACACCCCCGATGCAGCGTTTGCGCCGGCTTCAGGGCCCGGCTTGCCTTCGCCCATGCCTGTCGGCCCCAGGCGGCCTGCATTTAATGGCACGACTCAGTCATACCTTGTCATTCCTGACGTGATGTGATGTTCTTGATCCCAGTTCATCGTAAATTTCGTCGTGCAACTCTAAACTGACCTCAGGCCTCTCTTAACATTGGCCTCAGCCCGCCCTGTACCCCGTTGCCCGCCAATCTAGTCGCTTATCTCGACCAAAGCCGTTCGAACTTCAAAAAAGCCAAGGCTTAATTACATATCTCTCATCGAGTACTCGCCATTGGCCATTGGCCACGATATCGCCAAGGAGACCTTAGTCTGACTGTATCCCAACGGCCTTTACCCAAGATAGAGTCTATCCATTACCATAAGAATTCATACCAATTACGGCGTGACAAACAATCTACTTACGTGAGATGTTTGTTGTTGGCTGTCTACGGGAGAAGCCCTGGAGAGCAGCGTCGAAATTTAAGGCTGGTGCCCGGGGGTCCTACCGGAGATGCGCTAAAGCCCCCCCCCCCCAAAGATGTTTAATATTTCGACAGTCCTAAATTCGCGACGTCTAGCGGACGGAAACGTCCACGGTTCCGCACTGTGATGTCACGTTTGTATCGCGCTAGAGCCAGTGCTTTTCGTGTGGATCAGGCAGAAACAACGTGCTGCTCTGCCGCTAAAGCACTGTTTCCAAAACCCTCTACGTACTGTACTCTTTTTTCCCACCGTCTTCCTTGGTCCAAGCTGATGTAGGCAATCGCATCACCACCAGTCAGTCAGGTATGGACCTGTTGTGGCCCTCTTCATATCACATTCCTCCCGCCTAGTGATCGCACATCGGCCACCATGACGGACGAAGTGCCGCATCCCAAGTCCATCCTCCGCGGTCACAAAGCCCAGGTCCACGCTCTCGCGTTCGTACGCGGCAACGAGAGACTGGCCAGTGGAGATGCAGAAGGTTTTGTCGTTCTCTGGGACCTCACAATCTTGCGCCCAACGGCGGTATGGAGACCCCATGAGAATGCTATTTTGGGCATCGAGGGCTGGGGAGACGACCGCATCATCACGTAAGCCTCGTCTCAACTTTCGAAACAGTCGACTGCCTCTTACACCGCGTGCAGCCATGGCCGGGATCACAGGCTCGCCGTTTGGCAATTGGGTCCTAAGGACGAGTCACATCTTAGCAAGAAGCTCCCGCTCGATGAGACGCCTGAACCAAGACCTCAGCCCTGGCTGCTACACCTCATCGGGGTCAACACCATGAATTTCTGCTCCTTCGCTTCATGCGTTCCGCTGTCTGAGGGCGCGTCCGAGACTACGAATTTGTTGCTCGCCGTACCAAACACGTTGGCTTCGGAGTCGGTTAGTCCAACCCCCTTCCGCTATCTCCGGCTCTAAAGCCCGAGAGCCTCGATTACTGCACGCGAGATCGGGACTAACCCGCCCCGCCGTGATAGGTCGACGTGTATGAGTTACCCTCTAAAAAACGTCTTCACACCGTAAAAACCACGGAAAAGAACGGCATGGTCATGGCCCTAGCCCTCCTGTACGTCGACGGAGTCTCCTCGACGGCGCCATCCGCCAATAGCCAGTTAACCCTCGTTGCCGGGTACGAGAATGGCCTGGCAACGGTTAGGCAGTTCGCTGGCGGCACATGGAACACCATCTACTTGTCCCAAGTGCACAACCAACCCATTCTTTCGCTAGCCGTGGTCGCAGACCAGGGTTATTTTCTTACCTCCGGTGCGGATGCAGTAGTGGCCAAACACCCTATCCCCGGCCCTAACCCCGCTGTCGACGGGAATCTCGTACAACAACCGTTGAAAATACTGAACACCAAGCACTCAGGCCAACAGGGCCTACGCATCCGCGACGACGGCCGCATCTTCGCTACCGCGGGCTGGGACTCGACCATTCGCGTATACTCGGCTAAGACCCTCAAGGAGGTGGCGACGCTAAAATGGCACCAAGTTGGATGTTACGCCGTTGCATTGGCCAATGTTAAGGCGGCTCCTCGAGCTCATGAGACCCGAGGCGCCTCACGCGATCTCATTTCTCATACGGGCCAAATCAGTGTCAAGGACAGACGCATACAACAGGCGCAGAGTGCTCACTGGCTGGCAGCTGGCAGCAAGGATGGCAAAATATCCTTGTGGGATATCTTCTGATATACCTCTCCGAGCAGATCTACGTCCCAGCTCCCAGCCATGGTACATCTAGCGCGGAACCTGGGCGTGCGTACCATTTTTTTCACAGGATTCACGGCTCACGCCACTGTAACTGGTCCTCCAAAATCAGGAAGATTCAGCCGGCGACAGTGCGATTATGAACAGGCATCAACCACCTCATATCGAACCGCGCGTCACCACTTAATCGCGCCCGCAGGCACGCGTTCGATGCTTGATGTCGCCCTCTGCTGAACCAACAAGGACGATGTAACTACCAAGTACTACGATGTGACATAGTGGCCAAAGACACGATCTGATGGCAGGGGCTAGGGACCTGATCAGTGAATACACGAAGTGGTCCGCATTTCTCAAACGCCTAGTATCTGACGTGAGAATAAGTCCACTACGGATCTTTTTGCTATGCTTGCCTTCCAGAAGTTAAACTCCGTGGCCGGCCCTTCCACTGACAGCCACGCCAATCATGTCCTTTGAGAAAACGAATAATCATCCATTTGGAAGGACAAAGCCTCGCCCTATGTGGAGTTCCTACAGGGCGATAAGCAGGGGAACTTTGTGGGGTCTGGTGATCCCTGAAGTTGCACAACACGGAAGCATGCAGCGTGGAATTTGATGAACCATATGTATATAAAAGGGGGTTCTCCAACTGTCTGCTTCATCCGTGTTACAGCCATTTGATTCTTGTCTGCGTTCAGAAAGTGCCTCAAGAGACGCCTTCCAAACGCCTTCCAAACATACATACTTCTTTGCCAAGCCCTTAAGAAAAGCAGATCATCATCATCATCATCATGTCGATCATCGGCGAAGAATACAAGAACGTTGCTACGCTGGGCATGAGTGCCTATGCTGCGCCCTCGCTTTTCCAACCTCACAAGGCTCGCCAGGCCATCCGGGATGCTCACAAGAAGAAGATCCCCCCATTGATGTGCTACTATGCTGGCCTCAGCGCTATTCCCCTGACGCGGTTTCTCGCTCCCATGGGATACGATGCCGTCTGGATTGACTGGGAGCATACCGCCTGCAACGTCGAAACCATGACGACGGTATGTTACTGCCAAGAACACCATATTAGGATACGATGGAGCTGACAGTTCCGCAGATGGTCCATGAAGCCATCTTCATGAGCCAAGGGCGCACCATTCCTTGGGTCCGGTAAGGACCATCATATACCCGAGCAATGTTGGTTGCGAGCTAACACACCACGATAGTGTCCCTGGCCACGACCACGCGGCCATTGGATACGCGCTGGATGCTGGCGCCAGCATCGTGATCCCGCAGGTTGAGACGGTGGAGGAGGCCAAGCACGTCATGTCGTCGGCTAAGTACGGCACCAAGCAGCGGGGCACGCGGTCGGCGCCACCGTTCCGCCTCATCCCCTTCCTGACCGACACGCCGTACGACCCCAGCCGTGACCTGCATAAGTGCCTCAACGACCAGGCGGCCGTCATGATCCAGATCGAGTCTGCCGAGGGCGTGCGCAACCTCGACGCGATCCTCACCGAGTGCCCGGACATCGACGTTGTCTGGTTCGGCACGCTCGACTGCCGCGTCAGCATGAACCTCGAAGGCAGGATGGGCGGGATGGGCGCTGAAGAGCCCGAGTGGCTCGCCATCTCTAAGATCTTCTTCGACACGATAGACAAGCACGACAAGCCGTACGCCGGTTTCGCGTTCGGCGCGCCGCCGTACGGCAGCCCCGAGAAGATTAAGGAAGCGGCCAAGAGAATGAGCCTCATCGCCGTATCAGCCGACGTACTCCATCTCGGCGCGCTGGCGGAGGACCTCAAAGTTGCTAGAGAGGCGGTCGGGCCGGTGGGACAGAAGATCGGCATCAATGGGGCTAACGGAAATGACACCGAGACGACGAATGGTAAGGAGTAAGAGATGAATCACGAGGGTTCACCATTGAAGACCGGTACAAGCATCCTCTTTGAGGAAGAATAGCAATAACCAATTTTCAACGCTCGTACGACGCGACGCGGTCGCCGTTGCTTTTCTTTGGGGTGATTGAGCCTGGAAAAGAGAGGTGCTGTTCTGTACCTCTCCGATCAACCACCAGGCATCTGGATAGGTAGGCAGACATGGCTACGTGCCATACCGCAGCGTGCAGATGCAAGCAATTTTTTCCGATAAATTCAGGTAGGTAGGTACAAGGACGAAAAATGCGACAGCACTATGATAGATAGACATAGCTGTTGCTCCTACAGCATGGGTATTCCAGGATTTCACCCCTACCTTCCTACTATGGGAAAGGAAGTCGAGTACGGATACCTAGGGTGGAGCTGTCTTTCCCCCGCTCCTATTATACGCGCAGCGATCCTTCCTTCCTTCCCACACCGATCTTCAGTTTCCGACCTTGTAAAGACAGGAAGGAAGGGGGCTTCCTCCAGTGTCGTACTTCGTCACACGGCGTACCCTCCTGCGTCTTGCCTTGACTAATCCATGTTCTTCTTGGTGCCCTGTATTTACTTCCCCCTCCTTTGCCCTCCGGACTTCTCTTCTTCCACATCATGGAGAGGCCACCCAAAACTCTTCCCCATGATGCGTCTAAGCCCCGTCCCTCAGGCATGTCAGGGCCGCCCAAAAGGCCAGACAAGCCATTGCACAGAGGCTTACTCTGTCTGGGACGGCGTTTTGTCGTTTTGGTCCCGGCTTTATTTTTGCAACCATCTTCTCGCTTACGCTGACTTCTTCTCTTAGACTACAGCTACGGTGGTGCTACTCTGCCGCCGCTGCTGTTTTCCGTTGCTGTCGTCGTTTTTGTTACAGTTTTTGGGATCTAAATCCTTTATCGGTTCCTTCAAGCTTTTTTTTTTTTTCATTGAGCTCTATTTCATTGCAGGAGGCTCGAATAATAGAGCGGTATGCTTAGAAGATGTAGAAGGTGCGTGGTTGGCGGTTGATGTTAATGCTGCAAGTGGCAGTAGCGCGGCATGGCGGATTGCGGCTCATTCACATTTATCAGCATTGATGCAATGTTCTAGAGCAGCGAATCAATTGCACATAAGCGACATTTGAAAACCACTTGGCTTGCTTGGCAAAGCTTCATTCAAATTCAGATCAAAATGGTGGCTGCCAACCCGCTCCGGGCACCAGTCCTACGCGGCAGATATGGCCATGACTGCAGCTAGACCTGCAACAACACTCTCCTCCAGTGAGCTACAGATTGACCCGAGAAGTCCGACGACTAGGAGAACGCAACAGCCTCAGAACACTATGAAATGTTTGAAGACAGTCGAGCGTCGGCAAATCCCAGCGATTTGTCATGATACCTGCACAGGGGCAACAATATGACTCCTCGTTTCGATGCAAAAAAAAAACCCGGACGTGGAAGGCACCGGCTCGATTACTAATTACTAAGAAATCCCGCCACTGGCGGCGATCAAAACTCGGCACGTGACCTTTTTTGCTTTATCGATAAGAGACCCCCCCCCCCCCCCCCCCGCTATCCTAGAATTTTTTTTGGGATGGACATCCCACTTTCTCGTGATACCCCGCCATACACATACATTGAGAGCCCAATCCTCCTAATATACCCCCCTTGCCGCCCTACACGCACACTCTCACTCAAAACATCGACAAGGACGAGGAGGAAAACCCAAAACAAGAAACGGCCAGAGAGAGAGAACAACGCAATGACGAACGCCACGATCCTCTGCTGCAACTGCGGCGCCCCCATCGACGGCACGACTGCCGCTGGTGCGCTCTGCTACGACTGCATCAAGTTGACCGTCGACATCTCCCAGGGCGTACAACGCGAGGCCACCCTCAACTTCTGCCGAGACTGCGACCGCTGGCTGCTGCCCCCAAGCAGTTGGGTTGTCGCCGCCCCAGAATCCCGCGAACTCCTCGCCCTCTGCCTCAAGAAGCTCAAGGGCCTGAACAAGATCCGTATCATCGACGCCTCTTTTGTTTGGACGGAACCTCACTCGAGGCGAGTGAAGGTCAAAATCACCATTCAGGACGAGGTGCAGACCGGCGTCCTACTGCAGCAGTCCTTTGAGGCCGTCTACATTGTTGCCTACCAACAATGCCCCGACTGCGCAAAGTCGTACACGGCGAACGTCTGGCGCGCCTCCGTTCAGGTCCGCCAAAAGGTCCTGCACAAGAGGACGTTCCTGTTCCTCGAGCAGTTGATCATGAAGCACGGTGCACACAGGGATACACTCAACATCAAGGAGGCTAAGGACGGTATCGACTTCTACTTCTCGGCCAGAAATCAAGCTGAAAAGTTCTGCGACTTTCTAAACTCGGTGGTGCCCTGCAAGGTCAAGAAGTCGCAGGAGCTGATTTCACAGGACGTCCACACTTCCACAAAGTCTTACAAGTTCACCTTCTCAGTGGAGCTGATCCCCATATGCCGTGACGACCTCGTGGCCATGCCCATCAAGCTGGCCAAGGCGTCCGGCAATATATCTCCCCTTGTCATCTGCCACAAGATCGGGACCTCAGTATACCTCCTCGACCCCAACACCCTCCAGACTGCCGACGTCAGCGCACCCATCTACTGGCGTGCGCCCTTCCACTCCCTCGCCGACGTCAAGCAGTTCGTCGAGTTCATCGTCATGGACATCGAGCCCACCAACATCACAAAAGGCAAATGGCGCCTCGCTGAGGTGCAGGTCGCTCGGGCGTCCGACCTGGGCGTCAACGACAAGACATACTTTGCAAGGACACACATGGGCAACCTGCTGCACGCGGGCGACTCTGTCCTAGGCTACATGCTCACGGGCACCAACTTCAACAATGAGGAGTTTGACGCCATCGAAGAGTCGCACGCCTACGGCTCAACGATACCGGACGTCATACTCGTCAAGAAGCACTACCCTAACAGGAGGAAGCACCGCAACCGCAACTGGAAGCTCAAGCGCATGAACAAGGACGAGGGCGAGCTTCTGCCGAAACAGGCCGACCAGGACCGTATGAACGAGGACTATGAGCAGTTCCTCCGTGACGTCGAGGAGGATGAGGAGCTCCGCGCAACGATGGCGCTCTACAAGGCCCAACAGCCCGCAAAGGTCGACCCCGACGCCATGAGCATTGCCGAGACAGAAGACGAAGGCGTGCCGCGGGTAGACATGGATGAGCTTCTGGACGACATGGACGAGCTCCAGATCAAGGAGTAAGTGGATTTTCTTGTCTCTGAACGGAGGGTTGTGTGGGATGGTTTATGGGAAGCATGATGTGCCCACTAGGATGGTCGTCAAGGTTAAGTGGCCGTCTGCGAGGATAACGTTGTCTCGGTGGGTTTTTTTTTCCCTAGGCACAGCAAAAGAGAGCAAGGGTATGTCTTCTTTTCACAAAACAGGATGGGACGGTTCAGGGATGGCAATGGCGTGTATGCATCAGATACCTTCACGCTCTCGACAGGACTCGACGCAAGCAAGAAAGGGCGTTGCCTTTTGTGTCAAGTTGGGAGGAAACAATCATACTCGGGTCACCACACGGCTCATGCGTGCCCACTCTGTTGAAGTCTTTACGAGTCGGTCTTCCGTTTAGCCGCCTATCACCATCGCCGCCATCGCCGCCATCGCCGCCTATCACCATCGGCCATGTGGTATTTCAACCAACCCCCGTGTACCTGTCGGCGATGTTGCGGAAACTCTATCCAGACTGCTTATTCATGTCCCGTCCCATCGAGGCTACCCGAGCCCACCTCACGTACAATCAGCGGGTATCCTTTTCTGGGCATCGACTTTCTCAACCAAGTCCAGCGTCTGTGCCCTATGCTCCCTCACTCCCACTTTTTCTACTACCCCCGGTGCCTGTCACGCCTGGGCGCACTCGCAGTCTATGCCGAATGGCATGGTCGCTGAGGCATGCCGGCTGACCTGTTTCCAGTTGCTGATCTCCGATGGCCGGTGGATTTCCGGCACACTCACTCACCCGTACAAGACACACGATGCGCTCGGCTGTGGCCTGTGTTTGCAGGGTTGAGTCCCGCACTGAATACCCTGGGGATCTTCTCATCCCGCCCTCTGCCGCGCCCCTTGGCCTGCTTTGGGGAAGTGGGGGTCCGTTTCTGGTTCACGATTCCGATGAGCTTGCGTTCCCCCAAAACGTGATTGTTAGTGTATCACTAAGAGGAACCACCTTGAATCTGAATCCCCTCAAGACGTCGCTCCAGACCGCACTCTCACCTGCTGTTATCCACATATTAAACTCTACTATTCCAGACCCCTGGCTCAAATAAGCACCTGTCAATTCTCGCCCCCGGGACACAATTTCCCATCTTTCCAACACCCAACCACCAACTCCAGTTTCAGATAGGCGTCGGGCACCCTCCACCTCCCTTATACTTTTCGTCCCAGACGCTCCCGCATAGCCCGCGGCCGTTCAAAAAACTCAATACACCGCACCCTACCCCCTTCTCCGCCATGGTGGGCTTCTGTCCATCCAACTCTGCCAAGTATCTGCATAAGGCCGCCGGGGGAGGGGGGGAGGCATCTTGGTCCCTGGGAACAAAGAGGCTGCACAACAGGGACAGGTACGGTATGATCTCTTGGTGCCCTGGCGGCATTTTTCAAGCCTTTGATGGTGGGGTCCAACGGGCTGGACGCCGAAGTTGGCGGCGGCGTGTGAACTGTTTCACAGCTGCGTCGTTTCCACGTCAAGCCTGCTGCCTGCCATCCGATCGAGATGGCATGGGGGGACACTCAAAGATTGCAGGCGGCACAGAGCCGTGACTTCATCGGCGATGTTGATGACGACGGCGTTTCGTGTCGATGTACCATGTGTACCGAAGTTAGTGGCGTGGGGGAAGGGTGGTCGATGGCATGCGTCAGCAACCTCGGCAGCCTCAGCGATCGCAACAGGCTTCTTCTCTTGAGGTTGGCACAACTTCACTTGTTCTACCCTATCAATACCGCGAGAGAAGGTTTTTCAGGCAGTGTCATCTTGGATTTTTCCAGACCACGGCATAGCATGGGTGGTCTAGCATGGCCGGTGTACATTGGCTCACTGTAGTAAAGTTTCTCGCGTCTGCATAAACGTTACCTTGAACATGAATCACTTGCATCGCAAATGCATGTAGATGTGCCGCACCGGAATATCGTTACGCTGGCACAGGCGGGAAACGCAGTGCCTACGTTATGCTATAGACAGATAATGCTGTATTTCTATTCCGGGCGCACCTCGCCAGTACTACCGGGGACATGATAGTATCACGGCCTTCATGCCACGCGGCTAGCTCGTTACGACGGCAGTGATATTGCCCGAGCTGCAAGATGGCATACCGGCGCTTGACAAATTGAGGGTATCTTCATGCTGCGACAGTACAGACGATACGCAGCATCACAAAGCCCAGTGTTAAACCTTCAAACACCCCCCCCCCCCCCCCCCCCCTTCTTTTCCCTCTCCGGATTTCCAAGTGCGGATAGAGTCGTCTGTTCGGCTGAGGGAGGGAGGGAGTGAGGGGGTGTAAAGTAGCGTCATATCCCTAAGCGCCCTTCATGCCATGCTGTCCAGCTGCCATCTTGGTAGCTTCGCAACCCGTGCAGGCATAACATCTCGGGGAGGTGGGTGGCCCGGAAACCTTCGCACCCGCTGTCGCCGACGCAGCTATCTTCGTTCTCGCTCCCGCCAGACAATCCCGCAGATACCGACGCCAGGGAACCTTTTCGTCCTATGAGGTCTTTTATTTATCATCCTTCGGTTGAGTTGACGATTGCGATAAGATTTCCGAAAAGAGGGATGCAGTACACGTATACACACATCACAACGTGCGCATATGCACGCCGCACACCACCTTGCTCAGAAGATCTTCCCTAGCACCCGCGCCACATCCCCAGCCGGCTTGCCACCCGAGGATGTATCACTCTTCCTATCCGCCAAGGGTATTTGCTTAAACACCGTCCGCTTCTTGTCCGCTTGCCCGTCATCCACGCCCGAAGCCGCACCCGAGCCGGAGGCAGCCCCTTCCCTGTCCGCCGCAGCATTGACCCCCTGCTTCCCACTGCGCTTCGCCTTGGTCGCCGCAATGCCGTCCATAACCCTCGCCCTCTCGACGTTGCGCACAAACTCCTTGTTCTCCTTGCTGGCCTTGCTGATCTCGGCCCGCATCCTGCTCGTCCGCTCCGCATTCTCGGCCGAGATCTGCTCCGTCAGGTGGCGCCACTTAAACCCCTTGAGATACTTGAGCGTCCAGATGTCATCATGGTAGTAGCTGCCCTTCTTGCCGCCGATCGTCCGCGCGTTGAGAAGCTCGCACATGGCCTTGGCATCGCGCTTGCGTAGAAACTCGACCCAGCCCTCCGTGTACGACTTCTTCTTGTTCCCTCCGTTCTTGACACGACGCGCGTGTGCCGCGGGGTCCTCGGGTGCGAGGAAGATGCGGTTGATCTTGCCGTAAGGCTCGAGCAGGGAGCGTAGCTTCTGGGGCTTCATGAAGGGCGGGATGCGCGAGATGTAGACGACGCCCGACTTTTTGATGGCCTCCTCCGTCGCGACGAGGTTCTTTTTTGTAAGGGGCTTTGAAACGTCCGGGAGATCCACGGTCGTGTTGGGTCTTGATTGTTTCTTGCTCGAGGTTGAAGCTTGTGCTTCCTCGTCTGCGTCGCCATCCTGATCGTCCGATGCGCCGCCTGCCTTGGAGGCATCGTGCTCCTCGTCACTGAAATCGTCCTCGTCTTCGCTGTCGAATTTGCGTCTCTTGGCGCTGCGACCTCCCTTGCGCAGCTCCTCGGCCTCGGAGTCGTAGCCCTGGTCAAGGTCGTCGTCGTCGCTGTCTTCCGCCTCGAGGAACTTATTCCGCTTTTCGGGAGCCATGATGGCAAATGAATGGTGTGGTGGGGTACAGTTAAGGATATCAAAGCCTCAAGTTCATACAGTCAGGCTGCAATCCAGCGGTAGCCTTATTCGCAAAGGTGCAGTGCATGTGCCGTTGTAGATACATACAAGAGACCGCGATCCAGTTGAGTAGCACTTTGCAAAAGTTTTAGTGGGACTCGGCGCAAAGCCCAACGACGAGACGTCTTATCGCTGATGATTACCTCATCACAGCGATACCGCGCTTATCTCGGTGCGCGGTGCGTACCCCTCCGCGCCGTTGCCCCTCTGCCCCTCAGGGAATGACGATTCATGAACGAAATCAAGGGGATATCTAAGCCGTGTGCTGCCTCTTAATCATCACAGCAATTCAATCACTTTTCATTTTCCCCCCTCATCTTGATCATAAGCCTATACCCTGATAAACGCTGTCAAGATGTCTGTCGAAGTCCTCAAGACCATCTCCCCCACGACGAACGAGCCTGTCATCACCCGCAACGGCGTGTCCCAGACCGACTTAGATGAGCTCCCTACCACCGCCACCAAGGCATTCGAGTCTTGGAGCAAGACTTCCCTGGCAGACCGCCAGTCCATCGTTAAGAAGGCTCTGAAGCTCCTCCTCGAGAAAAAGGATGAGTTGGCTGAGGAGCTCACCGTCCAGATGGGCCGCCCCATCGCCTACACCGGCGGCGAGGTCGCCACCGCGGTAAAGCGCGGTGAGTACCTCCTTAAGATCAGCGAAGAGGTGCTCAAGGACACCGGTGGCGAACCGGAGAAGGGCTTCAAGCGCTTCATTCGCAAGGTTCCCGTTGGCCCGGTTCTCGTCCTCTTCGCGTGGAATGTGGGTTGTCTCCTTTCTGCGTGGCAGCCCGGCGCGTGCGCCCGGTGGGGACTGTGATCCGCGCTGTGATGCGTGCAACCGCCCGAGCCGCCACGACGATCCGCCTGACTCTTGCTAACATGGCACTTCCAGTACCCTTACCTCATCTTGGTGAACTCCCTCATCCCTGCCCTGCTGGCGGGAAACACCGTCATCCTGAAGCCGTCGCCGCAGACGCCCACGATCGTGGAGCGCGTGGCTGAGGTGTTTGAGGAGGCCGGCCTCCCCACTGGCGTGCTGCAGTACTTCCACTGCGGCTCACCCATCATGATCGAGTCCATCGTCCGCAACCCCAAGGTGAAGCTTGTCGCCTTCACCGGCTCGGTGGCTGGCGGCCTCGCCGTGCAGCAGGCTGCATCAGATCGCATCGTCAACGTGGGGCTCGAGCTTGGCGGCAAAGATCCCGCTTACATCCGCGACGATGTCGACATTAAATGGGCCGCGGAGGAGATTGTCGACGGCGCCGTCTTCAACTCTGGGCAGAGCTGCTGCTCCGTCGAGCGGGTGTACGTCGCCGACAAGATCCACGATGCCTTTGTTACGGCCGTCCAGAAGGTCCTCGAGGGGTACAAGTTGGGCGATCCCTTTGACAAGGGCACACATGTCGGCCCCGTGATCTCCAAGCGTTCCAAGGAGATGATCGAATCGCACATCAAGGACGCCATCGCCAAGGGCGCCACCGACGCAACCCCCGCCAACGAGACGTTCGACAACCCGCCGCCCAAGGGCAACTTTGTCAAGCCCACGCTCCTGACGGGCGTGAATCACTCGATGACGGTCATGACTGAGGAGACTTTTGGGCCGGTGATTCCCGTTCAGCGGGTCAAGAGTGATGAAGAAGCTGTGCAGCTCATGAATGACAGCGAGTTTGGCCTAACGGCCAGCATCTGGACCAAGGACACGGAGAGGGGCTACGAGCTCGCGGACCAGGTGGAAGCGGGTACTGTCTTCGTGAACCGCTGCGATTACCCCAGCCCGGTAAGTCATGCACACACATCTGCCACGTCTGCCGTGGCTATCACCCGATCCGATCCCATACGACCACCCCGATTATCCCTCCGTGCTTTTGGCCCCGTTCCCCATCTTGTACTCCTGATCCACTCCGAAATCGCGCCGGCCGCCTAAAGTCAACAAGTCCATCGGGTTTTACCCGGCGCTTGGGGGCGATGACGGCACGTCGTTCCTTTGTTGCCTTACCCTGCCTTTCCTGTCTGTCCCTCTTACTTATCTGCCCGATGGGGTGGCGCAACACTTGACTTGGATTTCTTTGCAAACAACTCACTGGCCCATCTGGCATTCAAGCCGCTTTTGCCGTGCCCCGCCCCAGAAGCTCATCGACGCTAACAACCCTTTTAGGACCTGGCATGGACGGGATGGAAGAACTCGGGCAAGGGACAGACTCTAAGCCGCTTTGGTTACGATCAGTTCGTCAAGCTCAAGAGCTACCACCTCAAGGACTACCCCAAATGAATGGGGCAGCACGGAATGTCTCGCGAAGCAGCCGCAGTAGCCAACATGCGCCCGGTACACCGATCGGGTGGAAGAGCTGTTAAAGCAGGACCTGGGAAGGGCATGATTGTGCGAGAAAGAACGGTTGTTTCTGGGGGGATGGGGCGTGGCGGCACTGCTACATATCGCGTCTCCGTCAAACTCAAGGCCCCCGATGAAGCACGGCGGCATGGTTTGATTTTCTTGACACGGGCGCACGTCAGGGACGGCGTTATCACCGCACGGGCACCCGCTGTTCCCCTGGCTTAGGCGTCTTCCCTTCCTCGAGCTGGTTTGAGATGGAAGGGGGAAGCCCGTGGATGCTTGATGCCTGGGGGGGGGCTTGAGTGGACAGCGCGGGAAGCGTAGGGCGATGCGCACGAACAATGAGTAGATTATCGGTCTATAACAGAAACACCAAAAGATATCTCCACAATAACGATTGAGCCGGTTGTGACGGAAGGGCATGCCTGTCGAGACGTGCGAGGCAAACCAAATGTATGGATCGATGGCCTGATCAGCCCAGCCGTCGACGTCAACCACCACGCCAGCGTTGCGCACGCATGTTAACCGTTGGGTACCATGATGATCTCATGACCAGCTTGACCTCGTGCTTTTGTTTCGTCCGTGTCCACGACATTCCCGACGGGCTACATCACGTTGTCGAGCTGTTTCCCCCCTTTTCCGGCCTCTGGTTTCGGTTGCGCACGAGCGGCGACGGAAGCGGGAGGAGGATGGGGAGAAGACGGATGCGTGACTAATCGTCTGAACAAGGCCGAAAACGCTGCGGTGAGTGGTGGGTTTGCGATGCGCATGTAAGTGTGTAAGTGTGTAGGTATATGTGTGTCTCGTGGGGGCGAGGTTGCTTCTGGGTGCGCATGCTGTTTCCGTTCCTGGCGTGGTGGCCCGTGTGCCGTGGGGAGGTGTGCGGAACGCCAGAGGGAAAGAGAGAGAGAGAGAGAGAGTCATACGCACCGTCCCCACTTGTTTATTTCTTGTTCTGACGCCGCAGAAACCCAGAAACAGAACAATTAAGCTCAACCGGCGAGACGTCGTCTCGTGTTCCTCCGCGACAGCTTTCAACATCTCTTTCTCCCCATGCATTAGATGAACGGAGAAATGAAACCAAACAAAAAAAAACCCTGACAAGAGTCACAAGAGTCACAACCGGGCGGGCGACTCGCGGTACGGGGGCAAGATTGCAGCGAAGGCTCAAGCAGCCAGAACCAGGACAGTGCAAGAGCCCTGAAATTCGACTGGATTTGACGATAAAACGGCCTTCTCCCCGAAAGACTCGGATTTAAACTTTCGGGAGGCATTCATCCAAACCACACACCTACACACACGCACACACGCACACACACAGAGACGCCGACACCTGACACTTGACACACAAAGGTGCGATTGGAAAGGGGGGGGGGAGTGCAGAGTATACGCACGATACTATAAACAATGTCTCATTGCAATCCATTGTCCAGAAACGTGTTCGCGTGGAGGGTGGGTTGGCGATAGAGGCATGTGGAGATGGGGGCCGAGGAGGTTGAAAGGACGGCATGGCAAGGACCTTGCTCCCTGCCCCATGATTCGTGCCCGGCGCCCACCGTGTCATGGACTATGGGCGGGCAGTGCCGTCCATTCGGCCCATCACGGAGGTTTAAACATGGGTTTGGGGGTGAGTCGAGGCTTGCCCCTTGAGGAACACTGCCGAAGCCACGTTTTACGGACGTACATTGCAGGGCTTGTGTGGCGCAGGAGGGTAGGCGGTCCTCTGGCAGGAAGCAAAGGGGCACGCAGCGGAAGGCATTCTTGCCATAGAGCGGTCCTGTTTCATCAGAAACAACGTCCTTCTCACGCGGCAAACCGTTGATGCAAACAGCACACTCGGAGGGGGGGAAGTAACAGATCCGGGGCGGATAGAGGCGGGCGAGGGACGGTGAGTGAGGACTGTCGGCCGATGGAGAATGCGCCGTGGACGGCGTGCGTGAAAGAATTCCAGTCGTTACGGACGCAGTAGCGGCGGACGAGGGAGCTTGCAACTTTTCCCTCAACGTTGGGGGGAGGTGGGAGGGTTCCTAAAACCCTGCCGCAAACGGAAGTATCGTGATGGCCTCTGGTGTGCAAATATAACTGCCGACAAGAGGTGAGAAGGTCAAAGGTCGATAGTGGAAGCTCGCAACGGCAACAGAGCCACGACGAACTGCCGTGTTCAGCCCCCGAGAGAGAGAGAGAGAGAGAGAGAGAGAGAGAGAGAGAGAGAGAGAGAGAGAGAGGCCATCGTCATCGTGAGTGGGGCGCTCATGTCGCCTGCATCGGGACGACAAAAACCCGGTGCACGCCCCATCCCTGTGGGCGCGCTTGGGCGAGCTTCGTAGAAGATGACGGCCGGATCCGGCGATTTGGACTCGGCTTGGAGAATCTACCCTCAGGATCCGTGCTCCTGGCGGACTTGGCGGGAAGGGCGGGTCCCTCCCTCAAGCTCGAGGAGAACGAGCACCTGTACTCGTAGGGCCACGACTAGCTACGAGCAAGCGCTGCGCCTCTGGCCGTAGCCTGTGCCCCCCGCACGGCAGAGCCTCTCTATACCCGCAGTCCTTCGGCATGTCTGTGGGAATGGCTTCTCAGGTTTGTAAGGTAGGACCTTAGACCCAACCGAGTATCACCCCTCCATCTGCCAGCCCAAATACCGGTAAACCAGCTTACCCAACTAACAGCAAAGTGCACGCTAGCTCACTCTCCTCTCTTACTTACTAATTAGAATATCGTATACGTGTACGGCTTGGGGGTACTGGAGATTTCGGCCCACCCCTCCTCCCTCCCTCTTCGGCCTCACTCCATCGGCCGTATCTTAGCTGGCGGTGGACCTGTTCGTCCATGGAACGTGATGCTTCCGTGACGCCCCCCAAGCCTCTACCGCAGACACGCCGTCTATGGTCCAATGAGACAGTCTGTCTCCCATTGAGGCTGGCGGACACGGCGACGGCGTCGATAATCTGCCTGCCGCACACCCCCGGCACCTGAATCTCTGTTTCCAGCTGGCTGGCATCTGCCCTGGCCCATCTTATCATTTGGGGATAGCAGCGACAGCCAGAGGGTGGAGACAGGCTAATGTTACCCGACTACCTACCTACTGAACTGCCTGGGCCGGACCGGCTGAATCTGAATTGGGAGGCCCTGCTTGTCATCGCTATCTGCACGGGTTTGGGGCTATTGGATCGAGTCTATTGGATCGGGGCTGAGATCGTACAGGTAATTTGCAGGATTGGATTATATTGCTCCAAGTCTTGGATATGGGGTGCCCCCACCCACCGCTGCGGAGAATAAAGCAAACATGGCAAAACCAACCCCTACCACTCACTAAATCACACCCCTCTCCCCTTCCCAGCTGGCATCAGCTAAGCCAGGTACCGCGCATTAGGAGAGCAGGCATCATGATCCTGTGATGCTCTCCCGCGGTGATCTCCCCCATTACCAGATGTGCGGAACGACATCTTGGGTCTTCGATGGGGAACGAGGCTAGCAGGGCGAGCACGCATCCGCTTCCAAATCACTAGCTTCACTCGCCATTCGCCAGGTCATCATCCCGTCATCCCATCACCCATCATCACCGGTATCGCCATCGGGTCGTCACCGTCTCACCGGTCCCGCCAGCTTGGGTCAGGAGACGTGCGTGATAGGTAGGTAGAGTGATCGCGATCCTAGTAGCTGCATCTCTCTCCCTCCCCCGACTTCGTACCCCCACTACATCTGCAACATGCCGTATATATCCGTACTTGTATTGCTAACGAACGCCTACTTGGAGCTTAGACCGGCGCCCGGAAAGGTAAGGTAAGATTCATATGCAAGACGTGCGAAATGACGATCTGCCACTCGCTGGGTATTCGGAACAAGCCCAACATTGATCACTCCCAGCAGCCCGATGCCATCTTGTCCCTCAGGATGAGGCTTACGTCGTACGCTGCTGTGGCTGCAAGCCGTATCCGTACAAGCTACTATATGTGAAGCCCTCTCAAACATGTCCAAATGCGGAAACCTTGACCGGCCTATTTGGGCTTGGCGGGTTTGATGCGCGGCGCCCAATTAGTCAGTCAGCCAGGTCACTTTTACCCGGGTCTTCTCGCGCGCGAAGCTGGTTTAAACGCCGCCGGGCTCTTGGCGCGCGATGCTGGGCAACGCCCTCCAGAGGAAGATGCAAAACGAAACAGTTCTGCTGTAAGGATTGGCACTATCCGGATGGGGCAGCGGCGGACGGCAGGTAGGCGGGGCCGGGCGGCCCTGTGAGGCTGTATTCGTCACGCGGATCTGAACATTCAACGCAGATGGTGCCGTTTCTGGACAGAGGGGTCAGGATTCGTAATGGGTCGTGGTGATGATGACGGCGGATGCCTTGGGATACGACGATGGCCCAAACAAGAACAATCGTCGGTGCCTGAAAGCCCGGGTGGGGCAAGCGTAACTTGACCGTCGTCGCGGGGTCTTCTCTCGCGATCTAATTAGCTTGCGGTTGCTGCGGGATACGACCAGCCCTCGCTTGAGTTTGCCTCTAGATAGAGGGAGGGAGATGCCAATCTAACTCTGTAGAAGGGAATTAACCTCAAAGTTCCCTCTGGCAGCTTCGGGGCCGAGCCGAATGCCACGTCCTTTTGACACGGCGCCGGATGAGCTGGAGATACAGGGACCGCCGGTATGGATGTAAACTACAGAGTATCAGGGACTCATACTCGAAACCTACCTCCCCTCCCGCCGGGCTATCAAAAAGAGAAGCCCGGCCTTGACAAGGCTACGAGTACTCTAATGAGCATGCTCTGGGGTTTGGCGTCCAGCGTTCAGTGAGGCGTTTTGACATTTGCTAGGCTCGGATTCGCGACGCCACCATGGCCGCCGTCGTCCACACCACCCCGCAGGCCATGCAACCCGGGCCTGGACGGCGTCGCGATCTGGAGGTGCCAATATCGATGGCATCGAGTTCGGCGTAGTGATGTAACTGTTCCGATGCCAGGAAACCCCTGGTCTCTGTTCCCCCGTCCTCCGCCAAATGCGGCACCCTGCCGCTCCCCCCCCGGAAGATATCGGAATATATCGCAAATACCGCTTTCCACGAGCCAAGCTCTTGTGTGCATGCCCGATGCCGATGTGGCAGCTCGACTCACGCTCGCCTTGTGCTGCCTTGGAGGCTGCAGGGCAACCCCACTGGTCAGGCTTCGTACGCGCAGCCGGCTGGCTGAAGTTTGGAAACCATAAACTCGCGGGCGGCGCCGTCGACCAGACCAAACCCGCCGGCCATGGGCCCCCCCCCACACCGGGAACCGCCGACTCCGGCTGTCTGGGCTGGGCCAGAATGTGCGCGCAGCGCAGGCAGGGGTGGTTCAGTAGGCAAACCTATAGACACGGTACCTACCGCACGCGGGCGGATGACACGGCCCAAAAGGGGATACAGGAAGGGGGAAAAGTGTCACGCACGTTCCTTGCAGACGAGATCTTCACGCATGGGTAGGTGGGAGGAGAATACCTAGTATGCCAAGTCGACGATCAGCGACGTCGTTGCAACCCCATCCTCCCCAGCTGTGTGTGTCTCTCTCAGGGCATGATCCGCATACCGCATACTGTATCGTCTGGTGCCCTCGGCCGGCGACGCACACGCAAACACGCGCTTGGTGGTGGAAAGGGTGAAGGGGGACTGGAAATCAGCAAAAGATCGAAACAGAATTGTCAAACCACAACCGGCCATCTGGGCAACCAGAACAGGACATGACCGGGTCGCGGACCGTCGAGTTATGACGCGCTGGAAAATGGCGTGTTGGCGATGACCGAGTAGCTTTTTTCAACGTCCATGAACGGCATGTATGTAGGTATGGAATAGCGGGAATGGAATCCTCGACAGTGCGGCGGCACAGCGGACCTGCACGCAATGCGCTCGCTCGCTATACACCGCAGTGCCTGTGCGTCCAAGTCCAAAGCGGCGGCGACGGACAACGTTGTTGCGCACCCGCGCACCCGCGCGTCCGGATGGCCCCCTGGGGAAGGAAGTCAGTTAGTCAGTCAGTCGTTGTGTGCCTGCAGCAGCTGCGTTTATCACCCACCCAAATTCATGAAACAATGTCCCACCTGCGGTCGTGCAACCCGGCGCCGGGTTTCAGAAACTCTGTCTCTCTCTCTCTCTCTCTCTCTCTCTCTCTCTCTCTCTCTCTCTCTCTCTCTCTCTTTCTCTCTTTCTCTCTCTCCCCCCTTCTCTCGGGTTTTCCTCGTTTTCTTCTTCTTTCTTTCTCTTCTGTCTCCTGACCATGACGGAATGTAACCCCAACATGTATGAATGCAGTAGCACTGGAAGAACCCTACTCTCTTCAGGGCTTTCCTTGATCGCATATCTACCAAACAGAGTCTGCCTTTCGGCACCGGCGAGGACGATGCACGACAGGCAGCAACACCCCACCCCCAGTCTCCACCCCTTCCTTCCCTCCCTTCCCTTCCATATCCAGACCCACATGACCCTTGTCCTGCTGCGCTGTTTGATTGGTGAGGTTCCCGACGTCCCCGATCCAGCACGCTGAGTCCAAAACTTTGATAGAGTATCCGTATCCGTAGAGCAGATACCTAGAAGCAAAACGAGGCAGCCTGCCTCATTTTTTACCTTGCTACCTCTTTCGTTTTTCTCGGTCGCAGCCGATCCAACCACCATCATCAAACCTTCCTTCAGTTGCCACGTATGCCGAGCATAATCCCACAGTCAGCTATGCCTCCACTGTCATGCCCTCTTATTCATACCCCCGTCAAGTCGGCCAGCTTGTAGCGCACTCCATCACTTGTATGCAGATCGAAACACATCGTCTCTCTGTTCATTACCCACGCCGGACGAGACGGCAAGGCACGGGTTTAGAATTCGCCCTAGCCCTTTGATCGACTCGTTCCTCCCCGTCCTCCTTGCCTCTACGTCCGTTGTAACAACGCCATCTCTACGCGCTAAACTCTGTTCCTTCACACCACACCCAATCCTCCCTTCACCTAACCTTGTTTCCAAATCCGTGGCGCTCGCTGGCCGACTGACGCACGGAGACACGCCCTTTCCTTTTTCCAATTGTCTTCATCTCGCTATCTCTCTCTCTCTCTCTCTCTCCCACACCCTTCTTTTTTTTTCACCCCTTTGCTACACATGCGATGGCATGCGTTGCAAAGGGTGGGTGTGTGTGTGTCTGATGGCTGCGCTTCCAACTCATCCCTGCCCCCTCTCTCCCTCGTGTTATCCACCACACACCTCCCTCACACCCGACACCGCCCCCCCCCCCCCCCCGACTATCGCTCTCTCTCCCTCGCACCATTCGAAAGCTACCCCATGGAGGGACGGGGAGAAGAGAGAGGGGGCGTGTGCGTGTGTAACCACAGCCGGGGACGCACACACACCCCCTACCACGCACGTCTTCAATAAACCCAACCCTTGGCTCGGTGCTACACACGACCATTCTACACCCTGCTTGTGCTTGCGTCCACCGATCTGGGAACGGGATATATCAGTTTGACCTTTCCCACATCCTCAACCACCTTTCTTTTTTGGAACAGGAACCCCCCAACGATCAAATCAGACATCATCCACTTCTCGATCTAACTAGATCCCCCCAATATCTCACTTCCATGTCCATCACTATCACACCAACCACCACCACCATTGTCTTCCTTCAGGGCTGAGCCGCAAGGATATCCAAGAGAAGGGAGCTGGACCCGACAATCAAACTGCTGGAAGAAAAAGCAACGGACAGCGTACGAGGGAACCGCCTCGCTTAGTACCATCCTACGTGCGGTTTGTCGACGAGACGGTCGGAGGATATATCAAGAGCCTGTCTCTCCCATATCGATTATCGAGATCTCCGCCGAAGAATCACATCACACCATCCCTTCCGAATAATTCATTCATCCCTGTGTATCAACCGCGGTGCTGGTAAAACACAACAGTCAAATAAACACCACCACCATATATAAACACCATCTCCCACCAACAACTCACGCCCACACCAACACCGCCGCAATGCAGCACGACTCCGCCATGCACTCCAACGACGGCTTCAAGGTCTTCTTGAACAAGATGATCCGCCGCAACAGAAAGGAGGCCAAGAGGAGCATGGAGATCTCCGCCCCCTACAACTTCCAGAAATGCAATCTCGATATCGCCGGCATTAGCGCCGATGAGTAAGTTCCCTTTCTCTAGGCCACGACCAAGGACTTTGACTAACCCAATAGCCAGAATCGCCCTGCTCAAGGAACAAGCAGTTGCTAGCCGTATCGGCATCGCCGACTTCGACTCCTCCGAGTACCCCGCCCGCCCGCTTTTCTCCATCCAGCCAGTCGTGTCCACCGCCTCCATCTCCACAATCCGCAGCTCCTACAGCAGCTGATCGGCCTCTCATCCGTCACCGAATCTTCCTTTTGTCAACCAATCAACTACTACCGACCAACCGTATTACCGTAATCAGAGATGGAATTTAATTAGGACTGTCTGCAATCACATCACCCAGGCTGGTGCTGGATCAAGAAAATTGCATGAAGAGCAGGGATAGTGAAAGCGAAAACATTTCAGCGAAGCATGGTGCAATGATATCCTGGATTATTGGGAACAACATTCCTACTTTCAGCAAGCGACGGCGTTCTGGGGCGAGCGAACTACCGCGACGACGGCAGTCGTACGCACTATTTTGTTTTTCTTATCTTTTCCCCTTATATGACGGGGGAAGAAATGGTCGCTCCGTCCAGGGAAATGGCAACGATACCACTAGGTACACAAGGAGGCTGCAAGCAAGACGGACTGCATCGCCGAGGGCGGTTCCGAAGAGATAGCAGCAAGGGCCAGACTTACAGTCAGGCCTAACACAATAAACTAATGAAACCCAAACAATATTATCAATCATGCCTTCGCCCGGCTGTGCCGAAAACGTAATAGTAGAGCGACCCAATGCGAGCGTCGGCCATTTCAGCCTTGTGGCATCCCATAGGCGCTGGGGGGGGACTCTCGTTCCTTTGTCCGGCGTAACTTGATGCCCCACCACGGAGCCGCTTGGCGTGTCCGCATTGGTGCATGTAACGCGAGTATGTCCAGTTGACGGCATTGCGATGCTACGTGATGATACGCAAGATGTACAGGGGTGACAGGGGTAAGTAAAATACCCCTATGATGTTACCCCCCATAACCGACATTATAATAGAGGGGGAATATTCACTAAAAGTGAAGTTCTGCAGTAGGGGGGTGGACGTTAGTTACCTAACCGGGGTATACAACTTCGGCCTGGTACCATTGTATTTTGCTCATGCGTACACGCAGCTGGACCGGTACCCATGCATGGGAGTTATTTTCCACATCCCACGTGCGATAAAAATAAAAACCAAAAGCCTGAGAGGTCAAGGTTGGGAGTCGACTAGGTACGGACGTCGATCCTCCACAATCCACACCGAGGCTCCGAGCCGAAACAGACTCGGTGACGTGCGAATGCCAAGAATAATTCCCAGCCACCCAGGGCAGCATGTTGCAGCACATCAGCGGGCTGAGTAACACGAAAATCAACCCACCCACCCCGCGCTTTCCCACGTCGCCGGGATTGACGTGATACATCACATAGGCGAGCAGATCTAGATGAGCTCTTGGAAAGCGATGGGCCCACGGCACAACGCCGTCGGTGACCGGCAAAGCACGAAGGATGTACCTAGAGGGCACGGGGATAAGTCCCCCACTGTCCGGTCACAGGCGGAGATAAACCGGCTCAAATCAGAAACCCGTTCCTCCGAGTCTGACAGATCGCAGATTGCGAATTGTCCCGCGAACCCAGGAGGTGCGCGTCGTCGGGTCTGTGGATATCCATATTTTCTGCCGCAGGAAAAGGTGGTGCCTGAGCGAGATCCTGTTTTGGAACCTGCGACACAGCGGGACTGCGCCGTGTCGCAGAATGGAAGGCGGCTCTTTTTCGTGCAGGATGCCCTCGTGATCTGAAAATGGGCAATGGGCGCCCGCTCCCCACGAACTGACGGAAGCTCGGTTGCTCATTCGGGGGCCCACGGTCCGAGGGTGATGTGTGCCAGGCCTCCCAGCCGTCAGGGACGAACAGGTTGCCATGGAATTGTGGAGGGCTAGGGGACCTCGTGTGTGCTTGTCCCGAGCGCGTCGCGTCTGCTAGGGCACGACGGCATGGCTTGTTGACAGACAGTTGGCGAGACAATTGGCAACGAAAATCTCATCGCCAACTCCGACCCGTGGGTAGTAGTGTACTCCGTAGCTGTGTAGGTATTACGATCTCAGAATTGCGGTCAGTGACCCTGAGTTCCTGGGCGACCCGAGTCCCAGGGATACATTGGAGGGGCAGAGCAGATTACACCGTCTGTTTGAGCAGGCTGCCATTCGTCCACGGAGGCAAGGAAGGGATGATGAGAGACAGGCCTCCCCTTGGAATATTGGGATAGGGGAGTGACAGGGCTGCTGAACGCGATTCGGATTTTGGTTAATGATTGAAATTAGATGTTGCAGGTTCGTTTCTTTTTTCTATTTGTGTTCTGCGTTGTTCATGATGACGATCCACGTCAATCATCATGGAAAGAAAGTTTAGTTGCGGCTGGGAAACAGAACTAATCTCTCGCCAGATGGCACAGCAATGCGAAGCTGGCCCACCCTACCGTGGATTAGTTCAGGGACGTACTTTGACTTTTTTTTTTCTTTCCTTTTCCTTTTCCGAATAGCTACAGTCCATGGCCGAAGGCTCAGTGTGAGTGAGACCCGTTGGACTGTCACGGCTCCCGCTTTGGTGGTGAAAAAATTTGCGAGATTACCAATGGCAGTGAATTACCGAAAAATGACGACTGCCTGACAGATGCTAGCGAGGAGGAAGTACCGGTACCGGATCGAAGAGCAGATTATCAGCATGTGCTGCCACGGGTGGGTACGGAATGGAAATGCGGGACGAGAGGCTGCTTCCCGACAGGACGGAATCCAGTTCGTGACCCCCCCTTGGTCCTTCCCCTTCCAGAAAGTGGCTCTGTGTGTGGTTCGAAATTTGGGTCCCTGGCAATCCCGCGCCTTCCGGCTTCTGCCAGCATACCATACCACGTATCTGATTGGTCATTGTCCTGGCCGTCGTCCATCCACGTCCACGACCTTCGACTCTGGCTGACAAGGGAGGAGCAACAGTCCGCCGCATTTGGATTGGATAACGTGAAGGGAAACATCGGGGGACGCAGGCAGATGCAATCTGGCAAGACACCTTCCGGCCTTGAAGCCGCCCCATGCAATCCAGTGCAACGGTGCCGGTTTCTTCTCGCTGGCGCGGGTGCCACAACTGGTGGGGAGGGATCGATGTTCAGACATCAAGGAGTCATCGGCCTGGTTTGGCAAATGTCTGGCCTCGTGAGCCACCGCGCTGTCGGATCTTTGCCCCCCAGGACCTTGGATGCTACTCAAAACTTCCCCGTGTTTATTCTTGATGTTGGACCTTCTTCTAGCGCCGGGCTGCAACGGCATCCAAGCCTACACTAGCCCTGTACCTGCTGCAACGATGATCAATCTTGCGTTTCCAGGCGGCAGACGGAGTCGTCATCCCGTATGGTAGCGGTGGCGGTGGTGGACATGCAAGTACCGAACCGGACACACAGTAGCTCGCAGGGATGAGGTTTCAGGGCGTTGTGAAAAGTACCCGTTTGCCCACTCAACCCCAAAAAGGCCTTCTTCCTCAGGGAGAGGCATTTCGCGGTAGTGTGCAAAGGACGGCATCGGTTTCGATGACACGCAGACCTCGACACTCGGGCCTCGGGGAGGGGCGCACGCTGAAATCCCGCCCCCGTCTGCGACGTCAATCCATCCCGACTCGTCAGTGACAGCGTCACCTGCCACCTTGCGAGCGAGGCGCAATCTGATAACGGAAGTAGGCAGAAATCGGGATCGCCAACCATCGAGGCCCTTCTCGCGCTCGTTGTGCACACCTACAAGTCACTTGGACTCTGTACCTCTCTGTTGCATCGTAGTGTACACTTCTCGCACATAGTCCGATATAGCAAATGTTTTTTTATTCACCCCTAACTTTTTCTTCTTTTGTTTTTCATAAACCCTCCCCCAAACACGACAAGGTTGTAACTGTGTGAGCCACAGTAAAACGAGGCTAGAGACCGTCATGAGCCACTCAGAACACGCGAGAGCTAATGTTTGCTTTGCTGCCTGAGTCATTTTCCTTCCAAGAAATCAGTACGTACCTGTACCTTCTAGGTATTACACGTGTAGAAGTATGGCGAATCCACCCACAAGGGAGTTGCGAAAATAAGCCAAACGGCGTTAAGGAATAAAGTTCCCGAATCCACCCTTGGTGGCCACGTACCCGCTTCTCTCCAGCCAGCGCGTGTCGTGAGTGGACGGCAGTCAAGCCGTCAATGCAGCAGCTCCGAATCCACACGAAAAGTCACCTCCAGGTTTTTCGCATTCCAGTCGAGTACCACCAAAGTCCCTCGAGCCTGTGTGTCTCGAGTAAAATCTTTCCCTCTGGAGAAAAAAAAAAGAGTCACTCGCCCTCGCCCTGATTCTTTCCCCCCTGGCCCTACCGGTCTGTCCCTTGTCTAGCGCTTGTCCTTAGCTGGGCCCCTTTCTGTTCCATTCTCCATTTCTTCCAGAGAGCCGAGTGAGACTCGGGCAATTCGAGATATACCCGCACCGCGGATGATCCGTAGCTGGTAACTTGGAACTGCAAAGGTGCGGCCCCCCAGAAAGTACACTACTATGTACACACAGTCGCAGCAAAAGGAGGGAGGGAACTCGCCTGTACGCCTCATAGACTCCGTCCGATCTCAAACCTCCCGCTCTCCCGCTCGTCCACCACCACTGTCATTCCTACCTTCTGGTACTACAGCAGGATAGCCCTGCCGCTTAATTTTCTGCCCTCAATCCAATACTTCTACCTGAGGCCCCCTTCACCTTCACTAGACACCCTTCCTTCTTTTTTCTCGCTTTTCAATCCTCCAATTATATACCCTCTTTTTAATCAGATCGCGCGTTTATTTGACGGCTACGCTGCTGTCAAATGAACCTGCAACGGACCCTTCATATTTACCTCTGTAAGTTTTGTCATCTAGTCGCCCTGGTACAGCCTGTTCGCCCGGACTGTGTTCCCCCTGTGCGCTCGACTGCTCGCCGTAGTAAAACATCCCAACGGCTTAGCTACATCCAACCGGAGTCCCCTCTGTCGTCTGAACCCAGAACAAAACTCGGTCCAAATATTATTCATCAATGTTTACGCAGCACCTTTCGAAGCCCCGCAAGAGCAAAGAAGAAAAAAACAACACCAACTGACGATCTGTGCGATTTAGAATCCCTATCCGCCGCGTCTTCTAAATGCCCACCATCTACTCCTCCCTCTACCAGAATTTTATCCGTCAAGGATTCGCAAAATCTTTCACTCACGGCTACGCCCAGTCCGTCGTAGCTGCGACACATCCTATCCTCAACACTCAGAACCGGCCTTCGTTTGCCCGCCGGAACACGAATCGCTTTGGCCGCCTCCAGTCTCTCCAGCTTCAGTCCGCTTTCCACACCGCTGAGCGGACAAGTGCGGGTCTTCCCCAGCATCACCACGAGAAGCTCGACGAGAAGCTCAAACATGGAAGTTTAGACGCCTACTTCGAGGCGCTGCAGAGCCAGCAGGCCTCAGAGGAGGACTTCGAGAAGGAATGGACTCAGTTCCAGTTCCAGCGACAGATTGAATGGAAGCCCACGCCCGCGTCCGTCCTCGTTGGCGAGGCCAAAATTGCCGAGGCAGAAGAGCATGCCGCCGCACAAGATGAAGAGACACCATCAGCCATCACTCCAGAGGCCCAGGCCGCCCTGGCTCAAATAGATGCGGCTCTAGAGAAGGAGATTGAGTTCAGGAATCGCATGGAGGCCTTGGAAGAGGCTTCTGAGCACTCCGTTCGATCCATTTCTCATGGCGGCTCCGCAGCACGCTCCTACCAGTCTCCAGCCATTGACAGATCATGGTCACCTCTCAGTGTAGCACGAACCGCTACTCCTCCCTTTGACCCTCAGTCTCAGGTTTACGCCGACCACCTCCATAAGCTTTCCGAAGATGGCCGCTACGCCGAGATCCCGGCCGTGTTCGAGGCCATGCTTGTCGCCAGTGTGCAGCCCATCGCCAGCGCCTACAACGCCCTGCTGATGGCCGCCATCCACCTGCCGACTGCTAAGAACGAGATTGTCACCAAGGCCCTGGATGTGTACGCCGACATGCTCCGTCGCAAGATTGTGCCGGACAGCGACACCTATAACATCCTTGTCGGCCTTCTCGCTGCCCGCTCTCTGGAGGTCGCTTCGTTGAAGAAGAACCTTCAAGAGAAGCTTGTCCGATTCGGCGGAATGGATGAGCCTGGGAAGTTTATGCTCGCGTCCCACGAGCTCGAGAATGCCATTCTCTCTGAGGATGACAGACTAGATCTAGCGATGGAAATGTTTGAGAAATCGGTTCTCTCCCAGCGAGCGGATTACTCGGCTGAGTCTTACCACCAGCTCATTTCTGCTTGTGCCCAGGCTGGACGCGTCACTGACATGCTGCGTCTGTACGAGCACATGGAGCTGAACCGTGTTACTCCTTTCGCCGCCATGTTTCCCCGGATGGTCACTGCCTTTGCCACTTCCGGAGACCTCGTCAGCGCTGTCGAATGTTACAATGAGTACAGGGAACTCGCTATTGCTAACGATAATGGCGAGTCTACTCTTCACGATCGATTGGACGCCGAGGTGTACGCTTCTGTCATTCACGCCTACATCATCTCTGACAAGATTGACGGCGCCATGAAGTTCTACGAGAAGATCATCAAGGAATACGGAGTTCGTGCTGGTGATATTAAGGATGTTATCGTCAGCTCTGGCATGGTCAAGGCTTTCACCGACCGTGGTATCTTCAATGAGGCCCTTCGTTGGGCACAGGTTGTCGAGGTCGAAAATCGAGCGGACCCCATGGGCAGCCTTGCCACCCGTGCTGCCGACTTTGGCGACATGCATACCGCTGTTGCGGCTTTTGCCAACCTGCCCATCAACTTCCACAAAATTGCCACCCCTGCCATGGCACTGCTCGCCTTGAGCGTTCGCCAGGGCGATGTGGTCTCAGCAGCTTGTTACTGGCACGTTCTTTGCGCCCCTGAGACGCCCGTTACCCCGGCCCTCATCGAGCCTACTGCTATGTACGCCATCGCCATGATTGGCTCTGGTCAGGTTGCCGAGGGTCTGGCCGAGTCCGAACTCATGTTCCAGCGAATTCGGGCCGCCAACCCTGAGAGCGTGGATGAAATTGAAGAAGGTGTCGACTTTGTTCACCAGTTCATGAGCAGCCGTGGTATTGTTGACCCTCGTGAGATGGCTTCTCAACAAACGCTTTCTGCTTCCCCCTTCACCAGCGCCGCTACCGTCTCGAGCTTTGAAGAGTCCTTCGACCCTTACGCACACAACACCGACTTTAAGGGTTCCTCGCTCATTTCCGACGAGCTTGAGGGCTCTCACGGCCGGAAGGGTCCTAAGCTTCACGATGCTCTTGTCCGCTTCCGCAACATGCGCCGTGCCGGTCGTCACCCCCGCTACATTACTTACGCCAAGCTGATCTCTGCTGCCTCCCGCGATGGCAAGATGGAGCTGTGCAACGACATCCTCGCCATGGCACGCACTGATGTTCCTCTCCTTCCTCAGTATGCGGTTGTCCGCTACGGTTGGTCTTCCATCTTGGATGCCATGGTTGGTGCGTGTCTCACCATGGGTTACCGCCAAATGGCCGAGCAGTACCACCAGGAGCTTCTTGACATGGGCGCCGCTCCTTCCGCCAACACCTTCGGTTTGTACATTACCACCCTCAAGGAGTCTGCCAAGACGTTCGACGAGGCCTCAGAGGCTGTCAAGATCTTCCACCGAGCCAAAGCCGAGGGTGTTGAACCCAGCTCCTTTTTGTACAACGCTCTGATTGGCAAGCTGGGCAAGGCTCGCCGCATTGATGACTGCTTGTTCTACTTCGCTGAGATGCGTGCCTTGGGTATCAAGCCCACGTCTGTTACTTACGGAACCATTGTAAACGCTCTATGTCGAGTGAGCGACGAGAAGTTTGCCGAGGAGCTGTTCGACGAGATGGAGGCCATGCCTAACTACAAGGCCCGCCCCGCTCCCTACAACAGCATGATGCAGTTCTTCCTCACCACCAAGCGCGACAAGTCCAAGGTCCTTGCCTACTACGAGCGCATGAAGTCCAAGGGCATTGCTCCTACTGCACACACCTACAAGCTTCTTGTCGACACGCACGCAACTCTCGAGCCTATCGACATGGCTGCCGCTGAGAAGGTTCTGGAAGCCATTCGCGCCTCTGGTCAGAAGCCTGAAGCCGTTCACTTCGCCGCTCTTATCCACGCTCGTGGCTGCAATCTCCACGACATGGAAGGCGCCCGCAAGGTGTTCGACTCGGTCATGTCCGACCGATCTGTCACCGCAACCGCCAGTCTGTTCCAGGCCCTCTTCGAGGCCATGGTCGCCAACCACAAAGTTGCCGACACCGAGGTCGTTCTTGCCCAGATGCGCCGTCGGGGTGTTGAGATGACGCCGTACATTGCCAACACGCTGATTCACGGCTGGGCCGCGGTGAAGAAGATCGAGAAGGCGCAAGCCATCTACGACTCCGTTGGACACGAGAAGCGTGAACCCAGCACTTACGAAGCTATGACCCGCGCATACCTCGCTGTCGAGGACCGCGAGAAGGCCAAGGGCGTTGCCGGCGAGATGCTCTGCCGTGGCTACCCCAGTGCCGTTGTCAACAAGGTGCTGGAGCTTCTGGGCGGTGGCGGCGGTGGGGAGGAAGCTGTTCAGAACTGAGCTTCCTCTGCCATGCCGTGCTGCCTTTTTGTCAATTACCCGAAACGCGCATCGAGCTGTCGCTCTGCGTTCCTCTCGAGTTACCACTTTTCCTTTGTCATTGCCCTCATCCACCGCGTTGCTTGATACCCCGTTGTGTTTTGAAGTCGTTGGACTGAGGGTCTGGGGTGTCTGACCAAGAATGGGCGAGGCGGCCAGTATGATTTGCGGCATTGCGCCGAAACCACCTTTTCCTATTGTCATTATTTAATGTTGGCGTATGTTTTGGAAGTGGAATTTGCGTTGTCCCAACAATCCGGACGGTACGGCGTTGAGGGAATCAAAAGGGGGTCAAGGCGACTGAGCACCCTACCCAGGGGCTTTTTATCGGAAAGCGAGCGATGACGGCCAACGGCCCAAAATTATAGACACAAACAACAACCCCACTCCAGCATACAAAAAAAAGAGGGCGCCGGATAGAAGATGCGCGATGCAGCATACAGGATCACGAAATGGGGATAGGATAGGGATATTGGGCGGTCGGTTTATGACGACATGTCATGAGGACATGTGATCCTGCTGTATGTATATTATTGACAGCATACATTCGAAGAAAGAAAGAACAGATTTGTCGACTGTTCCCAACATAAATCACCAAGGCTGTGAAGACTTTAGGGTCGTGGCTCGTGACGATGAGATATGTGCGTGTCTGTGATGGAAGTGAAACTGGGCACGCGTGTTTCAAGAGCGGGGTCTAAGCTTGGTTCGAGTAGGTGCCATGATAGACGACGAGCTCGGGATGTTTGACTGGTCTGCAAACCTGTGAGAAACAACAAGGTGTCAGTGACCTTGAGTTGGCAAAGTGCCAAAGCATGCTCGGCGATATCAGACTCACTGGGATAGAGCTGGTGGATCGCACAGTGTTTAGTCGGTGCTCTTCACGGTGGCACGGTGAATGCCGCACTGTCATCCGTCTCCTCTCCTGTGATGCACATATATTCCCGAGTCAAACTTTCAGCTAGCATGCCTCACTTTCATCCACCCTGCGTCATCACATAACCACCCCCTCACTGCACCTCGTATACCTTTTGCGTTACACTAATAAGAGGGCATCGACTCCCATTCCGGAAATCAAGCTCCACAGATCCTCAGTTCGAAATCGCCGGCGAAACTTTTGACCGGATAACCCGCTAGACGGAGTTTGTTATCAGGCGCGGATTCCGAACCCGAACCAGAGCAAGAAGATAAAAATAAAATAAAATAGAAGAGCCCCGCAGAGAACGCACTACCTACTTGGGACAAAGAAAAGAAAAAAAAGAAAAGTAAGCGCGGAGCCAAGCATCCCAAGATGACGGCATCGATGACCTCGAACCCCACCACGACGGCCGTCTCGGCGCCGGGCAAGGTGCTCCTCGCGGGCGGCTACCTGGTGCTGGACCGGGCCTACACGGGCCTCGTCTTCGGGCTCAGCGCCCGCATCAACGTCGTGGCTGCCGAGATCCACACCATGCCCGGCGTGCACCTGACCGAGATCGTCGTCGAGAGCCCGCAGTTCGTCGACGCCGTGTGGCGCTACGGCTTCCATCTCGCGCCCGAGGACGGTGGTATTACCGTCACGCAGCTACACGTGTATGTTTTCCTCGTCTTATTTCCTCTCCTGTTCTTTCGTTGTGACCGCGTGAGGGAGGATGGTGCGAGATGTCGACGCCCTGGAATGAGGCGGAGTTCGGTGGAGAGAGGGCTTCGATGAGGGGTCGCCTTGCGATATCGCGCAAGAACCGCTAGTGGTCTTTGGCATTGAAACCCTCCACGTCTCTCTCTTACCGTGTCAGCTCCTGTTGAGGCGCAATTGGCTCATCATAACCCGTGATCGACATCTCACTCACCCGCTCACTCACTCTCCCTACCCTCTCATTCTCTCACACCGCCCACCCGCGCGGCTGGCTTGATTAACTCACACCCCCTCGCAGCGGCTCCAAGATCAGCCCGAACCCTTTCGTAGAGACAACCCTCAGTTACGCCCTCACCTACATCGCTAGCGTCAACAAGCAACGCCCCAATCACGCCCTCACCTCGACCCGCCTGGTCATCCTTGCCGACAACGACTACTACTCGTTGCCCACCGCCACAGCCGCCACCGCTACCCCCATCGCCGGCAAGGGCTCCCGCTTCGCGCGGTACCCCTACACCATCGGCGAGGCGCACAAGACGGGTCTCGGCTCCTCCGCCGCGCTTGTGACCTCCCTCACCGCGGCCCTGCTGACGCACCATCTCCCGACCGCGCTCTTCGACCTCAAATCGGAGGCCGGCAAGCACACGCTGCATAACCTCGCGCAGGCAGCGCACTGCGCCGCGCAGGGCAAGGTCGGCTCCGGCTTCGACGTTGCCGCCGCCGTGTTCGGGAGCTGCCGGTACCGCCGCTTTTCGCCGTCCTTGCTGTCTGACCTCGCGTCCCCTGGGGCGCCGGGCTTCGCGGACGCGCTCGTGAGGAAGGTTGACGAGGTTCGCGCGTGGGACGTAGAGGTCGATAAGGCCGGCGTGAGCCTGCCCGAGGGCGTGTGCCTGCGCATGTGCGACGTGGACTGCGGGAGCCAGACGGTGGGCATGGTGAAGAAGGTTCTCGAGTGGAGGAAGGGCAGCCCCGAGGCGTCCAAGACGCTCTGGGACGAGCTGCAGGCGCGGAACGAGGGCCTCGCCCAGGTGCTACGGGACGGGGAGGTTGAGGGTGTCGGCGCGGCGGTCGGGGCCGTGAGGGAGCTGATCCGCGCGATGGGCGAGGGGAGCGGCGTGCCGATCGAGCCAGCGTCGCAGACGGAGCTGCTGGACGCCCTGGGCGGCGTCGAGGGCGTGCTGGGCGGCGTTGTGCCCGGCGCCGGCGGCTTCGACGCGCTCGCGCTGGTGATGCGGGATGACGAGGCGACCAGACAGCGGGTCGAGGCGTTCCTCGAGGGCTGGAGCAAGGACAAGGGCGGACGCGTGCGGCTGTTGGGCGTCAGAGGGGAGATGGACGGAGCGAGGAAGGAGGAACTCGACGAGTATGCTGGGTGGCTGTCTTGATGGCGGCGGTGGCAGCGACTACTCTAGCGATGACCGATGAAAGTACGTGGCTATATATAGGCAGGACCATAAGTTAATATACACGCAAGACAAGAACTACGTGAAGACGAGTCCAAGAATGCAGTGGTCTTTCTGCTAAACATAAACTGAGATGAGAGGCGTGCAGCATTCTCTATGCTACACCCTTTTCGTAGTTCTTGGGCGCTCTGGAGTAAGTGCCGTTGAGGACCTAGTCAGCAGCATTTTCGCTCGTAGTAAGAGGAACGCGGCCTGGTCTCTTCGACCTCGAAACGGTCCGACCCGTAGTAGGACATAAATGGAGGGCTATGTAGATGGAGACGTGGGGCGCGTCGTCTCTGTGAATCATCTCACGCTGGAGTGGCTCTTCAGTCAACATCGGAAATTGATAGCAGTCATAGCTCAGCTGGGAGAGCGTCAGACTGAAGTTAACTTCAATCACTTAATCTGAAGGTCGTGTGTTCAATCCACACTGACTGCATCAACTTTTTCATTTTGAGTCATCCTCACTCAACAAAACAACGCTGACTGGCAATATATACCATACACACATCGTGTAATCTTTTGGCATATTCATACCTGGTCACGTCGCTTATTGTCAGTCTGACCATGGTAAGTAAGTCAGTAACAACAACTCGTGATCCATTCTACGTAGAACCATTGTTTCTAGAATCACAACCTAGTGCATCCATTGAATGCAGGCTAATCTGTTGATCTCCCTATGTGTGTGCTCTCCGAATCAATGACGACCGCATCTGGTCCATATAGCCTCTGTATTTTCAGCGTCTGCTTCGCGCATCTTGAGAAGGGTCGGTCCGACACTGTGGCAACCTGCCATAATGTATTATGTCGGCAAGCCCCTTTTCTCCGAGATCCATTAATTTATTCAGCACCGCACCTGACTCTTCTCCCAGTTGGAAAGTGATCGGGATATCTAATCTCTCGAACGGTCATGGCAACCATGCCCTTCATCTTCAAAATCTTTCATCAGAAGAGTGTCGGATTCCATGGCCCGCATCAGATACAGTCGTGGGGTTCTGCCCACGCCCCTCCGCATCGATAGCAAAACTGAGTTGTGCAATGGCAGGCTCAAGTCAAGGTTAGCTGGTATCTTTTGAACGGATCAGAACTGGAAACTTACTCATGTGAAGACATCCGTCGTATCGCTCCACCAGTGCACGGCATGTAGGGCATCTCTTCCATGAGTTCTTCTCGGCCAGCTTGAGAAGTTCCTGAGTTGCTTCATCCTCATTGCAGGCATAGTCTGCATGCTCAGCACCCTTGCAAAAAATGCACGTTGTTTCCCGACATTCAGGGCAGCTTGCCACATCATTCTTGATGCTTTCCTTGGGAATAAAGGTTGAGCAAGTCGGCTGGCGACAGTAGGTTCTGTCAAGAGTAGTGAGCTCAATCGCTTTGTCTCTGACCTTCTTCATGAGTTTTGCAGGAACAGCATCGTAGTCGACGTCTATTGGGATAGGCTCTCCACAGCATCTGGGGGGGAATTGAAACTCGCCAGTGAGACAAGCTTTGAATAGTTCGCCTATGCAGTCGAGGCAGTAATCGTGGTCGCACTGGGCGTGAAAGGTTTCTTCTTCCCCTATGACGATAAAACATGCCACGCAAGTGTTTTGTTCTTCTTGAATATCGTCATCACTGAAGGATAGGTCGGGCTCAGGTGAGGCCGAGGGGGAAAACGAGTCTAACGTCAAGTCGATAACCGTTCTAGCCGCATATTCAATCGAAGGCCTGACCTCGTCTTCATTTGTCTGTTGAAACTTCCTCTTGTTCCCCGGTGCTGGTATCACACCCAACTCTTGGTTGACAAGACTGTGAGTCTCGGTGAAACTTCTGTGGGACTGACGTATGGTCGACGTGTACTCGGAGAAGGAAGTAGAGAGTGATCTCAACTCTGATTCGTACAGGCGAAAGGCTATCTGGGAGTCCGAGGGCTTTCTAGCGATCTCCTTGCCAGGATCGCCTGTACGTATGTCTTCGAGATCCTCCTGCTGCAGCGTGAAGAACAGCTTCCGTGTCTCGGTATCCATGCCGCTGAAGAATGAGGAAGACATGATGCTGGAGTCTGGCGTTTCAATGTCGCTGCAAACGAGATGCAAGAACTTCTAATTCGGGTTCCGAGCTACAATAGCAAAGTCAGCACTTTTCTTTTCTTGTTTGATAATGCATAAACGCATGTAGACGATGCATATTTTCTCAATGCCATGCCAACAACGTTGTTCGAGTTGCGGAAGGAGCGTCCTTTTGAATTAACGTACCCAATTCCAGGCCGTTCACGAGCCGTTTCCGTAAGCGTAATAGCTGCTATAAGTGGAAAGGTAAGGTATGACGAGTTGAAAGTAGTCTCGCTGAAACTTTTGGACGCAAAGAAAGATGGAGAAACGTATAACGTTAACGAGATAGGTAAACAAATAGGTGATAAACGGGTGGAGGAAGGACTAATGGTTGACCTGACCGTTTAATATGAGCAGGTGCGATAGTAAAGGAAGCTTGCCATCAGTGGCCCTTCCTGATCTACTAGGGACGTTAGCAGTATACGGGAGGTCCGGCTTGAAGCTTTATTATACTAGTGTTCTGGGCCTGAAAAGCCATCAATTGCCTGATTCCTGTTTTCTCTACAGTGTTGGATCCCTCTTCTTGTGACTTCACTTAGACAATCATGTGTTTTTTCCTAACGGCCAAAGTGTTAAGATTACTGAATATGTTGCTTCGCTCTTCTGCATTCTCAGTCGCAAAAGTATGCTCGGTGATGCAACCCGGTATGCTTCACCTATCTGTTGTCTTCAGTAACCCCAAACCGTCTTGTATGGTAAACTCATATATACTGTCTTTTCAGCACTCTGCCCATTAAGACTTATACCAACTCTCTGAACACAAATGGCCAGTCTTTGCCTCAGAGCTGCATGAACCCGGATCCGGCACCTTCTTAGCGGAAACGGTTGTACCGACATCGGCGACAAGCTAAGATCTCGCACTGACGGCATTGGTAGATGAAGACGGACATCCTCTCGTCACATCCCAGGCACCATCCCAGATGTCTGGTATTGGGGTTGATGGAGATGCTTCTCCAAAAGGCGTGGTTACAATCGTGGTTCTCTTCAATGTAGATTTGCGCCTGTTGCACTGCTGCCTGACGCTCCTCTTGTGCAAGGTTCCGGGCTCGCGGGTCTCTCTGAACTCTCTCTTCACCGGCGGCTAAGAGTCGGCCTTCATCCCACATAGGGCACTGACAATTCTTCCACTCTGCGAGGCAGAGGTAACAGAAATGGGATTGACAACGACAGGCTGGTGCGTGTTAATATTGGTTAGTGAAAGTTCATTATCTCGACACGTGTAAGTCTAAAACCTCACTGATATGGTAGCATCCCATTCCCAACTCCACAACGGCCTGACAAGAAGGGCAGCGTTTCCAGTTGTTCTCCTTGGCCAGCTGGAGTACCTGTTGCGTAGCAGCATCCTGAGTGCAAGTATGGTCCTGGTGCTCGGCACTTTTGCATAGAACGCAGACTCTGGCCCGACAGTCTGGACAGGTGCCGACATCTCCATGAACAGTAGCAGGTGGGATAAAAGCAGAGCAAGTGGGGATGCAGCAGTATGTTCGATCCGTTGTCGAATACTCGACCGACTTGGCGTGGAAGATCTCCACGAAGTCGTCCGAGAACAACTGTCCCGAGATGTCGTTGATTGGAATGGCATGACCACAGCACCGAGGAGGGAATAAAGATTCATCGTTAATGGATGCCTCGAAAAGATCGCGAAGACAATCGGCGCAGTACATGTCTTGGCAACCATGGTTTTCGTAGAGTTCGCGCGTATCGTGTACCTCCCGACAAATTACGCATTCGGCTGTACTTTCAGGCTGATATGGTTGCTCAGCGGGCTTCAAGTGCTGTGCCGCCTCGCCAACGGGTTCCCCGTGCTCTGCCTCCGCAACCCCTTCTTCTTCGATACGGCGCGCCATAGCTCGGCCTAAGGCCATGAATTCGAGAGATGCCAACTCGTTCTGGTATAATTCAAGAGCCATCTGATCATCTTGATGGCCATCGAGTAGCTGGAAGCTGCCTTGCTGGGGTTCCCGGAGGTCGGCTTGCTGAAGCTCGACGATCAACTGGAGCGTTTCGTCGTCCATGTCGCGCAGAAGGTCGGCTGCCATGTTGTATATGTGGTATTTACAGCATCAATAGCGCTAAAAGCTCGAATTCTCGCCCACTGTGTGTGAACTACTTGCTTGCCAAAAGTCAGTTGAGGGTCAAAGGATTTTGCGATACGCAAGAAGGTCGATACATCTGGGATCGAGAGCGACCAAGATCTCCAGAACGAAGAAAAGTCTCAGCAATAGTTACTAGAAGATCAACTTACCGAGTATCTGAAAAAGACACAACAAGAAGTGGGAGAGCAGAAGGAGCAATCTGATTCGGTCACTCAGAAGCAGTAGGTTGTGACGAGGTAATTGGACAGAGAATTTAAGGCGTCCAGATGTTGGGGTTGGAATTGGAAAAAAGAAAAGACAAGACCACAAGGAGAGGCTCATGAAAAGGACACGAGCAGTGTCTGTGGGAAAAGAATAAAACAAGGAAGGCAGGCAATGTGATCGTAGGTGAGTCAAAGCAGGCAGATTTATCGGGAAGGTAACAACAGCAATATAGGATTGTCCATGAATTCGACCTTGAAGCTCGGCCCATTCCTAATTCTTCTGCTCACAGGTTTGATTACCTGATCGCTAGGCACCTACCTCGGTAGACACATAAAGAGGTAGTGAGTCTATCATGAATGCTGAATGGCTCAGCACTGGGTCAGTGGCACTGACCCAGTAATGATATCCAAAATGACCATACTGCTTCACGGGCACCTAGAATGTGCTTTTACAACACTACTCAGAACAATTGGTTTTTTATAAGACCAGAAATAATTGCTTTACTAGCTGCGAACAACGATGGTAAAGACGATACATGCGAGATGTTGTATCGACAACCTAAATCCATAATGACTGAGAGGTGGATCGGAGGACTGAAGTGGAGCGTCTATTGGCCCAAGCGTTCTGCATGCTGGGATGCATGATTGATTGGCAGATCTGTGAGGTGGGGGTTTATCTAAACGCCGACCACGATAAGACTTTATTTGTCTGAAAATTTCCCATGGGGACATTATCAATCCCAGCATTCAGTCTTGCGACCAACCAGCAGGAAAAACTCGTCGACAAAATGGCGGACGATGGCATGATTCTCAACTTTGACATGGGCAGCGGCCCTGTCAAACCCCACGTCAAGATTCAGGGCGGTCGCTGGCGCGACAGGAACAAAGCGCAGAGGATCGCTAACAGGAGCGAAAAGGGTCCTTCATCACCCTCGGAAGATGCCCCGCCACCTCAGAGATACACGCCCGGATCCAGGAAACCTCAGAGAGACGATCGCCCGGGAGACGATGATGGCTCATATGAACGTCCGGCTAAGCGGCCCAGGGCAGAGCATCCCCAGGCGAATGCCTACCGCACAGGCAAGCTGCCGCCTGGTAGCATCTCTACCGGCAGGCCGAGAGACGGCCCCGTCACCTCAAAGCTCTTCTCTTACAACCCTACGCCCAAGACCATATTCGATGAGCCAGGTTCCGAGAAGGTTGAGGAGAAAATAGCCGAGCCTTCGAATGCGCCGCTCTCTGATGAAGCTGCTAGCTTCCACGCCCTCGGAATCTCACGACGCCTGGCCCTGACGCTGTCCGGCAAGATTCAGCTCAAGGCACCGACTGCTATCCAGGCCAAGGTCATTCCTCAACTCATCACCGAAGACAACGATGCCTTTGTCCAGGCTCAGACGGGTTCCGGAAAGACCCTCGCTTACCTGCTTCCCATTATTCAGCGGATTCTCTCTGTCGAAGGTCAGATCAAGAGAGACTCGGGCCTGTTCGCCATCGTCATGGCACCAACCCGTGAACTTTGCAGGCAGATCGAGCTTGTCCTTGCCAAGGTTCTCCCGCCGTACTTGGTCAGTACAACAGTCATTGGTGGTGAAAGCAAACACTCTGAGAAGAGCCGTTTACGGAAAGGCGTCAATATCCTCATCGCGACACCTGGTCGCCTGAGCGATCACCTTCAGCACACCAAGACTCTCGATGTCGGCACCGTAAGGTGGCTGGTTCTCGACGAAGGCGATCGCCTGATGGAGATGGGTTTCGAGGCAGAACTGCGGACCATCGTCAGCAAGATCCGCGAGAATCCCCTGGCAAAATCAACGGCCAACGGCGTTTCTCTCGCCAATCTTCCTCAGCGCCGTGTCACCGTTCTTTGCTCAGCCACTATGAAAATGAACGTCCAGAAGCTCGGTGAGATCAGTCTGGAGGACGCCGTTCACATTACGACGTCGGAAGAAGAACAGGTCGACGGAGAGGAGACCAAGTTCGAGGCTCCAGCGCAACTGAAGCAGAACTACTTGATCGTGCCTGCCAAGCTGCGACTGGTCACACTTATCGCGCTCCTAAAGTCGACATTTTCACGCAAGGGCTCGGTGATGAAGGCCATCGTCTTCTTATCCTGTGCCGATTCAGTAGACTACCACTTTGATCTCTTGCGCCAACCGCCGGCTAAGGACGAGAAGGCGACCGAAAACCCTTCGCAAACCGCGAACACGGTGGCTCCGTCAGCATACATCACTTCCGCCGCCAATACCAACATCGTTCTGCACAAGCTGCACGGCTCCCTACCCCAGCCTGTGCGTACAGCAACACTTGCCTCTTACAGCAAATGTACAGACCCGACAGTGCTCATCACCACTGATATTGCGTCGCGTGGACTCGATGTGCCTTCTGTCGAGCTCGTCGTCGAATACGATCCCGCTTTCAGCGCAGCAGACCACGTCCATCGCATCGGTCGTACAGCCCGTGCCGGCCGGCCCGGTAAGGCCGTCCTATTTCTCATGCCTGGGTGTGAAGAAGGCTACATCGATCTCCTCAAAGCCCAGAACGCCTCCCCCCCTAAGCCCGAGCTTTACGACACCGTGCTCCACAAAGGTCTCACCACGGGCATGGAGTTCCCCGTTGAGACAGATGCAAAGCCCCAGCCCGCCACCGACAGGGGCTTCAGCACTCGAGCTGAGAACCTTCAACTTCACCTGGAACAGCGTCTCCTCCTGCCATCGGCAACGAAGCTTCTCGACGAGGCACGCAAGGCCTTCCGCTCACACATCAGGGCGTACGCGACCCACATCAAGGAGGAACGCGTCTATTTCGACATCAACGAGCTTCACTTGGGCCACATGGCCAAGGCGTATGGTCTGCGCGAGGCGCCGTCGGGCATTGGGCGCGGTGGTCATGACAGCAAGAAAACCGCCATGAAGAAGAAGGCGGCGGGCAGGAGAGGCGACAGCAGGTCGTCGGGCAACGCCATGGAGGACATTGACCCGAACGGAGCCGAGCCGAGTGAGATGGAGAGGAAGATGAAGCAGAAGATGAGGTCTGTGATGAACGCAGCCAGCGAATTCAATCTGGGTTGATGGAATCTTTGGTTGGTCGGGACTGGGTACGGATGATAGATAAAATGGGCAAAATCATAGCGTTTACATAGTCATATCCCTGATCGGGTGCTTTTCTTTTATCAAATGTCATTTCCCACGAGACTAGTCTTGTCTGTTTATCACGGATATGCCGACTCTATACTCCGTACAACGTTGCTGAATGTTTAGAGTTTGTTTGTGACCTCCCCGCTGAAGTGGACCCCCCTCCATTGTCCACAGAGCGCACCCCATGGCTAAGGCCGTGCGACCTTAGGGCAGTGAGTGATCCGATCGCACCTGAGCGGCACATTGACAGCTGCCTAACGTCTACATACAGGTAAGGAAGGATCACACACAGCACCTCAGTTACAACCGCCACCGCGCCTAGGCAGGTACTTCGCTGCAAACGCTATGTAAAGTGGAAGACTGCAATCTTGTTTTCTGTTATGAGTTCACTATAATCGCTTGGCACATACTCACTACGAATTTTACACCTCTTGTTTTCGCCCACACCATGACGCGACGACTTCCTTGGGATCGTGATACTCCAGAAGGATTGCCAACACCAAAGAAACCAACGAGCGCAACGACTCCGCGGAAACCCGCGATACCACCCCGTGTCACACCCAAGCAATCTACGACCATCGCTTCGTTAGGGAATTCCAGTTGCAAAACAGCCCGCTCAGCTGGCTTTCTTGAGGGTACGTGTTCACGGACACTTTTCACTCACCATCAAGAACTAACTGAGCTTCCACAGATAGGAGCCCCTCTACCTCACCACCTCCAGAACCTCTCCCAGAGACGTAATCTCCACCCGGGCTCATTCACTGCCACCTAAAGCTGACACGTTCATAGTTTCATGATTGAAGGCCTGGAGCACGATGACAAGTACCGCATGGTCGAGGACGAACTCTTTACTGTCGCGGGACAGTTTACTGCCCATCTCCATGTCGCCGAGTACCAACGCCTCAAGGCCCAGACGCGGAGCCAAAACGCGGAGACGATCAAAAACATTTCCCGCCCTGTCGTTGGATCCCTTACCGAGCTCGCGCGCAAACGTCAGGAGGAGCTGCTTCGTAAGAAGAAGCAGCGCGAAGCTTTACGGCAAGCGAAGCAGGTGGCGGGCAGGGACGGTGATGAAAGCGGAGATGAGACTAGCATTCCGTGGCGAGGAACCTCACTACAGGGCCTCATGCATAGCCCGAGGAAGAAGGAGGTGCCATTGATGGCGCTTACAAAGACAGATTCCGGATCGAAAGCTTCAAGTCTGTTTGGGGGTCTGGTGAGGTCGCAGAGTAAGAGGCCGATCACTGCGATCAGGTCCGACCAGGATGATGAGGAGACCGAGGATGAGAGCGACGACCTGGGGCGTCCCAGCCGACTCACAGCCAGGATGGAAGATGCGAGAGGCCGAACGGCGTCCGGGGGACCCTCTCATTCCTTGGGAACTGGTGCGGAAGCACCTAGTCGACCTGTTCCGCAGAAATCAAAGATACCGGATGCCCGCATGCGGATGGCAGAGACTAAACCAGCCATTCGCAGGGGGGGTCCACCCGCATCAATGTCGACGACACCAGCCTCCACGAAAACGGCAACGACCCCTGACGATAATAGGAAAGAAGATGAAGACGACGACGACGACGACGACGACGACGACGATGATTTGTTTACAAGATTCAAAAAGCGAAGAGCAACTTCAAAGCCCCGGCGCCGGGAGACAGAGAAAAGGGAAGGAAGGCTGGAGTCGAGGGAGAACCGAGATATAATTCCGTCATTCATCTGAATCCCCTGGGTACGAAATGGGCATTCTGTAACAACATTTGTCTATTATTTACAACAAGCCAACGTATTCCGATATTCCGACAGCCCACTAATTGCTACTTGCTGGTGATGAAAAGACATTCTGCTTCCCTGAGCTCCACCCCTAAACCAACGCAGACCCCAAAGTAAGGTTTGCAGCAAAAACCTGTTGCCTGGTGCCCCAGTCGCATCACACTATGAATTCACAAGGTATGTGCCCAGCCCGTTCATTCACTATTCCATCCCGCTGGCCATATCTCAAACCTCTGTCCATTCAGCTCCGATGCTAATGATTTGCACCGGGTCCATCTACAGGGACTCCTGAACCGGCCCCAGTACGAGGCAATCCTATGTATTATGGTAACTATGAATCACAACTGCTTGAGTGAGTCTAGTGTAATCAATAACAGTATAACAAATACTAGGTGTAGGTAGGCAGTGCCAGCCTTTCAGCATTTCTGCTCGCCATGGACAATTGCAAAGCAATACAGTGCTGTTTCTCTAATATATGCCCCTCTGGTCACAATCGACACACCACTCCCTATCAATGTCTTCTAGCTGCTTGTTCATGCCCCATTGTTGTTCCCTCATATGCCTTTGGCTGTGTTCACCTTCTGCCATCACATCATAGATGAAGATTGTTATTATCACTGTTGGTCTCCTCTTTTGGTTCGGTTTTTCGTCCGTTCCATCGTCTCGTTAACAAATTTTCGTCTACTCCCGAGATCTTATTCCTTTCCCTCTTGCCTTTAGTTCGTTCTTTCATCTGTTCTATCGTCTTGTTAACAAGCCTGCATGTGCTTCCAAGGCCTTGTTCTTTTTGCCCTTGATTCGATTTCTCATCCGTATCACCAGCCAGCTCGCAAGCTTTTCTCCACCTTGCTTTCTTCTTCTCGGGCAGTCAAACCGACTGATTGCTACCAACAGCGGCCCACCAACCTCGACCATGAAGTCCGAACCTGACGAGAGGGAGGTCTACCTGGGCCTTTCCTCCGTCTTCTGGGGGCCAGAGTCGCAAATCCACAAACAAAATGTCATCGAGTCGAGGCTCCGACGGTGCCAGCAACCACATACATATAATCCTGCCGCAGTCGCCTTGATCAGGAAGTACCAATTCAACTCTGTTGTTGTCGTTTGCCAGAGGCTTTTGAAAGCAGGAAATTTCGAAAGTGACCAGATGGCAAGCGCACACTTCGTAGGAATAGAACGTCCGAACTTTCAGATGAACACAACGAAGGACGAAGATATCGAGGACGGAGGCATCGGGAACAAGACAGAAACGGCGGCCCGGATGATAGAGCCGATTGCCAACATCAGCTCAAATACCATGACGAAGGCACAATCGCCGAACCATCGGACACCCTCCCACACAGACACCGACGGGGGGGGCAGACTATTGTCATTGTCCCGAAAGTGACCTCATAGCTAGCAACTCGCCTAGCGAAGAGCCATGGGCTGTTGCTGCCATCAAAACGAATTTGCGAGAGATGACATCGGCTGTCGCTCCGTCTCTACAGTCACGTTCCGCTAGCGTCCTGTCTATGTCGGCCCATCCGCAGATAAACCCAGCATGCCTTCTATACAAAGCTCAGCACACACTTCTTGTCAGCACACAGGGGATTCTCGAAAATGCATGTTTCAAATATGCGGTGCACAACATGCCTCGGGTTCTCTGGAGCAGACAATGGGTGGCTCCTGAGTGTGTTGAGCTCCATATTTGGGTGCGCATCCTCAATTACGAGGCGGAGGTGAGATTCAAGGGCGAGGCAATCCCGCATCCCCACGGAAGCTGGAATAGCTTCTTCCGATCCATCGCCAACCTCCGCCACAAAGCCGTTCACCGCGAGCAGTTGGCGGGTAGCGATATCGAGTCCTTCCTCAGGGACGCCCACAACGTTGCAAGACTGCTCCGTGACGACGAAGGCGCCAAAACGCTGGCGAGGTTTCGAAAGGAGACTCGCGAGTGTCTGGAGATGTTTGAGTCCTGCAAGAAGAACATCTCGAGAGATTTACAGGAAAAGATGGACGAGATCAGCACCCGTCGCGCCGAGCTCAATATACTCGAGCAACAGGCCACGCAAGATTATTTCCAGGAGGACATGAATATCAATGCCAAGCTCGGGTCTGATCTCAAAGAAGCAGTTGTCAGCGCGGAGGTGGCGCAGACCAAGGAAGAGGAAAAGCACACCGACGACCAGGAAGAGCGCAAACAAAGCGTCAGCAGTCGGTCTTTTTGCCTCCTTACGGTACCTTTTTATGTCGTGCAGACGTTTTGATCACGGTTGATGAGGGAACACACCAACTAAGAAAGCTGTCAATCTCTCTTTCGAGTGGCGGTAGATGAAGAATCGTCGGTTCAAGGTTTTCATGGGTGCAACAGACATGGCCACAACAGGAGCGCGCGGGCCTGATTTTTCTGCAACAACTATACCCGTCACCTAACCATTTCACTGTTGCGGTTGCTCGATTGATTTCCACCGCTCTGATAGGAAGGTCATAAGCATCCTGATCCTTGATGGGGTTAGGGTCATGCAGAGCTAGGGAAGACGGGAAATTGGCGATGGCTTGTCTCGGGAGCTAAATGTCAGCATAGATATCCCACAGATTCCTACAGATTGCAAACCGTCTGCAACTGTCTTCCTTGACATATCTTTGCGTTCATTGCCAACTGGCCGGGGTTCGGGTCATTGATATGGCCGCATTCCGTATGATAACACGAGTGTTAGCTTCTGAAGGACTCGTTCAAAGCTTGCCAGAATGAGGCACAGCCACTGTTATCAGAGCATTCCTCTCTAGGATTCGGCAAGATCGCCTCATCAATCTCACTTGCAGATGCCGATCCAATACTCATAATCTCGCTCTGGTACTGTGCCACGCGATTGGATGGGATGTTTACTTGTTCTGTGGGGACCGACCCCCTGGACGGTTGAGTCGGAGAATGCGGAAGGTCGGAACAGAAGCAATAGGACTGTAGGCCCCATTCTGACGTCGCTCCGATAAAACCTACGACGCCAGGATTTAGCCTGCAAGCACTCTCAGCCAGGAAAACAAAACACATAAACACATAAACACATAAACAAATATGGTTTGTGCGAATTATGACTGTTGGGAATGGATGGCATCACAGACTCGTGCATAACAAAAGGAATTAGTAGGCTTAGCTTGTAAAGCACGAGCTCTCACAAGATGTGCTCTCAAGTTTTTTTAAAGTTTTTTCTTGCTAAAATAGATGTCGGTCCACCAAGGGTTGTGCTCAAGCAACAGGGCACGGACGTTGTAGATGATCATGGTGGCCCACGAGCTTCAACCTCTTGCTCGACACCGATGATTTACTTGTAGTGCGGGTGCAGTTGGTCGTCAGCAAATGCACTCTCGAAGTCTCCAAGTTCGTCATCCCTGCACAGAGTCCCCACACAGGCAGGAACAGGAACAATCCACTTGACATTGCCCCGACCTCAGGCCCAAAATAGCCGACGGGGTGAATTGTTGCGTTCGCCACTGTCTCCATTCTCGGTGCAATGCCCACTTTTCGGGTGATCAGCAGGGTTCTCAGCTCCTGTTTCGCCTTTCGTTCAAGTTCTCCGGCGCCAATCAATGGGTACATGACGTCTGGCGTAGCCGAAGGTCCAGACCATGGCACGGTGTCTGGGAACCCCTGGTCTTGGTGGATCCAGGCCTATCATTGACTCGTCAACAGCTTCAAGTGGCGTGGTTCATCGGTACCGAACCAGCCTTGGGGACAGGGAGGCATGAGATTCAAATACTAGTTCAAACCTCCAGCATACCCGTTTTCGGGTGTTCCGATCCTCTCGTTTCAACTTTTCCTACTTCTCCCACTCCTCTCTATACGCACTTCACTCGTCCAGAGCCCGCTGCAGCCATCCGCCAGTTGCCAGCCGACGACCTCAAGATGGTGTCAACCCTCTCAGCGGCTCTCGCCCTTATATCCGCCGCCCGATGGGCCTCGGCTGCGTCGGTCGCTGGACGACAGGCCACGGGCGATGCTGAATGCCGTGACGTTCACATCTTTCTCGCCCGCGGGAACAACGAACCGTATCCCGGCCGCCAGGGGAAGCTCGTCACCGCCATCTGCGACGGCCTCGACAGCTGCGACTACGAAGACATCCAATTCTACAACCCGTTGCCGGCGCCGTACTGCCAGTCTATCGTAGATGGTGTCGCGAACGGGACCGCCCAGATCACGGCATACAACAAGCGGTGTCCGGACGCGGCGCTCGTTGTCAGCGGATACTCCCAGGGCGCCCATGTTGTCGGCGACGTCATGGGCGGCGGAGGCGGCACTTTCTTCCAAGGTTGCCAGCAGAAGCCGACCCCGGGCATGGACGCAACGAAGGCGCCCGGAAACAAGAGTGAGTGGTTGTCTGGTCTGCTGAAACCCGGCGTTGGCTAATAGCGTCGTCTCATAGTTGCTGCTGTGCTTCTCTTCGGCGACACAAGGCATACTGCCAATCAGCCCTACAACATCCTAGGGGGTGCCCCAGACAACGGGCTGTTCCCCCGTCCGGCGAATCAGCTCGCCGGTCTCATGGCCTTCTCAAAGGTGGCACGTTCGTACTGCGCCGACTCGGACCCGATCTGCGCCGGCGGCAAAACCGCGGCCAACCACCTCAACTACTTTGACATCTACTCTGGCGACGCCGGGAAGTGGGTGCAGGAGATGGTCGGAAAGCCCGACACGACGACGTCTTCTATGCCGACAAGCGCATCGCCCACAACGTCCGTGGCCCCCAGCGCACCAGCGATCCCGTCCATCAGCGCACCGGAAATCCCGTCCGTCAGCGCGAACCCCTCGGGCGCGTTGTCTCCCGCCTCGCCGACGCCCGTAGAGCCGGCCCCGGCGACTCCAACGGCCGAAAATGCCGGCTCCTCTTCGACCACCGCGGAAAGTGCGGCGACGGCCTTGGCCTGCAGGTCGGTTCTCCTGGGGACCGCTGGACTAGCCGCCCTGGTTGTTTCCGGGATGATTTGACGTAAACATGATCAAGAAGAAATGATCATTTGCAGCAAACACGACAGGATCACGCATGGCTTGAAGACCAGCCCATAATTGTAATGGTGTACATGGTGGAGCGCTTGATATCTTTTTTCAAACATACCCTCGATTGCTTAAGCGTTGTAATTTATAGTTTTCGAATCATAACGGCATCTGGATCTGAGCCAGGATCGATTGGACGCATTATTCCGTACAGGGGTTCTTTGAGAGCTGGCTACTTTTGATGGAAGATGGGACATAATAGACCTATGATTGATTACCAAGCAAATGGTTATGAAATTATGAGAAATCCGCCGTCGTGATCCTCATATACAAGTTCGTACCCAGCTACTTGGTTAGCCCCGGACAGGTACCTTCTCACAATAAGGAACATTTGGGTTAGACTTTCTCCTCAATCACTTGGGTAGTTTGGATATGGCCTTCGCCGGGTGCCCACTGGTCATCTACATGCGCAAGCACAGGTAGCAGGTAGGTGGTGACCTGATATAGCAATGGGGCGGGAGTATTGATGTCCGACAACAGACAATAGCAGCGACGTCGCAGGATATAATCCCTGCAGTCGTGGACAGAATGGGGGGAAAGTGGTCATGTTCTGAAACTCATACTTGTGTTCGTTATCCGGGGATATGGAGCTGACTTAGAAAACCATAAGAGCCTTTCGATTCAGTGCCTGCGCCGGCCGCTTTCTGCACAAGACTCAGACCTTGGACTTGGCGCCGACGTCCTCCACAGCCTCCGCCCTGACAGCCCCGCTCTTGGTCTCGCCGATGGGGTCCATGTCCTCGTGGTGGATGGCCTTCTCGACAGCAATGACGGCCTGGTCGGCGAGGGCCTTGTCCTCGAACACTGGGAGGGGAAAGTATGCGTCAGCGAGGCCCGCGGAATCAACGGAACGGGTATCAGCGACTTACAGAAAGCCAGCTCCTCGAGGGTGCGCCCTGCCGTCTCGGGGAACATGAAGTATACGAATACCACTTCGAAGGCGAGCCAGCAGCAGTAGCTGATGAGGTAGCGCCACGAGACGGCTTCGAGGCCGATGGGGTTGACGAAGGTCGTGAAGAAGGCTGCCAACCTGCCGAACAGCTGGAACAGCGAGAGACCGCGCGAACGCAGCGCGTAAGGCCATAGCTCGATGAGGTAGGTGTACGTCAGGGCGTTGTAACCGATGTTATAACAGGGCGAGTACATGAAGATGAAGAAGATGGTCGCGACGGACGCGCCCTGGTTCTTATAGCCGTTTTCATCGGCGTGCACAGCGCGCTCCATGGAGATCGTCCATGCAATGTAGCAAAAGAGCTAGCACGTCTTGTTAGCTTTCTGCAGCAGCTTTTGGGATGCCTCAGGGGGGGAGCCTACCAGTGAGATCGTGCAGACAAGGTACATGACGCGACGGCGGATCCTCCGTACAAGCAATGCGACAGTGAGACCGCAGACGAGGGCCCATCCGGAGAGGCCGAGGTTGATCTTTTGCTTCACCGCAGAGTCCGTCAAGCCAACCATCTGGAGCAAGTCGCCGAGATAGTATCTACGTCTTCAAGTCAGCGCAAGGCGACGGCGGGGGGAGGGGGGGAGGAATCGGAAAATGCTTACGAGATCAGCGTGTTACCGGACCACTGAGTGAAAAGACCCAGCATCATGGAGATGAGAGCACGACGGCGCATGCCGGCTGTGTTGAGCAGGTCCATCCACGTTTGCTTCGCAGCCTCCATCTCAAGGGTGATGACGCTCTTGATCTGGACCATCTCGGCCTTGACGAACTCGGATTCGCGGTCGCCCTCGGCGTGGTACTTGATCAGGATCTCATTGGCCTCTTCACTACGGTCCTTAGTGATGAGCCAACGGGGACTCTCGGGGATGAACCTGCGGGTGATGGAGGTCAGATATTGAGGACAAAGGATAGCCCTGATGGCTTCTTCCACGCGAGGCTCTCACATGACGAAGGTGATCTGAAGGAGAGAAGGGCAGATCTGGAGGAGGGACGGAATGCGCCACCCCCAGTCGCTCTTGATGTTGTTGGTACCAAAGCAGATGCCGGCAGCCAAGATTTGACCGACATAGTAGGAGACGTTGAACCTGCACTAGATTTAGTTCTTCACCGTTCATTCTCGCAGACCCAAGAGTTGATTGCTGTGGTAGCTTACAACGACGTGAGAACCGGACGCTCCTTCGGGTAACTGAGCTCACCGATCAGAGACGAGGCGGAGACGATGCAGGTCGGGATACCGAAACCGAGGATCATGCGGGCAACGATGTACATGCCGACTATGGTTCCTTTGGATTAGCTTCCTCCAACTTCTTGGCGGGAAAAGGGGGGGGGGGTTCGGACGTACCGTGCTGAGAGAACCCCTGGATGAGCGCGCCGACCACCATGACCAAGCTGCCGCCAAGGATGGACCATCGTCGGCCGAACTTGTCGTTCACCACAGGAATGAAGGGAAGAGACAAAATGGCGCCAAGAGAGTAGGCGGCGGCGATAATGCCCTTCAGACTGCCCTGGGGATTGCCGAAGTCTGACAGAAAGAAGGCGTTAGTTCTCGGGAAGTTTTCGACTTCTCTGGAATCTGGACGACTTACATTCCACCCACGAGGGCACGATCTGCAGGGCGTTGATCATTTGCGAGTCGAAGCCGGACGTCAGCTCGATGCCCATGCAGGTCGGGAAGAGCATGAAGTAGAGGTATCGCAGGTTCGGCTTCTGATACCACGGCACCTTGTCCTCCTCCGAGATGCGCGTCAGGATGGGATCCGCCGCCCCGGTTTCTTGGACGCGCTTGATCTGAACCATGTTGGGCCACCGCTGCTGCTGGGGTATTCCGATGGGACACAAGAAGTTTAGGAGGCAGCTATCGCGAACGGATGGCAAGAGATTTGAGAAAGACGAGGATTGGGTGAGTAGTGTTTGTATTCCACTGGGCGGAGATTATATGTTTACCGGGTCCCTGTCTCCAGGGAAGAAAAGCAGGCACACACTCTGTCTTCTCGTACGATGCAACATCGGACGAGGTCTACTCAGGGCATTATATACGCATCTGGCGTGAAGCGATGACCCATGTCAGCGTTACTCACTTTGCCTACGTAGCATGCACGAACCCGGCATAGAACATAATGGCTAAGGCGGGACTGCGGGAAGCGTCCCTTCCAGGGCCCCCAAGTGGCAGAAGGTCCGAATGAGATGACCGTTACACGGGAGGCGCGTAGCAACGAGCCGTCGTATGGCTTGCCAAGCCAATCCTGTCTATGGCCGGAGGATCGCTTGCATTTATCCATCCAGTCAGAGCAAAGGTTCATCTTTCAACAATAGAGCCAGGGTTTGGGAGGTCGGTCAGTCATACGTGGAGGCGAGCCACATGCGGGGAAGCCAAACCCACCCCCTTCTTCCCCACATGGCCTCTCTGCTTTGTCTTCCCCATGGGCAGTATTGGGCTTACCTGGATGTGTTTAAATTGTGGGAGGGCGTTCGAGCGGGTGACTCCGCACTCCCCCGAACAGTGGCTGGTAATCTGCCTATGGTGGAGAAGCAAGGGGGTGGGGAGAGCCATCGACCAGATTTACCAATGAATTTTTGGGGTTTGAAAGGATGTATCCTTGCTTGGCGGCGTGTTGTGCTTGTCGGGGATGACAACATGGGCGCCGCATTCGGTCAACCGGGAGGACCAGTAGCGAGACCATCCCCATACGCCGAGGTTATTTTGTCAGACCCTGGGGTCACATAGGGCCGAAGGGACAGTCGTCCGAGGGCAGTCGTCACAGCTACATTTGGACGTTTCTCCCAACTTTGCTTTAGAACTGCCGTCGAAATAAGATGCTTGGTCTCTGCCCCGCGAAACGAACTTTACCCAAGTAGGTGGCTTACCTGCAACTAGCTTCAACCCTGGAGTGGACAGAAAGACCCAATACCGCCTCTTAGCCACGAGTTTCAGACGTAACTGCGAATGCTCATGCGGGCATGTGCCAAGAACCATGTGTTGCGCAGTGATGCGGCACAGCTCATCTACTTGGAGGATCACCGACAGAGCACTCTGGGAAAAGGCAAGGAGTGTGGATGGGTGTAGGGAGCAATGGTGTGCCATGCTGGGTTTTCTGGCGGTATTTGGGCAGAGCGGACAGACATCGAAAAGTCCCTTGGAGACCCCAACGGGAAGTGATTGGCAAGACTATTCGCCCGGCCAAGGGCGCATGCATGCAGCTTGCATTCGAAGTGCTCGCTCGCTCAACTCCTCTCCTATACCTCGTAGACTAGTCAAATCCTGTCTGAACTATGTTTGGCACAGTACCGATGGCGTGGTTGTCAAACCTGCAGATGCAACCTAAGGTTCGGAACCCTCCAAGCCCTCTCTGGTCCCGACAGGCCTGATCGGACTTTAGGATGACAGCGTTGCATCGTCAGTGGTGGGATGGAGCTGTGCAGGTTAGAGCCTTCTCCGCCGGCAGTCGGCGAATTCAGATGAGCCCACGGACAAACAGGCTGGGCGTTATCAAAGAGACTTTGCTGTGTACCTACTTAGAAAGCTGTATTTATGCCAGGACGCCACTGATTCAAACCCCTCCAATCGAACACCATCCCCATCCCCATCCCATCCCATCCCATCCCATCCCATCCCATCCTATCCCATCCTGCATCTCGTTGATCCGGAAAAGGAAGACTTTGCGGGGTAACACCATCAAACATCAAGCCATTTGGGAGGTATGCAGAGAGTCCTCCTGACCCGGCCAAGAGCCCCCTATACACGGGTTAAGTTCTCTAGGAAAACCAAGAGGCCGAGAAGAAGAGCGAGCTTGGCCTAGGAAGGGGACGTCGCAGCTCTCTCTCTTCCGCCCCTACCCCATTGGCTTCTCGTAATGACTCGACAAGGCCAAGAATCAACAACACAATACGAGGAAATCCGCGGAGGGTGGATCCATCGTCCCAAAGTGGATGTGGGAGAACTCAAGAGTCTCTCTCCTCCTTACCCCCACAAAACTCGCCCGCAAACAAGACGCGCGAGGGGGGGGTGGAGGCATCGATCCCGCCCCCTTCCTCTTCCTCTGCCGGCATTGCGGGAGGGTGGAGACGCTGTTAGCCGTAAAGACCCGAGAGAAGGGCCGATTGCCACGAGGCATTAGGGCTAGATAACCGGCACGTCGTCCCTGAACCGTCCAACATACTTCGTGTGTTTCCCCCTCCTCTTCTTCCTCACCCTCTTCACCGAGTCACCTTGCAGGGGGGGAGACCTGAAAAGAGAGAAAAGGGCAGGGAACAGAGGATCACAGGGGCACCACCGACAACAACGAACATTGACGGCCGGAGAGACGACGACGGCAAAGACGACGAAACGAGAGGCTTCAGTCAACGCCGTCACATAACGGCTCCTCAGTGGACTTGGCGTCCTCGACCCGGAGACATGGCTGTAGAAGCGGCGGGTTGGAGACCCTCGCACGTCGACCAACCCAACGATATGGACAAAGCACTAGACCCGCCTTGGTAGGGGATTGGAGCTCGACGACCACTTGTCCATCTCGACTCTGTCCAGTGCGTCAAGGTACTCTCCCAATAACCGCTGTCTAGGGAGGAGGAAGAGGGGAGGCGACACAAGCCTCCCCCGTGGAACTCCGCGGCTCTCAACGCCACTTCCGGCTTTACCCTTGTCCTCTCGTCGTCCTGTTGATAGTGACCCGTCGCGTTTATCCTCTCTTACACAGATGCAGCCCGATGCTCGAGCCATGTTTAAATAGAGCGTCCACCTCACCGACGACCCGCCAAAGCTCCTTCATGAAGACCTCGAGATCGCGGCGCCTCGCCCACTTGATATCACCAACCGTTCGGTAGAACTAAACACGCAAACCACCCGCACGTGAGAAGCAAATTGCCTCGGCAAACCCGCCGTGTGCCGGATATCCCATTACGAGGTCACTCTCAGTGATGGGGGAGGGGGGAGGGGGGAGCCAGCCTCTGGCATCAGAAGGCTTTTTCAAACGAAGGCTGTCGGGGCTTCTGCCAGTGCTGTGTCGTTCATCCGAAATAAAACATGTGAGCCCCAGGGGCATTGACCTAAACAAAACGTAACGTGACTTTGGACTTTGGCGACTGGCAAGTAGATGTACGACAATGGAAGAGGACAGGCTTTTTGCAGCACCGCTTTCCCCCAGCATGGAGATGTAGAAACCCTAGGAATGTCGGCATGTGGGTTGCAGGCCCCAAAGTCTATCTAGCCTGGCACGCATGGAAATATCGCCGGCTAACGTGAATATTGCATATCGTTGCGCGCAATGACCAAGGAGTGATGTGATGGTTGATTACTTCGGAGCTGGGAAAATCTAGAATCTTATTTTACCTGCATTATTCCGTCGCCTGCCGCACGTCTTCGTCATCCATTGGTGCAATGACCATCCATCATGCCGGGACATCCCAGTCCCGGGTCCTATCCTAACGTGCCGCGATTGATGCTTAGGTCTACCGGATTTACAAACACATAATAACACACCGCTTTACTCCCTCTACTGTGTCTCGCGGACGACCTTGTCGACAGCCTTGGCAAAGTAGTCAACATTTCTCGTGTTGAGACCAGCCATGCTGATACGGCCGTTCTTGGTCATGTAGACGTGTGCATCGGAACGCAGCTTCAGCACCTGGGTCTCGGATAGACCGGTAAAGCTGAACATGCCGATCTGGTCGGTGATATGGTTCCATGTGCCGGGGGTGCCGAGTTCCTCGAGCTTGGCGCGCAGTACCTTGCGCATCTCGATGATGCGGCCAGACATGGTACGCAGGTTCTCCTCCCACTCGGCGAACAGCTCGGGGGCGTTGAGCACCGTCGCAGCAACGCGAGCGCCATATAGCGGCGGGTTGGAGATCTCAGAGCGCTGGAGGATGGCGAGTTGGGAGGCGATACGGGAGGTCGTCTGGGCGGCATCGGGGGCGGGTGCGGTGACGAAGTGGAAGCATCCGGCGCGCTCGCCGTAGAGACCAAAGTTCTTTGCGAAGCTCTGGGCGATGAGCAGCTCGAAACCCTGCTCGATGAAGTAGCGCACGGCCCACGCATCCTGAGCGAGGTTGCCCGAGGCGAAGCCTTGGTAAGCGCAGTCAAAGAAGGGGAAGTGATTCTTCTGGCGCATCAGAGCAGCGATTTCCTTCCACTGTTCCCGGGTGGGGTCGACGCCGGTAGGGTTGTGGGCGCAGGCGTGGAGGAGGATGATGGAACGCTCGGGGGCGGAGGACAAAGCGGACTTCAGGCCGTCAAAGTCGAGGCCCTTTGTTTGCTTGGAGAAGTAAGGGTACTGGGCAATGGGCAGGCCGACGTTGCCAAAGATCTGGTTGTGGTTGGCCCATGTCGGGTTGGAGATGTAGACGGTGCGGTTGCCCTTGTAGAACTTTGCGAGGAAAAGGGCGCCCAGGTGGACGGCGCCGGTGCCGGATATGGTCTGGACGGAGGTGGTGCGCTTCTCGCGGATGGCGGGCGAGTCGGCACCGAGCATCAGCTCGTTCGCCTTGCCGGTGAAGGCCGGTATTCCGGCGATGGGAGCATATTCGTGGTTCAGCTCTGGGTCATTGCGAAGGATCTCGTCGGCCTGTGGTGTTACATCATGGCGGGGTCAGCGGGGGTGGATAAGGGGGAAGGTGGGAAAGGTGGATAAGGGGAATCCTCATCGAAATACCATAGCTGTTGCTGCTGCGTGTGACGCAGGCGAGCCCTTTTGTTGGAGGCTGCAGGGGGCCACGACGCAACAAACAAGGCCGGCTGCGCCAATGACGGCAGCAACAGTGACGGCGTGACGATGGGGGTTCGAAGAAGGAGGATAAGGCAACGCACCTTTTTGACGACGGGGAGCACCCAAGGCTTCGCGTTATTATCGCGGTAAGCTCCAATTCCCTATATACGACAGGAGCATGTTAGCTAGCGGTGACAGCGGTAGGAAGGCAAGGAAGGCTACGACAGCTTGCCCGGGGGGGGGGGGGGGGGAATTAGGGGTCTACGCACCAAGTCGACCTTGTCCTTGCTCTCGTCGGCCCTGTAGGCAGCCATCAAGCCGAAGAGGGGATCCTCAGGAGCTTGAGGCACCGTGTCGGCGGGGAAACTTGTTGCTGCAACGGGCGGCATGATGTGTGATGCGATACTGCGTATTCTCGAGAGGGTAGGGTTGTTCTGGTGAGAAGAGGAAGAGGAAGAAGGAGAGGAGGAGGATGACGACGAGGAGGAGTCACCGGGCATTTTCAATGTCGGAGCTTCTCTTTCGCAAAAGAGAGGGAAACGAGTCAAGGCGGGTATCGGAGGATTAAAGGGTCTGCGCCGGGGTGGTTACTATTATGGCATCAATAGTGGTTCGATTCCAGACGGGCGAATGGGATGCATTGCAATTGCAGGCGCCAACCTGCTCCGTGTCTGGAACCTTTCCAAGTTGGCCGGGGAAATGGAAGCGGACATGCGCCCCCGTCTAACAGGCTCCAGCTAGGGCGTCGGGGAACAGGGAGGGAGATGAGGGGGGAAGGTTACAGACGGGAAGTGGTACAGATACTGTGTAGGTAGGTACCTACTTAGGATAGGTAGTGAACGGACGGACGGATACAACGCCGTACCTTTCTGATGGCGATGAGGGACGGCGGCGGGGGAGACCGCGGGAGGAGGGTGTGGCGGGGGGAGAAAGGTACATTGTGACACGGGGTTTTGCTCTGCTTACCTGGAGGCGCTGGTTGTTGATACTGTGATGGCAGGAGCTAAGGATGTGCCCGAGCTGGAAGCTGCTAAGATAGGTACCGACACTTATGTCTCGCCCAGTGTCTCGTCTCCAACGCCAGGAGTTGCGGGTTTGGGGGGAAGATGCAGGGCGCGGATAATAGGTGCTGCGGGGGTGTGAACGCGGACGCGGATGCGGATGCGGATGCAAATGCAGGCCAGGGTAACGGGCCTCTTTACGGGGCTTGTTTTGCTGTATCCTTTGCTCGGGCGGTGGAAGGGCGGGGGTGGCAGGATATGGGCAAAGATGGGTTTTCCCCCCCTAAAGTTTCTGACTTGAACGTGACGAGCCGTATCCACAAATTGCCGACAGGTATTTCGTAACTCGTTGCTCGAAACGGCAGTGGACAACGGGCTTGTCTGCAAGAATAAGTACTGTAGATTGTCGATTTCGTAACAGTGTCGTACCTGGGAATGTACCCAAATGTAGGTAGGTACCTGAAAAGGAGCTCGGTACCTAGGTAGGTGGTTAGGTATAGCCGGGATGAAGAAGTTGCGGAAGTAGATACGTAGGTAGGCAGGTAGGTAGGTTCGTTCATTGACAGCCCTCATCGCAGGCCGCTGGGGAATGCGCCGTCTTCTTATCCTCTGCACCCCCTCCAACTAACTTCCCTCCCCAAGCTACCGAATTGACGGGCTGTGAGGTCACTGCCGCCGAGTGGACCGAGGTCTCGGGACGAAACCCCCATGACCATGACTCTGCCATTGCCGCCAGATACCGCCCACGACTCGACAAACGGTTCACTGTGTTTTTTGCCGTGTCTGGGAAGCACTTTTGGGTGTGCAGTTCACCAGGTTATCCATCCCGATTTCGACTCTTTTCTACAAACCCCAGACCTCGGACGGAGCGGCCGGGCTGAACCTCGTCGTGCGCACCCGGGACATGACGAATCGTCCCATCCATCACGCGATATTGAACTCGGCCGATGATGGATGCCCTGCAGCCCTGATGAGACGCAATTCCAGCTTTCCGTTCCACCGCTGTTCACTGGCCGTTGTGCCTAATAGCGAACCGTCGCTTTCGACATCCTTTCAACATGCCATCAGGGAGAAAGTAAGTATGGTACCGACAGTCCCATGTACTCAAACGCCGCGGGTACCGAGTTCCGTTTCGCATGTCAGTCAGATGCTATTAACAGCGCCAATCAGGAGCTGGCGTCGCAACACCTTCGCCAAGGCACTTGCCGAACAGCTCCGCATCCAGAGCCTGGGTGACACCCGCGGGCCAGAAGCCGGCGCCTCCACCTCCAACTCGCTCAGACTCACCGCATCGCCGTCGAGCTCTTGTTTACCTACACGGCTCACTGTTCCTAGTAGTAGTGCTCTCAAGGCAGAGGGCAGCCGACCGGCTATCCCATTGGGTCCGACAAGGCTTGGATTCGGATGTCACCTGGCCCCGGTCCAAGCTCTCTAGCCAGCATGTGACGCGGCTGCACAGCTAGCTACACAGTCTACTTTCACATGTCAACCCGCCCAACTAACCAAAATGACTGACCCGTGATCCAAACATGGAGGAATTCAATTCAGATGTAGCATGTTGACATATGAAGGACTTCTCAAGCATGCTGAGCATGGAAACTGTAGCTCAATAATAGGTCACTTCTCCAGCAAGGGTGGCATGTCTCAGCCCTGACGATACTCTGTTATTTTTAGCCCGACTTATAGGCTGCTTACCCCCAGTTCTGGTTGAAACCCTCCTGGTGATAGCCTCAATAACACACGTGCTCCAAAAAATGCCAGCCTAGTATGGTTTTATGATGAATCAACTGCGGGGAATTGCTGGGGTTTCCTTATTTATGTTTCCATCTTAACATTCACATCCGTCCGGAGATACACCGGCCTTGTTTCTGCAAGCCTGCGCGTCGTGCAGCTCTTCTCTTGAAGCATGCATAACCAAGGCGACAATTATATGATCAAGTCCCACAAGATCAGAAACGTGCACAACCCCGCCGATGCGAAGAACGTATACCGCGCCGCGCTGGGCCGCTGGGCAGCTTTCTTGAGCTGCTTGTTGCCGCCCCCGACGTCCTCCGTAATGTTTTCCGAGTCTGCCACGAGCTGCTCGATGTGCGCCGACTGCGTTGCCAGGTTGCTCACGAGCAGTGTCTGCAGCTCCGCGATCTCAAGCAGAGACTTCTCGGCCGTTCTGTGCGCAAACCGTTAGTGGTGGTTCGGGCACCCCTGGCCAGTCCAGACGGGGTTTCTGCTGCCGCCACGTACCTGACTTTGTTCAGCGTGCTGTTATAGTGCTGCAGCATATCCCGGTTGCCCTTCTCGAACATCTGTATCTGCTCTTCTGTGAGGTCCTCCTGCGGCTTATACGGCCCGCCCTCGCCCGGCGGTACCCCCGAATTCCCCGCCCCCTTCGCCGGCCCCTTTGCCGCCGCTGCGCTCTTGCTCATCGACTCGTAGAACCCTCCCAGCTCGGGCATCGCGCTCCCGCCGCCGGCCTTGGCCAGCACGCTCCGGTTCTTCTCCATCTCCCTCGTCAGCCGCACCTCCATCATGTCCTGCTGCGTCCTCCCGCACAGCTGTAGCCTCTGCCGTAGCGACTGGATGACCTCGTCACGGTGCTGCTCGATGGTCCGCGCCTTAGCCTCCGCCGCCCGGTGCTCCGCCGTCTTCCCACTGTCGTCAGAAGAGCCGCCCCCTCCCGTCGCGGCGCCGGCGGCGCCGGCGGCCCACGCGCCAAGCGCGCCCAGGCCGCGAGCGAACTTCTTGCGGATGATGGCTGCCTCAGTCTCGCGGCGGAGCAGCTCTGCGTCCTTGAGGGCGGTGATGCTGGCGTTTAACTCGCGGAGCATCTGCTTCGCGTTGGCGTCGACTTCTTCGCGGTCGCGGTCGGTGAGGTGGCGGGGTTGGCTTGCATTGTTTCCCGGCCGGATGTGCGTCTTGCGCGGCTGCGCAGTCGAGAGGTAGGCTTGCCGAACATCTTTAAGTTCGTTGTGGAGGCTCGTGATGTGGTGGTTCTAGGGATGTTAGACGACAAGCCTCGGTCTCCGGCTGGTATTTTACTGACTATTCTGTAAGCCTCTTTGAGGAAACCGTCAATCGCTTCAAGGCTGAGCTTCTTCTCGCCGACGATGGGCGCATTGCGCTTCCGCAGCAGCTCGTTGAATTCGGGCGTGATGTCCATTCTCGGTACAGGTCGGCCGTTGCAGCACTTCAGTGTGCAATCCAAAATGAATCCTGTCACCTCAATTCGGTGATCATGCTACTCGCGAATTGCTGGTAAGGATAAAACAGCAACGTCGTACAAGTTCCTGGCCATTTCGCGTTGCCGCTGGGAATCTGGAGAGCTGTTCTCCCATTAATGACGTGGCTTTGGCTCCCCCCCCCTGCACCAGCCACACTCGGTCTCTAGCGTAGACCGAGCAGTGGCTATTGTGGCGGTGCTGGCCGGACACCCAGCAAGGGACTAACAACAATAAGGTAGACTCAGTACCTATACATATTAAATACAAAAGAAAAGTAGAGTATTAGGATCGAAAAACTCCTGTAGTAAGTTTGAATTAACTTGTATAAAATTGTCATTAGATTCATTGAGGTATGATTGCTGCAAAACAGGTTAGCTGATGGCCTCTATGGTAGTAGGCTCTAAAGTGTGCACTTTTTTCGCAACGCGGGTGCCAGACAAGCTCTCCCTGAGTTTGGACTTGCATAGGCATGGCGGCACGAGCCATAAATCCTCCACACCTGCGCGGTTGAAGACTGACCCTGGCATCGTACGCATATCAGAGAACCAAGGATCAAGCGATCTCTCACACGACATAGATTGGCCTTGAAAACGGCTCGATACTTGGATTCGGCTATCCGATGTCAGCCATTAAATTCCCTTTGTCCAATCTCGAGTGACCCCAGACTCGTTCTAGAAGCGCAATGCGAGCCGGTGTCACTGCAGATCTCAGAGTTGTACGTAGTGATTCCCAGCCGTTACTACTCATACCAGTGGGTTCTATACCGATACCGCTCCGAGATGGCTTCCCAAACGTCACTCTTGCTCAAGTTCCAGACGACCCAGCTGCTCAAAATAGGCGGGCCCTTTGTGGAGGTATGGTTGGTCAAGACGAATCACAGCAGCCTAAGCCAGGGGGTCGGCTAGATACCGGTTATCCATAAATCGGAAATAACATCATTCAGCCGGGGGGTGGGGAGATAGTCGACATGAGTTTTGCCCAGAGGCAAGGTCTTTCTTATGTTGTTGCAGCATCTCCCTTGTTATGTTTGAACTGGCCAATCTCCTTGATCGCACATAGTCCTTGAGTAGTATCTTTTACTCGAAGAGTTGATACCCATCTATATTCAAACCACCTGTCTCGATTGCGCTCTTCGAGCCAGCCATTTCACTAAAGCAGATGCTGGAACTCTCATGACCTTGGTTGAGAATGGGAGAAGATGAGCTGAATGAAAAGGTCCCGGGAGAAGATCAACACAGGCCTGATTTGTCCACGACCTCTCCAGAGCCATCCGTTCGCCCCGTATCGTCGATTTCGGAACCGGAAGTTATCAACGATGATGACCAACATGACGCAACCTCAGGCGATAGGCCCGACCCAGCCTCAGAACGATTCGACCCCGAGAACCTCACTCGCCAACCCAGCGGCCCGGCCTACAGTGTAATAGCCCTGTCAACAAAACGAGGGATCACCTTGATGGCCACCGTCGCCTGCTTCATCTCGCCCATGTCGGCAAACATCTACTACCCGGTTCTGGCCCCAATCGCTGATGACCTGGGTGTTTCCATAGCTCTCGTTAATCTGACGGTCACCTCCTACATGATCCTCCAGGCCATCTCCCCAACCATCTTTGGCGACTTTGGCGACATGGCTGGCCGCCGTCCGGCGTTCCTTGTGGCATTTAGCATATACCTCGTTGCCTGCGTCGGTCTGGCTCTGCAGCGTAACTACGCCGCTTTGCTGGTCCTGCGAATGCTGCAGAGTGCCGGAAGTAGCGGTGCGATTGCACTGGGGTTCGCCATGGTTGCTGATATCTCTATGAGCTCTGAGCGGGGTAAGTATATGGGCATCGTCGGGGCCGGAATTAACGTCGGCCCAACCATCGGTCCTGTTCTCGGCGGCGTCCTAACCCAGTACTTTGGCTGGGCCTCCATCTTTTGGTTCTGTGTGGTACTAGTCGGGCTGTGGATCGTACCATATGCCCTCTTCATCCCAGAAACCTGCCGCAACGTTGTCGGCAACGGCTCTCTCCCGGCCCAGCCTTGGAACCGGCCCGTTGTTGACCTCATTCGCCGCCGACGACGCAGGAACGCCGCCGATGCCAACGCCCTATCCCGGAGCGCATCCACCGCAACAGCTGCCCAGCCAAAGGGCAAGCTCCAATTCCCGAACCCTATCCGCTCCGTGAAGATCATCTTCGAAAGGGAAATGGGTCTCATGCTCGCGTACAACAGCCTGCTCTACGTAGCCTTCATCTGTGTCACCGCGACCCTTGGCACACTGTTCCGTGAGATCTATGGATTCAACGATCTGGAGCTGGGCCTGTGCTACCTGCCCTACGGTGCAGGCTGCGTTGTCGCCAGCGTCGGGCAGGGCTACGTCCTCGACTGGAACTATCGCCGCCTCGCCCGAAAGATCGGCTTTACGATCGACCGCCGACGGGGCGACGACCTGAGCAAGTTCCCAATCGAAAAGGCCCGCCTGCAGCCCGTCTATCCGGCTGTTGCCATTGGTCTCGTTGCGCTAGTAGCATACGGATGGGTCTTGCAGATTGAGACCAGCGTCGCCGTTCCGTTAGTTTTGCAGGGTGTTATCGGACTAACGATCACGGGGTCCTTCAACATCATGAATACGTTGATTGTGGACCTGTTCCCAGATGCCCCCGCAACAGCCACGGCGGCCAACAACCTGGTGAGGTGTGCCATGGGTGCCGTCGGCACAGCCGTTATCGACTACATGATCTCTGGCATGGGGAGGGGGTGGTCGTTTACGTTTCTGGCTGCCTTGTGCGCGGTGCTGAGCCCGATGATGTTTTTAATCGCGAAGAAAGGTCCTAGATGGAGGAATGAGAGACGGACGAGGAGTGATGCTTCATGATTGGTTATGTTTGGAGGCGTTTTGGGGCTTGCCTAGGAGTCGGATAAATGATGTATCTCACTTCCGTTTCAGACTCAGTTCTTCCCGGCTTTGTTTCTGTAAATATAGATATAGATAGAATAGCATGTGTATCGTTTGACTTAGTCTACGATCCTGGTGGCGATCACTTGACTTAAGCTCATACCCTAAAGAGGAGATATACTTCTCGATAATGATGCATCACCGGCGGTCCAACTGGATAACCAGGCTACCTAGAGGACGAATGGCGGCTCACTCAAGGCAAACATAGGTGACTGAGTCGACCCACAACTGCCAGCAAGACAAGCGCTTGGCCAGATTCGATGGCTTTGTTTTTGTGTGACTCTCACGTGCTTCAGTTCTTTCTATGAACGAAAGAAGGACGACCTGTTGGAATATTCATCCCTTGGAAACTCGGTTCTCAGGCACCGATAACCCCCGTTTGCTCTAGCTCGATGTCTCAGCGGTGGTTGGGGTCTCACTTGACTCTCCGGAGCCCGGTGGACCTGAGCCGTGGGAATGGTCGCAAGGACCCGGACCGCATCCGGCTTCGCTAACGGTTTTAGTATGCGTGGCTGCGCATAGGACGATGCCATTAGGCTTTCGGTCGCATAAGTTGAGTAGTCGACTCCTGAATTTAGGCTCGCGATGAGGCCATCCCTTACGTTCCGTGTTGCCTTGTTTGTCAAGACTAGTTAACCCATCTTCCAAGCACTTGGTGTTAGGGTATCAGATACACCTACTACTGTAAGATATGAGACAAAAGTTGGCTGGCTGAGTGGTGCTTTTCATCCAATGCTTGACTCTCCTGACGGGGTTGAGGTATCAGAGCATGTAAACTATACCAAGGAGGTCATCCCTGGCTGTCGCTAGGTGGGCTCTTTCTCCGACAACTTCTGAAGTCTGAAGCGAGCCTCATCGGCCGCTATAGGAGTTGAGTTCCGCAGAAGAAGGGGCACAGCGCTGACTGCACTCTATAAAAGCAACAGATCCCCTTGATGCTACAGGCATTAGATTCGAGCCTTGCAGCAAAGCAATTGCAGTCAAGTCTAGCTTGCCAAGAGCAGTACAACAAACCGTCTTTTACCAGAATGAAACAACAGGTGAGCCGTCATTCTAGCCTTATTGGTTACTGAAGTTGAGAGGTTTCCAGGCCATCATGAACAAGGCCACTGTTCAGAGAGCAGTAACGCCTGTAAGCCGGTCGACCCAGGCTACATGGCAACCACCGGTAGCGACACCAAAAGCAGCAGCAGCAAGGAATATGGTAGCTATCGACCGCCCGTGGGGCCGAGAACAAAAGGTCAAGCAGATACGAGGGCCATCAGTTCTGCAGGCCGGGAACGAGCGCGTTCAAGATCCGTTCCAATATTGGCTGATCGAGGCTATCGTTGACCAGCCATACAATGCGGTTGGGGAAGTAAAGATGCCTTTACAGAAAGCGAGCAACCCGTGGCCAGGTCAAGGTGGCAGGGATATATCGCCAGCAAGAGCTACAGCTAGTGGATCCGAGATGTATGAGAGCGGTTCACGGTGACGCGCAGATGAGGACACGCAAGGCTGCCAAAATCTGGAAGCTGTTTATTTCATGACGTCGTCTACAGAGCAGGAACAGAGGACTCCAAAGGCTCTCTCTGAGCTTCCCAAGCCAGCCAATCTGATCGTGTTGTCCTGGCGTTGTGTTAGCAATGGTCCCACCAAGCATCTGGAGAGCACTTACGGTAGCAAACCCATTGAGTTGACCTTCCAAACTGCCAAAGCCAGTGCTACGAATTGCATCGCGACGTACGCCACCTTGACCTGAAGCATCTTGCCCTTGTTCGTTTCCGACTCGAATCTCTCGAACGCCTGGTTGACCGCGGTGAGGCCCATAAGTGGGTTCTTGAATGCCATGACAACCATCATAATACTGAAGATCTGAAGCGAGTTGCCGGACATGTACATCATGATGGCTGTCATGGGTAGGTTCTTGACAGGCGCAAGTGCCACCTCCCAGGCCTTCTTCACTTTCAGGGTATCCATTTCTTCAGGTGTCTGTTGCTTACGCGGCTGGGCCCTCTGGTCCTTCTGCTTCTGCAAAATCATGTTAGCGTGATTGAATTTCAGAGCAGACTAAGCACAAGGTTACTTTGGAGCCGGATGATTGCGATGGGTAGCCTGGAGGGTCGGAGACGCCTGGGATCTTGGACTTCGCAGCTGGAGGGGACTGTAGGTCGGCCACCCATCGTGGAACGAAACCGTTAATCATAGCCATCCTTGCGACTCCGTTATCAGTGTTGGTTGATCGGGTGCGTGGTGGAAAGCTCGGGACTCGGATGAAGTGTGGTTGGTACGAAAGCTAGAGGTACAGCTGAGACGAGCGGACGTTGAGTGCAGACGGCTACCCTCGTCTATGTGGCGTCTCTGCGTCTAGCTCGCTTACGCTTATCGGTCATCCGATAAGCCCGTTTAGCCCGTTGCACTCCACAGTCTCCACTGCGGAACGGCTAGAGCTTGGGATCCAACTCTAACTCTCTCCCTAAACATCTGGATTCGAGAGCAGATTGTCCGCCAGAACCGAACGACGACCGAACCCGATCGCCTCACCGTCGCGCCGAACCCTGACGAACAACGAGTCTAGGCAACGACCACGCACAAGTCGCGCACAAAGGTGGCACAAGCAAATAAAGTTACCCGGATTCAGCTGGACGACGCGCTCTTCTAGAAACGACCTCTTCAATTGGTCGCGGCACCCCGGGTGCATCGACGCATGTGACATCTCTCTCCCTCTGCACCCCTCCCACCATCCAAGACAAGTCAGGGAGACACTGCTACTTCCCGCCAACTTTTGCAACCGATCCCCAACTGGGTGGCTTGGCCTTAGTCCAGGGAAGCCAGAGTCGACATACATCGCGCAGCTGGATGTGAGGGTGTGTGGTGTTATCGCCTACCACTACTTGAACAATTACCGGCGAAGCTTGTCGGAGTCTCGTTCGGGGGGACTTGTTTGAGAATCGTGCAGCACTCACTACACCAGTCGCCGTATCATATACGAGAGGAAGCCGACACTATGTCAGGCCCTCAGGGTGGAGATTCCAAGTTGTTTGCTAGGGTAAGCTCGGGTTCTTATTTCCCTTGGTCTTGTCTACAAATATCTCGTTCTTGTACATCTTCAACCGAGACTGGCTACTTGTATCTACCCGACCCCTGCTCCGACTACCAGGAACGTGGTGTCCTGGGCTTGACCTCTGCACACCAATCCCCCCCCCCCCCCTCTGTCCCCGAATACCAGCCTTCCCGTGTCTCGCGGCGTCGAGCTGGCCTGACCCCTCCCAGAAGTTGGCTTCCCTTATTGTGATTCCCTCAAAGCGCTTTTTCGTTGGATACCATCTCATGCACTGCCCATCATGTTCATGGCTTTTGTACCTCCGCCGGCGTACTATCCAAAGCTAACAACCTCCAAGGGCAAGGTCGCCGAGTTACGGCTCGAGCTGAACAGTGGCGGCAAGAAGGACAAGAACAATGCGAACAAGAAGATTGCCCTCAAAAAAATTGTCGCCAACATGACCATGAGCAACAATGACATGGTCGCACTCTTCCCCGACATCATTGGCTGTATGCATATTCAAAGTCTGGAAATCAAGAAGATGTATGTCTTCCAATCGTGAGCTCTCCAAGAGGATTGGCGTTGATGATCGACCTAGGTGCTTCTTATTTCTGGTCAACTATGCGAGGATGCGACCTGAGATTGCCATCCAGGCCATTCCTGTTCTGGAGCAGGTGAGAGCGTGATTCCGTGACCCAACGCAGTAATTCGCATTGACTAACAGTCATTCAGGATATGGAGGACCATAACCCACTAGTGAGAGCCCTGTCTCTCCGGACGATGTCCTATATCCATGTTCGAGAGTTCGTCGAGGCGACTGTGCCTTTGGTCAAGCATATGTTGAAGGATGCAGACCCTTACGTCAGAAAGACGGCAGCTTTCTGCGTAGCAAAGCTTTACGACCACGACCGGCGCATGGTAGAGGGCTCAGACCTAATTGACCGGCTTAACACTCTGCTCAGAGATGACAACCCGACCGTTGTCGCTAGCGCATTGGCATCGTTGATGGATATTTGGGAGCGAAGCGACGCAATCAAGCTCACCATCGACTATAGCAATGCCTCTAAGATGGTGGCCATTCTCCCGGACTGTTCCGAGTAGGTACTTTAGGGACCACTTGGTGACCCCCATTGCTAACAAGAGATGACAGATGGGGCCAGACATATATTCTAGAGGCGCTGATGTCGTACGTCCCCCAGGAAACAGGGGAAGCCTTGCTTCTTGCTGAACGTATTTCGCCGCGCCTTTCGCATTCTAACTCGGCCGTGGTTCTCACTTGCATCCGTGTGGTGCTCTATCTGATGAACTACATCTCGGACCAGAGACAGATTACAATACTTTGCAAAAAGCTGTCACCACCGCTGGTAACTCTTTTGGCAAAGGGGCCAGAGGTGCAATACCTCGCTCTGAGGAATGCGCTCTTGATCCTGCAACGTCGGCCCGAAGTACTGCGCAACGACATTCGAGTCTTCTTCTGCAAATACAACGACCCCATTTACGTGAAGGTCACAAAGCTGGAGCTTATATTTATGCTCGCCAACGAAGGCAACATCGACGAGGTTCTTACGGAGCTTAGAGAGTACGCCACTGAGATTGACGTTCACTTTGTACGCAAGGCCGTGAGGGCGATTGGCAAGTTGGCCATCAAAATCGAACCGGCGTCGCGGCAGTGTATTAACCTGCTGCTCGAACTGGTTGCGACCAAGATCACGTATATTGTGCAGGAGGCTACGGTCGTGATTAGGAACATCTTCCGCAAATACCCTAACCAGTATGAGTCTATTATTGGTACTCTGTGCGAGCACCTCGACTCCTTGGACGAGCCTGAAGCAAAGGCTGCCATGGTGTGGGTAATCGGACAGTACGCCGACAGAATAGAGAACAGCGACGCCCTCCTCGAGGACTTTTTGTACTCGTTCGCGGAGGAGCCGGTCGAGGTGCAACTGGCGCTGCTTACCGCGACTGTCAAGCTGTTCATCCAACGGCCGACCAAGGGCCAAGAGCTGGTACCGCGGGTGTTGAAGTGGGCAACGGAGGAGACGGACAACCCGGATCTCCGGGATCGAGCCTACATGTACTGGCGTTTGCTGTCGACGGACATGACCGCTGCCAAGCAGATTGTTATGGGAGAGAAACCGCCGATCACTGCCGAGTCTGAGCGGCTCGATCCGGCGACGCTGGAGGAGATGTGTCTCAACGTTGGGACGTTGGCGACGGTATACCTTAAGCCCGTGCAAACGGTGTTCCGCTCGGCGCGGCCAAGGAAGCTGCTGGACTCCCCCGCGCTGCAGAAACACCTACTTCCGACGTCAATCGAGAACCAGAAGAGCTTGAGCATGCTGGGCATGGGTGGCCAGCCGCAGGATGCCAACATACACAGCCAGCACGTTAACCAGAACAACGGGGACTTGTCACAAGCCGTTAGTGACGCAGATGCTTACTTCAACAGCATCGGGCCCCAGCAAATGGCGGCCATGCGAATCGACCAGGGCGACGTGTTTGGTGAAACGACGGGATACGAAACAGGATATGTCGTCAACCAGCACGCGCCTCAGCAGGTTGTGCAGCCGGCGCAAGGTAACAACGGGGATCTTTTGGTCCTTTAAAGGTAGATATGGAGCGCGAGACAGAGCGCGAGGGAGGCTGGGCACCCGAGAGGGGCCTAGGGATATGGGAGTTTGCTGTAGAATAGGGACGATATCCTTGACATTCAGTAATGCCAGGGCGTATGCTCACGATTGGCCAACCCTAATGCGTGCCGAGACGATAGTTCCCACCGCGCCGACTTCATTTGCGACTGGTTTATCTAAATTTCCAGCCTTTGTGGCCCAGCCTAATTTGAACCGAACCGGAAGCCATGCAGGCCACAGGCTGATTAGAAGGGTGGGCATTGTAGTTCGGACAAAGAAAGAAGCGGGCTCGCACACAATGTGCGTGTTAGCGGACGGGTCAGACGGGAAGTCTATAAAAAAAGACTGGAACCTTAAGATCTCAAGAAAGGGTGGCCACTCCGGACAGACAAGAAGAAAGGAAGCGCGACGGCGAGGACATGTGGTGGAGCTGAGCGGCCGGCCCGGCCTCGAGGTGGGAATCTGGATTGGGGCAGGGGGATTTTGGGCACAGGACCGGTTCCTTCGGGGCGGGTGGGAGATGTGCTTTACTCGCCTTGACGGGCTTTGCAAGCTGGTGGGGTTAGTCCGGGAGGGAAGCTGGGGATGGGGAAGGGAATGGGGAAAGATGGGTCAGCCTTCATCCTTACTATCTACTTCGTACTGCCCTGGAAGTAGAGAGGATTTCCTAGCTTCCCCCACGAAGCTACTGGCGATGGTCGAACCAGCGTTCACCAATGTCCCAAGAAATAGGTGAAGGCATGTCTTGGCGCTCTTACCGGCAGAACCGACATCCCCGTCGTCTGGGCTGTGAGATAATTGGTTGGAATGCGTCCGTATCCCCACTAGAAGAGAAGGAGAAAGAGAGAGAGTGTGTGTGTATGTGTGTGTGTGTGTGTGTGTGTGTGTGTTGTTGGAGAGCTAGTTCGCCCTGACGATGACGCCTCGAATCTGCACGAATTTGGAAGATCTGGAAGCGCCAGGCTTAGCCGCCTGGACTGGGTAACATGGTCGCTGTTCCGCCATGTGGTTTTCCGTCTTCCGCATACATTCAGCCTCTCTTTCTTCAAGTCCAGTATTGCCAGGGTCCGTTGCCTGCTGTATGCTGGGCCCTTCGGCAGATCGGCAAGAGGCCCTCTCCGTCTCCCACAAGCGTAACCAAAAGGTTGAAGGACTGCTTCTGAGTAAGAGAATGAATGAGAAGGGGAAAAATGACAAAAATTAAAAAAAAACTAAAAAAAAAAAAAACTAAAAAAAAACTCGTGCCTGCATCTTCCATTCTGCCGCCATGCCATGTGAGTTTGGGATGTGCGTGTGCGTTTGTATCTGTCCCTGCCTCTGCCCTGTGCAGCGCGTCAGTCTCGAAGAGAGTTTCGCAGGTTCCTGACCGTTCCGCCTGGGTGATCCCATGTTCAGAAACATATCAACGCTGAAGGGTAGCCTGAGTGGTGGAAAATAGAGCGGTGAGCGAAGGGAATCCCGCCATCCCACACACGTTTGGGAGCGGGGACGACGACTGAAACATCTCACGTCTTTTCCCATGTTGGAGGGCTGCCTTTCCTCTCGGAATTGGGATGCGCAGACACGAACAACAAAGGTGCCGCAGGCTGGTCGGGTTCCCTTTTCAGTCCGCACTCTCGGGCCCCTCCCTGCCTAGATCTGGGATACGAAAGACAGTGCGTGCGGTCGGAATACGTCACGTCTCAGATAGCCGGATAGCTTCAGGCGGAGTCGGCGGGGGTATCCGTGGGCGCTGCGGTTGATTCTACATAGTGCTGGCAAGGACCTGTCACTCTTGTCCATGACGCTAACCTGGACGGGGCTTAACATTGGACATACAGCACGAATCTAATCATCAGAACTTACCAATAGGTAGCACACTTCATCTTTTTTGCTGCAGGAAGCACCTGATCTAATTTGGGGAGGGGGGCGGTGGCACAATACAACGAGAGGGGAGGGTCGGGAGAAGCTCGGGGGAAAACGAGGGCAGAATAACGAAAGGAAGGAAGGAACGAAAATGATTGGAGACGCTTCATTCGGCACGCGAACCAGCAACTCATTCACCTTTGCCATCTTCAAGAAAATTCACCACTCGACGAACAAAGCAAAGTTGGCTTATTTTCCGCCGAAGTAAGGTATCGCATCGTATTCCGGCATCTCCTGCAGTCTGCCAGTACAGGCAGACCCTGCTTAAATGGGGGATGACACGCATAGACGAAGAGGATCGCCGTCAAGTAGTTGCAGAGCACACCGTCTGGTGTCTAGGTAGGCACTTCTCATCGTCTCTTGCAATTGGTCTTCGGAAGTGTGCTAGCTGCCGGTTAGCACGCGGGGCTGCTTCGTTGCTGCGTCTCTCAATCCCCACGTCAACTTGTGCAATCATTCCATCATCTGTGGGCAACGGCGTTGAAAGTCGAACCTAAGGTAGCCTTGGTGTGGAGAAAACCTGCAGGTGCGAATTCGACGCGGGGCAGGAGGAGCCTACAGTAGGTACGGAGTACCTATCTCCCCATCTCTCTGCTTCTCAACAACCCCCAATCCTTGCCGGGCTAGTTTATCGCCCTTTGCTGCCGGTATCCGCCACCGTCGCCGCCATTGTCGCGGCCGTGGGTACTCTTTGTCCAGGAGAGGCCATTGGCCGAAACGAACTACACGACTCGACTAATACCGATTATTCTGAGGTGTGACGGTAGAAGACGGCTTTGAGTGCCAGAAACCTCTCGTCATGCTGCTTTTCAGTTTCAACTACCTGACTTGCCTGCCTGCCTGCCCATCAGGCCGACCAATTGCCTGTCTCAAGCTGGCTTTAACAGCTGGAAGGTGAAGTGAAATAAGTCACCGTCACATCTCAACAGCAGCAGCAGCATCCAGACGATGCAGTGCATCTAGCCAACTGCCAGCTGCTGCCATTCTTCTGCCCACCCCAGCGAAGCGGGCTTATTGCCGAGCCATCCAGCCCAGCCTAACCCCGGCAAACAGCCTCCCCCCCAGAGTGAATCCAAGTCCACCACGGCCCACACAGCCCACGGCCCACGGCCACGCTTCCGCCAAGGTAACCCAGACTAGACTCCAGTCAGTCTCCATTCAACCTCTCCAACTCGGCCCCGGTCCCCGCCCAGTTCCTCCTTTCTTTCCCTTTTCCCGCTGGCCGCTAGACGCTACACTACCATTACATACCTACCTCGTCCACTACAGTCGACCGGTCTCTGGACGCTGGACCTGGATGCACTGATCACCCGCCTTCCCAGCCGTGCCTTCCCGTCAAACACCCAAATCTCAAACTCCCCCAATCCACGTCCCATCCTGGCAACTGCCACAACACCGGCCTCGCTGCCCACGCCAACTGGTACCATCCCGACGACCCTTTGCGTCTCACCCGACAACCAACAACAGTTTATCTTTCCCAGTTCCCTCTCGCGCACCATCGATCCCAAATATCGACCTATCGTCGTCACCTACTCGCGACTTGCCGCATGTATTGAGCCACTGCATCCGAGTTGACCTAACGACCCCCGCCACGAGCCTGCATCCCTCCCCAAGGCTCGTCGCCCTGCGTGCCTTTGCCTCGTCGTCCTCTCCGCAATGGCCGACGCCAACTCAGCCGATGTCAACATGAGCAGTGCTCAACCAGTCAAGGGCTCCTTGGCCGAGTCCAAGGACGCCGTACCCATGAAGACACTGCCGCAGTCCTCATCGACAGACACCGATACCGTAGCTGCCTCCAATACAGCAAAGACAACAGCGACAACGACTTCATCGAACCACGGGGCTAGCAGCAATACTGCCACGGATAGTGCCACTGCAGTCCCGGCGACCAGCGACGCCAGCGATTCAATCGAACCATCCGCCAAAGGAAAGGAGAAGCAATCCGCCCCCCAGCAAGTAGATAAGAACCAAGATGACGCCATGGCCATTGGTCCTTCCGTCGATGATGTCCAATCCGTCAGCAATGCCCCATCAGATGGCCCAGTCTGTAACATTACACTACTGTTAACAACTGGCGCGCGACACCCCTATAAGCTGGACGAGAAGTACCTGACAAAGAGGAACGTGAACGTCCCGGGGCTTACCGAGGCGGGAAAGAAGGACCCATTTACCATCAGCGTTTACACGTTAAAGGAGTTGATACTGCGGGAGTGGCGTGAAGAATGGGATCCCAAGCCGGCAAGCCCCAGCAGCATACGGCTGATTCACTTCGGAAAGCTTTTGGACGACAAGGACCAGCTGAAGCGTAAGCAAGCTCCATTAATACCAGTTGGTCTTGCCTTTCCCGTGCTAACAAACACATCATCAGAATATCACTTCAGCGCAGAGGCAGCCAATGTTGTTCACATGACTGTCCGGCCAGCTGACATTGTTGAAGAGGAAGAGCCCAAGGGAGGTAATAAGTCAACTTCCGGCGGTGGTCGCAGCCGAGAAGGTGGTAGTGGATGCTGTGTCATTTTATGATGGAAACTGCTCGCATGCGTCTTCTTTCTGCGACCATCATCTTTTCCACTCACAAAGAGCCACTCCTTCTTTATTTTTGTTTTTTTGCCCCAGAGCGAACTATTCGCATGGAGGAAGGAGGTCCAGAGAGGAGGACCTGTCTGATTTAACCAGTGGCCCTTGCTGCTTTGCGTGGTACGCATCCTAAAAGGCAGACGCTTGGCTGGGTTCATGGTTTTTTTGACACTGCATACACCTTCAAGTGTGTCTGGGTGGGTGGTATGGCCTGGAGAGGGTTTTGGGACGGGTTGACTCTTCAGGCCGCTTTTTCTCATGTCTTGTTTGTGTTTCTCTTCTTGGGAGACATTACCCAAACATTCATCGAGCGTATTACAGAGAGCGAAGTCGATAATGGGAAACCAGGAGTACGGCGGCGTATCATAGCTTTATGTATTTGTTCTGTTTGATTTCTTTCCACGCCCCCACCTTCCATAGGGTATCTTGTCCATAGGATAGTAGAACGCAATTTGTTCCGTCCTCCTTGAACCCGGACCCTCTAGCGAAAATGATTTCTATGGTCTTGATGCCCCCCTTGGCCATGCCGTCCAGAAGTCGTTGCGCATGTCGTAGTTGTACAGTTCCGTTCATCCTCTCCGCTCCTGCACCATCCCAGGGATCGAAGCCCGGAGCCTCAGATCTTCAGCTTCCTCTCCATCTCGTCGTGCATGCCGACGATGCCCACGCTCTCCTCGCCCGAGTAAACATCCTCCCACGTGACGCTGGTGTCCTTGCCGCGGAGGATCTCCTCGTGGAGGCTGGGCTTCTGGCCGCCGAGGGCGAGAGGCCGCCATTCACCGTTCTGGGTGATTTTGAGCTCCATCTGGCGGCGGATGGGCTCCGCGAGGCCAAATGTGCGGCGCAGCGTCTCCATGCGCATGTTCTCCTGCGTGGCCTCCCAGTTCTTGAGGCGGGACTCGAGCGGGTGAGCGCTCGTGGGGACGTTGGACTTTGCGTCGAAGGCCGACAGACCGACGCCGGCACGGAGGGTGTCGTGGACACCCGGGGCCGACGGGGCGGCGGCGCCAGCGGCGAAGGTTGTGGGCTGGTTCGCAGCGGGGACGATTCGCATCTGAGAGACGATTGTGTTAGTTAGGCTCGATCGCAGGTAAGTGGCGGATTGTGAGGGGGAATAGAGGGAAGATAGAGGGAGAGGGAGGTGAGAACACATACAGCCATCTTGAAAAGTTTGTTGGCGGTTCTGGGGGGGAAAGATTCTTGGGGTTCTGTTCGATGGTGATGCAACTGAACGACGAGAGACTGACTGCTGGGAGCTTGCGCTTCGGTGATGTGCCTGGAGCTTTCCACCTGGCTGCGTTGCGTTGCTCTCCCCCAGTCCGTCCGGTCCCGTCATTAGCTAAGGCACTTAATTGCACGTGATGTCCAGGCTGAAATGTAGGCGCGGCAGCTTACCCCCGTCCTCCCCGACCTAAGGCCAATGGAATGTGGGGTCTTTAGGGTGGGGCGATGACAGAGAAGTGAATACACCGACATCGCAGGGCGTTTACGTACAAAAAGTCTGGGGAAAGCTATCGGCCCCAGATTGGAAGAGGAAGAGTGACAATGCGAGTCACCACTACCACAAACGCAGCTACAATGGTATATCGACCTTGAAAGATTTACGAAAATGCGGCTACCTAACCGTTCTCCCCCAATCTTGCGGATCGCCAATGGCAGCTTCTACCGCCGGCACCCCAACGCGCACTCGACACACCCAAACCCGCCACTCTTCAGCGAGCTGAGCTTCGAGTTGCCGTCCTTCGCCGAGACCAAGAAGCACTGGTGCATCGTCGGGCCTTCGCTCTCCGGAAAGACTACGCTGCTGCAAGTCCTCAGAGGCCAATACCTTGCGGTTCCGCCGACGGCGCGGGCGTACCCCTACCTCTCGACCGACGAGGTGCCATCGCGACTGCGAAATCCGAACAGGGCGATCCGATACGTCGGGTTCGATGGCGAGCAGGGTAGCGCGCTCAGTGGGTCCACGACGAGCGCGTATCTCGCCGCGCGTTATGAGTCACGGAGGGAGAACACGGATTTCTCGTTGAGAGACTTTCTTCTGGGGAACACGGAACTGAACCCGCTGGATACGCTTCCCGGGGAGGAAAACCTTATCCCCGGGGAGCTGCTGGACAGGGTCGTTACAGACCTGAGGTTGGATCAACTTCTCGATCTACCTGTTGCTTTCTTGAGTAATGGCCAGGGAAGGAGGGCGCGCATCGCGAGAGCGCTGTTGACAACGCCCGAGGTTCTGTTGCTGGACGAACCGTTCATGGGGCTCGATCCGCCAACTGTGGCGTCATTAAGTCCACTGCTTCAGTCGTTGGCTGAGAGGCAGAGCCCCCGGCTTGTTCTCAGCGCAAGGCCTCAGGATCCCTTGCCCGAGTGGATCACGCACCTCATCTACCTGCGGAGTGACTGCCAGATCGGCTCGATGGGACCCAAGGATATCGTGCTGGAAGGACTCAGGAAGTATGTCAGGGGTGTGTGGAAGGGCGGTTTACAGGAGGATGAGAAGCTTCCTGTACACTCGCTGTTGGAGATGGGCAAGACATTGACTGGCAGTGGCATTGAAGGCGACGGGCTCTTCGAGTCAAAGGTGAAGGGCCAGCACGCTGCTGAGGCCACAGCTTTGGCGAATGTCTCGACTTCTGAGGCGTCACGCGGCGAGCCCTTGGTCGAAATGGATGGTTGCCAAGTAAAGTACGGAAGCAAGATCGCCCTGGGCAACTGGTCACAAGAAACACCCTCTGGGCCTAAGGATGGCCTCATCTGGACGGTCCGAAGAGGAGAGCGATGGGGAGTGTTTGGTCCGAACGGGTCGGGCAAGACCACGCTTGTCTCCCTTCTCTGCTCCGACCATCCTCAGACATACTCTCTCCCCATCAAATTGTTTGGCAGAAGTAGACTGCCCGAGCCTGAATCAGGCCAACGGCCTCTTACGCTTTGGGATATTCAGTCACGAATTGGGCACTCAAGCCCCGAGGTCCACCAGCACATGCCCCGCGGCCTGACAGTAAGGCAGGTCCTGGAAAATGCGTGGGCAGACACGTTTAAGGGGGTCCCCAAGCTCGACGAAGTAGCACGCGGCAAGGTTGAGGCAACCCTGCGATGGTTCGCTCCAGAGCTGAACCCAGCCCACCAAGATTCATCCGCCACCAGGAGCGGCGACGACCTAGCCTGGTCCGACGAATACCTCTTCGGCGGCCTCTCCTTCAGCGCGCAGCGGATTGCCTTGCTGCTGCGGGCCGTCATCAAGAATGCCGACGTTGTGGTACTCGACGAGGCATTCAGCGGCATGGACGACTCTGTCCGGGACAAGTGCATGCTGTACCTCGCTAAGGGAGAGGAGAAAACTTACAGCGGCGACCGGATCGTGGACAGCGAGGTCGCTAAGGCGGGCCAGGTGAAAGTAAGTGGACTCACGGATCAGCAGGCGTTGATCTGCATCAGTCACCTCAAAGAGGAGGTTCCAGATTGCGTGCGCGAGTGGATTTGCCTGCCTGAGGCCAACGAGGGGCTGCCGGCGCGGTTCGGGCGATTTGACGGACCGGTGAGGACGGACGAGAAGCGGTGGAGGGCGCTCTGGGGCGTGTAAGAATGGCTAAGAGACTTTAATGCGTGGAGATGTTTGATTACCCCAGAGAGACGGCTTACTGATGCATCAGTTGGAGAGCGCCACTTGTGGATGTGATAAACGCGGAGATGCCAAGAAAACACCATATAGGACGCCCTTTGGTGGGGGCGGGGGGGCCAAGGATTGCAAGTAATGTAGGGTCCCTTGTGCAGATGTTGACAGCTGCGGCTCGGACGGAGTAGACGTCATGTTTGCCGACGAGGAAGACACACTTTGACGGTGAAAGCGCTTTCGCATGAGTTGTTGCTGGGATCCGGTGTTGTGCAGGCGTAGGTGAGTGATGTTGCAAACTAATGTTTACTTGCGTATCCGCTTCGGGCAATGCGATCAGGAACGGACGGCGGGACAGAAGCGCTAGTAGACCGCTAGCCACTGAGAGGTTCCATAAACAGGCTCAGCCCCCCTCACCGGCCCGCCTTTTGAGACCAGGACACCACACGAATCCCATGCGCGCCTCCGTTGTCGTGCCAACCTGATCCAACTCTCCGATCAGTCCTGTTGCCCCCCCCGACACACTCGCGAATGCGCTGTGCAGAAGGGGAGGGAGAGAGAAAGAAAGAAAGAAAGAAAGAGTGGCACAAACGATCTCCAGCACTCGACCCTCCCTCCTGCAGCTGCCATCATTGTCCTCTCTGTATCACGCTTTGCGAAAAAGCTAGTCTCCATTCTATCGATATTGTCTGCCACTTGGATTTCCGTCGCGAAATTCTCGAGGCAACACAATCGTCATCGAGACTTACACATACCCCATTTTCAGCTTCGCAACGTCGAGACATTGAAATAGGTCCAACAACGCCACCCACTGACTGGAAGCTACGCCAATCCCTCCCTCGCAACAATCTCGTCGTGGCGCCGGCCCGTGGTAGACAAAGTAAAGTCCACGCCCCCGGTCCTTGAGAACAACCGTCCTAGCATTCCACAGACCGTTTCGTCCCAGTAACCACCGGGGCGCGCGAACAACACTCTCGCCATGGACCCAAATACCCCCTCCCGACCGCCCGACTATAGCCTCCCACCTTACGATGATTGCGACGACACATCGCCGGGACGCTCCAACAACCCCGCCGCCATTCGTCTCTTGACCTCAGTCGAGGAGCCCATCATGGACAGCCGACCGTATGTAACATCCAACCATCACTTTCAGACACCACCCGTTGGCGGCAGCTGTGCCAGCGCATCGCGGCCCCATCAGACTGCTTCTACTCCCGTTTCTGCGTCTTCCATCCCTCGCCTCCGACAAGTTCACAAGACGCCCGAGTCGTCGCCCAACCTCTTCCCGCGCCCTCTCTCACTGCGTAGGAAGAAGTCGGACGCTGCAGACCCGGCGATCTCTACCCCCAATCACCTTGATGTGTTGCGGCTGCAGGAGGAGGCGCGGCCCACCGCGTCCTCAATTCCGGAGCCCATCAACACATCATGTCGAAGTGACGTGAGTGTCGTCGACTTTGCAGATGCGCAGCGCGTCTCTCGCATCCCGGTACGGTCCACTACTGTCAAGTTGCAGAAGCGTGCGAGACCCGGCTCCATCAGAGAGGCACAGTTTCGGGACAGTCTCCCGACCATACCAGAGGGTCCCTCGATGCGGAAAAGTCAACTGCATCAGTCCTCAAGCTGCCCTATCGCTCCTTTTCCCGATGACTTCGGTAATAGCACAGGCACAAGCTCACATTCAGAGAATAGGCCCCGATCCAGTCGACGATCCTATGCGTCCTCTATCTTATCCGACAGATCCGCCTCTATTCGAGACCCTCCCAGCATGCCGCCTCCCGATTCAACCTACGTTCCATTCCAGGGTCGCGACTATGCCCGCCAGTATGAGCGCACTTATGAGCAGGAGTACCAAGATGATTACCCTTACGAGTACCAGTCCGGACGTGATTCGCCGACCAGGACGTACAGCCCCTCCCGCCTATCGTCGGAATTCACCAGGCCTCCTCCGTCTGGGATTTACGAACCGTCGGACCTTAATGGTAGCCCCAGACCGGGAACTCCGTCATCAAGATATGGCGGAAGCCCCAGGCGGCCACTTCCCCCTGCGCCACTGTTCTCAGCTGGTGCGAGCCGCAACCCGGCCACTTTTGCAGATGACGCGACAGTTTCAATCCCTCTTCACGATGCCGACGACGTTTTCGGACCGGAAACGGATATCAGCGAGACCCAGCCCATGAGAGAATCGTATTTGTCTCATGACCAAACTACCCTTAGTGAGGAAGAAATGGAGACCGACATCAGTGAAAAGGTCGAGCACTACGGCCCCGCGCCGGATGGCATGCAAGAGCGTCGAGGCGTGCGCGCGCCGCAAATGTCGAGAAAGGAAGTTCAGCTTATCAACGGAGAGCTGGTTTTGGAGTGCAAGATCCCTACGATTCTTTACAGCTTCCTTCCTCGTCGTGACGAGGTCGAATTCACCCATATGAGATACACGGCCGTCACCTGCGACCCTGATGATTTTGTCGATCGCGGCTACAAGCTCCGTCAGTCGATCGGCAAAACGGCTCGTGAGACGGAACTTTTCATCTGCGTCACCATGTACAACGAAAACGAGTTCGACTTCACCAGGACAATGTACGCCGTTATGAAGAACATCTCCCACTTCTGTGCCCGCTCAAAGTCACGCACATGGGGTGACAATGGTTGGCAGAAGATTGTGGTCTGCATCGTTTCCGACGGCAGAGAGAAGATCCATCCCCGCACACTCGACGCGCTGGCGGCCATGGGCGTTTATCAACACGGTATTGCAAAGAACTACGTCAACCAGAAGGCCGTGCAGGTAATCATTTATATCCCTCTAGATTTACTTCTTTTACTAATTCCCAAGCGAGGCCCACGTATACGAATATACTACACAAGTGTCCCTTGACTCTGACCTCAAGTTCAAGGGCGCCGAGAAAGGCATCGTTCCTTGCCAGTTGATCTTCTGTTTGAAGGAAAAGAACCAGCGGAAGCTCAACTCGCATCGTTGGTTCTTCAATGCTTTCGGAAAAGCCCTCAACCCGAACGTGTGCATTCTGCTCGACGTCGGTACGAGGCCCGGTGGCACGTCCCTATACCATCTGTGGAAGGCCTTCGACAACGATTCCAACGTCGCTGGTGCTTGTGGAGAGATCAAAGCCATGAAGGGCCGTTTCGGAGTTAACCTCCTGAATCCGCTTGTTGCCTCCCAGAACTTCGAGTACAAGATGTCTAACATCCTTGACAAACCATTGGAGTCGATCTTTGGCTACATTACCGTCTTGCCCGGTGCACTTAGCGCTTATCGCTACCACGCTCTGCAGAATGACGAGACGGGCCATGGTCCCCTCAGTCAGTACTTCAAGGGAGAGACTCTGCACGGTCAGCACGCAGACGTGTTCACGGCCAACATGTATCTGGCTGAGGATCGTATTCTCTGCTGGGAGCTTGTCGCCAAGCGTGGGGAGAGTTGGGTGTTGAAGTACGTGAAGGGCTGTCATGGTGAAACGGACGTGCCAGGTAAGAAGAGCTCATGCTCACTGATGGTCAACATCAACTAACGATTTTCCAGACACTGTTCCCGAGTTCATCTCACAGCGACGTCGGTGGCTCAACGGTGCCTTCTTTGCCGCGGTGTACTCGCTCGTCCACTTTAAGCAGATTTGGACCACCGACCACACTATCACACGCAAACTACTCCTCCACGTGGAATTCGTCTACCAATTCCTCCAGCTCATCTTCACCTATTTCTCCCTGGCAAACTTCTATCTGACTTTCTACTTCGTTGCGGGCGGTCTGGCTGATCCTTTGGTGGATCCCTTCGGTCACAACATTGCTCAGTACATCTTTACGGTTCTACGGTACATTTGCGTTCTGCTCATCTGCGCGCAATTCATCCTCTCTCTGGGCAATCGCCCACAAGGAGCAAAGAAGTTATACCTCTTCAGCATCATCGTTTACAGCATCATTATGATGTATACGACATTCGCCACCTTCTACATCGTCATCCGCCAGCTGAAGGAGAAGGACAACCCGGAGATCCACATGGGTAACAACGTCTTCACCAACTTCATCGTCTCGATTCTTTCGACTATAGGATTGTACTTCGTCATGTCTTTCATGTACCTGGACCCCTGGCATTTATTTACCAGTGCGGCGCAGTACTTCATGCTCCTGCCTGCATACATCTGTACTCTGCAAGTGTATGCGTTCTGCAACACGCACGACGTCACATGGGGCACCAAGGGAGACAACGTCATGAAGACGGATCTGGGTGGGGCCATCGGTAAAGGCAACAGTGTCGAGCTCGAGATGCCCTCGGAACAACTCGATATTGACTCTGGATATGATGAGGCGCTGCGCAACCTTCGTGACCGCGTTGAGGTTCCGGCCTCGCCTATTTCCGAAGCGCAGTTGCAGGAGGACTACTACAAGAGCGTTCGCACGTATATGGTGCTCACATGGCTCATCTGCAACGCCACCCTCGCTATGGCTGTGTCTGAGGCGTATAGCAAGCGCGGCATTGGTGAAAACTATTACCTTGCCTTCATTCTCTGGGCCGTGGCGCTTCTGGCGCTTTTCCGCGCGATCGGCTCCACCACGTTTGCGATCCTCAACGTCGTCAGCATGATTGTCGACGGCCAAGTCCGCATGAGCCTTAAGGTGCCCAAGTGGATGGGCGGCTTCGGCGAAAAGCTCAGCGAGAAGATGAGCAGCGTTGGGAGCAGCGTGGGAAGTAGCGTCGGCGGCAGCAAGCTGAGCAGCGTTTTCAAGCGCTGATGAGTAATCCTCTCTGCGTGCGGCTACGTTTTTGACGAGAGTATGACTTGCAACTTTTGGCGTTTGTGGTTTTTCCCCTGGCTGTTTTTCCTTTCTTCCTCAACGTCTCCTATTGCTGCTAAACGAAGGTACGGAGAAAGAGTTGCAAGGAGGTAGGTTTGGGATGTTCCTTCTTGCTTTTTTTTTTTTAGAGATATCAGATGGGTTTTATTGTTTTGCGGATGAGAGATTGACGGGATGAGGAGAGGCTTGGACTTTTGTTGTTCGTAATGATTAGAAGAATGTGTTGAATGTCGGATTGGACATGGCGACGAGAGACGATAGCAACGAACAATCGACGACTCGACGCCTTTGATGTATGAGGATTGGAGAAAGAGCCACACATGTAGATAGATTTGAAGAAAATGAAAAAAGGGATTGTATCCTCAAGGGAAATAATGCCCTACTGCGTTTGCGATGCATCTCATTGTACAACTTGTATTTGTCACCAACCATTCCAGGTCTTATGATCCTTACGCGTCTATAGACCATAAGCATTACCATTCGTCTGACCCCCCACTCGTCGCGGATCTCTCTGTCAGACGGGTGAGGGTTGCAAAGCGTCAGCTCGGTTAGCAGGGTAAATACAAAGACGCGACTTGCCTCTGTCTGCTCTTCATAGCCGTGCGATGCGCTGCAACTTCCACTCCGTCCAACCATTTCATGAACTGACAGCAAGCACCGCACAAGCACAAATCCTGACGACATGTCTCAAACACCAGACGAGCAGCTTCCTGCCCTCCCGGCGGATGTGACCCCCAACTGGCTGGGATCGAAGCTGGGGCACAGCATCAAGTCCGTCGAAAACACGCACAACATCTGGGGCACGGGCAGCAAGCTGTTCTACAACATCACGTACGAGGATGAGAGTAGCAACGGGGACAGGCCGACGCATGTCTGCGTCAAGGGCGTCTTCAGCTCCGAAATGATTGAGGCGCAACCGTGGACCGTTAGCTTGGCGCAACGCGAGGCCGACTTCTTCTCCAAGGTAGCGCCCAACGTCAAGAACATGATTTATCCCAAGGGCTGGTGGAGCGGGACGAGTGAGAAGCAGGGCATTTCCATCATGAGCGACCTAACTAAGGAGGGCTGCACTTTCCCCGTCGAGGTCGCCTCGTATCCGGTCGAGAAGGTCATGAACGGTGTTGAACAGCTGGCAGGTCTGCATGCGCAGTACTGGGGCCAGAGCCAGGAAGATCATCCCTGTACGAAAGCCCCGCCTCCCCTCCCCTCCCTCACCTTGTCTCTCAAGGACAGTTAGTCCAAGATTAGAAAACTGACGGCCCGCCTCTTGCTTGCCCCTTCAACAGGGATCTGGAACAACTACGACCCGGCCATGAAGTTCATGTGCACACCATGGGACGAGGTGGTGCGGGCCCCGGGCCGACCGCGGCTGCCTGCGTACCTGATGGACGGCGGGCGCTGCAATAAGGCGCTGGATCGGTACTTCGCCGAGCGCAACCCCCGGTTCCGCACGCTGTTACATGGCGACACGCACGTCGGCAACGTCTATTTCACAGGGGAAGGCCGCATCGGGTTCCTGGACTGGTCGGCCTTCCACTTCGGCTCGTGTTTCCATGACGTCGTCTACCACATGACGGCCATGCTGAGCGTCGAGGACCGCCGCGCCCACGAGATGGAGGTTCTCGACCGCTACCTCGACGCGCTTCACCGCCTCGGTGGGCCGCGTTTCGACCGCCATGGCGACCCGGAGGTCATGCTTGAGTACCGCCGCTCCTTCATGACCAACGTGATATGGCTCATCTGTCCCGACGGCCTGCAGTCCAAGGAGCGCGTCGCGGTCCTGTGTGAGCGCACCGTTGCTGCGTATGACGACCACAAGGTTATTGATGTTATCCTTGGCCAGCCAACACCTACTGCTTCTTGAAAAACAAATGATAGGTGGAGGCTAGGATTCCAACTATAGCTTCCTATGTAGCTGCATCAGTCCCTCACAGCTTACACCATAACAATGAGCAGTGGTTTGGCGTAAAGGCCTTGTCTACACACTTCCAGAGCCCCTCATAAGCCGCATCTCTAGCATCGGGCTCACCCAGGAAACACAGCTAACACCGATCGAGCTTCTTCATATGGGAGCTGGTATATAAAACTACAACCCTTGGTTACAGGGGCTAATATTGGCGGGAACATTTTACAATAGTCTTTTCGTTCAAGAACTCTTGTTAAACAAGTTGAACATTCAGCAACCCATTGTGACCTTGTTAACAGATCTATTAGTTTTAAACTGATGAAGGGTCATGGAGAAGAAACTTTTCAGCAACCTGATTATCGCAAAATTGTAACTGTGCATGAACAGATAAATATTCAATGATATGACGATGTAATAGGTGGTAAAGTGGTTGAATGTTAAGTAAACTGAGGAAATGCAATTAAGGTCTGAGCGGGAACAGGTTGTTAACTGGACGCAAATAGGCTGGAACGAAAGCATTAACAATTTGAAAAATAAACCCAGAACCGGTTAATCAACTAACTACTAGCGATCTATTAATGTTTATGTGGAATTTCTAAGATTAAATCTGCTAAGAGCAATGATGTTAGGGGGGGAGAATGCAAGCGTTAAGGGTAACTAGAACCATATTAAATTCACTTATACTTATCTAGACATCCTGTTCTGGCTTCTCCGGAGACCATTATATACTAAGGCTTTACGGTTGAAAAAGTATATCTCGTAGTTTTCCAGCTTCCGTTTTCCTTCTTCATATCAAAGAGTTCCTGGTTTGCGTGCGGCTCCGACTCCTGCGTTTCCAAAATCGGTTGAGTTCCTTCCGCGGGCGTTCATGCATAAACCTACACTGGGGGCGTGACAATCACTTTCTTTATGCTAAATTCAATGATAAGCTGGATTTTTAAGACGATGCGTATATACAATTTGTAGGGAATACCGGTGCCTGCGGCGGCGTGGAAGTGAGGAGGCATTATGAGGCCGTCAGAGGTGTAGAGGGTGACAGCATCTTCCACGTTACGGTTCTTTACAGCTGTCCCATAAGTGTGGATGACGGGGGTAACGTTTTCAACTTCAGGGGACGACTAGAGAGAGAGAGAGAATGGAGTTATACTTGGCTGGCGAGGGGTAAGGCAAAGCACCCACTTTTCGGCACCCCCTGCATTTCGGCCACCTTTTCCCACCAAAAACAGCTAAAAGCAGCTACTTATATCTATACACCTATTAGATATATAATTCTAGTTTTCTCTATATAAAGTCTAGAAAATTTACTTATTACTATAAGCTTAATAAGATATTATTATTATTAATATAAACTTATAATATAAAGCCTTTAAAAGTTTATACTATATAAGAATATAGCTAATAGAAAAGAGCTATATATATAGTAAAATAATAATAAATTACTTAAAAATAATATAGCTATAAATACTAAGCTCTTATTTTTTTAAGTATTTTTTATACTTAGTTATTAAGAAAATAAGTTTACTACTAAGAAAATTTTACTAGTAAAATTTAATATTACTAATAACTTTATAATTAGCTATAAATATCTTTTATATAGTAGTATATATATACTCTTTTAGGTATAAAATATATAAAACTTCTTTATTTTATATCTTTAGCTTATAAATAAAGAAGTTATTAAAGATTTTAAAATATTAGTACTTACTAGTAAATTACTAGTAAACCTTAACAGCTATATATATAGTACTATTTCTCTATATCTACTATATAAAAATAGTAGAAACTTTTTTTAAGACTTCTTATTTATACTATATATCTATACTAATTTTCCTAGAATTTAATATCTATAAGAGTACTAAGATATAAATAGCTAGTTTTAGCTGTTTTTGGTGGGAAAAGGTGGCCGAAATGCAGGGGGTGCCGAAAAGTGGGTGCTTTGCCTTACAATGAGTTTCAATTCTTGGTCTGGTTGAAACATATCGTAAATACAGAGCTTGCTCCTTAGCCCAGCCAATTATACACTAGAGTCACTTTGCAATATTGTCGTGCTAAAAACGACGCCGTTAATCGCAAGCAGCAATTAACGCCTTATGTAGTACAACAAATATCTAGTCCCTCTAATTTAATGTAAGCTAAGTTTCTTTTTTTCTTGTTCCCATTCTCTTTCCTTATTGCGCCAATTAGGTATTGGTTCTTTCCTTGTTGAACGTGCCGAACTCCCATTACATATACAACTATCGCAAGGCCAAGAGCTTTACATACTGGTCCGAATGTGCGTTGTTTCTTCTAGATCTATCATGTGGCACTTCATGTACCAAAGAGGATATAAATACCGCATATTTGTGGGCACATATACTGAGCCCATAAGAATACCCCTGCCGTCAGCCCGGACTTCCCCGTGATAACAACTTACTTGCACCCAAATCTTCTATCATCAGATAGCCCAGCAAAGGCCGAAGATTCACCGCCGGCTTATACCTCTTTTCATGTTGAATTCGATCATCAAGTGAATGGATTCCCCCGGTTTGAGGTGTATGTCAGGCTCCGTTGTTTCGAATTCAAGTTAGTTTTTATCAGTCATGCCCTAAATATGTTCGCGACATGGATTGTTTCTTAGGGTATTATCAGGACTTGTGCTTAGAATCTCTTTATAGCAGAATAACCTCGGACTCTTTTCAACAGTTATTCCTAACTCGTCTCCTATGAGTCGCTGCTTGGCGAAGCGGGGAATACAGGTTCGCGAGTGGCAACTCAGCAACAGCTGGGCCGGAGCAGAACACAATTCTGGCACATCCGCTAAAACAGCTTCACCTATCTTACACGAAGTCATCGATAGCTATGGAATTATTCCAAGCCCCGGTTGATAAAAATTAATTGGTTTGACTTCTCCTGAGGGAAACCCAAAGCTTGAGCCTGTCGGTTCCCCTCGAAAATGCTGAATCCATAACCCGAAACCTCACGTGATACAGCGATGGTGAAATCGCTTCTGAGGATGACGAAAGATGGCGCCAGATCAGCCCAATTGTTCTCACGTCGAATCAACCTAGTTGCCCTCCGAAACCCCTCTCATAGCCTAGTAGATGACAAATTACCATGAACTGATAGCTGGCATGCGAAGCTTGCCTTTCTATGAGCTATACCTCTCTGTAGAGTATTTATACGCATCTCATTTCTTGTTGATCCGAATTCTGAAAACGGATCCAGGTGTTTTCTTGAATTCTTTCGATCGAAACATTGGAGCGATATAGGAATCATGGGTGGCGAACGAAAGATCAAGTCCGTCGCCATCATTGGCGCCGGCGCTGCCGGTAAGCTCACACCCAACACCCCATTGCCTCACGCAGTATGAGAACCAACGTAAAACGAAATGAATCTGGCATCTGAATTTTCACTGTTGTGATAAATTGACTAGCTTGCTCATCCGAACGTAATAGGTGCCATCACCGCCGCCGCGTTTAAGGCGGAGAACTACTTCGAGAGGATTCAGGTCTTCGAACGGCGAGAGTCCGCTGGCGGAACATGGTAAGGAGCACGAGTCCGCGACAGACCGTGGATAGCCATGCCTAACATTTTATTGTAGGATTTATGACTCGAACCCGTCGGAGCTTCCTCCACTCCAGCCGGGAAGTCTCCCCCCGGATGTCGATCCCGCTGTGGAGATTCCGGGCGAGTTACCCCTGGTCAAGCCTCACAATCAACAGGAGCGATACTCTCAGACACCTATTTATCATTCTTTGACGTAAGACTATATGATTTGTCATTCCTAGGAAGCCGTATGAAGAAGCGCACAAGTCGCTAACGGACAATCGCAGTACTAATGTTCCTGATATTGCAATGTCTTTCTCGGACGCAAAATTCGCCTATGGTCCATTTGTACCACACTGGATTCCCCGGCAATACATCGAAAACTACTTTTCACTGCATAAGACGGACTCCGTCTTGGTGCTCAACACAACAGTCGAAGATGTCACCAGGGTCACGACAAAAGACAGACCTGAGCAGTGGAGATTGACACTACGAAAGTTCGATGCTGCGCGGAACGTCGATGTCTGGTGGCAGGAGGTTTTCGATGCAGTTGTCCTCGCAAATGGACACTATTCAGTACCTTACGTATGCATACCCGTGCCCGTTATTTGGACTCTTATTGTTCATGGAGTCATAAGGTTGCTCACATGCTAATCGTTTTTTAGGTACCTTATGTCAAGGGCTTGGACGAATACATAAAGAAGTTTCCAGGCCGTGTAGTCCACTCTAAGATCTACCGCACTCCACAGCCCTTTACCGGAAAAAGAGTTGTCACCATAGGCAATTCTGCATCAGGCCACGATGTCACAGAAGAGCTGGTCCAGAATGTCCGCACCCCGGTGTTTCAGTCTCGGCGTTCCAAGTCTCGCTGGGATGGCGACGAGCCGCCGCCAGGAATCGTATGGAAGCCCATCATCAAAGAGTACCATCTAGACGGAAGAATTATTTTTGAGGACGATTCATATCTCGACGACGTCGACCACGTCATCTACTGTACGGGATACAAACCTTCTTATCCGTTCTGGAATTCCGAGGCCAACGGCGGGAGGGCTCTGTACGACTACAAGCAAGGCAAGCTTATCAAGATATTTCAGCATACCTTCTTCCAAGATTTCCAGACTCTTGGAATTGTGGGTATGCCACGGGTTTTGACGTTTCGGAGCTTTGAATACCAAGCCATTGCATTGGCTCGTGTATTTTCTGGAAGGCATTCCGTTGCGCTGCCTCCTGTCGAGGAGCAGGAACGCTGGGAAAGAGAAAGAGAAGAGTTAGTCAGTAGGGAGAAGAGAAAGTTCCACGATATTGAGTGGGGGACGGGTGAGACGTTTGAATGGCTTAACTGGCTGTTCCGAGTTGCGGGCCTGCCTACGCTCAGGGGTAAGGGTCGGACGCCGCCGGTGCTTTCAGAAGAACTGATCTGGGCTGTGGAGCATTTGAGGAAGTATCCCGAACCGGGAAACCCCGAAGATGGCGATAATTCGCAGCAGAAGTCGGTCGATACAGCTGGTAAAAGATCTCATGGAGATGGCCATAAACATGTTGGAAAGGGGGGGGAGGGAACACAAGATTTGGTGCAAAGACCTAAAAAGGACCTTCTGGGGTTCATTTAGAATAGCCTCGGCGGAGTTCCCATCTGATAGAGTAGATTGTTTTTATCAGCTTAGAACTTCCCGAGACACCGAGAGGAATTGTGAATCCTGCCGTCCAGTTGTAGTTTCACTTCTGATCATTTATAGGCCCTTCCATCCGGTTCTTTTGATCTAACCAATGCCGTAGCTAATATAGTCTCAGGACCTTGAGCGGGTATTCACTGTAGCGAATGACAGTGATTCAGGAAGTAATGCAGCCAAACACCAACTGTCTGTAATTCTTTCAAAAGTCTCCTTTAGTTTACTGGTTTTGGTTAATCTTGAAACCGGGCCCCCCGCAATCGGCTACCTGTTATGAAAGTGTTGACATCGCAACTACACGACCGGCAGTTTGCTTATCGTGAATATCATCCAAAAGCCGGAAGAACGAGCCACCGAAGTAAAGTTCATTTTGTGTTTACAAAAAAGAACAAACCATATGAATACCTAATAGCTATATCAACTTTCAGCCGCAACATACAAGGGTCATTAGAGCCAACCCAACTTAAAGACCGGAATTGCTGTTCAATAGCAAAGGCCGGAATTTTGAAGCTTTGTTGTGACTTTGGCTGCCTATTTGATCATCTATCGTCTATAGCCCTTATTCCTGCACTGTTTATACATCTCAGCACATATTATCTCTATCCCAACACAGTATCATGTCTCATAAGTTAACGCACTATCCATTTGACCATGAACGATCTTGTGCTCCGTCTCTGCAATCCCGGCTCACAACACCTCGTCGTCCTCCTTCCGGGGAATGTTGAAAGGCGAATCTCTTCCAGTGTAGATGAAGGCGTCGTACACACTGGCGCCCGCCACGCCACCCGCGATGGCGGCAACCCACGGCGCCCAGAGCCAATAAAAGTAGTCGTGAGTGAACACGACAGTGCCGTAGCCAACAAGGGCCAGAGCGATTCGTGGGCCAGTGTCTCTGGCACCGTTCATGGCATATCCTGTGTTGATACCCAGAGCGGAGCCGATAGCCAGCAGAGCCAGGAACATGGCGAAAGGCTGGGTGCCCTTAGGCGGTGCCAGATTGTTCTTGTCTGCCAGAGCAAAGACTATGGCGACTAGCGTAGCCGAGGCAAGGAACTCAGTGTAGAAGGCGCCGGCGTAGGGCAGACCGGTGGCGGGCAACGTGAAAAACAGGCCAGCGGTGGCGTGCCGGCCGACCAGGGAGCGGGCAGTGCCGCCCTCGTACGCGGCAATGCTGGTCGCGTAGTTGAGGTAGACAGCGAGACTGGCGAAGGCGGCGCCCAGCACCTGCGCCGCCAGGAAGCCCGGCACCTTGCGCCAGGGAAAGCCGCGGAACAAGGCCAGCACCACAGTCACGGTCGGATTGCAATGGCCCCCCGAAACACCACCGGAAATCCACACGGCCATCGAGACTCCAGCTGCCCACGCCAGCCGGCACTGCAGGAAGTCGCCGGCGTTCTCACGGATGTCAGGTCCGCGGTAGTTCAGCCGCGTCTCACACTCGACGCCCGCGCCGAAGAGCAGGATCATGAACGTGCCCCAAAACTCGCTGCCTTTGATCAGCTCCCAGGACTTCCTCGCTTGGTAAATGGCATTGAGGGATACTTACGCAAATTCCTCGCGCCAAGTGTGACGGATCTGGGCCCACGTGTTGGGTGGCCTGTCGCTCAGCGCCCATTGGGCTTTGTGTAGACGTGTCTCGTGGTGAGCGGCGACAGGGGCGGCGGGCAGTACTGGTTCGACATCGTCGTGGTGAGGGTGCACCTCTTGCAGCGAGGCGCGCCGTATCGACAGAGGTGACACGCGTCGATGACTGCCGAACGAAGGCATAGGAAAGTTGAATGTGCCGTTGCGTTGCCGCTGTTGAGCGAGTAGCGGCTGACTGGGGTCGCCCGGGTCGTGAATGGAGGATCTGGCAGACATAGTATGGCGCGTTGAGGACTGATGTGCCTGTCTAAATCGGTGTCCGTATGGCTGTACGGGCGGGCGGGTGAGGGCGAAGGGAATGGAACACAGGTTTACAGAATGGTAATGCCCCTCGCGCCGGCTTATATTTTTGATCGCTCTTGTCTGTTTTGTCGATTCATCTCTCTGCTCACCGTATCAACTTGGAACCCGCTCACGAAGTGGTTCCTGAGACAGGCCTCCTATTTGACGGGGCAGGGAGTGACGGTGCCTATCTGTGGGGTTTTGGCGGGTTTGCGGTCCAAACATCTGATAACACTTTGAACAACCAACCTTGTCTACCCACATCTTTTGATATGGCACAGCCCCCTGCTAGTGCGCGGTGTTTCTACTAAATTTAACCCTGAAGGATAAACTTGAATTCGGCGCCTCTTTGATCCAAGATGGGTTCTCTCAGTCCCTTCCTTCCTTCTTTAGGTACTTTCCAAGCAGAGCAACGCTGTTTGTACGGAACTCGGTTTATCTAGACCGGAGCCGCCATTTTCTGATTGGCACAGTTTAATACATAGCCGGCTCCGCTGGTATCCACCTGTCCGGCGCCGAGCCCGACAAACTCCCTCCGATCGCTGAAATCGACTGCAGCTGTATTTCACTGTCATAGTAACGTGAACATACTAGAGTGAATCAAGTTTACTGCGCAAGTACTATTACTCACCCGAGAAGAAGAAGTAGTGTAGTCAGTGGAGGCCGGGAAACGAAATCGTTTGTCTTCAAGACATAGTTGGCGCAAATTTTGTCATTTAACAGGAACTCAGAAGAAGAATAGAGCAGCAATATATACACAGCATGGGCTTGAAAGTCTTTACTGCTATGGCGTCCACCAAAAACTACTCTATCGCCTCTACACAGATTTCTGAAATCTATAAGCTGATCGTAACTTGAAGTGATGCATGGTATTAAACTGTCGAAGCGGCGCATGAACCTATTAAGACATCAACTTGACTGCGTGACATAGGATGCGAATTCGTTCCCACCCATTGGCATAGGTTTGTCTTGGCCGGTGCTTATGAATAGTATGTTTTTAAGCCTTTTAGTAGAGCTGACTTTTCGATCTTGGCTCTGATAAGCCGGCGATCCAAGCCCGATTGATCGTAAGAATTTAGGGACTAAATGCCGCCAAAGCTGGCGCGCAGCCGGAAGGCAAGCAACGACTACCGCCACAGAAAGTTCTATATGGGACCACATATGGAGATAGAATGCATCGACTGTGTAAAAAGTTTCAGAAAAGTCCGTAGAGAAGCCAAGATTTGAGTTTGCAGCAGCCGGGAAGGCGGTTAATGCTTACATGTGGGATCTCTGAAGCCCTCTAAGCTCACCAGGACTTTTAGTCGAATAGCGCTAAACACCGCGATGCTTCAAAATTTCATAGAGGTTAGCTATGAGATTTCCTCATGCCTGTACAACAGACAGTGTATGTAAGGGGACTGACAAATGAAATACGTCGACAAGGGCAGGGGTGACGGGGACCGCTCGTTCTCTCCACTTACACCGCCCCGAGTCCAAACATGAACATAATCTCCGCCTTCTGTCTCTTCCTCATGTTAAGCCACAGAACTTGCGTGGTTGGTAATATCAACAACCATACATCAAGGGCGATGTTGATGACAGCGTGGCTGACGAACATGGCGTAAACATTGATACAATGACCCGGGTGCTTGCCGTCCCATGCCTTCCAGGCATTGCTGAAGGGCTGACACTGGGCCAGGTTGGCGATCGTGAAGGCAATGCAGAAGGCAATATTGAAGGCCTGGGTAGCCCAAAGCACGGCCGTGAAGGTGTTGCTCACCATGTTGAAGACGCGGATATAGAAGAAGAGGAAGGAGGCTTTGAGGGTCGAAATGCTGAGGGTGTATATTACTTCGAAGACGAAAAACCCCTGTCATGGCTTTGTTTAGTCTTGGTCGATCCATTTTCTGTAAGTAATACGCAGTTATGAACCCGTGCGGTGCAGGAAGGCTTACGTGCAGGAACCGAGTAATCTGTTCGGATGACAGCGCCCACACATCACGACCGACGCCGAGGTGATGACCTGGAGACTCGTCAGAGACGCCAGAAAAAAAGGAAGGAGAGACGCGAAGCTCAGGGAAAGTTACCATGAAACCTTGATATAGCGAATGAGAGAGAGAAGAACTGCGAGTCTGGTCAATAAAAGCAGAGCATGAATTGTGCCGAGACAAACTTACATATCCGATGATCAGCATCACATCATCCACTCCCCAAGATGATAGTCTCAATGCCTTAGCGAGCAGCCGCACGAGGACGAAGAAGGCAGTGCTTATTACCAGGATGAACCTTCCGGCCGCGGTTCCCGTCTGATTGCTGTAAGGGAATCCGCACCGCGTCCATGTTACGTTCTTCGCCACTGAGAAAGATTAAGATGTCAATTCCCAGCCCGATTGACCAGTATGAAGTTTAACGAGGGGGGTATCAAGATAGAAGGATGTATAATAAGGATATGAAGCTATGTTGTAGAGAGAAAAGACGATAGAAGATAAGTGTATCTCACTATATGAATGTTCCAAATCACAGGACGTGCGCACGCAACTGCGCAGGACGTTGATATAAATATCATCCTGACATAGACAAGTCAGCTCGGCCACGGCACATATGGTGAAGTTGAGCGCCTGCGACATGCATGGAACCTGATCAAGCACCACACGGGTTAGCGACACCTGTCTCATGCAAGATATTGTCAGGGGGCATTGGGCGGTTCGGCTTACGGCGCATGCTGGCAGAGTTTCTGGCATCGGAACCGCCATCAAAGTCGATGTCGACGTCTCGGGGCACTGCGATAGCTTAGGACAGACACGCAGGCCAACGGAAACGACGGAGGCATTACGAGTCCAAGGATCACTCGCTGAAGGAGGGGGGAAGGGGAAGCCAAGCCGTGGGGAATAATACGTTTATGTTCTGAAGAGAGGGTCTATTCCTTTTCTTTTCCCCCTTCCGGATGTGAACTAGATTGCGCCTTCAAACAGACGATAGGCTCCTGGGGATCTGCCTAACCCCCACCTTTCCATTTTGGGTGGAACATCCAATTGTCCTCAATGGCTGAGCCGCTTCCGGCGAGATGAACGGTTCAGAATGACAAGAGGCAATCTTTCTATTCTTTATGAGAGCCGGTGACCAAAGGATTCTGGGACGGTTTGTCGTGCGACCTTCAATGGCGCCTCCACGGTCCCTGTTTCTGACAGGAGGGAACAGGAATTACTGTCGTTAGGGGGGTTTGACCAAGACCAATGCCCTAGGTTCGTTTGTCGCTGACCTTTCTTCCAACCTCGATCTGGTTACCTCTCTCGAATACTCAAATTCAAGAAATCTTAATTGTGCGGATTAGAGACTTGGCAGACGTTTCTTGAACGTAAGGATTCGGACCAGCAAATGTTCGGTGCCGCGGTTGATAGGTTGAGGGCCCCAAGGAAAAGGTGCACTAGGACATTGAGCCTCATTGCCACACAATCACAGTACGGCAGATATCTCGGGGACAAGGAACAAAGTGTCGTGGCATGAAATTTCATTTATAGTTCTTTGAAAGATGAGTGCATCAGATTTGACTTGATCGACTGAGAACATGATCTACCTGGAGCCGAATTCAGAATTTCCTGATGGTTACAGTATGTGCCTCATCAACCCCGTTCGAGCCGATGGAGGTGGAAATTAAAGTCACAGCCAAACACCTTGCTAATGGGCCAATCTGCCAGTCCGTTTGGACGCTAGGGTTCGAGTTCATCACTCTCAACAAATGCAAACCTGTTGTCGAAGAAAACTCTTATTGTTCTTGTGCCATGTTGTGGAATATAGCAGTGATGACAAGAATGGGATGAGAATGGGGGACAGTGAAACTAAAGAGGGACTAATTAATCATCATTCGAACATGATGACATGCACGAGACATTCTTCAGCCGCTCTGGGCCACCGCCGCCATCATTTCAAAGTGAGGTCTCAGACTCAAGCCACAAACTCTCCTCCTATACCGTCCAAGTCGGCATTTCCCCTCTGTGACGCGTTTGGCCGCAAACGACCAGAAACCCCGCTAGACAGCTGTCTTCCACCTTTCCACTCTGCTCGTAACTCGTTCCCTAACGAAACGTGATTCAAAAATCGAGGATCAAATAGAAAATCTGGCATCGAAAAGCCAGCCCTGTATCCCGCCTTCCCGCCTTCCCCATTATCCGCCCTCCGCACTTCCCTGTTTTTCAACCTCAGCGAATATCTCAGGGTTCCTCTTGGCCATATACCTTTTCTTTAAACTGGAGCGTGTTTCTTGAGTGAATCCATCCCCAGAGACTTTGAAGACGCGGCACCCAGTTGCACTGGTGTTGCAGCGGTCAACTCGGCGAAGCAAGGGACTTGCGGTGGCTCAGACGGCTCAGCAACTCGACGAGAAGAATCGACATGATGTTAGCATTGACTCCTTTCCGAGATGACGAAAAACAAAGCTGTCCGAATTCGACTGCCACGGCCCATCGCAGCCACCGCGTTGAGCATCGACAACATCTACGCATATAATCCTCTACTCAGTATCAATACATGTGAAAAATTGCGAAGGGACTCGAAACCGCTGGTGGTTTCATCATTTGTTTGTGTGTTTTCTGAGCTGCAATTACCAAGGACATTCATCTGCCCGCAAGCTGTCACTGCCCGTTGATCTGGCAGTAACCGAGTATATGCCGGGCACCGATCAATCACTCTTTTTGGAGCCCTGTAATGCTACCTCCTTTCACGTCAGATGTTATGAAAGACTGCATTACCCTCCAGCATCCCCCTGGGCTCCCGTCACCCCGTCCATGGCCCTCTCTCCGGCCGTTTCGTTATTCGTGTCATGGAAACCAATCATACGAAGAAACACCTGACCCTGATCAATGTGACTAGCGCTTTTCCCTGCGGATCTACCAGTGATTCGGTGTTCGCGTCGAGTAGGAGAAATTGGTCGGTGGGAGTAGTTGAAATTTCGTTCGTCGTGAAGAGCGGTAGAGCCCGTCCTCGCCTCTACACAGCCCATTTGTCCGCGTTCTTACGAGGTACGAAATCGGTCAGGCTCATGTGCCGACCAAATCAGTTCGGTTGACCGCGGATCATCGACATCTGGAAACGCAAAACGCTCTCTGCGAAAATAATCAAAGTTTCGAGATGGTACATACTGCCTATCGCTCGTAGCGGAGCAGTCCGGGCATGCGTACAGTTACGCATGCAGAACAGTATTCGTACGTTTGGTGTGGCCTGCGATTTTGTCGGCTACGATTGGTAGTGCATGCTGCCCACCACGAGTGAACAACGTGTTGTTGTCTTTTCAAAGTGTCGTGTTGACAGCATTTCCTTATGCTGTCTGTGTGGGAGGCGTTCGGCGAGACCAATTCTCGGATCCGCGTCCACGATAGCTGCTGCGGCCTCCCCGGCTGGGAGGAGGCGTTGAATTGCTTGTCTCGCCAGAGTAAGAGGGCTCGCGGCCTTTGCCGCCTCGATGAGTTGGGCCAGACCCACGCTGCCCACCTCGGCCATTGGATCGCCGAGGGTTACTACCCGATCGAGAGAATGGAAGGGGAACGGACTTGGCCTCGGCCATTCCGGGGAGCAGGACGCGATACACGCTGCCGCTGGTTGACATTTCATGAGGGAACCACAATGAGCGGACTGTCTCAACATCGGAGACCCAGAAACGCCTCGGCAATGGTTTGGTTGGTGCGGTAGCTGGATGCCACGCGGCATCCGGCATTTTATGCGGAAGTCGAATTTGAGGGAGCGACCCCATCTCTTGTTCCTCAAAGCACTCTTCGGCCATTGGCTTCGTGTTAAAAGACTTCACGTCATCTGAGAACTGCTGAGCAGCCGAACGAGGTAGAGAGACGGTAGCCGGATTAAAGTGACCCGAGTAGTCGAGTGCACTCTTAGTGACGGGCTCAACACCCGGTGCTTTCGGGGGAGAGTTCGGTTTTCGTCCTATGAGCAGGTTATTTATACGATCTTGCCAATTCTCATTTCCACTTTGATCTTGCGACCGATGCGGCACATGGCTTGGCTGGTAAGGTCCACGAGGGTGAGATACAGGACCGTCTTTGTACCCAGCTGGAGTAGCCCAAGCGAATTGCCCAGAATTTCTGGAAGCCGTGGGTTGCGTAGCTGAAGCTGAAGGAGGTAGCTTCACAACAGGGTGCGGGCGAGGAAGGGATACATGAGGATGAAGCACGTCTCCGTCGAAAGCGGGGTGGCCAAGCATATCCGGAGGCGGCGGTGAAGGTGAGTTAGGCCTCGACGGCTCCGTATGAGCACCTGAAGAATCATGTCTGCTGTCCTTGGGGGGGAAGAATCTTGAAGAGGTTCGAGACTGGGTCGCGGCTGATGGTCCGGTAGAGGGCAGAATTGAACCTGCTGATGAGCCGGTAGGTACTGGGGGCTGGTCAAGCCCGTGGCCGGAGACATCGTGGTGAACGACGTGGGTGGGATCGCGCCTGCCGTCTCCGGAAGGCCGCCATGTATCCTTGATCGAGGCTTGAGCTTGCTCGATAGTGAGCCCGCGGTCAGCAAGAGTTCGATCACGCTCGAGACGCTGTGTTCTCCTCTCGTCCAAAGCCGTTTTGTCCCCTTCCAACACCGAATTGGCCCATCTGTTCCTCATTTCACTGACTTCACGTGTACCTCCAGATGCAGGGCGAGACTGCTGGACAGTCGGGACTTGAGGTAGACCCCGCTGCACGCTGGGTGGTGCGATGGGCGCAGGGCCCTTCTTGGTCTGGGCCGGCGGAAGCTGGCCAGGCAATTGAGCCACCTGCGACTCAACCAGACGACCCAAGTCAGTATTGAAGGTTCCATTGCCGAGTCCACGATCGTTGTTAGGCGATCCCCATACGTTACGAGGGGCTTGGGGACTAGAAGAGCTCCAAGTCGGAAGCCGTTCCTGCTGGGGTGAAGGTGCCACCCAAGAGCTGGGTTGCCTCGCTTCTTGGCCACCATGTCTTCTGCCGTGTTCGCCACTGGCAGTGGTAGGTCTGTCGCTGAACGGTTTGTCACTCACGTGAGACGCAGCTGCTGACACAATTGACGAGCCAGGGCCCGCTGCTGACGGCTGTGAGCCCGCATTGGGGCCAGTAGAGCCATCCTGTTGAGATTGCTGTTGCGCTTGAACGGCTTTGATATCTTCGGGCGACAAATCCTTCTTAGCGCTCTTGCGTTCCGGAGGCGGCCCCATGGCTTCCAGCTTCGCCTTGATGCGCTCTTTTCTTGCGGCCTCCTCACGGGCTTCCTCTTCGCGCCTTCTCTGCATTGCCAACTCACGCTTCTCGCGCATGATCTTCTTCTGTAGTTCGAGGTCTTCCTCCAAGCGGGCCATGGGTGGTGGTTGTACCGGCTGAGAGCTGGTTGTGTGCAAGCTAGCATGATTAGTTCCCGGTGAAGGTCGCGGCTGCCACTGCTGGTTGCCATGCATTCGAGGACCCTGTTGCAGGCCTGAGGGTGAGAAATTTCGGGGGGAAACAGGGCTATCGACCGAACCAGCCATGGAACCTCTGCGCGCGTTCAGCAGGTCTTGGGGAGGTGCCGGCATTTCATGGCCCTTGCCCGGTCGTTGCAGGTAGGATCCACTTCCACCACTAGCAACAGAAGATCCGCGACGCCTGCCATAGGGACCATCGGGTACCGAAGTTCTACTGGTTTGAAAAGCGGCGGACGGCTCAGGGTGATCAGACTGGGATGGACGTTGCAGCAGGGCAGGCTGTCTAGAGTGGGCATCGGACCTCATCGAGCCCCTTCGGTCAGGGGCCGGCTCGTAACGTCCAGACTGGGAATTGAAGAGCTCCCTGTTTCCGCCGGCGGCGGCTCCGTCTCTCCAAGCGGATCGACTGAAGTCATCGGCGGCGATCTCTTTAGCATGGTGAGGCGGAGGAGTGTTGCTCTTGGCGAAGTTGTCCTTTGTAGCGTATCGCGCGCCGGTTTGGAGCGCGGGTGGCTCGGCAACAACCGGCGGAGCCTTCTCAATGGGCGGAAGAGGAGCCCATGGTGATTTTACTGGAGTTGGAGGCGCAGGCGGTTTTGCGACGAGAGTTGGCTTGTCGGCAGAGCCGGCCTTGAGTATCAACCCCTTCCCCGAAGCAAGGCCTCCAGACTTTATAGAGGGTGACGCAGTAGTGCGAGGCGGTGGTGCGGGCGACTGTGGCTTCTCTATCACCTTCTCTTTCAGTGGCGCTGGGATCGGCTCAGGCGGTGGCGCAGGCGTTTCGTCGGGGTGCGGGAGCGTAGTTTTGGTGCCGTCTGTCCAGGTGATAGTCTCGGGAGCCCAGTCATCGTCGTCGTCTTCTATGTCTGCCCAATTCCCTTGCGCCGGCCCGCTTTCGGGAGCAAGCCGACTTGCCATATGAATGCCATACTTCTTAAGTTCCTCATCTGTTAGCTTTTTGGGTTCCGGAACAGGAACAGCTGAAAGGTCTCGTTAGCAATTGACCACAACCACTGTCAACAACAATACCCGAGCAGCCTTACGTCGATTCTTGTTCCATACTGCGCTGGGATCAGGGCCTGCAGCGGACTGGCCTCCGTTCGCAGCCGAGTTGGCACGTGGAGTGGAGCCTGTGCCAGTTCCTGACTTTGCGACAAGTCTCGGTCTCGATGAGAGGGTCGAGGTTCCAGATGGAGAGGAGCTCAGGATCGACGTTGAGATCGTCTTATCGCCCGGCTTGGTCGTCGAGGTACTCGTGGGTCCTTTCGAGGCAAGAAACTTTTTGTTGACCGACACAGCCTTAAACGTTGCAGGCTTCTTGACAGACGACGACGTCCTTCCGTGGCCCTTCTCTCCATCTTGAGCAGCCCGCGATGCTTCCGTATCCGATCCCCCACTAACACTAACATCTGCCGAAACGACCTGATCTTCAACACCGGTGATGTGCTTATTTTCTAAGTCATCGACGGTGGGACTACCGTTCAAATTCGCGCGGTCTGGACCGACATTGTGTGAGTCGTTGTTGGCGTCGTTAGTCTGCTTGACGGGTTGCCGAAGGATCCCAAGTCAGCCATGGCAGGTGATGGGGCGGCAGGTATGGAGAGATGTGCATTGGGTACAAGTGGGAGGGGGTCATGCGGATGTTCGGGCGATGAGGCTGGCGCCAGCGGTGAAGTTGAAAGAGGGGGAAATAAGGAACTCACGAGCTTGGAGCCAGAATGGACAGAAGCATCAACGGGGGCGGCAAGGGTGGCTTCAGTTGCCATCATACGTCGTCGGATGTTCTGCGCTGGAAGAGCGAATTTGGCTTTTTCCGAACTCAAGTGTGACCGAGAAAGAACGAGTATGGGTGTTGTAGAGGATGAGTTGGTATGGTCGGGTTCGCGGTTGATTGTCGACTAAGCGACGAGTCGCAGAAATCGGGTGTCGGGGATCGGATCGCGGGGTTAATGCGATTTCGAGAGTCGCGGATTTGAGACTCCCCTACCGGCAGGACGTATATCGTCGTCGAGGTAGTTGTTTTGGGGGGGGAGGTTTGGGACTAGGGAAAACAGGAGCGCTGGGCTGATGGGAGTGAGGCGGTAGTAGAAGGACACACCTATGCGGCTGTGATGGTTGTGAAGTCGATTTTCCTGAGGAGCTGCAGTCGCCTAATCAGGGATTAGCGTGCGGCAGGGGAGCAAGCCAGAGCAATGGGGGAGGCAGGTGATGAAAATGAGTGGATCCGATGGGGGTCCTGCCCGCCGACGTGGTCATTGGAAGGCTGTGACAGTGCCTATACGCAGCTTACTGTGCATTACTAACACTGTGCAACGGTCGGCTCGGGCGGGCAAGAGTCGACGCGGCATTCCCCGATGTGGAAACAGGCTATTCTGGGACATTTCCGCATTGACGAGCAACGCCATGGTCTGAGCATTTTGCGGATTCAAAGGCTGACACAGTTCATTCGCAGGCCCCAACTGACGGGTGTTTTGTTGACTCTGAAAGGATGGACTGCTAATAAGATCCTTACATTAGACTAATTGTAGATTGTATTCACAGAGCGAACCAAAGTCAATGAGTGAATGCCTACTTCGCTGGACCTCAACCAACGATCCATTCCCCTCAAACATCATACCAAGTCTCTGTCCCTTGTGACAAAAGGGCAGTGGAGTATTACCAATAGCACTCAATTAACCTTCCACTACCTAGTTGACCCGATCTTTTGGCAACTGGCTCTGCGTGTTGGCACCTTGGTGGACAGAGGAACTGGGTCTTTCGTCGGGTTACATTCGGCTGACGACGTACACACAAACGAGATTTGGCCGAGGAGCATCCTCCCGAGAAACAGATTCTAATTCTTATATACACAGTCCCAATGCCATTACACAGCCTTAGGCTGGACTACAACCAGTGACTTTGAGTCGCTTAGTGGGCATTGTTCTTGTGGTGGCCTAAAAACCGTCAGTATCGTCTGTAGCAGATCTATTGGTTTACTCATTTACTCCATCTTATTGGAGCGGATGACCCGACTTACGGAGGTGGAAGTAGTAGTTCTGGGCGTAGCCGATAACGAGGAGAAGGCCGAGGGCATGGATGATGGCTGCATTGAAACGTCAGATCATTACTTGGAGGAGGGACATCACCACCGGGAAACACCTACGCTTCGCCGAGGCGTTCTTGCCGTTGAAGTGCTTAGCGGCGTAACGGCCGAGGATGCCAGTGGCCTTGGCCTCGGGAGCCGGACCACGGGGGAGCTTCTCGTAGAAGTTGACAACGCGCTGCATGCGAACAGCGTTGGGGTCCGCGCCAAGGGCCTGAAAAGAGATCCGTATGTTAGCCCATGTTGATTCCCATAGCTCCGAATAGCCCCGTCCACGTTTCTTCCTTCCCCAGGTTCCACGCCCAGGCCAGTTGACAGGGTAATCTTCGCAACGAAATCGCAAGCATCAAATATCGAAGAATCAGGTAGATATCGTACCTTGGGAGAGGCGACCTGGTTATAATTAGTTAGCACCTTGTCACGGGTACCGGCTGTTTGGCAAGAGGGAGAAGCGCACCTTGGGGGGAATAAGGGTCGAGAGACCGCGGCGGGGGACGAAGCTCATGGTGTCTGGATATCGGAATCGCAAAAAAACGATGAGGGAGGGATTCGTCGATCGCTCGGCGCAAGCAGTCAATTGAGCAGGATCAATTGACTTCGATTTCGACGTGAGGATGGCTGATGCTGTAACGTGGACGATGTGAGGCTCCGGTGCCGAAGTGAGGTTTGACGAAAAGCACTCGTTTCTTCGGGTCAAGGTTCTTGCGGCGACCAATCAGCGCCCCCCAAACAGAGCCCCAGCAAGGCCCTTTCGCCATGAATGCCGACTGTCAACCACCACCACCACATTACCCGAATATCAATCCTCCCATCGACGACGCTGTTCCCCCCACATCAATTGAGGGAGCAAATCGTCGCAATGGCATCGCTCCGAGCCTACAATGCAGCTCGCCTGCTTCGCAGCAGTGCCAATGTCCGAGTTTCTGTCGCGATGACCGCTCGCCGATTCGAGAGCCAGCTCGCGCCCGGCACCACAGGAGTGCCCGCCGCAATCCCCTCCACCGAACAGAACGGACCTGACTACACTATTACCGCCGACAAGGCGACCTCGTGAGAGCCTCTCAGGGTCTATATGAAGACGGGAATCTTTGCTAAACTCGGTTACAGCACCTTCACCCCTGTTCCCAAGAAGCTTCAAAACGCCAGCGAGGACGTTCCCTACCTCCCAGCCGCCGTCATCTCTGGTGCTCCCATTGAGCTTCAGGCACGCAGCGTTCGGTACGCACACAGTTTTCGCGCGAAGGCTCTTTGGGATTGGTTACTAACAACGGCTTGCGTGCAGCATTTACAAGGAGGCCAAGCCCGCGACGCAGTCTGGCAACTGGCAGGGACACCACTGGCGTATGGACTGGGACATCCTTCCCAAGGGCCACCGATGGGAGAACCCTTTGATGGGCTGGCAATCATCAGGAGACATGATGCAAGGCACCAAGCTGAACTTCAAGACCAAGGAGGACGCCATCCTCTTCGCCGAGAAGCAGGGTTACGAATATTTCGTGTCGGAGCCTCAGTCAAGGAGAATCAAGCCCAAGGCCTATGCCAACAACTTCCTTTATTCGCCCAAGAAGCTCAAGCATATCCGCACCAAATAGACGTTGTACCATTTGTATATAACACGAGGCGTCTCTCACTTACTATACCAGGGCACTGAACCAAGCAATGACCCTCTTTACTGTTGATGTGATTGAATAGTTAGAATTAACCTCATTACTGTCAGACACACAACAGAGGAACCATGGTGAGCTTTCGGACGTCCCTACGACTGCTCAGCCGTAAGCGGACTTGTTTGGATGCTGATTGGATACCCGGGCCCACGTTAAACAGTTCGCTCGGCGAACCACTCAACGGAGATGGGAATGCCCGAAAATAGCCAGATCGAATAACGACAGATTGGGGTGTCACTAGAGGGGTTGAGAATAAGGAGGTAGTGAAGAGTGCAAGTCGTGTTGTTTCTACTCGTATCGGTCTTCTGTTTGGCCCGATGCGGTATACCCGCTATAAAATGTATGTGCCATAATCAACTCAGTCTTGACCGAATGCCCAACGCCTGCAGAATACCTGCAATCCTGTTGTCCATGTCCTTAAATCAAACCTTGCTCTGTAACTCCATGCGCTATCCGAGGCCAGTTACCCAGACCGTGGTTCCTTGAAAAAGCATACACAGCTTCTTGTTGCATCCACCCGAATGCTTGTTCCCTTTCCTGCAGCATACTCATACTTCATCGTACTAGGAGAGCTGCATTTGGTCGTGCCCATCACTCTCGTCTCCATTCAAGCCGAGCCCGATTCGATCAGGGAGAGCCTTTTTCTCAGCTCGTGCAGTCGACTCGGCCCATGCCCGCATCTTAACCAGCTGTCGAATCGCCGCTTCCCTACGCTCAGATTGACGCTGCAAGATAGCCTTGTTGACATGATCTGCCACATCCCGTCTCAGGTCTGGGTGCAAGATGGCTGCCAACTGGGGCTCGAGGTCATTGTGAGGGAAGATCAACAATGCCATAGTCTCTTCAAGATCTTTGAGGAAACGGGAATCTGTTGGCGCCCTAGGGCCAAGGTGATTTGTGGCAAAAGTCAAGGCGGGAGTGATATCACCGCCAGGCGTGTTTGTACACGAACGGATCAGCTCGACAAGCTGTAGACGGAGCAGAGCGAAGTGCAAAGTCGGATCATGGTCCAGAATCTGGTGCGTTTGTCAGACAGTGTATCTGAAAGCAAATACAGATTTAAAAGTAGAATCGTAAATGGAAGCTCATAAAAAAAGGTGGTTGTTTCTCATCAAAGACCCGAAGGTTCTATGAGTGGTGCATGATAACTCGATGTCTAATCACGGCAAATTCGGAAAGGGTATAGAAAAGAAATTAGCACCACATACCTCCGAGTCAAAATCGTTCAGCGCCTCAATAGCGGACTGAATGCTTCCAGTGTGGATTGACTTTTGAATATGCTGACGGACTTTAATCGTCTCGTCAATTTGGTGGGGTTGCATATTGGCTTCCTTGCTGAATTTTGCGGCAGCATTAGGATAGCCTTCCATAGTCAGGTAGTCGAGGATCAGGGCATTAATATCGCTGGAGAGTTCCGTTAGCAAAGAGTCACCTCTTTTTGTGAGCCGTTGGATGTAAAGATGGAAAACAGCAAGGTGTCAGGGTAAATTTTATATCGAGTTCTCCGCATGGTAATTGCTAGGAGAGATTCCCATTTGATAGTCGATCATCATGTGAGCTGGAGGGGGAGGGAAGGCGGGCGGCTCGAAAGCTAACGCCGGGCTAGCGGGCTGGAAGAAAATGATAGAGGCTTACCTTTTGGGCGACTGAACGTCCTGAACACGCCTCTCGAAGGCATGCTTCATGGGGGTGGCCGTTGACGCAGACGAAGTCTGAAAGACATCTTAGCTGCTGTCCAGCAAGAGCAAACAGGACCAGAGCCCACAGAAGGGTACACAGGAGCTCAACGGACCATGATTCTCTCCAAGGTCTCCCGCACGAGACGAGCAGCAGCTCTGTTCCAGACTGCTATCGCTGTTGGGTCGTTGATGTCCGGCAGTCCTGACATGCGATGGGAGGTGCGCAAAGCAGGAAAAGCAAGGCAGGATCAGACTATGGGCGGCAGTCACATTTGAGTGGCCGTTCGAGCTCCCGTTTGTTTGTGGTTTGAAAGGGTTGAAAGAAACTGAGGGAGAAATGGGATTGGATGTGGAAGAAGAAGGAAACGTCTGAACAAAGAAAAAGAGGCTGGAGCGGAGCTTTATTGGGTTCCAGAGTTTGCGGCTGCAGGTCGGTGCTTGACGTGGGGCAGCCATGATTATGTAATTCCAGCCACATGAGCAGAAGCTGCAAGCGGGCTTGGGGGGGCTAGAAGTGCATAGTCAGCTCCCCCAAAGAGGCACAAGAGAGGCAGGTACGAAACCCGAGGTACCTCCCTGGACTGTAAACTGAGCACCGTGCCTGGCCGTCGGCGGGGTGTTGCAAGCGTCTAGACCATGAGCGCCCAAGAGGCAAGATAGCACACGAGCACTTTTACTTCTACGTCGCTCCTCATTTTCCCCTTGTCTCCTAAGGCGTACTGTTAAGACCCAAGAAAAGCGACAATATCCTCCAATTATTGAGGTTTTGAGCGACGACTTGCAAGACAACTACGGCGAGGAAGAAGTCCACTTCCACTACCTGACTAGCACCTTGCTGCACACACCCTTAACGTTTAGAAGCTCCACTTGCCTAGGCTCGTCAAAGTCCAACATCCCCTCAGCGCTTATCTGAAGATAGGTCTCTGGACCCTGGCTTTTACCTCTTATTTCCATTTAGTCCTTGAATTCCTCTTCTCCTCACCCGCTCGCAAGGAAGCAGATCCGCGGCTCCCAACTCCTCCTCTGCAGTGCCTTATCGTTGTCCCTTTGTCAGCCTGGCTGTAGATTCTTGAGTTGCTAGCTGCAGTCGACCAATACCATTGTCCCCCCACGCCTCGACGTCGGCGACCTCCGACTCACAATGGCTGACGACCACAGCGGCACCGAATCTCATGTCACGGTTCAACGTCGGACTCACTACTCTCCACCGTGGGCAGATGTCAGTATCATCGGTATTGCTGGCAGTTCCGGCTCAGGAAAGTCCACTCTGTCGCATGCCATTGTGAGAAAGCTAAACTTGCCATGGGTGGTGATTTTGTCTATGGTATGTGTGCATTTACCCCGCCAACCGTCAACCACTGCCTCTGACCCGAAGTGATGACAGGATTCTTTTTACAACCCCCTGACTCCTGAGGAGTCCAAGAAAGCCTTTGACAACGACTTTGACTTTGATGCCCCCAATGTGAGTTGTTTCTTGTGCCTGATGGGCACTGCTGGGCAGTCTCGTTGTTAATGTTGTGTTCACAGGCCATTGACTTCGACATTCTCGTGCAATGTTTACGAGACCTCAAGGCTGGGTAAGTTGACAAACCATGGCGGTTGCATTTGCACTTGATCCATTCCTACAATGGTGTTATGTGATTGTTTGCTTTTATGGTGAAACAAACTAACCATCTCAACCTTAGTAAACGGGCCGAGGTTCCTGTTTATTCCTTTGCCAAGCATCAACGACTGGACCAAACCACAACCATCTACTCCCCTCACGTCATTATCTTAGAAGGCATCTTCGCCCTGCATGACCCCCGCATCATAGATCTCTTGGATATGAGGGTATATTTCTCATATAAGATCATCATGTGAACTTAACCTGACAGTATTCTAGATATTCTGTGAGGCGGACGCCGATACATGCTTGTCTCGAAGAGGTTGGTAACGCGCAGATCGGTGGTAATGTCTATCCAAAAAGAAGCTGACCGTATTGGGTAGTGTTGAGAGATGTTAAGGAGCGCGCCCGCGATGTCGAGGGCATCATCAAGCAGTGGTTCAAGTTTGTGAAGCCCAATTTCGAAAAGGTAACGGCCCTTACACCAAGATCTTTTATTACCATCAGTTCTGACCAATCCATCTCTAGTTCGTCGAGCCACAGCGTAAAGTAGCAGGTACTTTGCACTCTCTTCGCAGGTCTTCTGCCTTGTTACTGACTAGAAAGACATTATCGTACCCCGAGGTATCGAAAACCATGTCGCAATGGGTAAGTGGGCCGATAGAGTTAGGTCAGCATTCAGCTAAAATATCGATTAGCCATGGTTGTCCAGTACATTGAGCGGAAGTTGATCGAAAAATCAACCCACCACCGGGCAGCATTAACACAGCTTGAGCTAGCTGCTGCCAGCGACCCCCTGTCTGACCGAGTTGTGATATTGGACCAGACACCGCAACTCAGGGCCATGTGTACGATCATCCAGAACATCGACACGTCGGCAGAAGACTTTATCTTTTACTTTGACCGCCTTGCTTGCCTACTGATCGAGCAGTGAGTATATCTGACTTTTGAGTGTCCAAATATACAGCTGGCTGATTCTTCCAGGGCGCTCAACAATGTACAGTTTAGGGAGAAGACCATTTCCACTCCCCAAGGTTACAAGTACAGTGGACTTCAATCGACCGGCGACGTGAGTGCGGTACTTGTCCTTAGAGGCGGTGCTGCCTTCGAGACCGCGTTGAAGAGAGTTGTTCCGGACATGAGGACAGGCAGAGTCCTTATTCAGTCCAACATACGGACTGGAGAGCCCGAGCTTCATTACCTGAAGCTGCCGGATAACATCGACAAACACGAGTCGGTATTGTTGATTGATACCCAGATGGCTAGCGGAGGTGCTGCACTCATGGCTGTGCAGGTTCTCGTCGATTACGGCGTTGCACAGGAGAAGATCGTGCTGGCATGCTACGCCGCAGGAAGGCTCGGTGTTCACCGGCTTGCCAAGGTTTTCCCTGGCATCACCATCGTTCTTTGCAATATGCTTCCGGATATCGAGGATCGATGGGTTGAGAAGAAGTACTTCCGATGCTAGTCTGGGGAATCTTGCAACTATACCGGTTGTAAGCCACCTGGAACAAGGCGTTATATAGTAAAAGCAAAACCAGTCAGTAAAAGATGCGTGGTAGTGCCAGAGCAAACCAAGCTGTGTATGTTGTGAGGCTCAGCGCAGTGTAAGCTGGTGTCCAAATCAGCGACTTCCGCGGCGCTGCGTAAACAGAGACTCTGATTTAGTGGCCGGCATGCAGGTTCAATTGGCCGAGCGAGACACCGAGAAGCGGGTATGGTGGTGGAGATTCCGGCACGCGGCATGCGTCCTTGACGTCGCTTAGTGAGATCATAATAGTGTCGCTGAAAAACTGGTCTTGGCAGGAAAGGATCCCGTGAAGATCCTGTCAGCTCGGCGGACTAGATAGGCGGCGCCGACCTCGGGACAATAATCGAAACGAAAGTCCGAGTTGTCGGCGGCAGCGGCGATATGCAGTTACCACCAAGACTGGCAAGGAAATCTTGACTGTGGCTAGCTGCGGAAGAGAAGTGCGGCGGCCGTTGGAATATTCTGGCGCTGCCGGACTTGCTGGGTAACTGCATGCAAGTCCTCTTCGGCCTAACCGGATAATGACGTAGGTGCTGTAGCTGCTGGGATTGGAGCTCCCCGGGTTTGTCGCTCCTGAGTTGACCAGCACTAGCATCATTACGCATACCTATGTCAGGGAGCTATTCCGCCAACGCTAGATCGTTGTTTCCCGTAACCAGTACGCCTGATTTCCTATTTCTTGGAAAAACACAATCTTGAAGTCGTTTCCCCCCCAGACCCAGTCCTCGGTAGCTATCGCGTCCAGGAGACAGCAAACAGCTTCAACTGCAGCCCTCACATTCGTTCCGACATGACATCTTTCTGTTAGATACGCACATGACTCCATCGCCAGACATTCCAAAACCGAGTCTCGATAATTAAATGCCTCCTACTACATCAGCGCTGATGCGCCTCCCTCGCGTCGCCTCTCAGATCTCTCCAACTGGCCTTACTAAGGCTTACCCGAAATGCCGACAACAGAGCATCGCCTCTCAGAGACGTGCATTTGCTAATTTGCCTCAACGATCACGAACAACCCGGACGCCTCTTGCCAACTCTTTCTTCAATGCTCATGGCTTGCCCAAAGGAACCGCCCTCCGATTCGTCTCAGGCACAACTCCTCCTTATAAGCCCACTTCACGAATCCTGCGTTTCGCATACCGTAGCGCAGTATGGCTCGGCAGCGGTGTCATCTTCGTCGGCCTAGGTGTGGTAGGGTTCTTCATCTACGACGCTTCGACATACAAAGAACACCCCGATCAATTCGAGATCAACGTATCCGAGCTGGCGTTGAATCCCAAGAAGGGTGGGCCCAAGAACCTGCCCATTGCCGAAGTTTTGATCGACGACCTGGATACTGAAAAAATGACGAGCGCAAAGAACAAGCCAAAGCTGGTTATTCTGGGTGGCGGATGGGGTGGCGTGGCCCTCCTCAAAGAGCTGATTCCGGACGAATACCACGTCACTGTTATCTCGCCAACCAACTACTTTTTGTTTACGCCTATGCTCCCGTCTGCCACCGTAGGAACACTAGAACTCCGATCGCTCGTTGAACCGGTCCGTCGTATTCTTTCCCGCGTCCACGGCCACTTCATCTGCGCAAAGGCTGAGGACGTGGAGTTTTCACACAAGCTGATCGAATGCTCCCAAACCGACGCTCATGGCAACGAGACCCGTTTCTACGTCCCTTATGACAAGCTGGTTATCGCTGTTGGATCAACCACCAACCCCCACGGCGTCAAAGGACTAGAGAATGCCCACTTTCTCAAGGACATCAGTGATGCGCGCAAGGTTCGGAACCAAGTCATGCACAACCTCGAGCAAGCTTGCGTGCCGACAACCTCTGACGAAGAGCGCAAACGTCTCCTGTCCTTCGTTGTGAGCGGAGGTGGACCTACCGGTGTCGAGTTCGCGGCCGAGCTGTTCGACATGCTCAACGAAGACTTGACACAGCATTTCCCCAAGCTCCTCCGCAATGAGATTTCTGTCCACTTAATCCAGAGCCGCAGCCATATCCTCAACACTTATGACGAAGCTGTCTCCAAGTACGCTGAAGAGCACTTTGCCCGCGATCAGGTTGACATCCTTACAAACTCCCGCGTCAAAGAAGTCCTCCCCGACAAGATTGTTTTTACCCAGAAGCAGCCTGATGGATCCCTCGTCACCAAGGAGCTCCCCATGGGCTTCTGTCTCTGGTCAACTGGCGTCGCCCAGGCCGACCTGTGCAAGCGGCTGTCCGCCAAACTTGGCCCATCACAGACAAACCGACACGCTCTCGAAACCGATACCCACCTTCGCCTTAATGGCACGCCTCTGGGCGACGTTTACGCCATCGGCGACTGCTCAACGGTCCAGAACAATGTAGCCGACCACATCATCACTTTCCTCCGCGGCGTCGCTTTCAAGCGCGGCAAGGATCCTGAGACCCTAGAGCTGCACTTTAGCGACTGGCGCGACGTGGCCAACGACGTCAAGAAGCGCTTCCCTCAGGCCATCAGCCATCTGAAGCGTCTTGACAAACTGTTTGAGCAATTTGACAAGGACCAGTCCGGCACCCTCGACTTTGGCGAGCTTAGAGAGCTGCTGAAGCAGATCGATTCCAAGCTCACATCGTTGCCCGCTACGGCACAGCGCGCCCATCAGCAAGGTCAGTATCTTGCGCACAAGTTCAACAAGCTGGCACGCACCTCGGATGGCCTTAAGGCGAATATGGTCTTTGACGGCGATATCGATTCCGTCGTTTACAAGGCGTTTGAGTACCACCATCTCGGCAGCCTAGCTTACATTGGCAACTCGGCTGTTTTCGACTGGGGAGAAGGATGGAATTTCGCTGGCGGTCTGTGGGCTGTCTACATGTGGCGGTCTGTTTATTTTGCGCAGAGTGTTAGCTTACGCACACGTATCCTACTTGCCATGGACTGGGCCAAGCGTGGTCTTTTTGGAAGAGGTAAGTTACTATTATTCTACGCGCTAAAAGGCTCGGTTGCTAACAGTGGTTCAGATTTGATGAGTTACTAAATCTAACTGCGGTGAAGTGAGAACGAGTCTTAATATTAGTAGTTTATGTTAGCATACCCTGTGGAGTACAAGGGATAAAACGCATTTGGCGACAAAGTCAACAGAGTTATCGGATCAAAGGCCAAGAGAAGAGACAGAAAAGCGTTATGTAGATGGTCTCTTCCACTGCCAATATGTCGTTCAACTATTTGCAATTGTACATCTCTTAAAGACCGAGTCAAGTTAAAACCCAAAATATGCTCGCTTTTGAATTACTGTCCCGATGACCTATAGTGTATGCCCCCCTTTTAAATTCTGAAGTCCTTGTAGGACCACTTCTCCGTAAGCTTTGTCCTGGCTTGCTTCTTGAAGGGGATATGTCTCCTGGCCTCGACTCTCCCGCGGACAAGCAGGCTGCGGTAACGGTCCTTGAGCAAGTTTCCCTCCGGCCTCAACAACCGTAGCGAGTCCTGGAGTTCGTCGGGGAGCACTAGCTCCAGATCCTTCTCCGGCAGCTTCATCTTGCCAAGCTGTCGTCTCCTCAACCGGCCCTCGTCGACGACCTCGTCATCATCCGCGTCACTGCCCTCACCGAGCTCCTTCGCCAAAGCCAGCGCGTTCTTGGAGGCCTCCCGCTCCGCGATCTCTGCAGCAATTTGTTTAATCTGCTCCGCCTGGGCTGCCTTCTTCTTCATCGCCAGCTGATGCTTGGCCTCGCGTTCGGCCTCCTTGCGACGCTTGATACGGTTCCTCTGCTGGGGCGTCTTGCGCTGCGGCCGCTTCAGGGACGGCTTGTCGTCGTCGACGCCGCTCTCGAACCCTTCCCAGGCCGAGTCTTCGTCCCACTCGGACAGCTGTGCGCGGGCCTCGGCGGCCTCGGCTTCAGCTGCGGACCGGGCGATGGCTTCGCGCTTGACGCGCTCAGCCTCCTCGGCGGCCAGACGGGTTTCCTCCGCTGCCACGGCCTTGGCGCTCTCCTCTTCAAGTCTTTCGGCGTAGTCGTCAAACGTCGGGTTGTACGAGTAGCCGCCCGTCGGCTTCAGAACCGCCGGGATCTGCTTGCCGCTCGCGACAAGGGAGAGCGGCTTGTGCTTGAGTGTCTTTGGGGGCTTAGCTTTCACCACGGGCGGGATGAAGTTGTCCTCCTTGGTGGTGCCGGGATCTGCCTTTGCCGCCGCTACGAGGGCAGGCGCGCCGGCACCCCAGAGATCGTACGTAGCTTCCTGGGGGACGATGCTCGAATCTTCTTGCCCGTCGGCAACCCTGCGCAGACGGTCGAGCTCCTTGTGCGAGACCCAGTCGGTGCGCTGACGCTTTACGGGGAGGAGGCCATTGGCCGTCTTGGAGCTTTCGTTTTCGCGCTTCTTACGGGAGGATACGGCGGGAACGGAGGAGCGGGCGGCGATGATCTCTTCTGACTTGAGAGTCTTCTTGGGTCTAGGGCGCTTCTCGATCTTGCCAACCGTGTCGAGGGTGAAGAGGTCGGCCGAGTCCTTCTCTGCGACGACACCACTTGGGATCTGTTAGTATTTTGGCGTATTCTTGTGACAAGACAGCTGGCATCCCCTCTCGGAAAGGATATGTATCATACCCCGTAATTATTTGCTTGTTCAGCTCATCGAGACCGTCCTGCACCTCGGTAACGTCGACGTTCTTCCGCCACGCTTTCTTGCCCTTTCTGGAGGGTTGCTTGTATTGCTGCGGCGCATCGCCTTCGCCCAAAAGGGGCTTGAGAACGGGCATCCTGACTGTGAACCAAGTAAAAAAGTAGTGGTGACTTTTTGCAGAATTCGATATGTGAAATGTTTCCCAGGGAAGACTTCCTCTGGCTGAAAAAGTCGATTTGCGCACCCTGCAGTTTGATGGTCGTCTGTTTCTGCACTGCACCACGGCGGGGCCTGGCCCATCCAGAAATTTTTGAGATACGGTTGACAGGGTCTGGAGGCTTATCGATTGTCCTATCGCTTATCGATTATCTCCACGTGATGATCCCCGTCTTTCCGGCTGGATCCTGAGTGGATGACGGGATGTGCAATGCGCCTAGAGGGAGCGAAAGTTGACCTCCTTTTACCGACCGGTGCTCTCAACCCAGGTCGCGACCAGAAAATCACACGTTCCCCGCTGGCTCCCTGATCGCCCTCGATCTGTTCTTCCTCTGTTCTCGGCCTCCCGCTTTGCGTCCCAAAACTCGTGTCCGTTGCATCCTGCACCTTTTTGCCGCAATCGTTAGTGTTGACTGTCCTACAAAGCAACCAACCCCCAACACCACGTCAAGCTTCTTTTTAATCAACACGAACACTCGGCAACCATGGCGTCCGGCGCAAGCGGGTCGTACAACAACCCCCTCAAGAAGTTCAAGTATGATGCGCAATGCGACAATGACAATTGTATACCCAACTGACGATTTGCAACCAGGCTTGTCTTCTTGGGCGAACAGAGTGGTAAGCTTGCTGTTTGCCCATTGGTATCTCGTGTCCCTCGCTAACAAAACCCATATTGCAGTGGGGAAAACGTCTCTCATTACTCGGTTCATGTACGATTCATTCGACAACATGTATCAAGCGACCATCGGAATCGACTTTCTCTCCAAGGCAAGCTGTCATTATTCCTCTGAGGGTCGTCGCCTCGGCCCGGCTTGAACAGCTCGTCTAACCCGTTGCAGACCATGTACCTCGAAGACCGCACCGTCAGACTACAGCTTTGGGATACCGCCGGTCAAGAACGCTTCCGTAGTTTGATCCCTTCGTATATCCGCGACTCGAGCGTTGCCGTTGTTGTATACGACATCTCAAGTATGTGGCAGATAAGGCGGACGGGAGAAAGGTGCCAGCAACTAACAATGGGCACACAGATGCGAAGTCTTTCCAGAACACAAAGAAGTGGATAGACGATGTGCGAGCCGAAAGAGGAAACGACGTGATCATTGTCCTCGTTGGCAACAAGACGGATTTGAACGACAAGAGAGAGGTGACGACGCAGCAGGGCGAAGAGGAGGCTAAGAAGAACAACCTTATGTTTGTGGAGACCAGCGCGAAGCTGGGCCACAACGTCAAGACGTTGTTCAAAAGAATAGCGCAGGCTCTTCCCGGTATGGAAGGAACAGACGCCGCAGCGCAGGCCTCTAGCCAAAGTGCGTATTTCTCCAAGAACAACGATTATCGGACCGAGATTTGCTAACCTTGGTGCAGTGATTGATGTGAAGACAACCCCGGCCCAGTCCTCGCAAGAGGGATGCGCGTGCTAGACGAAATGGGTAGATGAACGTGGAAAACTGTGGCAAACCCAAGGCGAGACTTATGACGGACGACGTGGGGGCTGAATGGCCGTTACGTTACGAGCATGACTGGCGGGGCAGGACATCTTAAGCATAGCGTGCAATGGGGATTTCAGCATTCAGCTGCAGTTTGTATAACAACGGGCTATAATCCACGGTCGCTAGTACATACCTACATTTAATGGCTTCTTTTTCTTCTTCTTCTTGTCAATTTGTCCCCTATGATGCACGTAATTTTCTGTCCCTGACTTTGCTGATGTGTGAGACGGTGACGGTGGCCATCTTGGCAAGAGGCTGGAGACTGGACTTCTTCACCGCCCGGGATCGCACGAGACCACCACACGCTGATGATTCGGCGTCCGTGATGCCCCCGGTGGGTCGTCTGTCACCGAATACCGGGGGTGTGTGGTGGGCCGAAATCGATTAGCACGCTCGTTATGCTGGGTCGTGGTACCAACCAGTTGTACCTGCCAGCGCTCGGACGCAAACGCCGCGGCGTGGCGCTATGCCGCATAGATACGGTGGGTTTCGTCATATGTCATTGACAACGCAGGGTCCTTCCACCCTTATTTCACCTCGGAATTTTCCCATGTCATCCGGCTCTGCCGCTTTGTTGGATAAAGCCGTCGATTCCTCCAAAAGCTTTCCACTATTTACCAGAGCTTTTGGACCCCTTTCCCGCTGACGCAATACGCTCACGTACAATTTCTCAACTTTCGCAAAAGTCAACCACTGAGCAACATGGCGCCATCGAGATTCAGACTGCGCTTCCCGCGCCCAAAGGTATGCCTGGCACGATCGCGACCTCATGACCCCGTTTGCAGTCGTTCACGAGGCTGACATGCGATGCTTTCTCAATAGACGTTTCTGGGCTGCATCAGCCTCCAGACTGGTACTGAGGTCATTTCCTTGATTCTCCTCTTCAATAGGCTCACCGGCCTTTACGGTCTCCTCGCCGTCCTTACGGGCTACGAGCTGTCGGTAACTCAGCTGTCCATGTACCTCTACTCGCTCGGCGTGATTGTGCTCCTGGCCATGTTCATGCCCCACATCCGCAAGCAGAGCCCCTTTGAGAACCTCAGCCTCGCATGGCTCTACATCATCGACACGATCCTCAACGTCGCCTACACCACCTTCTTCGCCGTCAACTGGTATGTCAACAGTACGGCTCTCGATAAGCATCCGGGCAGCGCTGGCACCCCCGCGGGCGCCGAGATCGCCGAGACGGCCCTTGCAAACGGCGCTCCCGTCGTCCCTGATGTGCCCAAGACGACGAAGCACATCGGCCCGCAGGAGTCGTGGATGAGTCTGGGACTCATCTGCTCCGTGACGTTGGTGCGCGTCTACTTTGCGCTGGTGGTCATGTCCTTTGCGCAGCAGGTGCTGCAGCGGTATAATGAGATGGGTTGGGAGGAGGAGGGCCGCAAGAAGGGCCCTGACGGCCCGTTTTCACAGGGCGAGCCCGGTGGCGAGGGATCTCGCGGTCGCCTGGGTCGCGTGATGCTAGCGCTCGGTCGCGGCTACTGGATGAGCGAGAGACCGCAGGATGAATGGGCGAGCACGGTGAACGCCAAATTCCGACACGCCGGGGTTTAAGCATCTCGAAGTACGGAAAGCAACGGTGGTCGTTCGGTCGGGAACGATGGGTATCGGCGCGGCAGGTCGGCGGCATCGCGGCTGGGCTGACCGCCCCTGGGCGGGTCCGTGAACGGGGTTAGATGATGCCATCTCGCGATGGTGTCATTGGTCGGCGGTGCATCGCCTGAATGGAGGGGGGTTTGGTCAATGTGGATGGAACAGCGCATACCATGTGGTGGATCATCAGGCACATATGAGATGAGGATATCGGCGTTTGGGACGGTCGGGAAGAGGGTATTCATTCGGCTCTGGCCAAAGAGACATCGAAGTGTGTGACTTTGGGCCATTGGTAAAGAAGGTTCCAAACCCCGAACAGGAACAGCAGACAGATAAACACAGCATAAGACAGGCACCTACATGGTATGAATACCCTAATGTTTAGTAAAAGACACTGATGTTCAATGGGGGCGCGGTCATTGGATGATGACTCGGAAACCAGCTCATTGCAGATCGGGCTGGGCTTCGGAGAGAGTGTTCGGTAAAGAGCGGGAACTGCAAATGCAATTCTGACCATTTGTAATCCGAAATATTCCCCGGGGTTGTTGGGATGGGAACCTGGACTGGGTTCGACGGGGTCCACGGCGGGATATGGAGCACGTTGGGGGGGGCGAGGTGTCTGGTGTTAGTATATACTACCCAACGACGACTCGTCCCCGTGTGGATGAAGGACAATTTTCTCCATTCAGCAGCCCAAAGGTATGAGAACTGAGGAATGAGTGAGAATACCCGGCCGACAACGGCCTTTTTCGGCATTCGGTCATTTGTTTTTGTCTGGAGACGGTAGACGCCTCTTGTGTTTGTCATCTTTCTCTACGTACTCTGTGTCGCCTACACTGGCTTGGAGTAGCCCAGGAAGTGCCATCTTTCTTTGGATCATGATGGAATACTTTACTGGGGAAATTGAGAACACGTGCTACACTCAAGATAAATCCATGAGTGGTAGACAACACAAGGATGTAATACAAGGATAGGGCCAATAGTCAATGATGAAGAATGGCAACGTATCCCAGCAGGTCAAAACATGCCGGTAACGGTACTCGCGCCGGCCGTTGGCCACTGACTGGGGGAGTGGCTGATTGTCGTGGCGGGGTTGGAACATGTCCCTCCTCCCCAAAGCCGCAACAAGGGCGGTGCGGCGGCATCAGCACGCCCAGCGAATTGGGACTGGGGGAGACGCTGCGCTAGCCGATCACGCAATCGACCCTGATGTCGACAAAATTCATTGTTTTCTGCGGGGCAAAATTCGTCGGTGGGAACGATGGCCAGCAAGAGCAAGCCGTCGGCCTAGTCTAAGACGTGCTGAGGAGGACGAAAACTTGGACCAGGGAATTAATATCCAAAAGCAGGAGACATCGGACTTGTTTCGCAGTTTTGCATTATTTCTTTCCCACCCCTTCGACTTTGCCTTCACTCTCTCTCTCTCTCCCCTCCATCGTCAACCTTCTTTGCCGGTCGTAGTGTTGCTGTGGTTGCTGCTCCCGCTGTCGTATATTGTTTACGTGTTTCTTCTTTTCTTGGACCGACAACTCGTCTTAAGTCGGCCTCCAGGAGGAAAAGAGAAAAGCAAGAGGCAACTGTTAGACAGCGAGACCTGCGACTTATACGATACCCCCCAGAATTAAACAAATCGACAATGGCACCGACAAGAGGCCAGATCCAGACGCCTGGAGAGGCTGGTAAGTTATGCCCCGTTCCCCCTGTTCTACTGCCTGTAGCGGAGTTGTCCTTCAGCGCATTGCCCGCTATAGCTATAGCGAAGCGTCAGCGGCACTATAGGTGGGCCAATCAGAGCTCTGCTATTTGTCGCATCCCCCAAGCGTCCAGCGCCCGCCACCAGAGGGATGATGGACGATGGGAAAGACGAGAGAAGGCGACGATGATGGACAACGACGCCCTCTGGCGCAGGCGCGGATTGACCACGATAGCATTGCTAACACTGCGGTCTAATCAGTTGCGAGAATCGCATACCTCTCCAGCGATGTCGTCGTCTCCGTCCAGCCCTCGCTGACCAAGGACTCTGAGTTCTCATCCCACCTCAAGCGCTACGTCGCTCGCGGCGACATGAGCCTCGTCGCAAAGGCCTCTGTTCCCGAGGTGAGCATTCAATTCCATTGCTGTCGTCTTTTCTCGGCGCGTAAAGGAACACATTGGCTGACAGAAACCCCTACCAGGTTCAACACGTCAGACACAATGCCGACCCCCTCCTCTCCGTCTTTGCGCCCTCACGCGCCGGCAAGCTCGTCGCCGTCACGACATCCTCAACCACCCTCCTGCCCGCAATCTCTCATCTCTACAAGCTGGCAAACTACCCCGTCGTCCTGCACGTCTCCCTCCAGCCCGCCGGCTTTCCCGACTTCTCTACCATCACAGCCATCCGCAACTCGGGATGGACCTTCCTCCAGTCCGAGTCGCTGCAGGAGGCGCAGGACATGGCTTTGACGGCACATGCCCTCGCCCTGCGCTCCGGCAAGGGTGTCGTCCATTTCTTCGCCTCGTCTTCGAGCGACGATGACGCGCCCATCGATGCTGAGGACCCCGAGCTCGTGCGCCAGATCCTCGATGTTGACGCCGCGAGGCGCTTCCAGCAGCCGTCAAACGGCACGGGAGCGGCTGTCGGCATCTATGCCGATGACGGCCGACTGCCGATCGCCTCTGATCGATCCGACGTGCCGCCGACCGGCTCCTCGCCCATCAGTGGCCTGAGCTCCTCCGACCTCGCTTCGTCCGTGCATTCCAAGCTCGACTCGTCCCGGGCCTCGGTCCAATCCAGCGCCCAGCACAGCGTCACCGACAGCCCCCCCTCCGTCGTCTCCTCCAACGCCACCACCATTGACGCGGCGCTGCCCGTCGTCTCCTCCGAGGACATCCTCAAGTACGCCAACGGCATCTGGACCCACTTCAAAAGGCTCACAGGCCGTGAGTATCAGGCCTTCTTCTACGCCGGCCCCACCAACGCGGAGAACTGCCTCTTCGTCTTCGGCTCCGGCGCTTACTTTTTCGGAGATGTCATTGACCAGGCCCGTCGTGGCGGTGACTTTTCCAAGGTCGGCATCATCACCCCGAGGCTGTACCGCCCTTGGCTCAGCTCCGCTCTGGCCGATGCCATTCCCAAGTCTGTAAAGCGCATTGCCGTCCTCGAGCAGATCCACCGCAAGACGACGAAATGGGGCCCCGTCTTCATTGATGTCCTCACCAGTGTGAAAAGCGGCTTCGGCGGCGTCCAGACTGTCGTCGGTTACCAGCTTGGCTACATTGACCCCAAGACCGTTATCCAGGCTCTACGTGGCGTCCTGCAAAACCTGACTTCCGAGTCCCCTGTCCAGAACCTCGAGGTCGGTCGCAAGGACGTCCCCCAGCAGGCACTGGAATACGGGCTTGAGAAGCCCCAGGTTGAGAACTCTTACACCAGGATCCTTGACCAGCTGTTCGGCCAGAGGGCTTACGTTGCCAACGCACTGAAGGCCAGCAACGCCGGCATCAACTCCTCCATCCAGGCCAGCCCCGAATTCGGCTTCGGTTCCCTGTTAGCCCGCAAGGAGCGGCGCCAGCGCTTCGTCGGCGAGGTTAAGGAGGCTGCCAACAGCAACCAGTTTGTGACTGATGCTCCCAAGAGCTGGCTCGCCCGCTGGGCCGCCAACGAGGCCGACGCAAAGAAGGTCAACGAGATCGCCGACGACCTCATTCCTCGTCTTGAGACTGATGGCTCCTCCATCGCCCGCAGCTTGTTGTCTAGCAAGCGCCTGTTCCGTAAGGAGTCTCTTTGGCTCATAGGATCCGACGCCTGGGCTTACGACCTCGGCAACTCTGGTGTGCACCACGTTCTGGCCTCTGGCGAGAACGTCAACATGCTCATCATTGACTCGACTCCCTACTCCGAGCGTGCAGCCGCCGACGCCAACCGTCGCAAGAAGGACATTGGCCTGTACGCCATGAACTTTGGCAACGCCTACGTCGCCTCGACCGCCGTCTACGGCTCCTACACCCAGGTTCTGCAGGCCATGCTCGAGGCCGATCAGCACAACGGTCCCTCGGTCGTCCTTGCCTACCTCCCTTACTTCGGCGAGACCGATTCTCCCCTGACTGTCTTGCAGGAGACCAAGAAGGCCATCGATGTCGGCTATTGGCCCCTGTACCGCTGGAATCCCGCCAATGAGGCCAAAGGCGAGCCCAACTTCACCCTTGATTCTGAGCGCATCAAGAGCGAGCTTAAGGCCTTCCTGGACCGCGACAACCAGTTGACCCAGATCATGCAACGTAACCCCGTCTTCGCTGCCAATCTGTCGCAGGACTTTGGCACTGAGGTTAGAGCCCAGCAGAAGCGCAAGGCCAAGGATGCCTACGACCAACTGCTCGAGGGCCTCTTCGGAGCCCCTCTGACGATTCTCTATGCCTCCGACAACGGCAACGCTACCACCGTTGCCAAGCGTCTCGGTAACCGCGGCAAGGCTCGCGGCCTCAAGACCAAGGTTATGGTCATGGAGGACTTCCCTGTTGAGGACTTGCCTTCCGAGGAGAACATCATCTTCGTGACCTCTACCGCAGGTCAGGGTGAGTTCCCCCAGAACGGCCACGCCCTGTGGACTGCTCTAAAGGACAACACCGAGCTTGACCTCGCCAACGTCAACTACTCCGTCTTCGGTCTCGGTGACCGCCATTACTGGCCCCGCAAGGAGGACAAGATATACTACAATAAACCCGCCAAGGACCTTGACCGTGTTCTTGCCAACCTTGGTGGTAAGAGACTTGCCGACGTCGGGCTCGGTGACGACCAAGACCCCGATGGTTACCAGACTGGCTACCAGGAGTGGGAGCCCAAGATCTGGACCGCTCTTGGTGTCGACAACGTCGACGGTCTCCCCGAGGAGCCCGCTCCGATCACCAACGAGGACATCAAGATTGCCTCCAACTTCCTTCGCGGTACCATTGCTGAGGGTCTTAAGGACACCAGCACCGGTGCCATCTCCGCCGCAGACCAGCAGCTTACCAAATTTCACGGTACCTACATGCAGGACGACCGTGATGTCAGAGACGAGCGCAAGGCGATGGGTTTGGAGCCCGCCTACTCTTTTATGATCCGTTGTCGTCTGCCTGGCGGTATCTCCACTCCCCAGCAGTGGGTGCAGATGGACGACATTGCCAATGACCTCGGCAACGAGACTATGAAGCTCACCACTCGGCAGACCTTCCAGTTCCACGGTGTCGTCAAGGGCAAGTTGAGGCCCGCCATGCAGGCCATCAACCGCGCGCTCATGACCACCATCGCCGCATGTGGTGACGTTAACCGTAACGTCATGTGCAGTTCGCTGCCCACGCAGTCCAAGTATCACAAGGAGGTCTGGGCCTGCTCCCAAAAGATCAGTGACCACCTGCTGCCTTCAACCACTGCCTACCACGAGATTTGGCTGGCGGACGAGAACGACGTCAAGACCAAGATCGCCGGTGATGCTGTTCAGGACTTTGAGCCTCTGTACGGGCCTACCTACCTACCCAGAAAGTTCAAGATCACCATTGCCATCCCTCCTCACAACGACACCGACGTCTACGCTCACGATATCGGCCTGATCGCCATCAAGGGCAAGGACGGCCACCTGGAAGGCTTCAACCTGCTTGCCGGTGGTGGTATGGGTGCCACGCACAACAACAAGAAGACCTACCCCCAGGTCGGTCGCATGCTCGGCTTCGTCAAGACGGACCAGGTCCACATCGCTTGCGAGAAGGTTATGCTCGTCCAGCGCGACCACGGAGACCGCAAGAACCGCAAGCACGCACGTCTCAAGTACACCATCGACGACATGGGCGTCGACGTGTTCCGCTCCAAGGTCGAGGAGCTCTGGGGTCAGAAGTTCGACAATGAGCGTCCCTTCGAGTTCAAGTCTAACGTCGACACGTTTGGCTGGCAGAAAGACGAGACGGGCCTCAATCACTTCACCTTCTTCATAGAGAATGGCCGTATCGAGGACACACCCGAGTTCCAGATGAAGACGGGCCTGCGCGAGATCGCAAAGGTGCACAAGGGCGAGTTCCGCCTCACGGGCAACCAGCACCTGATTCTCAGCAACGTCGCCGACGAGGACCTGGACTCTATCAAGGCGTTGATGAAGAAGTACAAGCTCGACAACGTGAACTTCTCTGGCCTGCGCCTCAGCTCCTCGGCCTGTGTTGCCTTCCCCACCTGCGGTCTTGCCATGGCCGAGTCGGAGCGTTACCTGCCCCAGCTCATTACAAAGCTGGAAGGCTGCCTCGAGGAGAACGGCCTGCGCCAGGACTCGATCGTAATGCGTATGACAGGCTGCCCCAACGGATGCGCCCGTCCATGGCTTGCCGAGGTCGCCTTCGTCGGAAAGGCGTACGGCGCGTACAACATGTACCTTGGCGGTGGCTATCACGGGCAACGCCTGAACAAGCTGTTCCGCCAGAGTATCAAGGAGGACGAGATCCTGGCCATCATGAAACCGCTGCTCAAGCGGTACGCGGTCGAGAGGGAGGAGGGCGAAAGGTTCGGCGACTTCTGTATCCGTGTGGGCGTCATCAAGGCTACCAAGGAGGGACGGGACTTCCACGAGGGGGTGAGTGACTGTGCCGAATAAAATCGTTCTACCACCGTGTGATAGTGACTAACAAGAAGACAGGTTGCCGAGGAAGAGTCCGATGAGGAGTAAATTGCATTGAGTCTACGGATCAACGCGTCATGAAGCGGGGAGGGGGGGGGGGAGACCGTCGACGATATTAGAAGTAGAAGGGGGTGGCAAAAGGAAAGTACAGTTTGTAAGATGTATGTTTTATATCCGCTTTAGCTTCAGCATCCCGGGGCAGGCGTTGCGATATTTTGGTTTTCGTTCGGCATATATCAAATCCAATTCAAAAGTTTTACAATATTGTTCGCTCGAATGGATGTGATGATGTTCACGTCATACCTTGTCTCCGCGAGGTTCGGCTTCTCTGCGGAGCCCTGTATCAGAACGGACGCCAGCTATATACAGAGAAGACCCTTGCGTGTTGACAGAATAAATGGCGAGAGGAGGAGGGGAGGGATGCCAAAGCCAACTAACTGTCAGCCGGCTCAGTACGTCCGACGTAACCCAAAGATAGAGAGAACGCGCCGTCCGTTTGTGACCCAGTCGGAATGGAGTTTTTGTCGCAGCTTCTCTTGCATGTTGTAAGCCCACATTGGGTAGTTCTACGGGGTTTATGCCGTCTTTGAGAGGGAGGCTTGTCAGCATGATTCCCCACCCGAAGCTGCTCAAGGCTGGTGGTACTTCGCTTTCCCAGGAGCGTTTGAGTGGCTGAACTCAAGGTGCCGGCTGAGCGAGGTGGACTGGCTCGGGGGCATGTAAATGGTGATATGCACGTATAATCATGGAATAACAAACACTAGTCATCTGATAGGTGGGAATCTCTCTTTTTTCATATGCATCTTATCTCGAGTAAGACAGCTCAGCTCGTCCGACCAACGCCTCAACTCCTGGGCTGCAATAGCATAAGCCCAAAATCCCTTCCCACCCATTCAAGGCTCGGGGGGGGGGGGTCTCCGAAATGCCGCGGACATCAGCTTACTTTTTTTCTACTCATGATCCTCGTCCAGACCAGGCCAGTTACCTCAAGGCCACTCTCAAAGGCGTCAACACTTGTGGGAGGGAGTTACTTAGAAGTCCTCGACAGCACAGTTGGGATGCAAGACGAAGATGATGCGCTGCTCCGCCTCGGCGGCCGCAGACGCTCCCTCGCCTGCCTCGTTTTCGTCAAGAAGACCCTGGCCACGGACAGCCATGAGAATATTCTCCTGTAGTCCGAGGTTAGCTTCCATTCTGACATCGACAGCAAAAAAGAAAAGATCACATACCTTGACCATCCTCTTGAGCACCTTGTTGGCCAACGCCCTCTCCTCCTCGGCGTGTGCAACGTCTTGCAACTCATCTTCCTTCTGCTCCAGATACCATTCCACGAGCGCATCACCTTCGACGCCTTCTCCGTTCTCAGCCTCGGCCCCAGCGACGTGCTCGACGAACAAGTTGACCATGCTCGAGTACTTTTCGAACGTGATAGTCTGCTTGGGGCGGGCCGCAGCCGCTGCTGTCCCTTCGGCTCCGTCAACGACCATGTCACCCTCTTCGGCTGGTTGGCCTGCTGCCTCAGAGGCCGCACGAAGCAGGGCTGCGCCCTCCTCCGAAAACTCCTCGTCGTCGATTTCAACATCATCGTGCTCAACGGAGATGATACTCTGTCTGAGCAAGTTGAAGGCCTCGGTGACCATAGGCGGTTCGATCTCCTCCACACAGTTGGCCTTGGCGATCGCCTCTGATAGACGGATCATACTCTCCAGTTGACGGACTGTAATGCGATATGAGTTCTTGCCGATTCCGCCCTGTGCGTCGTCGGCGCGAAGCTCCTTGTAGTGTTTAACAAGCAGCTCTTTAGCCGCAGGAGTGAACTCGGGCCGAAAGGTGCGGGCGAAGCGGATGTATCTTTGCAGGGTTTCGGTGCTGAACTCAGGCTCGATGGCTTCGTCGCGCAGCTGGTGAAGTCCAACAATATGCTCCGCAAGGTGGCGATCAACGGATTCGTTGCACTCATCGAGCACGACAAAGAAGAGATCGAAACGAGACATGATGGGGGCGCTCATGTTGATGTTGGCGCGGAGCGTCGTCTTGCGGTTGTAGCGACCGCCGACTGGGTTGGCGGCAGCAAGGATTGAGGTGCGGGCGTTCAAGGTGGCCTGGATTCCAGCCTTGGCGATAGATATAGTCTGCTGCTCCATAGCTTCATGGATGGCGACCTGGTCGGCGATATCCATCTTGTCGAACTCGTCAATGGCGCAAATGCCGTTGTCTGCCAGCATAAGGGCACCGGCTTCGATGGTGAAGTCGCCGGTTTCCTCATCCTTGACCACAGCGGCTGTGAGACCAGCAGCGGAAGACGCCTTGCCACTAGTGTAGACGGCGCGAGGGGCGAAAGAGCAGATGTACTTGAGAAACTGGGACTTGGACGTAGAGGGGTCGCCTACGATGCAGATGTTGATGTCACCTCTCAGCTCCATGCCTTCAGCTGTGGTTTTGTGCACACCAGACATAAGTTGAAGCAAGAGTCCCTTCTTGACAACCTCATGGCCATAGACCGTCGGTGCAATCGAGTTTACCAGTCGCGAGTAAATGTGATCGCTATGGACTAGTTCGCGCAGCTCCTCGATTTCCGAGGAGTTCATGGATGCAAGTACTGCGGCTTGAACATCTTCGACCGAATCTGAAGCATCGTGTGTGTTGTTTTGGGTCAACGAGTTGATGATGTCTGAAACCTGCCCACTCGATGCCTGGCCCGAGTTGGAAACATCGGGGGTGACCATGCAAGCAAGGAAGGCCAGACGGTAGGTAAGATCGCGGACACCAAGTGCTTTGAGACCACTGACGCCAGAGCCGCCCACATCGGCGCCATTGGAAACCTTGTCGTCTCGAACGGCGCTTGGTCTCAGACCGGGCAGACCCATTTGGCTAACATCTGGCACGACGATGAGCGCACCGGTGAAGATACACTTCTCTCCAGCCTTGGCTCGGTCTACGATCTCTCCGCGCATGATAACGTCCATCGTTCTCGGCATGCTCCCCGTAGGAATCTCAGAGCTGTTCTCTTGGATGCGCACCTTTTGCCAGTCGACGAACGTGCTATGTCTGATATCCAACTGCCACGCCTGGCGGTTCAGGCAGGTCTTGTTGGGACACTGAGTAGGCTCCGTGTACCTGAAGGTCTGCTCGACGTTGGGAACAACCGTCCTGCAAGCCTCGCACACAAAGGTACCAAGAGAAAGCTCAGGGCGAACTTCTGACGTCCGCGTGACGGTACCGGAGATGGAGAGGAGCTGGCCGATGTTGGCCGCCCTGAGACTGCGGACTCGCGAGATTAGGGGCAGATTGTAGAACGCAATGGCGAAAAGTTTGTCAGTTTGCTGGTTGGCTGTCTTGCCGCCCATTTCTGTTTGGCTGGCGGAACCCAGCTGGCTCGCGGCCGAGTTGGTGGGGTTGCTGGACGAGGTAGGTTGCCTATGTTCGCGGAAGTACTGCGGCTCATGCTTGGCGATCATATTGTGCAAGGCGGCGGTAAGGAAAGGCAGGAAGCGGTAGTAGCCACGCATGATTCCATCTGCCAACTCGCCGTTTTGCCATGTCACCAAGTGCTTGAAGTCCACGTAGAAGGTGGACAGCTGGTATGTGCGCATGCCGTGAATCTGGGCAATATAGTACTTGTCCGTTGTGACAGCGCTCGATGTCGGTGCGCCAGAAGAAGTCGGGTCATCTATGAATCTGCATTTCCATATGGTCAGATACGCTACGTAGCCCAAAGAGGAGCAGAAGGTCACGACTCACCCCTCGATAAAGGACTCGAAGTGGTCCTGAACCATCAGACCAATCTTGTCCTCAACGCGGGGAATGTTTGTGATGTCGGGTATCCTTGATCCGCGAGGAACCTGGTCGTCAGCGAAGCCCTCGGCCTCATCGTCACTGACAGCACCCATGCTCTCGGACGGCGGCACTCGTGGCCTTCCGCCAGCAGAGGAGCTGGGCATGAAGGAGCGTCTAGGGGTACCCGCCGCACGGGACGGGGCATCCGACATTATGAGGCCGGCGTCGCTGGAGGGAGCCATTGTTGACAGTATGTCGTCTGCAGCAGCTGCAAGATATTGTCGTTTGGGGTGGAGGTCAACAATGGGTAAAACAGGCGCAAGGGACGGAGACGAGGCTGATATGCGGATTGTTGTTTTTAGGTGGAGGTGGTATTTTGGGTGGTGGGATGCGATGGATCCTTTTTCGCATTTGGAGGCGGAGACAGTAGGGGGCTTAATTGATTTTTGGCGCGTGAGGGGCAGGAGGCGCGTCAGCGCGCGTTGCTGGCGCGACAGCTTTAATTGACTGCATCTCGCGCTAGTCTTGTTTGGGAGGTATCCTTAGTATGGAGTATCCGTACTGTTGGTGGAAACTTGGGATACGCCTACGGATACAGGTGGTAGGTATGTACTGTAGGCATGTCGTCGCGAAACAGACAGGGCATAAAGAGTTTATCATCTGAAATCAAGATAAAGCATTCGAAACTCGGAGCTTACTTGGCCTTTTTGTACTCATTCTGCTTCGCACAGCTTCCATAACGCCTAAACCATGCAATGTCCCTGCTATTCCGTGTGTACAATTCCCTGGAACTAAACTCTGCGGGCCTTCGCCCGCCTATGCGCCGTTCTTGATCTCCGGCGAAGGGTACGAGTGTACCTGCGACCAAGTTAGCCAACTTCATCTCTTAACACGCATAGCAGGACACACCGATTCGGCGACAGCCAGCCATTCCTCGATACTCCTCATGTAAGGATCCGACGCCGCCTCGGCGCTCGACTCGTGGCCCCAGATGACTATCTCGTCAAACACAGCCTTGACGTGCATGGTTCCCAGCTCGACCAAATCGCCTTCGGCCCCCTCTCCCTCGCCCTCGACCTCGAGTTGCTGGGCTTCGACCTTGTCGCTCTTTTCCATAACAACGCCTCGGTATTGCTCTGGCAGCTTGACAGTCGTGCCGTGGAGTTTCCGACCACGAAAGTATGCCAAGGTGTTCCCATCTATTGACTGAAGTCAGCACCCGCCACACATCATTCTTATAATCATGGCTGGGTCAGGAGTTGGCTCACCTTCTGACCGAACAGGATTCCAGAAGGTATTGGCATCACCAATCGGTCCATTGTGGTGGATTCGACATGGCAGCAGGTTGGCGACTGCTTTGCTCTTCTCATCGGATTCGTTGGACCGAATTGAGAGAATTGCTTTCGACATGGTGGCCTGTCTTGTGTGCTCGGCAATGGGGTCGGGTTTGTTGATGGATGTTCAATCGCTCCGTGGTTTACTAATATTCGTACGCAGACGCGTCCACCCCACAGCGGTCCTCAACGACGCGAACTCAATTCAATTAAATCGCCGATAAGTGAGCGGCGATAAGCCGACTCTCATTATCGATAAGACGGTCTTGGCTGCTGTGTGCACGGGCCACCCTCAGGTTCACTGTTTTATCAAACAGGGCAGTCATCGGCAGGGGCTGGTGTGTCACTGCAGTTCGGGGAAAAGGTAGAAAGGACCTCCCCACCACACCCAGCATTGACACTTGGGCTGGTGGCTGGCTGCGCTTGCAGGCGATAGACATGAGTAATAACAGAGTCAGCCGTCAGGCACGGTCGATGAGACTTTCGGGTCGGTATTTAGAACTTATCCAATCCTGAAGCAAGTCAGCCCCACTCAATGGCGTTCTTACATCTCTTACTAGTAGGTATGTACCTACGGTATCCGTAGTCGGATGGGCAACAGGACAGGTAGGTAGGTTTGCCCGTTTTTCTAGGGGCCGGGTTTGGTGTTTTGTGACAGGGGCGTACGGTGTGACAGGTGCGTCCCACTGAAATGTTATACTCTCGAGGCCTGTCCGTCCCCTGGCTCGAATGCCATCTTGCTGCCGTACCATCCGATCGGACTACCATTCTCTCCCATTTTCTTCGTCGACTCCTCCAGAAAACTCTTCAGCCCATCGCTAGCCAGAGTCCATGCTCCCAGTATGACCAAGACTCTGGAGCAAGCAGTTGCCGTCAACCGACAGCCATGCAATGGGGGAAAAGCCAAAGTCTTGATGTCATAGACCCTGAAAGACCCCAGTTGCGGTCGGGAAATTCCACACAAAGCTTTGCGAACTCGCCCAAAGACCCTGCCGCACGATGCAAGCCGGGCCACGCCTTTACGGCAGGATTTCTTTTACCAATGCCCGTCGACCCCGATCATCGAGGTTTAATCGGTCGATCGGCCGGTCTCTTCCCAAGACCTAGAATAAACTTTCATCAAGACGAGCAGTACGGATTTAGTACATGCTGAGTAGTGGAACCACTGCCTGCAGCCTACTGCGTCCAGCTCAACTGGGGGAATAACTATTATGTAGTCGGTGCAACAACGACTTATTGGGTAGCGGTTAACAGGCAGACACTGTGGATCAAATCTAGCATCTCAGACCAGGTGTCTCTAAGTACTAACCCACCACCTCTTAAGTCACTTCTATTGTCCCCACCCACACTACTAACTTCAAATCCTCAACTCCAAGTTAACAACATGAAAAAGCTTTCTTAATAGTATATAGTTTAGGCTAAGTAACTCTAGATCAAGATGATTGTCCTTGAAGTAGATTTTTTTAAAAAGTTGATTTGTGCTACTATTTTCTAGATACACTTTAAGCTGATAGAGATATCTCTGTTTTCTTCTTTTTTTCCTTAGCGAAAGGGTAAACTGGTCTGTGCTGGGGTCTGTGCACGCTAAGCGAGAGACTTCAAGAGGTACTTTGATGACTCAAGTGCTGCCCCTGTTTTCACGCTAAAAGTGTCTGCCTGGTAACCGCTACCACTTATTGAGAGTCTTGGTCTGGAAACGCTCCTCTCTGTCGGGATGCAGGGACTTGCCAAGCGCTTTTGCTGTCGTATTGCGTGTGTGTGTGTGTGTGTGTGTGTGTGTGTTTGTTTTGTCCAGAGAACATTTGGTAGCTGACGTCGAATTACTATTCAATGAACATGTGCTCTCATAACGCTTGCAAACACAGATTGCTTTCCTATATGGAAGGAGACCGACCGACCGACCGACCCAAAGTTAATCTCTGCTTTCGTCCGATGACCAGAGCCTGAGGCCGTCCGTTGCCTTGACCGGGCCATGTGAGCCGGGACAGATTCGACAGTCTTCTCGAAACCTGCACCTTGTGATAGCCTACATCTCTATCGACCTTCCTTGTTCCTCCTGGCACTAACGGTTCGGGGGTGCTCGTGGCCGAGCGTTCCGGCGGCGGCGCACTGGCTCAATGCCCCCTACATTGTGCTACGGGGCAGGCTTTTATCGCACCATACGAAGTATGCTCCACGGACGAATGAGCTTGCTCGTTCAACTTCCGACTCGAGTTGCAAGAGCACCCACATGGGCCCGTCCTATACTCTCGGGTCGCCGCCCCCTCCGTCAGAGGTCGACATCATCCCTAGGCCTGTCCTAAGCAGTCTCTTGGCAAGACGGTTTTCTTTTCTCTTCTTTTTCCATTTTAAGCAGGCTTGCCTGGCGCAGTGCTTCACTTGCTGATTGATGTTGATTCGAGATTCGAGAATCTATACGAGTCGATGTCATTGGGTGCTCAGACAGCCACTTATGGCGGTCAGTTTGACGAAGACCTCAAAGAAAAAAACCTTATGTAAGGTAAGGCGTGCCCATGATGCTACGGACGCCAAGTGCCGATGGGATCGTCAGTCAACGCCCGCCCCCCAAACTTGTTGATTCCCCCGGTGAAACAAGCGATGGCCAAAGCCTCTCTCTTCCGCCCCCTCCCGAGTGATTCCCGCCGAGCTACCCTTGCCCTAGCCCACTTCCGCATCCATGCTTGATCCTAGTTCGGGATGGATTCTCCTCCTGTCCCCACGTCTTGCTCCTCGGGCTTACGACGTTGCCGATGGGCGAGATGATCTCTTTTGCTGTTTAGCATCCTCAGAGAAGGCAAGCTTATGCGCCGGGTTCTCCTGTGCATCAGGCCGGCGGTCAAGATGGTGCGTTTGTGCGCCTGGCGTAGCATGGCCTCTAGCCACGGACAGACATGCGCGGGCGCATTAAAACCATCCTCCCGCCCTACCGTCGAGTCTCAGATGCGAACATGTTCTGCTCTTGTTGACTGTTGCATTCCACCCCCCTCCTCTGGCCCTCCCCCTCCCTCCCCTCCATCTTCCAGAAAGCCCCGACAAGCATCCCAGTGTGCCTCACCACCCGGAGAGCTTGTTTTTAGGTTTCCCGGTGGCTGTCCAACCCAATTGGCCTTTACTCCGCTCCAGCCTGTCCCGCCCCAGGCCGTTGAGCTTCCGATCTATTATACGTATTATACACAGTCGTCTCCGGCATCCTTCCAACTCTGCTCCTCATGCCTAAGCTGCCCTCGTTAGTTCCGGCGGCTCTCGCCCAGCCCTTATCCCGCGGTACAGAGCTGGTGAGAGGCGCCGTCGGCAGTTTAACCTGGGGACCAGCTTTGTCTGTAGCCAAGCCTGCGATCCTCTCCGTCTTTTCCAAGATCGAGCGAGGCACGCTTCTTCTCGTTGACGAGCCTGCCGGTCTGAGGCAGGTTTTTGGCCAGAAGCTTGGCGCAAAATACAATGAAAACCTCACGAACGGTGACCACGTTCCTCGCCGTGCGGATGCCATCCCCCGGGTCGAGGTTGTCATAAAGAGCGAGGCCTTCTGGATGCGCCTATTCTTGTTCGCCGACATGGGTTTCGCTGAGTCGTACATGCTCGGAGAGATTGAGTGCGAAGACTTAACCGCCTTCTTCCAAGTCAGTAAACCCGTAGCTGGCTCCGGCCAGCCATTGGCTTGCCGCTCTTGCCACTGACTTGATCCTGATACAGCTCTTTATTGTTAACCGCGAAGAAATGGGCAATGGGACAACCTGGTTCTCGAGCTTATCCATCGCCATCTCTAGCCTGGCGCGAACCACCAACACCCTCTCCAATGCGCTCCTCAACATCTCGGCGCACTACGACATCAGCAACGAAATGTTCGCCGCATTCTTGTCGCCGGACATGACCTATTCTTGCCCCATATGGAAGAAGAATCCCGATCTGAGCAAGCCCGAAGAAACGTTGGAGCAGGCGCAAATGACGAAGCTACATCGGTTCATTGACGGCGCCCGCATAAAGCCGTCGGACCATGTGTTGGAGATCGGTACTGGATGGGGCTCCTTTGCTATTGAGGCAGTGAGGAAGACCGGCTGCCGAGTGACGAGCCTGACACTCTCCAAGGAACAAAAGGCGCTTGCGGAAGAGCGCATAAACGCGGCGGGCTTCTCCGATCGCATCGACGTCCGGTTGACAGACTATCGAGCTTTGGAAACCCCAGAAAGACCCTTTGATAAGATTGTGTCAATCGAAATGCTGGAAGCTGTCGGTCAAGAATTCCTCGGGACATATTTTGCGTGTATCGACAGGTTGTTGAAAAAGAATGGAGGCATTGCCGTCTTCCAATGCATTACCATGCCCGAAGGCCGTCACGAGGCGTACTCAAAAGGAGAGGAGTAAGTGAAGGGGATTGCAGCAACAAGACTGTGTGTGTCGCTGACAGATAGCAGTTTCATCAACCACTACATCTTCCCTGGAGGATACCTTCCATCCACTACACAGCTCTTGAACCACATCAGCAAAGAGTCGAGAGGAACTCTCATCGTTGAAAACGTCGAGAACATTGGAGGCCACTACTCCAAGACTTTGCGATTGTGGAAGGAGGAGTTCCTGCGAAACTTCGACTCTAAGATTCGACCGGCATTGAAACGTGAACATGAAAACATGAGTGAAGAAGAAATAGATGTATTTAGAAGGAAGTGGGAGGTAAGACACGTACCATATGTGCCTCATGCGCTCTATGCTAATGTTTTGCAGTACTACTTCACATACTGCGAAGCCGGGTTCCTGACGAAGACACTAGGCGACGTTATAATAACAGTGGGTCGGGAAGGCGCCCTGGAGTTGATGGAGGGCATTCCGCTATGAAGGGTGTTGGCTCATGGCGGCAGCCTGGATGAGATGCAGTCGGGTGGCTTGGATTGCATTCGGCATCCGGGGCTTGAGGGGCATTAAAAGAGATGGTTTAAAAGGCTCAGGTTGTAGCAGGAATTTTTGCATTGGAGAATTCCAGCTCATTTCTTTTTCTTGGGCTTTTTAGATTTTGGTCTTGATTTTGCCGATGCGCCTGCGGAGCCAGAGAAGCGATTCGCATGGTCAACGTCAAACCCGGATTTGTGCTTTCTGAACAAGAGCATCGTCACCCTGGCATCTTCGATGCTCGAGTGCGCGCCGCTCTGGATCGTGACGCCGAGGACCTCTTCCGCCAGCCTCCTCAATGCTGGCTTCCTGCCGTTGCCGTACTTCCTGAACCCCGGGTAGTTGGATGTGTCGCGAACGTCTTTGCTAGGGTGACTCAGTTTGAGTACATCCAGATCATGCTTGATGTCGTGGCCGACTAAGATCCTGTCCTTCAACAGTTTGGCGACGTCTGCCTGAACCTCGTCGAAATCTCGAGCGAACCTCATATGCTTAGGTAGGATTCCGCTGACGGCACTGCGCCAATCGGTGACACGCTCTTGAGGCCGTACATATGAGTCGTACACCTGTCGTCCGTGGAAGTCGACGATGCTCACACGAGCCAGCACAGATTCGTACCCCCCTTGTCCGACACCGACCATCTCGCAGTCTATGGCAACGTATTTGCCGACGTCAAGCTCTTCAGTCAGGCCCGCGTTAATCTTGTCTTTTTCTGAAACGAGCATCGAGTTGTTCTTCAGACCAAGACCATAGGCTTCGGCCAGCGCTTCGGAAGAGATGTCATTCTCCTCCGCCCAAAGGGCCAGGGACGGCGAGGGGCCAACCTTTGGTTCAACTTCAACCTTTGAGCTTTGCGTGACACCCATACGTTCCTTCTTTCCCTTTTCGTTTCTTTGAGCAGATTTGGCTGGTCCTTTTTTGTCGAATGCAAGTTTCGGCTTCTTTGTCGGCTGCTGATCAGAGGAATCTGCCTTTCGCTTCACCGGTCCAGCTGCTGTGGAAGAAGACGTGCTCGCCGCTTTGAGTTGAGCTTGAAGCTTCTTCCAATTTGACGACAGCTCAGGGGCCATATTCTCTGCCGTTTGGAGTGGAGCAAGAAATAGGAACTTAAGTCCTGCAGCACAAGAAATGTGAAATATTTCCCTTAATCTTTTGAGATTTGGTGAAATAGAAACTGCAGGATGGTGCTAGCGACAAATGATTCTCAGTAAGATAAATTTCAAAAACTAATGCAATTATCGGGGTTGTATAAAGCGGAGCCATCGCCTCGCTGCACACATGCGCAGGGGTTCGCGGCAGTTTCTTCACCGCCTAGAGCAGCTCGCGTCTTCTGCCACACACCACCTTCCTCTTCCCGCATTCTACTTTCCCATAATTTGCGATAGGAACCCAGAAGGCCAACAAGAGCGAGCAGAAACTTCCATCAACCGACGATCACGGACCGAACATTCCATCATGGCGGCACACGGCGCCAACGGCGAGCCCACTGTAGGCTCCAGCGAACCTCGACAAAAGGGCAAGGCCACCCCGGAAACCATCAGGTGAGTCATGCCACAACCCCGCCATCTCTCCAGTAAGGCGGTCCACTTGAAGCCATTCACTAATATTTTCCGTCTAGGGTAGGATGCATTGCCATGGTCACGAAAGAGGGCATACCACGCAGAGCCGAAATTCTTAGTATCAAAGAAACAAAAAGCGGACGGCAATTCTACTGCAACTTCGATAACTTCAACAAGCGTCTCGACGAATGGGTTCCAACGGCCCGCATCGATTTTGATCACGATGTCGAATGGCCATTGCCCGAGAAGGAGAAACCCAAGGACCCCAAAACGAAGAAGGGCGTCGCCACATCGAAGAAGCAGGTTTCCAAAAAATCACAGAAGCGGCCCGCGAAGAGGGAACAGTCGGCGCCGTCAGAGGCCGCCACCCCACACCCATGGACCGAGTTCGTCGAGTCGCAAAGCCAGAAGATGACGCCCACAGCCGAGGAAAGCCAGGCTCAAACACCAGCGACCGGCGATGCAACTGCTACACCCGCGGCAGGAGGCGACGAGATGGAAATTGACCTCGAAGAAGAGGTACAAAAGAAGGACCTACTAAGTGGTTTCAGCCGCGAAGACGAGATCGAGAAGCTCCGGACGCACGGCTCTATGACCCAAAACCCTGCCGAGATCTCGCGAATACGAAATATCTCCAAGGTGCAGTTCGGAAAGCACGATCTATTTCCTTGGTACTTTTCGCCCTATCCCGAGATCTTCAGCCAGGAGGATGTTATCTTCATTTGCGAGTTCTGTCTTGGATACTACGGCGATGAGAAGTCTTTTACCAGACATAGGCGGAAGTGCACGTTGCAGCACCCTCCCGGCAACGAGATCTACCGAGACGACTCGGTGTCGTTTTTCGAGATCGACGGTAGGAGGCAGCGGACATACTGCCGCAACTTATGTTTACTGTCCAAAATGTTCCTTGACCACAAGACACTTTACTACGACGTCGATCCCTTTTTATTCTACGTCATGACAACTCGAGACGCTAAGGGCTGTCACATAATAGGGTACTTCTCCAAGGAAAAGGAGAGTGCTGACGGTTACAACGTTGCTTGCATTCTGACGCTGCCTCAATACCAGCGCAAAGGTTACGGTCGCTTGCTGATTCAGTTTTCGTATGAGCTGTCTAGGATTGAAGGCAAGCTAGGATCGCCCGAGAAGCCTCTCTCGGATCTGGGCCTGCTGAGTTACCGCCAATACTGGGGTGAGAACATCTTGGACCTCCTGATAGGGTACAATGAGCGTGATGAGAAGACGACGATCGAATCTATTTCGACAGCACTCGCCGTCATTCCCCAGGACGTGGAACACACGTTACAAGCGCTTAAGATGCAGGTTTACCACAAGGGCGAGCACAAGATTGTGATCCCGGAGAAGCTGATTCAGCAAAGAGAGAAGCAGAAAATGAAACAGAAGAGGCTCATTGACGCCAGCAAAATCCAGTGGAAGCCGCCTGTGTTCACAGCTTCAACGAGGACATGGGGATGGTAGAGGTGTTTTGTCACACATGGCGAAACGTATTGACTATGATGTGTTTTTGGAGCATATGATACCCCTGTCTTTAGCCGCTTCACAAAATAGACTTCCATCAAAAGGGTCTGTTCGTTTAAGGAAGTTATTCCGAGGGTCAGATCAACTACGTGATTCTGCGTGGGGCTGTGCGCTATCTACACGTATCGTCATGTCTCCGAATGCGGAGGTGGGCACCTTGAACTTCCACTCGACAACAAATCCTCATATGCCCCATCGGACGTCTTTCTGAAGAGTCGGTGCAATATCACCTCCTAATTTGGCCACTGTACACTTCGTGGAGCGGAGGCTATGAAATATAGCGTGATAAAAGTGTCGAAGCACCTCGTTCAATTACCTTACCATCGCCGACTCCTCAATTACAGCACACGTATTACCCCGACTTCTAGCCACCTTGCGAATATTCATAATCGAGGCTTGTTGTCTACGACCTTCCCTTATCATTGTACATTGATCCGCTCTCGTCGCTGCTTCTCGTCATCAGCGCCTTCGTCAGCCTTCAAGATGAACGGCCCTATGCGCAAGAAACCCATCAACCTCCTCCGAGGCTGGCCCTCCCCCTCTCTCCTCCCAGCAGCGGCCCTGTCCGCTGCCGCCGTCAAGACACTCGCCGATCCCGCCACCTATATCCCGGGGCTCCAGTATGGTCCGGACCCGGGCTACCAGCCCCTCCGCGAGTCCCTCGCCCACTGGCTTTCAGCGTTCTACCCCGCGGCCGACCCCGCACCTTCGTTAGCCACCGGCACCGCCGCCTCGGAATCCGACAACAATGGTCGCCACCACCCGCCCGACGCCCGTCGCATCTGCGTCACGGGAGGTGCAAGCCAGAATCTCGCGTGCATCCTGCAGTCCTTTACCGATCCGCTGTATACGAAGAACGTATGGATGGTCGCACCGTGCTACTTCCTTGCCTGTCCCATCTTTGCCGACGCCGGGTTTGACGGACGCCTCAAGTCGGTTCCTGAGGACGATGACGGGATCGATATTGAATATCTGAGGAAGGGACTCGAAGCCGCAGGGAAAGGAGGCGACGAGGTAAGCCCAGTCCACTTAAAGGGTCCCCCCCTCACGGTTATCACGATTCTCATCATAAGAAAAGTCGTCGTAACAGTGAGGGTGATACGAATAACGCTCACTAACAGCGAACAGCGCTTCAAACAAGCGAAGAAGAGGAAGCTCTACCGCCACGTCATTTATCTCGTCCCAACATGCTCCAACCCAACCGGAAAAACAATGTCTCTCACCCGTCGCTACGAGCTCGTCGCCCTCGCTCGCCAGCACGACGCTCTCATCATCAGCGACGACGTCTACGACTTCCTCCAATGGCCCGTGACCTCCTACGACACCGCCCCAGGCCCTTACACCCCGGAGATGCGCCTGCCACGCCTCGTGGATATCGACCGCGCCATGGGCGTCCCGGACGCCTCCTTTGGCAACGCGGTCTCCAACGGCTCCTTCAGCAAGATCGTCGGACCCGGCGTGCGAACGGGCTGGGCTGAGGGGAGTCCGGCCTTCGCATACGGCCTGTCGCAGACGGGGTCGACGTGCAGCGGCGGCGCGCCAAGTCAGCTATCTGCGATGCTGGTCGCGGAGCTCCTCATGAGCGGAGAGCTGCAGAGGCATATCGAAGAGGAAACAAGGCCTGCGCTGGCGAGGCGGCACCGGGCCTTGATGGATGCCATTGCGAAGTATATCCAGCAGCCACTGGGCGACGGGGTCGTGGTTCGGGAGTCTGCTCTGAATGGAGCCAGCGTGTATGGCGGGTATTTCGTATGGTTCAGTTTGCCGGAAGGCATGTCAAGCCGGGAGGCCGCAGTCAGGGCCAAGGAGACCGAGGAACTGGTCATTGGCCACGGTGGTCAGTTTGAGGTCCACGGGGACGAGGAGTCTGCAAGGTTTGATAGGGAGATTCGGCTATGTTTCTCATGGGAGCCGGAGGAGGACGTCGTCGAGGGTGTGAAGAGACTCGGTGGTGTGTTGAGGGCGATGAAAGATGGCGTTCAGTGGAAGTTGACAAGCGGAATTGATGTCGATAACGTAAAGTAGTTGAACAGGGCTCTGTCCACGCATGGCTCTGGACCAATGAGGGTTGAGGAGGTCGTGGAGGCACGACATCAAACCGATATGCCAAGATAGAATAAGGTAGCTCATATACAGGAAAGACAATATAAGTCCTGCACCGTTGGTTTTCCACGACTTGAGCGTCTGTTTACGTCTCTCGGCCATTGTATTTGGGTATAGAAAATGTAAGTAGACCAGCCCCCACACCTTATTATCTTCCACTGTTGACGAGTCTACCGTGGGACCAATACTCGCGATTCTGTGAATTAGCCAGCGTACCTTCCACATCTAGTCGGGCAATCGATGCCATGTTTAAATGGTGTAGGGCTTTTCGTCCGTAAAGATCAAGTGAGGCTTCCGTTTGGCGAGGTCCAGAATCGTTTCAGCAAAGACGCCGTTGGCCCCTGGTCCATGTTAGTACGGTATATATGCCACTGGGGTCAATGTTGGTTCTTACAAGCAAACCAGCTCCCTATAGATTGTTGTCAGCATTGGATCAAGTGTTGGGTTACTGAGGCGCGTGTCGTCACTTACTGGTAAAGGAGGAAATGTGGTTGACATCAACACTCTCGTGGACCAGGCCGAGTCGAGCGGAGCGGAGAACCAGGTCAAGACATTCAGTAATCTCCTCGTCGTTCTCGGTGGTCTGCGCCTGTATTAAAAGACTCATCGGCCAGGCATTTGACAAGCCAATGTGAGGGCCTGTACAATGTCAATAGGCCGGTCTCGTGTCTCACAGCAAATGACTACCTACCTCCGATTCCGTGGAAGGCCGCGCCTTCAAGAAAGTACGGGTTGCCAGTCTTCTCCAGGAGCATCTTCCTTGTGTTCTGGTACGTCTGATCATCCGGCGGCAAGAATCCCATCAAGGGCAGAGCAAGCAGCGAAGGATAGTTTGCGTCATCCATCAGAATGGAAGAGCCGTATCCGTCGACCTCGTAAGCAAAAACGTTTCCGTACTTGGCATGCTTGATGACTCCGTTATTCCAAACGCCATCCGTGATGGTCTGGCTCCATTTCAGCACCGTCTGCGCAAGAACGTCTTTGCCGGCCGCTTTCAGCACTGCCGCTGTACGCTTCAGCTCCACGGCCATCATGGCGTTCGCCGGGATGAAGAAGCCAAGGATGGCAGCATCGTCACTGGGCCGGAAGGCTGATCTGACAAGACCGGTGCCGTTGTTCAAGGGATTGCCGACACCCCTTAGGTTCAGAGTCTCGGTGCCTGCGTCCGTCCTACGCTGGAAAGTATACTCATTCTTCCGGTATCGGCCCGTTTCCGGGTCGAACGTTGAGCGGGACTGCTCTTCCAAAACTTTGAGTAAAGTCTCCAGGGCTAGGAACCATCTTCCCGTCAAGAAATCCTTTGAATCAGTGTGGTCGTAAAAGTCGTTGCCCAGCGCCAAGAAATGCGCCAACGAATCCAGCTCGTACTTGCATTCAAAAACAAATGAGGGTTCGTATATGGGGTGCACAGTATCGTCCTGTCCGTTGTGACTCGGCTGGAGGTTCGCAATTGGCGGGGGTTGAAACGCGTTGCAGTACGGCGACTCGATAACGTATTCGGCCTGGGTGTTGATGGCGCCGAGGATCAGATTGAAGACAGCCGGGTCCTTCTTGGCCAACGGTTGGTAGGGAGAGAGTTGGTTCGTGCTATCACGCAGCCATTCGGCAATGATATCGCCGGTGATGATGAAGGACTGTGGTCCCTCCCATTTGCCCTCGTCACGAAGACTGCGGCCGTTCAGGTCAACGAAGCGTGTATCGGTTCCGTCGGTGTGGAATTTGACGGTGGTATCGGTCGTGGAGGGAAATGCGTTTTCGAAGAGGCGGGCCAGGTCGGGGTCCTTCATTCGAGACGTGACATCCTCAATGACTTTCTCGATGGCATCAGAGGAGAATGTACGGCATCGAGGGTCGGGTCGCTGGTAGGGTAAGGCGAGGGGACCTTCGCTCAGCGGTTTACTGGCAGCAGGCTTGTCAGTACTAGGTAGATCGAATCTCTCAGCAGGGAGTCAGAGTTGACTCTGCGACTCACTGGGGATAGGTAGAGTATTGCGCGTAGTTGGGGCATGCTGCACGATCGTCACCAGTCAAGGGCTCTTGCGCCGCGTAGGCCTGGCCGGCCAAGAGGCCAAGGGAAACCAGCAAATCAATAACGGATCGTAAAGACATGATCACGAGGCATGAAAGACAGAAGAAAAGGAACGCGAAGCGTATGTTCTTATGAGTGCCTGGGGAAATTCTTGCAAAGAACGCAGGCGGGCAGCCAATGGGGCAATATATGTACGAAGCAGAGCAATGTGCGGACGTTGAAACGAACACGGCAGATGGAAAATCGGCCGAAAGCTCTCCCAAGGCAGCCAGGTGTCCGTAGCGTCAGTGTGAACCCTTGCAGGAGCTCTCACAGGGGCTGGCCGTTTTAGCGTTGCATCTTGATTGATACAGTGGGTAAGCAAAAGTTCCGCCGAATGCCGAAATCACCCGATCCAGCCCCCCAAAGTCAGCTTCTTTAACTTTACAAAACAATAGTGTTTAATATACAATAGTAAAACTATATCCGTATAGATAAATATAATAGTGTTGACGCGTGTGTAAAGTCGCGACGCGAGGTGGGGATTCGGCTAGACTTTTGCTACCCCACTCTAACCCAGGCCCACTGCGGGGTTACGCGGGGCACTTCCGGCGTCCGCACCGCCATCTCCTACACACACAACCTACCGGTACGGGCCGGCGCTGCTGGTTGCATGAGCCAAGATAGGTTACCATCATTGCCAGTCCCTAATAACGAAGGAGCTTCGAAACGAATGCCCATCATTTACATGAAGAGCGGACTTGTTACATGTTGATGATTATTGCTAGGTAGTATAGCCACTCTGGTCCCACGAAGTGACCTCTGTTATTCGATTTACCACCCCTTTTTTCCTTCACTAGAACTATTCATTTCCGAAAAAGAATCTTGTTTTAACTTTGCAAGACGCCCGGGAGCAAGTCACAAAACTCCCCTGTAACATTTCATGTCTGGTCGAGTTGAAACATCCATTGATGCCAGCTCTTCGCCGCTAGCAACATGTGGTGGTGATGGTTGAGAATACATCTCTTTTCATGCCGACTTGATCAGATAGGTCTGATTTCACAACTGAAAACATCTAGAGGATATCACTTTTTCGCGAAGAAAGACATGATGTTGCCCTGCCCCTTGGGTGCCGCCTTCTTGCCCTTAGAAGGCTGGCTTCCTGAACTAGGCGTAGATGAAGATTTAGCCTTAGACGGCGGCGGAGGAGCTTCGTCTTCGGAAAACTCTTCCCAAGCGGGCTCTTGAATGGTCACTAATAGTACAAAGTCAGTATCGCCAACGTGAAATAAAGTGGACTTGAGCTTACCCAGATAGCCCTGGTCATCCATGATCTGCTTCTTCTTCATGACTCTCCGCTTGCCACGTCTGCGGCCGTCGCCAGTGCTAGAGACAACTTCCGTAGGCTCGGGTTCGGGCTGAGCCTCTGGCTCCGGCGCCTCCTCCATCGGATCGTCCGCGGATTCCGCCTCCTTCTCCTCGGGCTCATCTTCATCGCTCTCCTCCATCATCTGCTTCAGCTCAGCCTCGCGGTCTTTTCTTGACTTTCGTCCTGGGTTAGCCGAGGATCTGGCAGCTGGGATGTCTTCATCGTCTTCGCCATCATCAGACAAGGCAGCTGGTGTTTCTCTTTTCGGCGCCTCCGTTGTTTCGGTTGAGACCTTTGCCGCCGCTTTGGCGAACGACGACATGATGCCCGAGGAGCCGCTTTTCTTTAATGCAGCCGGTGGTGCCTGCTTCTTGGTCCCCGCTGTGGATGACGGGGCATCCTTGGCAGAAGTCTTTGTGTCTTGCTTGGCCGGCTCTGTCTTTGGCTCGTGGGATGCGGGCTTGGCTACAGACGGTGCGAGGTCCTTAATAGACTTGGTTGCTGGCGCTGCAGACGCGGCTGCCGGTACGGGTCGTCCCTGGCGATCGCGCTTCCGGACATTAGGGTTGGTAATGGTACCGTACGTCTCAGCCATAGATGTGCTATCGCCAGCCGACTGCTCCTTGATCTGCTGCGTGATATCCGCCAGCATCTGCAACTCCTAAGCAAAAAGTCAGCCTTGACTCGAGAAAGGTTTGATCAACATACTGTGGTGGGATGCCTAGCCAAGCTGTAGATGTGAAAGGAAGACACTTCTTCGTATGTTGCCAATACATCTAGAAGGGGGTCAGTGAGTCAAGAAACGTGGCTGTATAAGCAAACATTGGACGTACCCTTCAGACGATCACCAGGGACCAAGATCAGGGAGTGGGTGGTGACCTCATCAGACAAAGGCTCGGCATCAGGAGGAGAGCTGCTCATCTCAACGTCTCCATCTTCTTCAACCTTCACCGCCTTCTGTATACCATAGACCAGATAGGTGGCGTGGATTGTGCCAGGACGCATGCCATTCTGTGACCGATGGAACTCATAGAGCATCCTGAAAAAAATGATGAGTAACTGAACGATACAATGAAAGGAATTGATGAAACAGACCCCTTCGCCGTATTGACGTGCACTTTCAAAGCTCTGCTGAGGCTTCGATATGTAACCTAAGCAAGTAAGTATCAGTATCTGAACCAACTATCTGTTGTCAACAGGGGGTGCTCATAGCTTACGATCTTCTCCTCGCTCAGGATCTGATCCGCCAGGTATTTCTTGAATTCGTCCATGACGAGACCATCAGAGTGGAAAATATATATCTTGTTCAGTGAAATTGGTGCTGTAAAGGGGACCGAAATCGCAATCAAGCCTTTTGCCGAGAGTTTGAAAATGCTTCCCCGTGAAGAAGGGACGGTTGAGTTGGTGAGACGCGTCCGGACGATAAAGACGCGGTTCACACTTACTCTTAATTGATTTTATGCTCACGCCCCCCATCCTTGGGCCTCTCAGTACAGCACAATTGGTCAGCTCGATGACGTTACCCACTTAAAGTGCGCCCCCGACCTTTAGATCCCTGACTCCAAGCGCGCCGCCACTCGACGCGACTTTTACATCCTCCCCCAGATAATATCTAATTACAGGTCTCATTGTGCTCGTTTCTTCCTAACATCCCTGAACAAGGCATGCAGAGATTTCTAACCCGTAACCAACCTCAAACTTGGAACCTCGTAAGCACACTGTCTCTCTCCATCATCCACGATGACCGATTTCGAAGACGTACCCGACTCGACAGATTGGCTCTCGACACCCCTCCCAGCCCTCTCAGCAGTCGAAGCCTCCTTGCGCTGCCAAGTCTGCAAGGACTTTTTCAAGACGCCCATGCTCACATCCTGCTGCCACACATTTTGCTCGCTATGTATCCGCCGCGCCCTCTCCAATGACGGAAAGTGCCCCCTCTGCCGGGCTTCAGACCAGGAGTTGAAGTTGAGGAGTAATTGGTCCATGGAGGAGGTTGTTGAGTCGTTCGTCAAGGCAAGGAAGGATACCCTGCAGTTTGCGAAGACAACGGGTCAGCAATCGACGATTCGCGACTTGCCTAAGAGGAAGGTGGCCGAGGAGGAATCTGCGTCAGGCGAACATCAGCCCGAAACCAAACGACTGAGGAGTTCTGCGAGGCTCAGCAGAACAAGATCAGGGCAGACAGCGGCTGCAGCGATAGATGAAGAAGCCGAACTCGAGCAACCGCTCTGTCTGGACGAGGACGACGAGGCGGAGGACGAAACGTTTGGTAACTTAATCTGTGTTATCGAGCGTATTCCCCATGGTTCTAACACATATTTTCTAGCTCCCGACGATGGCCTCGTCCCATGCCCTATATGTAATACCCGCATGAAGGAAGCGCAAGTCTTTCGTCATCTCGACACCTGCACCGGCGCGAAAACCCAGACAACAGCCCGCAGCAGCTCCAGCTGTACACCCACCCCGAACACACCCGCTCGCGGCGGCCACCGATCGACCCCGGCGCCCGATCGACTCCCTGCCCTCGCATATTCCATGCTCAAGGATGCCGCCCTTCGGAAGAAGATGTCTGACCTGGGCCTCTCAACGACCGGAACACGCCTTCAGCTGGAGAAACGGCACAAGGAATGGGTCACGCTGTGGAATGCCAACTGTGACTCTGCGCGTCCTAAGCGTCGCGCCGAGCTGCTCCACGATCTCGACATATGGGAGCGCACACAAGGGTCCAAGGCATCAATGTTTGTACGTTCCGGGGTGGCGGTCAAGGACAAGGAGTTTGATGGTACGGCATGGGCGGCAAAGCACGACACTTCGTTCAAGGATCTAATTGCCAATGCGCGCAAGTCGAGAGCGCAAGCCAAATCAACAACAGAGGAGGCGACGAAACCCGTCTCTGTAGACGACTCGCGTATTCAAGCACCACATTCTGTGACGGATCCTTCGGGTAGAGATGTCGTGATGGTTGACTTGACGGAACGACCGGGGGATACCGCACAAGCTCCGAAGACTGACGAAGATGACCTAAGAGACGAGATGGAAAGAAACCAAAGGTATGGTGTGGAAGATAGTGAACCTCCCATAAAGTCTCAGCCGCCAACGGCAGCGTGTTACTTGCACGGTGGCTTATCAGAACCGCAAATACCAAGCAGTTGAGAGGCACGGTGATTTTGCGTTCCGGCGTTCATGACATGGCGTTTCGTTATTATACCCTTCAGATATACGGAATAAGCCATACAAAGCTTGCTTAAATACAAACCAAAACGCCCCAATTTGAAAACCTCAAAACCCAAGTTGTTACAGAGGGAATTTTCTACTGCGCGAGCAGTGGCTTCTCCCGCTCATCAAGCCCCAGCTTCTCCAAGCTGTCCGCTGTTTCCCCTGTCGGCGTCTGCATCTTCTCCTTCGCGTCCTCTTTTTCCGCGGGTTCCGTGACAGGCGGTCGCAGCTCCGCCATCTCCTTCTCGAGCCGGTGCCGCATCTCTTCGGCCTCTTTCGTCTCCTGCGCCTCCTTCTTCGCCCGCTCCACCGCTTCCTCCTTCTCTCTTTCCTCACGCTCCATAGCCTCCAGCTCGTCGTCGACCTCGAGCTCGTCCACCGGCGCTGCGCCGGCCTCGGAAATGACCTTGCCGACCTCGTCCACCTCGCCCATCTGCTCGCGCAACCTGTCGACAACGTCGCCTACGCGGTCCGCGCCGCCGATCTTCTCGTTGAGACCCTTGAGCGCGCCAGCGCTCGCCTCCATGACATTGACGAGCTGCACGTTGTCCCTGGCCTCCTGGATCCGCGCCGCCACGTCCTCAAGCTGATTCAGTGTCGCGAAGCGCTTCTCCAGCGTCGCCTCGGTCATTTTCTTTGACTTCAGTGCTGCCAGCGCTGCAACTTTATTCTTCTTAGAGACGGCGTCCTTGGCCGTGGCCGTGAGCTCGTCAACACGCCGTGTAAGGAGTTTCGTCTGTTCCTTCATGTCGGCGATCAGCTCCTTGAGCGAGGAGACCGCTGCGTCCTCTTCTGTAATGACGGACTCGTCCTCGTCTGCGCTGCCTTTGATCTTGACGACCTGTCCGTCGTAGACCACGATTCTCTTGTCCCGTGAGAGGAATACGAGGAGGATGTCGACGTCCGTTTCGGATAGCCTGCGATCCTGGACCAGTGTGTTCGCGAATGTCTTGCGGAAGTGCGACTTCGTGTATGTCCTGTCGAATCTCGTGTCGGACGATGTTACTTTCTCGGCAAGGCTCTTTGCCGTCGTTTCAACGTTCTTGATAACAACAAATCTCCCTTGTGGCAGCTTATCCTCCCCTGAAGTTGACTTCCCGCCGAATCCGAGCTGCCCTGCCGCCCATGACACCACAGTCCACGATACCTGTCCCCATGTTTTCCCGGCGTAAATGCTCTCCTTGGAAGTTAGAAACTCCTTGATCGGGTATAGGTCCTTCTCATCCACAGCCTCCCTCACAACCGTACCCAGTGCCAGAGGGCGGCCGAATTGTTTGCTTTCGAGTGACCGCACGAGATTCTCGTCAACATTCACGACGAGAATGTTGGGTGCCGAGACCTGGGATGCTATCATGCCTTCCCATGCGGCGCGGGCGAGAGCCTGGCGCCAGGCACTGACGTTTGCTTGGAAGCCATCCGGATTGAGGGTTCGTTGGGCGCGGAAGTCGGAGTAAAGGGCGGGTAGACGGGCTCTGGATGGATAATGGCATGTTAGTGACTTGTGCATTTTCAAAATTGGGGCCTGCGAAGGGCCCAAAAAGGTTGCATACTTGCGAAAGTTTTCGTCTCGTTCAACGAGGAAATCGGCCAGCTCTCCCATCCTGGTTGAGTGACGTTGAGGTCTCAATGCGGCTTTGGTGATGTAAATCTCAAGGACCCTTGCTCTGAGGTCGGCTCTACCGATGCAGAGTTTTTTCTACAAAAGAAAACGAGCCTTGGTAGTCGGTAGACGCAGCGGCAAAGATATATCTTTTGGGTCAATCCCGAAAAATCGCAATTCGAAGAAGAGAGACCTTATGACTTTCCAACGATGCCACAGGAACCGCGCAGCTTGTTCGGCGGGACGGTGGGGGATAGTGCCTTATCGGCGGGCACCGGACAGTGTGGTCCCCCTATCGGTTGCCTATGAGATTCAAGGATCCCTGGCAACACCTTTGATAGGTACGTACCTAAACATAGGTACCCAGATGGACAGATGAATAAATGTCACCCCATCAAATTGAATCTTGGTTTCATACCAATTGCGGAACCCGTTGATGCGAATGGAGAATGCAAAGAATTATGATACTCAAGAGAGTCCTTGCACCATCTAAGCACATTCCATGATCTGTGTCTCGGCCGTATCTAGGCCCGGGGAGCGAAAGCTGCAGAGGCAAACAATCACGGCTCTGTGGCATAGACGAAAAGGCAAGTATAAATGCTATTAATCCGCTTCGTAAACGCATCTGCTACTTTATCCACCCAGCGCTGTACCCGTCTCCGCTGTCATCGCTCGTCTTAGCCGAACTCATCCTGTGTCGATCCGTCGGCCTTTTCCCTGGCAGGCGACGTCACATCATGCAGCGGCGCAGTCTCGAGGCTCGCCGCCGGCACCGGCCCACGCCCCATCATGCTCGCTCTCCTTGACCTAAGATCCAACGCCTCGCTCTCCTCGTCAACAAGATCTTCCATACCCTGCAAAGGCGATTCATGGCCACGGCTGTCCACGTCGAGCTTCTCGTCGAGGTCGTGTTGCAGGCCACTCACGAACTCATTGGCGAGGTTGAACTTGGAGATGCCGTGCTCGTGCGGTAGCTCCGAGTATATCCGCCCGGCCTCATTGAGGCACCGTTGGGACTGAATATACTTTTTCTGGGTGTGCCATGCCTCTCCAGCAAGGATACACCACATGGCCGACTTGCGCTTCCGATGACCCCACGCACCGGAACCAACGCCCGGTTTCGAGGCGTAGCAGACTGCAAGGCGTTCCTTCATGAGGGCGTCGCCGACGGGGCCGAGGGTCTTTGAATCAAGAAGGCGAATACCCCACCTCACAGCATCGTCGACACTACTTCGGCCCCTAAGCCGCAGAAGTTCAATACCCAAAGTCAGAGACCGCAGTGCGCCAAAGGGGAAGCTGCAGCGTGTGTGGTATGAGTAAAATGCCGCCTCCAACATTTGGTCGGTCGCCTCGGCTCGAGATTTGGATGACAAACTTTGGGGCATGATAAGGAGACTAGCGGCAGCCATCTCGTTAGCTGCTGCGTGATACTTCCATGCTTTGGCATCGCTGAAGTCGGATCTCAGGAGGTCGTAAGTCGAGTGTGCCAGTTTCCAGTCTCTCAGCATGAAAGCGAAATCGGCAAGCTTCCGCATGATCGCCTCGGGTGCATCTGGACGATAGAATCCGACTGTGTCGTAGGCACTGGACGAGCTGCTACCTCCCACCACCGAGTTTCGTGAACTGCTGCCGAAACCGCCCCATTTCCTCGACAGATTCATGAACCTTCCCGTAATACCTCTCCTACGAGATGCCACTTGATCATTCCAGAGCGAGACATGACGCTCCATGGTGGGAATGATGGACTGTGTGACCATCTCCCTCACAAACGTCCGAATCGCTGTCGCGTCCGACTCAAAGATGTACCTCGTTGGGTCTTCGAAATCTTCCTGGTCTTCGCTGTGCCGGATATCCGCCATTTCTTCGGCTGCCGACATCCAGTCGCTCCTGGGCAGTGGTATGCTGTCGTCGTCGGTCTCGGCGCTCTGTGTGCTTCGTAATCGGAGCAAATGACAATGCAGGCCTAGGTGGCGCTTCATCTGGTCGAAAAGAGCGAGTGATCGAGTGATATCGTCACGCTCCTCATCGTGTACAAGGACGTAGTATCGAAGGTAGTCCCCGTCAACCCAGACGGGCAGCTTGTTCTCGCCGGAGCTCGTGTCATTGTATAACTTGCGCAGGTCTTCGATAGGTGAAGGACTGCGTGAGCTGATAGCAATCACACACGCGACGGGGTGCGCAAAAGTCTCGTGAGGTGCAACAGGTATGCCGGAAAGTAGCCGCCGTAGGTATAATGAGTAGTAAGGTGAGGTAGCCTCAATATCCAAACCTTGTCTTGTTACACCGTGGTGCGCTGTATTGAGAAATGAGTCTTCAGCGTAAGAGAGGTGACGGTCGACTACGGCCTCGACATCCTCGTAGTTGCTCTTCCACCCTGAGGCGGGCCCGAATTGCCCGTTGGCAGCAGCATGCTGCGGCCCTTTCGCGCCGCCAGCATCTGGTGGCTCAATATTGTCCCCGAATTTGACAAACCGAACAGAGAAGTCCTCCCACGACCTGCTGGCACCGTTGCTATCTCTGATTGTGACTTTGCCCTGTACCTGCTCCCCGAATGGACGCAAAAGTTCCCACAGGCCGCTCTTGAATCCTTTGTCATTTGCCAGCTCTTCCGTGTCCGGCGAGGCATAGATGGCAACATGGGGCACGTAAGCCTTCATAATCAGATTACGCGGGTCACCCGGGCTATCGGAAGCGGTCTCAATGAGTGAGCGCCCCGCTGGACCCCCAAAGACTGAGCCGGAGAGTGGACGCGCCGGCGAGCCCCTTCCCATGGGGGAACCGGATCGCGATCCCGGGGGAGTCAGTGTCGAGGCAAAGAGCGGCGCGACAGAATGATTCGATCTCCGGTACGGCAGATTGATTTCGGATTGCGTCAGTGGCTGGCCATCCGGTAAGGACTGCCTCTTGGGCAGTCTCGTGGTGGAGGCCGCCATCGGCAACGCCTGGAGCGGATCGATAGGCGACGCATCGTTGTCCGGTGACTGCATGGGGAAGGCTTGATGAGGTGTATCAGTCGAGGCCGACTGATACCCTTTTGCCTTGGTCTTGTCGAAAGCCGCGCGTTTGCTGTTCTAGCATTCGTAGGTCCGTCGGATGGCTTTGGGCGTCGTGCTTTAAAGGGGGGTCGCGAGTGGATCGCAGAAATAAGTGGTTGGTCGGATCAGTCTAAAGCTAAAGTCAAGGTCAGCAATTTTGGTGTCTACGCCAGACAGGCGAGTGTAGTAGTAACGACGTACAGTGACTGTTCCATGACGATGCTATAAGGTACGCCGCAGTATGGCCAAATCACCTTTCAGCGGTCGTCACTGTCGATTCTCACTCGACACTCTGATAAGTGACTAGCGCCCCGTCACCTGCACATCCATTCGTGGAGGAAGGGTGGGGGTAGGGTACCCTTGTCGTTCCGCGGCCCCTGCTTTTCTGGGTGCGTCTTGGACGTTCAGTGGTGTCGACAGCTTGGACGGGGACATCATGAATTAACAACTGTCTATCTGAACCCAGCGCAACTTCTTCCACGAAACCCCTTTTCCGAACCCTACGCTGACGAGCGCACGTCTGCGAAAATGCCTTCTGATCTTTCATCATACCTAGCAACGCGCTACTTGGTAGCAGATCCGAAACCCACCAAGAAGCGCAAGCGCAAGCAAACCACCGAGAACCAAGGCCTCATCATCGCAGACGACGACGACAGCGGTTGGGGCAACTCGACAAAACAAGACGATGAAGCAGATGCAGGAGCCGCGCTCGTATCAGGTACATCAGCAGAATTCCGACGCACAAAGAAATCAAACTGGAAGACTGTCGCCGCCAGCGGCAACAGCACCGCAAAGCCAAAAGACGACGACGGTGCCGCCGCGGCGGACGCGATCCTCGCCTCGGCGGCAGCAGAAAACGCCAGAGCCGCACAAGCAGACGATGAGATGCCCGTCATTGAGGGAGGCGAAGAGGCAGGGGTGGTCAAGATGAGCGACGGCACGCACGCAGGCCTGCAGAGCGCCGCCGCCGTGTCGGCGCAGCTGCGCCGCAGACAGCAGGCGGAGGAGGCCGAGTTCGCCAAGCTACGGAAACACGGCAAAGAGGAAGAGACTGTATATCGTGACGCGACAGGCCGGCGGGTTGACGTGTCGATGAAGCGCGCCGAGGCCCGCAGACTGGCGGCTGAAGCAGAAGAAAAGGAGCGGCAGGCCAAGCTGGCGCCAAAGGGTGACGTGCAGCTCGAGCAAGCGCGGAAGCGCAGGGAGGCGCTCGAGGACGCCAAGCTCATGAAGTTTGCGCGGACAGCGGACGACGAAGAGATGAACAGGGAGCTCAAGGATCAGGAGCGTTGGAATGATCCCATGGCGCAATTCATGAGTGAGAAGACGGGCGCCAGTGGCGAGAAGGGTAAAAAGGGCAAGAAGAGGCCGATATACGCTGGCGCTGCGCCGCCGAATCGTTATGGTATCAAGCCGGGATACAGATGGGACGGCGTGGATAGGAGCAACGGCTTTGAAGGGGAACGATTTAAGGCGATTAATCGTAGAGAAAGGAACAAGGGGCTGGATTATGCTTGGCAGATGGATGAATAGTACGGCGCCTAGTTGTAACCATTGTTTGAGAAGCCTAAACCACCACCTGGATAACCCCCGCAGCAAGTCTGGTTTAGCGACCGTAGCAATCGTAGGAGTAGGAGTCTTGCTAATCTGGAGGTATGTGGGGTATCCAGTTGGAACGACAAGAACTGAACCAGAAAGCAAGGTTCGTTCCCAAGACCATATGGGAAGCCAGCCCAACCTTACAGGGCTGTTCATCGGTTGTTGTAGTCCAACTTGTGTGCATTGAAAAGCCGCCTATACCTTCTAAGCGCTATATGTAGGAGCTTGCCAACGGTGAATGTACGGCTGACATCCAGCAGCTGCTCACAGTATCTACTACTCGGTTGCGAATTTAAACTCCACTGGGATGTTGAACCTGCCGAGAGGCACTTGCAATTGTGCAGTCTCGTAGTGTAAAGCCTAATTGCCAGGGCCACTAGGTCGGCTTGCGACGTAGAATCTTGTCAGGCCCATATGCGCAATTTTCTTTGACGAGCTTGATCCAATCCTTGCGATCCATTTGGCCAGGGCCGTCACCGATACGGCCTTGGAATCTCCTCATGAGATTGCCGATACTGATGCCACCGGGCAACTCGGGCAAGGCGTCCACAATCTCCCAAGCCTCAATAGGACCATTGGGAGACCCAGCACGGGGAGCCGGGGAACCCTCTGGCAGAGGCGAACCAGGCTTGGAACCTTCCACACTGTCAGCAGATGCAGAGTGATTGCAAAGACGTGAAGCTTATGCTTACCAGATGTTGCGGGCATGGGACTACCGGCCCTCGAGCCGACAGGTGTGCCTCTCGCTCCACTGCCGACAAGCTTGATCTTCTTCTTTCTCAACTGACCATCCGACATCTCTCCTCCGGTCGCTTCTCCGTCGCTCATGGCACCCTTGCCCAAGTTGTTCTTCAGACCGGCCGAAGGCGTTGACGAGCGACTTTGATGGACTGAGGTTGCAGCGTGCTTCTTGAGTTTCTTTCGCGATGATTCATTGCCGCTGGACTCGGATAGATTAGGAGAGCCAGGGCGCTTCAGGGACTTGCCCTTCTTGAGAGCGTCTGTGTGCTTCTGTCGGCCAGACGGGGTTGTGTTACCCTTGGATGAGACGCCCGATGCTGTCTTATCCTTCCCGTCTGCATCCTTATCTTTGTCCTTGTTCTCATCATCTTTCTCCTTATCCTTGTTTTCTTCCTTCTGCTTCTCCTCATCCGAGTCATCGTCGCTCTACAGAAGCAGTCAGCAAAGATAAGATGTCGAGTGTACTTTAGGAAATCTTACTGATGACGACTCGAAAGGATCATAGCCGCTTGAATCAGACTGGTAGATAGTCTCTTTTTCTCGCTTGATCAGAGCCTTCTGGGTCTTCTTGCCCTCCTTGCGACGCTCCTCCTCGGCCTTTCTCAACTCGTCCATTTCCTTTTCGACTCGACGTTCGTCGGCCTCGCCGAACAAGTTGGCTCCAAGCTGATCGCGACGAATGCGATCGTTTGCTTCCTTGTATTCCTCATCGTTATCCTGCTCCAGGCCAGGATTCTCATCGTCATCCTGGAACTCGTCGCCCTCCATATCAATCTGATCGTGGTCCATCTTCTCTTCCCTGGAAGCCGCCCTAAAGGTACTGCTCTCCGTCTTGATTTTGGCGGGGCCATAGAGGGCGTGTCTGGTGGCCTCCCACTCTTCTTGTTCGCTCTTCTTCTGCTTGTCTCGCATGTACCATCGCCCAACGTCCGTCTTCTTGCTCATCAAAGCCTCGGCTTCTTCGAGTCTCATGGTGTTGAAATGAGGTTTGGCGGTGAACTTGTACCATTTTTCCAACGGGATAGCAGCAAACTTGCCATCACGAGTAGCGACGAAGCAGACTGTGGTCTCGGACAATGGGGCAACATACGATCCCACCCAGACATTTTTGCCATCGGCATCTTCCAGATGCCAAGGAAGTGCCTCCTCATATCGTAGCTCCTGTTGCTTTTTCTCTTTCTCCGACCTAGGCTGTCGATGGAATTGAACATCTTTCTCCTTCTCCTTTGGCTTTGGTTTCTTATCAGCATTGGGGTCTTTCAGACTGGGTGCGCTCTTCGCTAGCTCAATAGCCCGAACAGCTTCACGATCGGCCTTGATTTGTGCCAGTCGTTCCGCCTCCTTTTCGTCAAGTGGCTGCGGCTCGGCTTGTTCCTGCTTCACTTCGCGACCCGGGGGCGGTTGTCGCGGGTCGCGTCGTTGAAGGGTGACTGGCCGCGTGAACTCCTCCTGGTTTGTAGGATCGATGCCTCTCTTTTCGAGATCGGCTTTGGCGGACGACAGTTTCATGACGTGGTGGCGGACACCGTCTCTCAACGCCTTCTTCGTCGTTACTATCTTGAACTCCCTCACATTCTGGGGCGCAGGGTCAAGCCAGCCACCGTTTGCGGCTCGTCTAGCCTTGATATCGTCTTCGGTCTCGGGTCGCTGGAGGCCATGGTGACCCGCTGCGCCAGGTGACGGTCTAGCTCCCAGCGGGGGACGCGGGGCAGGCGGTCGCAGAGCTCCGGGTCGCTTGCGTGCAACAAGGGGGTCACCGCGAGGTCTTCGCTTGATCGGAGGGGGTCGAGGCTGGCCAGGCTGCGCTGGCTGAGGAGGTTGCTGGCCATTCGGATTCTGACCGTTGGGCAGGCCGGGCGGAGGCGCGCTCATGATGTAGGTGTAGCGAACGATGCGAGTGCCTTAAAGCTCGGAGAGGTTCTCGGACCTATGACGATCCGCGAGGTTGTTTCGACAACGGGCTGCCGTGTTTCCTGTTAGGCCTAAGGCTGGGTGAAAGAATCAGGCGTGATGCCGAGAGGGATCACAACGGCGCGATAGACAGGGACGGGTGACAATAGACACGCTCATACAACGGAGCTGCGAGTATTAATCCTCGTCCAAAAAAAGAAAACCCACCGAAATGCTCTGGCTGGAGGTCGGAAATTCGCGATGGGATAAATCCGGATAAGATCGCGAAGAGGAGGCAGTCGAGGCGATGACAAATGGTAGAGAGCACCTCAGTAGAGAAGGTGCGAGCGGGAAAGGATGATTGGAAGGCGCCCCAGAAACCAGGCCAAGCGCAGGCAGCTTGGGAAGCTTGCAGAAAAGCTAGGTGGTGGGCTGGCTGACTGCCTGGTCGGGGCGCAGGTTTGGTTGTATTCTGTCAGCAAATGTCTGGCGCAAAGTACCTACATGGCGTGGGGCTACAGGACTTGGTGGGTCAATCACAGTGCACAATAATGGGGTTCCCGCCAGCCAAGCTGCATTCAGAACGCGATCCACAAGTGTCTTGGCCTCAGCAGAACGTCATAGCCGTCTGAGTTTACCTACGTTGACGACTGTTGGCCATCTTCGTTTTGATGCCGCATTGAAAGCCACTAGATTTATCGATGATGCAGAACATTCTGTACGGCTTCTGAGCTCTTGTTGTCTGATGAGCCCAGCCCCAAAGCCCGATTTGAAACCCAATACAAATTATACCGGCTTCCTGTATGTAGTGTTTTTTCTTAATGAACAAAAATATCCAATAGACTATGCGCGCAAGGGAAACTTGGTCGGATGAGTCTGACTTACAATGTTTTCATTCACCTTCGTCTGATTCTCTCCCATGGTTTTATTTTTGGAGACCAAAGTCGAAGGTTAAGCTCAAAGGTATATGGGGTGATGCCTGGGAAACAGTGTGGACGCAAGGGACATGGAAAATATCCGTAGTCATAATAAGGACAAGAGAAGTACAGTTAGAGCCGTGCTTTTTTTAATTTTTTTTAGCCGTCGCCTGTTGTCTTGTCAGCAATAGTTTAGCTACTCAAATCAATCCCTTGCAGTGTGTTTAATCAACATGGCTCAAATCCAGGGCTGCAAGTAGTGTAATTGCATGCCACAAGAACAATTCATTCCACGGATAATCTATTGGTCTCGACCCTGCAGCTGTTCCACATCCAAGTACAGTGCCAACGCCCCTATATTACCTGAAACTTCACCGTTTGCATTGACTTCGCACAGTGGCCCCTCATCGCAGAATGTACCTGCCTTCCCCCACGTACAGCTTTCACCTTGCTTTCGGTTCCATGTATCCGTACACAACCTCACCTTACAAGGTCGAGACTATCAGCAACCGAAGGCCGATGCTCAGCTACCTGCCCATTCACAACACCTTTCCACGCTACTTCATCACTTCGCGATTCCACACTTTCCCCCAAACCATGCATTCTGGGCGAGTTTGACGAGGTAGGTTACCTGGCGCTACTTGCAAATATGACTGATTGCTCATCCTTCTCCAAAGCATCACACCACACTTAAAGCGTGGCCAATTCTACTGCCTCACATGAGAACGGCCTCGAGGGAAATTTCACCATGCAAAACAGCCCGCGAGGACCTGGTCTTGGCCAGTCAGGTGGTTCTCATACCAACGGCCTTGAGGACCACCTGCGAAACCTGATCCTCACCAACGGAACCCCGGGAACCGGCCCAACTCACTTCCCTAATGCCCCGCGAACGACTGCGCCTCCCTCTAGCGATGGCCCTGTCAATGATCCTGTTGTCTTTCATCCTGAAGATCCGTCTAGCCTCGCGGCTACCTTGAACGGAAAACCTGCCTCGCCCAAGGTTGCTAGAAAGCGCCCAAACCAGGCCCAGAGGCGCCAGATGAATGCTCAGTTGGCCATTCCCATCGACCCTCGCCCGCCACCACCCACTCAACATGTACGTCCATTCTCGGTATCTCCTAACTACCCGTCCCATAATCCTGGATTCTACAACACCAGAGGGAGACACCCCCATCATCACCCAGACCCCCATCATGGACCCGGGCAGACGGGAGGCCCCTACGGCGGTGATCAACCTCGTTCGCCCAGACAAAATGGATATCACCAGCCTGCAAATCAAGAAGCATATAGAAGTCATCAAGATCAGCACCTTAGTGGCCGTCAAGACAATGGGGCGCCACGCTATTCACGAAACTTCCATGGGACGCTATATAGTCCCCGCGGTCAACACCACCAAGCTCGGCCCGAGGAGTTAGAGAACCAGGTCGCCTACCTAGAGGGACTTTGCGGCACGCTTGTTGCGGGCGCCGAGATTGAACGAGGGGAAATTGCCGAGAAGGAAGCTTTCCGTGTCAAGATTGAACAGGTTTGTCGGGCCGCAATCACCGAGTATGAGGTGACTCAAAATGGCTTGGGCAACTTCCCTTCGCCCTCTGTCCAACTGAAATGCTTTGGCAGTCTTTCTTCTGGTTTCGCGACGAAAGCATCAGACATGGATCTCGGTCTGGTTTCTCCACTTTCACAGCCCCAACCGGATGCCGCCAGCTCTCCGATTCCCAGACTTATTGAGAAGGCGTTTCTTGACCTCGGTCTTGGTGCTCGCCTCCTCACTCGAACACGGGTGCCTATAATCAAGCTTTGCGAAAGGCCCCCCGAGAAGTTGCAGTTGGATCTGCTAGATGAGCGCGAAAAGTGGGAGAAGGGTATCGTCGACACTGAGCACGCGGACGTTGCAGACGAGGACGAGAACGTTGAAATGGAATCCCACGTCAAAGAGGGAACCGACGAGTCGACAGATGATCCAGCTAGTCAGAAAGCGGATGCTTTCTCTCTTACTGCTGCGTCTACGAACGAGCCTAGGCTGCCGACGATCCGCCAATCCGATAGCCAATCCCTATCTGCTTATTACAACGTTGCGAAAAGGGCATTGAGAAAGATAGGAGGCCGAGACATCACGCTTTCGAATTGCAGGGAGCTTGCAGAAGAGGACTACGCCATACTTAACAAAGTCTGTGAAAGCTTCTTCAACGGCCTTCGCGACCCAGAACTGAAACAAAGGCTCTCAAACTACCTCTCTCTGTCTTTCAAACCACTTCCGAATGCCCCAAACTACCGTTCTCTGGCGGGTGTCTATGCGCAGATGGAGGGTGAAAGAATTGTCATGCTTTGCGAATCAGACGGCGCCATTGAAAGCGCTGAAGATGCCGAGGAGTCGACACGGGTTTTGATCGCATCCTGGAAAGCTCTTCAAAACCAGCCTCACTTCGGCGTTGAGCCCCTTACGTACACGAAGCAACTACAGCTACACCTCGAGAAGCTCAAGAAGCTTCCAACTGCGCAGTTGCTCACCCTTGAACAGAGCCAACATGAAGCCGCTACTGGGTACCAAGCGAGAACTCTGAAAATCCTATCAAACCTCCGGCCCCGTAACGACAGTGACGCAGACCTGGCAAGACGAATCATCATTGACAGATACACCGCGGGCATCTGGCCCAGCTCCGTCCGCGGCCAGGTCCGCGAGTTCGTTGACAACACCAATGGATCACTCAGTCTCGTCGCTGTCGCACGCCGTCACAAGAGCCTCCAGCTTGCCCTTGAATTGGAGAAGGCTGTGGAACATCAACTGTACGATCCAAGTCTCGAGAGTGACATAAGAGAATACATTTCGATTCTCCGGGGTCCCATGATGCACAGCAACGTCCAAGATCCGCACTACGACTATGTCATTCCTGTCACGAAGCAGAACATAGACACCATTAAGCGCATGCGAGACCTTAAGGACCCCGCCAAGATGGCCGTCAACCAGCCCCGCGACCCCTACAAGGACAAGCTCGAATTTCCCAAGAACGGTGTTGGTGTCCAGTGCGATATCAACTTCGCCGCCCACCTCGCCCTGCACAATACTCTCCTACTACGTTGCTATTCCCACACTGACCCCCGCGTTCGGCCTCTGGTCCTGTTTGTCAAGCATTGGGCCAAAGTCCGTGGCATCAACACGCCCTACCGCGGCACACTCAGTAGTTATGGCTACGTCCTGATGATGCTACACTACCTTGTCAACGTCGTCCAGCCTTTTGTCTGCCCGAACCTCCAAGCTCTCGGGCCGCCGCCGCCGCCTGAAGGATTGTCGCCCACCGAGCTCGACGAGAGCATCATGTGTCGGGGCCACTTCGTCGGCTTCTGGCGCGACGAGGCTGAGATCTTGCGTCTCGCCCAAATGAACCAGCTCAATAGTAACCACGACTCTCTCGGCCAACTTCTCCGGGGCTTCTTCGAGTACTACGCACAGAATGGCTCGATGAGCACGTACCCAGGCCGAGGCTACGACTGGGGCCGTGACGTCCTCAGCATCCGCACCCCCGGCGGCCTTCTCTCCAAGGCTGACAAGGGCTGGACTGGCGCCAAGACTGTTGTCGAGTATCGCCCCAACGCTGCCGTCAACTCTCCCAGCGTTGAGGCCCCTCCCGTGCCGCACGTAGCTCTGAAGCCGCCCGTCAACCCGCTCACCCCGACCGCAACCACCGACGGCGCCATCACGCAGGAGGTCTTGTCGCCTAGTCTCAGCAAGGCCGTCACAATCGCGACAGCGGCGAACAAGAATGGCGAAGTCAAGGAGGTGCGCCACCGCTACCTCTTCGCCATTGAGGACCCATTCGAGCTCGACCACAACGTCGCCCGCACGGTCACACATAACGGCATTGTCGCCATCCGCGACGAGTTCCGCCGCGCGTGGCGCATCATCAAGGCTGCGGGCACGGGCAACTACCACGAGGATCTGCTCCAAGACGTCGCCGCCATCAAAGAGGAGGGCGAGAAAAGCACTTATCTGCAGCTATTGGACGAGATTCACGGATGGGAATTGTTCCAATAGGACTCTGTTGGCTTTCACTCATGTACTACACTCTTGAATTCAGACGGGATGTGATACTATGATATTAAAGACTGATGGTAACTGTAATGAGGTGTGAAAAAGCATCAAAAAGAAAGGCTCTAAGGGACCTGCTCTTGGGACGATCTAACGAAGTCACAAAGGACGGAAGAAAAAGTCAAGGATGAATGTATTGTATTACTAGGTGTAGCTATCATTACTTGTGAGTTGAACTCTAGCAACGGATCATCACGTACTGCGCCATTCAACATTGGCATCTCCTGGATATATTATATGTTCGAAGGTTTCTCTTATCCCTCTCCCACCCGGGCCCGAAGGTGGTGGACATGTCAGAAGACAGCCGGAAGAGGGATCTTCTTTGAATCGAAAATTAATCTACCATCGCTCCGTTAAGGACTTGTTCTGGGATGAACAGAGCCCCTGCTGTCCAGAAGACAGCATCGATGGGTTGGAAGTGACGAGACAGTAAATGCCCTTCAGTTCCGTTTGGAAAAGAAAAAAAGGAAGTAATGAGGTAGAAAGAGAAAGGAATCAGTTACAGACGCACACACCGTTAAAGGGCAGCGGCCGGTTGAAGGTATCAAGATGTCATCATTCGTCTAATACTGACCTGAGATTGCGTCTTTGATAGGTCTTGGCCCGAGTCTCCCCTTACTTTTTTGATTGCCACCATTTGGCTGTTCCATTATCTGCCGTGCCGTGTCCAGAACGCCGCGCTGAAATGCCCTCAAGTATGCCACACACAAACTGGACTAAATAATCCGTGAGCCAGTCAAAATGGAAAGGCAAGAGAGCAATGTCTCTAGAGAACAGCAACCGGAACAATCCCAGGTTTCACGCTCTCTCGCTGGATCTAGTCCAGAATGTGTTGGTACAGAGGAGAAATCGACTCGCCGTAGTGGTTTCGACGGATGGCCTCTGCAAGAAGGAAGGAGAGATCCAGGACTACGAGCTTAGGTGCACGCTTGGCCTGGTCCTCGGGGATGGGGAAGCTGTTGGTCACCAGAATGGTGTCGATGCATTCGCATTTCTGCAACTGCTCGAGACTATCGCCACCAAAAACACCATGAGTGGCCATGCAGTAGACCTTCTTGGCATGCCCCTTCTTGACAACGGTCTCGGCCGCTGCAATCCAAGAGTTGGGCTTGTCAATCATGTCGTCCACGATGAAGACAGTTCTGTTCTTGACATCGCCGACGAGGGTGATCATGTGCTCGACCTTGGGATCCTTCAAGACTTCGTCCTCTTCGTCCGACTCCGGTGCCGCGTCTCCGGAGCCTCCCAGCGCATGGGGCGCAGGGGCAAAAAATGATGATGCATGTGATGCGGCCATGGGATCTTCCTCCCGGCCGCTGCCGCTCACAGTCGACGCAGCAGGCGAGGGATAGTCATCGTCCACTATGTGACCTTGTACCAGTCGACCGTGCGTAACTTCCTGAGCGCGACGATCGTCGTATTGTGCATCGCTTTCCTCCTCGTCCATGGGGCCGTCACCAGGTTTGGATTGTGTAGGCGTGGTGGGCCGGTCATCCAAGGAGCGAGGGTGGGAGCGTGGTACGCTCGTGCGCTGGGGAGAGCCGGAGGCGTCGGCTCTCACCCTAGCAGCACGTCCAGCTACAGGAGGAGGTGTAGAGGGTCGTGGAGTAGGGGGCTGGCGACTACTCTCCAGTACCGGCTCCCGATCCAGGTTGTCCAAGTGGTGCATGATCATACTCGACGTCATGTTGGTTCCCTTTCGGTTCTTCTCCGTAGTGACCATGCCAAAATTGAGTTTGAGCGCGTCCGCAAGCGATGTCACACGCTTGGTTCCGCCGGCATTCTTCGACACGACGACAGCCTCCTTCCAGTTGGGCACGTTGTGACGGATCCATCTCGCGATCAACGGCTCGGCATGGAGATTGTCGACCGGGCACTTGAAGAATCCCTGCATCTGGGACGCGTGAAGATCGACGGTAATGACGTGCTTCACGCCAGCGACGCCCAGAAGATTCGCAAGCATTCTCGCCGTGATTGCACCGCGGTGGGATTTCTTCTTGGACTGACGGCTGTAGGGGAAGTACGGGAGTACAGCTGGAAGAAAAGGCTTGTCAGAGGAATGGTGATACTAAGACGGGAGGAGCAGAGCAGAGGAGAGCAGAACTTACCAGTAATCTTGTTGGCTGAGCCGCCATTGCAGGCCGAGATCATGATCAACAACTCCATGATGGTGTCGTTGACCTTGGCACTGCCGGACTGGACGACGAAGACATCCTTCTCTCGGACACTAGTCAAGATTCGCACACTCGTCTCGCCCTTTTGTGTGACGGGTCAGCCTCAACAGGGAGTCCAATCAAGATTGAGTGAGATTGAATCCAATCAAGACAAGTATGGGGAGGTCAGCCGCGGCAAGGTGTCGTGGGAGGAAGAGCAGTAGAGCAGCAAGCGCAGCTTTCCCATCTCCTACCGTTGATATCCAAGGCAACAGCGACCGCACTCAGCTTACATTGGAAAATTGGGTAAGCTCCGCCTCGGCAGGAGCCATGCCCAGGTTCTCACATATCTGAGTGGTGAGGACTGGGCAGGAAGAGCCCGCGAAGATGAGAGTGCCGCGCATTTTGGAAGGAGAAATACGAAGGACGAAGGGATTTGGTTCGCGAGGTGGGGAGCTTTTAATATCGCTGCGAAGGAAAAAAAATCGAGCCGACCGGGGAGACAGCGGAAGTGGGGGTGTCACAGTGCGCATATGCTACTTGTCTGCCGACAGCCTCTTATGGAGCACTGTATTTATCCGGGTCGGAGATACCTAGGTATTCGTCCCAACAACAGAATCCAAAGCCCAGCTCTCGCCTTTTGTATGACTGGCCATGGCCAGCAAGGTTGCCGGCGAGTGAAGCCATCTCTGGTCCCGCCTACAATGTGACTCAAGAAGCAAGGTTTTTGACGGCATTGGTGGTAAAGTTCAGAGTCATCTTGTGGCTGGCAAGTGTCACAGCCTTAACAGGAGATTCGATAGTAGAAGTCAGATTCAGCAGTTGCTTTGCATTGTCAGGTATTCTATATCGCATCAAGAGATTGAGACGTGGCATAAGTCAGAGGTGCTGCTTGTCGGGTTGTTACGTATCGTGATATTACTTTATGTCCTGCCTGAACTGCACTAGACCGCTTATGGGGGGTTTGGAGCCATGTAAATCCCAATTCATGTCAACAACTAAAATTTTAGCTGCACCGTGCGGAAGGCACTGGGACCCCGCGACGCATTCCTGTTGCATTCGAGTAGTCCCACCAAGTGAATTTACTACATTGTACATACCAAAATCCTGCTGCGTCGCTTCTACATGGCGTGCTATCCATGAGGCCATCTCCGGAAATGTGGAATTGATGGGACTTCTTTGAGCACTCATTCGGCTTCATTTACTAGTTTCAGTCCCGGCAATTGGAATCACAATATGGACGGACAGCAAACGTGATTTGTGAAGCTCAGGTCAGTGAGATGCTATGGAACGTCTGGCAACTTGCTTTCGGCATTGAACGAAACAGGCCTATCAACCGGCTTATCTTAGTCTCTTTTCTAATGCATAAGTCAGATTCAAATTATTGCTTAATACCATGGGCATTCCTCACCTTTTAAAACATCTCTCCCCATACGGAGTATTGGGACCTATCGACGGCGATAGAGTCGTGATTGATGGCCCCGCCTTGGCATACCACATCTACCATCTTTGCACAAGAAGCACTTCCGGAGTGCCTTCTTACGATTTGCTTGGGAGAACGGCACTCGCATGGTTGGACAAGCTCACAGACCATGACATCTCCATGTAACTTCCCTATCATCAAAATCCCGTCGGGCGTCTCCAGCTAATGATCTGAAGCGACGCCATCTACTTTGACGGCTTTCTCCCGGCGTCAAAGTCCGAAGTTCGCTTGGAGAGGATACTCAAAGTGTCTTCGTCTTTGAAAGTATACCGGTCAGGGTTCCCCAATGGATGCCCTGCGCGACAGATAGCTTCAACACGCGTTTCTCTGCCTCCCCTCTTCCCGACCGATGCCCCAAAAAGAGACCAGCCCCCCATACCGCCACCGCCGTTTCTAGTCGCCGCTGTTGTCGATAAGCTCTATCAGACTACCAAGTACGGTACCCTTGTCCGCCTAGTGCCCGGAGAGGCGGACGCGTACTGCGCCGAGGATGTCCTCCGGAACGGGGGGACTATCTTAACTTCGGACTCGGACTTGACAATCCATGACTTGAAGACTGGCGCCGTAGCCTTCTTCAGGGACCTTCAAGTCACCGCCTCCGATGAAAGGGTCAGCCTTGTGGGCCCGAAATTCTCACCGTCGGATATCGCAAAGCGTTTGCAGCTTCCAGAAGAGCAAGGTATGCGAAGGTTCGGGTACGAGCTGTCCAAGTCCAGCCGGCCAAAGTTCGCCCAGGTTCTCGAAAATTGTAAAGGAGATGTTTCAGATCCAGACGAGTTTCGCAGCTTCTGCATTCCATACGATGCGCTGGAGACGACAGACTGGAGCCAAGTTCCGGTACTTAGTGGCATAGATAACCCCACACTCGACGCACGGCTATCTGAGGTCGTCCTACAATGTGTAGGATACTCTGGTGTCGCGAAGCCACCTCCAGGAGACTCTGGTGCAGAGGGCTGCATGATGTGCCTGCCGCCTCTCTTGGACTGCCCAGCCCGCGCAAGCGCATGGGACAGCAGCGCCTCTATCAGGCAACTTGCATACAGCTTGACATGTCTACTGCGACCCGGGGCTGTATCTCATGTTAGGGAATACCGAAGGGTATACTCCGGGGCGAATCAGGGAAAGCATGTTGCTATACTCCCCAGGCCGTGGATCAAAGATGCGGTGGATACTCTGTTGAACACCCTGTCTCAAGCCAAGAACAATCTTGAACACGAGAGGTCAACGTGGCCAGCCGTGGCGGTACAGATGATTATCGCTTACTCGCAGGAGGAAGACAAGCAAGATGCATGCCTCAACTCCATCAAGCAAGTCCTCTCGGTCGCCAAGGACTCGAATCTCGTCCCATGGGACGTCGTCCATCTGTCAGCGCAGGTCCAGGCGACGCTCTACTCCCTTCGCCTCTTGGCCCAGGTCCTAGACCTCATGTATGTGACCAAAACAGAGAAGCCCGTTCAAGGTTCAAAACAGCTGCGCAACTTGCTGGCCACCCTACCGACTCTCACGGAGTATCCATCAGTGAACGGAACGATAGATCTACTAGCGAGCATGAAGAGTCATAATACGCTGGCCAGGATTGCAGAAGCACTTGGGTTGCCGGAAGAGGCTCTTTTGCCGGCGAGAGAGAACAAGAGTAGGAAGAAGAAGCGAAAGAAGATGGCCCAGACTGAGACTGAAGTCAGGCCGGAGAAGAAGCCATCATTGAATCCCTTTGATATCTTGGGAGCCGAGTGATTTCCTGCACGAAGAAAGCACAACCGCCGATGGTTTACATTCAGTCACATTCGGGAATGCGAGGAGCTGATAATGAATGCTATCTTCATCGTTTAATATATGATATGTAGAGTCACGGGAGTAGATCATGGTTGCAGATTCGATATCAAATCGTCCTATTGCAGAGTACCGGCCCCTTCAATTACTCATTATTCATGGCTTGTTGCACTTACTCAAAACAATGTTCCGTCATCGTGGACCTGCGGAACGAACCCTGGACACAGCCAGCCTCTGCCCTCAGGGCAAGTAAAGACGACCTTCCCATCGCCACGCAATAGACCCATCTTGAACCGCCAGTCCGTCTTCACAGCGATGCCGTTGATCCGGAGCCAATAAGATAGTATTCCCTCTGGCGTGCACCCTTCCTGACCATCAGGGGTTTTCTCCCTGGACTTGGTATTAAAACCCTTCCACTTCGCCGTCTCCTTCTCCAGTGTCCGCGTGTGAATGAACTCGCGGTAAAGAGCCAGGTAGGTGAACATTGCGTTGGGACGACCGAAGGCTGTGATGTCGGTGACACCCGCCCGCAGCTCGCCATCGTGAAGCATTGCATACCAGGTCCAGTCGAGGGTAACGCGAGGTGCGAGGATGCCATTCTCAGGGACCTTCAGCGACGAGAGCGCGGGTGAGTCGCCCCAGTAGAGGAGGTCGAGTCGGCCCTTGTAAATGTAGTCATACGAGACTCCTTCTTTCATCATGTAGGCTTGCACCTGCTGACTGGCGAGGTACAGCGCCTTCCACTGGCTAAGCTGATGATTCAGCTTTTCCTCACCGCACTCCCTGGCCAGCACTTTAGGGGGGTTTTCGGCGATCTCCTTGACTTCGTCCAGTTTCTTAACCTCGACTGTCTTCAGGGCGTCCCCGAAACAGGATTTGAGATGTTTCGTTATGCTCTCTTTCCTACCCGAGTCGCCGGACTCATGATACGCGTCTTCAAGGTACGTGAAGACGTGGACGTCCACACCGCCGCTTCCAGTCCACGTCTTTACAAGCTTGTTGTTCTGCTCCTTGCATGTTTTCAAATATGTGCGCAGGAATCCAGTGTAAACAATCGCAAGTCGGCCCATGTCGTCGGCGGCGCGGTGTAGGAGGCACGTCGTCTTGCTGCCAGCGCGAATGTGTAGCTTGCCAGAGTCCAAGAGTTCGAGAACAGGCTTCTCGTTGCCGGTCTCGACAGAAGCGCAGTCGGGTAAGAGGTTCGATACCCATGGCGTCGCGCCGTACGGGGCGGCAGTCTCGTTAGCCCAGGAAAGCATCAACACGCCCTCTTGGGTCAGCTCGACCTGCCATGTAACGGGCCAATAGTACTCGGTGTCGGAAGTGAATAGCTCGACATCGGTTTTAACGTCGATGAGCGAAAGCGAGCCGCTATCGAGAAGGCGAAACTCATAACGGCCGTTTGGGGAGATGAGACGGAAAGGAGACAGAGTCTGACCAGCTTCGAGCTTGGAGACCGGCTTCGCGTCGGGCTTCGCGTCTGGAACCGAGACAGAAGTCGGCACCGTGGGCAACCAATTTACCTCCGGCGTGTATGTGGATTCGGTGGGCTCGCCGACAGGGTCATTCGGTTTTTCGGTTCCAGTCGAGGCATCTTTGCTGTCGGTCGTAGGAGTGCCGTGACCGAGGCCAGTGGGCACATGGTAGCCAGCGCGGGGAAGCTGGGGAACCAAGAAGATTGCCGCAATCAGAAAAACGGCGGCCACGATGGCCAACCGCACACAAGTACCGCTAAGCATAGTTATCTCAAGACCATAGGCTTCACATACTGGACCGAAGGTGCGTTGTTTACTTCAGGTCTATCACGTGTAGGACACATATAACCTTAGTCATATAGGTCATGCAGATCTACAGGCATATCCTGGTCATGTACCATGACATGCGGATGCACGGCCCAGGGGACCCTTGTTACCGATAGCCGTTCCCGACGTCCGCTTCCTTGTAAAACACTCCGTCAATCCGAAGCTATTCAGAGCTTCTAAGCCTGTCCCTCTCCGCTACCCCTTACGCCATCACTTTGTCGCCAGATAAGCCACCCAGCAGCCCCTTCTTGAAAAAAATCATCTCATTCGCTATTATTAACCGCATCTATAATTCTCCCCTTTTCGCCCTCTCCACTGCCTATCACTTCGAATGCGACTGAACCACACGGCCTTAAGACCTATTTATATGTCACGAGTTAGAGCACACAGCAGGACATAGAAGAGTCCGGGTCCAAAGGGCACGATATATGAAAAGTAGAGATATGAAAAAATGTCCTTACATACCTACAGTGCGATAGATCATAGATGCGAGTAATGAGTGAAACGCCGTGTGATATGGGACATGGCAAGGCTGTTGTGGAGTGCCCATAATGTATGAAGCTGCCGTGGCATTATACCAGCCTTAATTCCTCGTTTTATGGGGTACATAATAGTACCTTTGTCGCCTAGCAAGGCTGCTCAGATTGGTATATACCTTCGTGTAAGACTAGACTTACTACTACCTTTATCACAGTTAAAATAGATAGAGAATCGATGTGCATAAAAGTTATTAGTAAATTAGATTGAATACAAGCTTCTGATTAGCTTCGTCCCTTATTATTCACAAGTTGCAGGGTCTAGGCGTATCCAAAGGGATAGCCAGTTAAGGCCAGCTTAAGGCATCTATAAGTGAGAGAATGCTATCAATACTCTTAACTACAAAGGGCACCTCTGCTTTTATCTAGTTGGCGTGGGTATAGAGCTTGGGAGGGTCTGTCACCTTGGGTGAGTCCTAGTTGATAACGGCGGCCACAGAACTGGTCACAACCAATCCTTTGACGGACGGGGCGGCGCGTGTGACGCCGGACAGAATCTTTGTAGTACTCTTACTGACCAGGTCAGGAAACTCGAGGTTCGAGACTACACAATAATTGAAGGGCGACGTGGTATGGATAATTCAATAGAACGGGGAGCTTGGAGTGAGATCTGCTTTAAAGGCCAAAGGAGCAGTGATATCGGGGACGACATAATGTTCAAGCCGGGTAGCGGTGTGGGTACTGTAAATAGTCGAAAGCTTTTAAGCTGGTCGGCTTTGGCCTTTACGTACAACTTCACTGACTGAATATCGTGCCTTGAGAAGTTGGTACAAAATATACTAACCAAAAAAGAAGAAAAAAACGTTCGCTCCTGTTGAAAAAAAAAGAAGTGGAGCAGGGCATCTTGGAAATATTGAACCGAATAAGCTGTCGTATTTTGACAGAAATCAAAAATTTTGGTATTTCAGTTGGCTCAATAAATGACAGCTATTGAGCACCACTAGAGAAGGCAGAAAAACAAGACATGTCTTCTACGTTGGAACATGCCAGCTTGCGTGAATGCAGATTCGCCCATGTCTTACCGCATGCAAAAACAAGAATAACACTGTTGTATTTCGAACTTTGTGCAGCTAATTACACCGGATATGCTAGAGGATTAGTACGCAATGTACTGTCTGCTGACTTATTGCCGGATAAAGGATGCTGTTGCATATGGTGGCACCCAGGTGAGTAATCCCCGCTTACGATTACGCAAGTTTGCCATCCCTTGATCTGGTGTGAAATTGCACTAGGACCGCACTTTTGGTACGATAAGACGCGTATATAGGCCCGGCGAATCCGACAGAAGAATATTTCCCGGAAACGATTACTAACTGCAGCAATTAGTGCACCTAGCAGATCCGCTTAGCAATTAATAGGTCATCCAGAAACCCGCAGTTACCGTGGCATCGAACAATATGCTGAGACATGTATTTAGTTCGATAGACAGCTTCCTATAACTGGTGACTCTTTGGAGACAGAAAACTTTATTCCCAAGCATTGCCACATTCAACAGTATACTTGAATATCCGTTTGAACTCTCGATATATCAATTGTGGCGCAATGGACGAAACCATGAAAGCAGTCGGTAAGAAACCCCGGTTCTCTTGGTTTTCAGAATGCTGAAAGCAACATAGATATCAAAGGGGGTAGAGGACCCAAAGAAAACCTGTACATCAGGTCAGATATGCCGAAACCCATTCCCGGTGAGGGAGAGGTGCTTGTGAAGGTCAAGGCGTTTGGAATAAATCGTATGGACACCATCCAACGCCAAGGGGACTACCCTTTACCGCCACAGGCGCCCAAGACCCTTGGTGTTGAGTTCAGCGGCACCATTCATGCTTTCGGCCCGGGCAGTCATGGCCTGTTCAAACAAGGCGATGAGGTTTTCGGATTAGCCTACGGAGGTGCCTACGCTGAATTCATCGCTGTGAATCATCAAATGTTGCTGCACAAGCCTACGAGTTTGACATGGGAACAAGCTGCCGGGATTCCTGAAGTGAGCTTGCTTTTACGTTTCTCAAAAGTGCCAATGGCATACTGATTTGTTTTCAGACTTGGATTACCGCTACACAGGCTCTCTTTCTCGTCGGGGAATTCGCCGCAGGCAAGACAGTGCTCTGGCACGCTGGGGTATCAGGCGTCTCTATTGCCGGCATTCAACTTGCCAAGGACGCTGGCGCAGCTGCTGTATATGCTACAGCTGGATCCCGCGCAAAATGCGATTTCGTTGTCCGTGAGATTGGAGCAACAGCAGCCTTTGATTACAAAACAGAAGACTGGGTGGCACGTATAAAGGAGACAACTAACGGTAACGGGGTGGATGTTATCATCGACTTCATCGGTGGCAGTTATTTTCAAAAAAATCTTGACGTTGCGGCCCGGGACGCTCACATCGTCCAATTAGGCTTACTAGGGGGGAGTAAGATTGGTGATGCAGATATCGAGCAACTGCTCTATAAGAGGATTCGAATCGAGGGGAGCACATTACGAAGTAGAGAGATTGAGTATCAGGGAAAGCTACGGGATAGGCTGGAAGAGTATATCCCTCACTTTGAAACAGGCGACCTCAAGGTAGTGATCGATACAGTACTACCATGGGAGGAGATACAAAAGGCACACGGTATGTTAGAGGCAAACTCTACCTCGGGGAAGATCATCTGCACTATCTCATAAGTATATTAAGCTTGTAACCGTAGCACTGTCAGCGTCATGAACCTGATTTTCACCCGTGCATCGAACGATATGTTCTTATGCAAATTCGCCATGTTTTCCCGCCATACTGCTCTTTTTTATCACCTACGCTGAAATCGTCTAACTCTTGTGAAAACAAACGCGGTTACATCGTCATAGTAATAACCGCACCTGTCCTTTCAGTAATCCTCAAGTTTTACGCTCCCTTTGACTGCTTATTCGATGGGCCATTGGAGTATTGCATCGCCACTGCTCTTAGTGCTTATCCTATGCTGGTTTGGTTGCTCACTGCTTCCTCCAGTCCACTGCTTGCTCATCGACTCGTTTCTGAACGGTGCACTACTATTGGACATTTGCAGAGAATTATAGTGGAACTCAACTCGGGTCCTATAACACAATCGGCGTGCAGCGGGTTGCTACGAATTGGGGATTCCGACGACTGCAGTCGTCCGGCGGCGGAGATTTAAATGTGGGCTAAGCCCCGAACTTATGTGCACGCTCACCTTTGTCTTACAAGCCCCTCTCGCCGCCACTATCATCGTAACTAGAGCCAGCTACGATCGAACTGAGAATCACATCGGTCGCTTCATTGTCAAGGATACCCTTGGTCTCGGACCTCCGACATTCCTCCAGGATGAAAAAGACTATTCAGGTTCCTCGCTATGCGAGAGCAAGCATTATCGCTTCGTGCGTGGCCATGCTCTTTGGGTACGTCATTACCCCGCCTCACCTTCGCAAGGGATAGCCTCAACTAACACGGTAATATGATTAAAGCCTCGATACTGGCAGCATTGGCCCAGTGACGACCATGCCGTCTTTCCGTCAAACATTTGGAGACTTCTCTCCCACAATGCACGGGGTCATTGTGTCGTCTGTTCTCATTCCTGGAGCTCTCTCAGCCCTCGTTTCTGGTGCCATGGCAGACCGATTCGGGCACGTTCTTCTCTTCGCACTGGGGTCTTTTGTCTACGGCTGCGGTGCGGCCCTTGAGTGTGCGTCGCCCAAGCTTGGGCTCTTCATTTTTGGTCGTCTGATCAAGGGTGTTGGCGAGGGCATGTTCTTGAGCAATGTCTACGTGCAGGTATCCGAATTGTCCCCTGCCCGGGTTCGCGGTATTATGACGGCCCTGCCGCAGTTCTCCATCGTCATCGGCATCGTCATTGGGTATTTCATGTGTTACGGAACCGCCCGAATAGAATCGTCATCTCTGGCATGGCGCCTTCCGTTGGCCGTTGCCTCTTTACTCGGCATCGTTCTCTCCAGCACCTACTGGATAGTTCCAACGTCACCAAGGTGGCTGCTCAGCAAAGGGAGATTGGACGAGGCTCGAGCCGTGCTCGACACATTGGGGCTTGACGAAAACGAGCGAGTAGAGCTCCTCGAGCAGTCTATGTCCGAGGTGCAAGAGCACACGGCCAATGTGACGCTCTGGGAACTCATACGACAGACTTTTGCGGATTTCGGCGAGGCCTTCTCGGCTCCTTTCAGGAGCAGAACTGCGTTTGGTTGCTTCCTCATGTCGGCCCAACAGCTGTCTGGGATCGACGGGATCCTCTACTATGCTCCTATCTTGTTCACACAAGCTGGACTCGCTGGAGAGCAAGCAACTTTCCTTGCGTCCGGCGTTTCGGCGTTGGTCATTCTGGCTGTGACTGTCCCGGCCACATTTTTGGCTGATCGTTGGGGAAGACGAACGTCGAGTTTACTGGGCGGAGTACTCATCACCGCTCTTATGCTCTTGATGGGTTCTCTGTTCGCCGCTGGAGAGGTTCATGCCGACTCGGGGGCCGGGAAGTGGGTTGTCATCGTGTCGATCTACCTTTTTGCCCTCGTCTACAGCTGTACGTGGGCCATTGGCTTCCGTACTTTTATGGTTGAAAGTCTGCCAAGGAAGACAAGGAGCAGTGCATCCAGCCTTGCTCAAAGTGCCAACTGGGTAAGTTTCTCCAAATGATATTATTCTCTATGACTCCTAGACTTTCGAGACTGAACTAACACAACATCAAGCTTTCTAATTATGTCGTTGCGTTGATAACACCAGTACTGCTGTCAAAGTCCACTTTTGGGGCATACTTTCTTTTCGCGGGTTGTTCACTTATTTGTACCGTCGTCGTAGCGGTAGTTATGGTGGAGACGCGAGGGCATAGTCTCGAAGCGATTGAGAAGAGATACTCTGAGAGGAAAGCAACGGCTACAGGTAGATGGAAGATGACTGAATTAAGGCCGAGAAGACTCCGAACCGACGTCTGACCTTCCAGGGTCAAAGCAAGTAGGGACAAGTAGTAAGCTAGCAGTGTGTAGCAAAACACCTATCACGTAAGCTAAGTATCGAAGATAATACGTACTGAATAGAATACAATATTTATATATTTACAGTTCTTGACGGCCTAAAATGCATGGCCAGGTCAACCCAGAGACCTTATTTCCCTGGTAGCTACCACGCGATCGCCCTTGCTGAGGAGAATAACAATCTTCAACAGTACGGGTACAGTCCAAATCTGCATCATTGTCAGTGTAAGAGACTGCTGTTGACTCATTCACTAGTTTTGAGTTGACTAGGTTTACTGGTCCCAAGCATGCTCGTTCTGCAGTTCGTTTCGCGATATCCGGCTCCTTGTATCCCGAGTGTTGACAACACATAATAGAGAGTAAGACTACAAGGGAGACAAACAAACTCAAATTACAATACCCTCAAAGTCAACGCCTTGGGATAGCTCTTGGTTGTTCTTCATCCAGGCTACTGATCTCGGTCGTTGGTGGCGGAAGTATCATTATTCAGCAGCATGGCCTCAGGTGCGCTCGCTCGATCCCCAATAGTGCATAATACTGGTAATCCAGGTAGTACACCGGAAAAAGTCTACGAGGCTTCTGGGGGTCCACACATGTTACGATGACACAGCCATAGATAGCTCTGGCATAGGAGCCTGCAAGTTTGCATGTGTAGTGAAGGTCTCATAAACCCCCTCTCAATACTCGTAGTCATCAGATGCAAGCTAATAAATACTCCCGCGCCGGCTAGGCCGTCCAAATAAAGACCAGGAAGATGCAGTCATGTGTTTGGGAAGCAATCGACAACAAAATGGCACGAGTTCCCCTTCTTTTTTCCAAAAAGAAAAAAGAAAAGAAGAAGGGAAAAAAAGGCTGCAATACTATGCGGTCATTGCAAAGTTGTGAAGCTGAGCATTAATCGTACCTACAGTTCAAAGATTTCATCAATGTACAGGCCATCTCAAGTTTCAAACAAGCCATCAAACCTTGGGTTTTCTTGCTTCGAACAAAAGCATCTTGCCATGAACCTCCCACTTGACATCTGCAAATGCTTCCTTTAGGGGCCCGACAAAGCCCTCCACGTTGTCCTCTGTGTTTCCAAACGTCCCCAGGAGATTGTGCCAAAACATCAACTGTTTCCCCCATATGTTGTGCTTGACACCGCGACCCAAGATTGTCATCCCAAACAGGGTACCTTCAGGGGCGAGCAGATGTCGTAGATGGACCAAGGCGTCTGCCTTTCTCGCAGGGGGTCCTGGTAGACAGTGAAGCAGCATCGTTGTCGATATGACATCGAAGGAACCACCGCCCAGGTCTCTGCAGCGCAAGCCTCTCCTTCCCGGGTCAAGAAAGTCGGCAACGCTTGTTTGGCATGTCGTCGTCGGGTGTGCTGCCATCGTCCGAGACCCAGCAGCATGGAGTGCTGCCCGGTTGAGGTCCACCAGGTGCACTTCCGACCCCGCCGGAAGGGGCGCGTGCTCGAGGAAATATCCGGTACCGACGCCAATGTCCAAGATCCGACATGGAGAGTCTTTGCTTGATCCGGGCCGAATCATTGTTTCGTCGACGGTGTTTCGTAAGGTGGTATTGACAATGTGGCGGTTGAAGAATTCCCGCATCTTGCTCGACGGTATATTCCAGGCGTAAGGGCAATAGAGGCCCAGGACAACTGGGTCGTAGACGTAACGGAGGAACACCGGGACGTAGATCGCCGCCCCGGCGAAGGTATCAGGTTGTATCATCTCCCAGACTTCTCGTCCAATACCAAATGTATGCGTTGTGAGCCAAACCGTGTGCCAATGGTCGTCGTGATCTGAGAAATTGCTTATTGATGCGAGACAATCAGCGCGCTAGATCGAGAAAGGTTTAGGCACACTGCCTATTCTTATGCTTGTATGTTCCTTTGCGAAGGCAGGTTCTGTCCCTGTTGGCGACAGGAAGGTACCACGAACCTCAGGACACCATTGTCTCCCTGGCTGTATCCTCTCCGAGTGTATCACGAACACCGTGACGCGCGTCGCAGCACCTGCGCGCCTCATGAGGAATATGAAGATCAGCTAGCCATCTTTGGACTTGCGCCCGGAGATATGGGGTATCGGCCCGCCTCCGCGATGTCTGTGCCGCGGCGGTGGTCCCTCGGTGCTGCAGACTCTTCGGCGAAGTCACAAGCTTGGCTAGGGCGACTCGGGGCCCAATCCACCAATGTAGATTCGCGAAGTGCGAGTCTCGCATGTTTGGAAATAAGATGAGACCCAATGTCATCACGCGAGGATTGCCCAGGCGGTCTTGGATTGCGGTGTCGGCGGGAGAGAGTTACAAATTGGACGGGCCCTACTTTGGCGTGTCGTTCGACTGTCACAGGATAGACCCTCTTTGACAGGTGCTTGGGCTATAAGCACGAGCCTTTGCCGGACTCCGAAAGGAGTTGAACCAAATCATACGACTCTTTCCACAAACTCAACTGAGCCGTCCCATTGTTTTGGGCGGGGTATGTCATGGCATGGTCACATGGAACGACCAGTAGGATGTGTATCTTGCAACAAGTGTGCTGTCAACGCCCAAAAGAGCCGAGGGCGATTCATCGAGTGTGTTGAGATTCAATAAACCTAGATGGGAAAAACACTGGAGAAACTTGAGCCGCATCGCCGAAAATTAAGGGTTTGATGACCAGAGAAGCTTTGAACACAGGTATTCGCATTCGCATGTGTATGAAAATGAAATTGCCGATGAGTTCTTAGCTGACCGAAAGCAGAATCAAATCACGGCGCGTTGAAGACATTGACAAGGAATAACCGCTCATGCACGGGGAATATAGCAGGTCTGTATTAGTATCTACAAGCGACTGCGTCAGGGTATGGTCGAGACCTTTGCTTACTTCCTCCGGGCCTTGAAAGTCTTCAGAGGGTTGACTTTCCGCGTACCAATCTTCTTGCGTCCTGGCTTGCCCTTATTCCTCCTCTGTTTACCACCCACCTTGCGGAATGGCACCATGCCGACATCGTTCTTTGTGAGAGAATCCTTTCCCTCTTTCGGGAGCAAGTACTCGGGTATATGCTTCAGGTGGGGCTGCTGTCGAGCTGTTCTCAGTTCTCCGTCGTGCCTGAGATGTTGGAGTTCCGTAGGGTTCTCCTCGAAGTATCTACAAGGGGTTAGTCGGGCGCAGGCTTCGATAGCGACGGACATCCTGTCCGAGACGCCATCAACCGTAATCGGAAGGCACATACCTCTTGAGTTTCTCGCTCTTAAGGAGTTCCTGCTTCAACTCTCTCATACGCGCTTCGCGAACCGCCACCTTAGTGACTGCTCTCAACGCATCATTTAGACGGTATCTGAACGCATCCAGATGCTCCTTCTTGAAGCTGTAGGGTTTGACCTCCTTGCCCTGCTTCGCCTGCTGCTTCTTGATTCTCGCCAGAATCTTCTCATCGTGTTCGGCCGTCTCTATGCTCGTCGGCAAGTGCTTGCGGTACAATTCGGTAGGGACGTAGAAGGACAGAGCCATGCCTGTCCGGCCGGCTCGCGCTGTACGTCCAATGCGATGAGTGTATGACGAGGCGGATGTGGGAAGGTCAAAGTTGACCACTGCGGCAACGTTCTTGAAGTCGATACCTCGCGATACGCCGAACTCGGAGTCTCGCTTTGATTTGCGCTTCTTCTTTGATTGTTCCTTCTCCTTCTGGCGTTGCTCCGTGTCTTCTTCTTCCTCACCATCCTTTTCCTCCGCACCCATGGCGCTCTTTTCGTCGGATGCAATAATAATGTCGTACACTCCGCGGTTGAACTCTTCGAGGACATGCGCCCTTGATGTGACTGGCAGCTCGGAGTTGAGGATACAGCTCCGGACCTGAAACTGTTCGAGGAAAAGCTTCAGGCGGTACGAACGGTCGACATCGTTGACAAAAATCAGGCACTTTCCCTTGACGAGCTTGAGCTTGAAGATAATGAACGCCAAAAGAAACTTTTCGTCCTCTCCGCAACTGCAAGCTGTTAACAAATAACAAGCAAGGACGCTTATTTCGAGTGACATACCTGACAACAAACTGAGAAAGACTGTCCCCTTCCGTCTCCTCGTCGTCAAGATCCAATATCGTGGGTTTCCTGCCGAAAGTCCCTTGTAGCGTAGTGACATCCGTTGAAAGTGTTGCGCTCATCATTGTCAACTGGACACCCTTGGGCAGCTTTCTTGCAATGTTCTCCAGATCCTCGTTGTAGCCGTAAGACATGATAAGGTCGGCCTCGTCAAGGACTATGGACGTCAGATTCCCCAGCAACAACGCTTCGGAAACGATGTTACGCCACGCGGTGGCTGGTGTGGAAATGACGACGTCGGGGAAGTTGGAGAGGAGGGAGCGCTGGACAGCGTCGGAGATCTTGTCGACAAGCTTGATAGCGTGAATATCTTTCGCGCAGTACGCTGAGAACTTCTCGATCGCTTTGAGAACTTGGTCGGCGAGCTCGCGAGTCGGCACAAGAATGAGGGCGGTTGTGGCGGGTGAAGAGTCGGTCTAGAGAGTCAGCCGGATCCAATTGACAGGGAGAAAGAAGCGTTTACGTACAGTCTTGCGCTTCAGGATGCTAGAAAGCACTGGCAGAACGTACGCTGCCGTCTTTCCAGAGCCGCAGGGAGCCTTTGCGACGACATCCTTTCCGTCCAAGGCCAACGGGATAGCCTTCTGCTGCACTGGGGTCGGTTCCTTAAAGCTCTCGGCGGCGACGGCCTGAACCAGCCGTGTATCGAGTCCAAGATCGGCGAAGGAAAGCTCAGTGGTAGTAGACTGTTCTGTCTTGACGCGCTTCTCAGTTTCGCCCGCGGGAACGGTATCTTCGGGTTGCTTTCTCTTCATCGTGGGATCGGTCGGCGTCGCAATGATATTCTACGTTATGGGAAATCTGCAGAAGTCTTGGATGGAGGCGACCGAACCAGTGCCAAATCAGAAAAAAAATCTGGAGGGGCGGGTCTGGCAGTAGCTTATCTTATCGGCCATCTTGAACCATGAATGCCGATGGCTGAATAAGCATGCTAGGGGTTGCGCACCCAGACGGGTGACCTATACGGATACATAATGAATGTCAATCTCGGGACGTGGAATCTTTGGCTATCCACGCTCGCAATAAATCTTGTTGGCGTATAAGATTAAAACAATGTTAATCATTCAGAGACCTCTTGAGGTTTTCTCAAGGATTGACCTCGTCACCTATAAACAATCAAAAACCTTCCTTCAAGGGCCCTGTTTCTGAGTCTCGAGCTTGATGGGTGAAGCACAAATTACATTCTGTCACTTACGAGCATCGTATTCTCGTTCCTAGGTGTCACAATTTGTACCTCAATTCTGCATCCGTCTCCTCAAGACCTGGTGAACCGCCATAGAGCTGCGATTGCAACCCAACCATGTTTATCTACGTAATCTCGTCAGTAACCTCGTCATGAAAGAGATGATAATTCGTATCTGTTAACTGGTCAAACCTACGTGTCTCGGCCCAAGCTGGTCAACTCGCTCAACTCCAATTAGTCTCATCGAAGTAACTATCTCATCGGCGAGAACTAGTAAGCGAACCAAGGTCAGCGATTGGTTTCACAGTCGTCAGTTGTTTCTGTGTTAATACTCACTCTGCAACGCTCTCTCGACCCCTGCCTGTCCGCCAACCGCAAGACCGTATAGCGCAGCTCTGCCAATGCCAACGCCCTTGGCCCCCAAAGCCAATGCTTTGACGACATCGGTCCCTCGTCTGACGCCGCCGTCGATCAAGACATCAATCCTACCCAACACCTGCGGACAGTACTTTCGAATCTCTAGCAACACCTGAACTGGCGTCAGCGTCGTGTCCAACGCACGTCCGCCGTGGTTCGAAATGATGATGCCCTTCACGCTTGGGAAAAGGGTCGCGGCATATGCGTCCTCGTGTGTTTGGATGCCCTTCAGAACGATCGGAAGCGAGGTCTGCTTGGTGAGCCACTCCAGCGTCTTTCGCCATGTCAAACTCGACTCTGTGCCCCAGACCTGGGGCGCCGCTCCCCCGGCGACCTCGGTCATCTTGAACCGCTCGTCTGCCTCTCTCTTGCCGGGGAAGGGCGCGTCGAGTGTGAGGACGATAAACTTGATTTGAGGAATGGCCCGGATCTGCGCCAGAGTTCGTTCGGTTGCCTTGATGTCCTTCAGGACGTATAGTTGCCAAGCAAAAACCGCGTGTGGTCCAGCTTGGACAATCGCGGAAGGAGACATGAATGCGTTTTTGCTGATGATCTGTAGCCCCCGGAATCTTGAACATGCTGCAGAGATGCCCACTTCACCGCTAGCATGGGCCAGCTTGGCCATGGCCGCAGGCGCGACGTAGACAGGCATTCCAACAGGATTTCCGAGGATGTTGGTTGAAAGAGAGCATCGGCTACAATCTGCAAAGACTCGTGGTCTCAAGAGGATAGAGCGGAAGACTGCGCCGTTTCTGACCTTGGTGATTTCATCGTCGCTCCCTGAAGCGTAGTATGAAATGGCCTTCGGACTTAATTTCCTCATCGCATACTCTTCCACCTCAGAGATGCTGAGGATGTGAGACATCGGAGGCATGCCCTCTGAACCACGATGAGATGGTGATAGTATAGGCATATCTGCTGTGGGGTTATCCTTCTTCGGTAACTCTTTTTCCGAAGTTGATTCAAGTATTCCCATGAGCTGACCTGGCTTCAAATACTCCTCTAGAAGCTCAACTGGATGCACTTCATTAAACGCATCAGTCGAATCTTTGCCTGCGTTCTTCAACAGGACGGACTTGCCGCCTGGGTGGCTAGCAAGAAAGGCGGTGATCTATTCATAGATGATAATATCAGTAAGTCACGTGGCAGGTTTCAACGAAAGAAGGCGATTTAGACACATTATAAACTTGACCATGGATTGCTATCCAGCAATCTTAGGATGGTCCGGCGGTGGCAGGGTCTGCGGCGGAATCGACCCTGGCCGGCTCCGCGTCTTTTGCTGCGCTCCGCCGTCCGGCGAGCCCCTGTTCCTACCGGTGCCCCTGAAAGATCTATTCCCTAGCCCGCCGACGGGCGACGACGTCAAGACCAAGTTCGACCTGAACATCGACAACACTTGGGGCGACGGTGAGGCGGACAACAATTCCGAGGATGAACCGAACGAGGCAGCCTTCCAGTTCCATGTCCTCGCCAGTCCCGGAGAGATCCAGACTTCTCTGGACAAGCGTGACGGATCCCACTGGGAGGTTTTCAACTGCACCGAGGCGGTCAGCGAGGGCGAGCACACCGTCCAGATGGTGTGTACCGATAGCTCGGAGAGGAGCAACTACGGCGACATTTACAAGGGACACGGAGTCGAGGGGACTATTCTTGAAATGCCGCAGAACAGGGACTGCGGCCTGGGGAAGCACGCCGTCGCCAAGAGCCTTGAACCCGCCGGAAACCAGTTCCTGCCGCAGCATCTGGTGGAAAGGAAGTTACTACATGACGCCACAATTTACGATCTCAAGTTTGATTACAACTTCACCCGTGTGCCGTGGGGCTTTGGTCCGACGCAGCTGCGAGTTGACTTTTCGTAAGGACCTAACCTCTCTGCTTTTTTACAGGCTTATCGTGTATGTGCGTACGAAAGAATCGTCACTGACCCTCTCAACTGATTGCAGAAACCAAGAAGGCTACTGGAACAAGATCGTGGCCGCGCCGTCTTCCAAAAAGTCCAAGCGAACCCTTGACGAAGTCGGCGGCAATCACCGCCGCTGGCTCGAGGAAGAATGTCGGGACGACTACCACCGCGGTAGTGTGAGCCGTGAAGAGCTTTACCGACGATGGTTTGGCGATGATGCTCTCCAGTGGCTCAAGGAGCTTCTCCACATTGACGTCACGGTCGAGAAGCGGCATGACTATGAGGAGGTCTCGGCCATCATTCTCAAGGAGGATTGGACCTGCGGGCCATTCCGAGCCAAGATTGATGCAGTGGCGACGGCAGCTATTGAGATGTCAACGTCGTTTGGCATCACAATCATCACCGAGCTAGGAGCTAATTTGAACCTTAGTAAATCTTACGTCCACTTTAACAACGAGGTAAGCAAACCGATTCTTTCGTCCAAGGGTCGACTGCACGTTTGGTGGAGAAGGAGATAATTGAGCGGACATTATGACGGACATTTTGACTAAACGGCATGTCAATAGGGCAGCATCGAAGCCATCCTCACCATCGACGCCCTGATGAAGTTGGAATGGAATTCGGGTGTCTTCACCATCGTCCCGCTGCCCATCCCCGGCGGTAACTTCAAGATCACCGGAATCGTTTAGCGTAAGTCACACGTACTATGCATCTTCCCCTATCAGCGCACAGCTGACCTGTTGTGTCGAAAAGTCGGGCCCCGTTTTGGCCTCAACGCCCGCTTCAAAGCCAGGGTTTCCATCGAGGACCGGATCGAAGCCAAGGCCGAGCTCGCCAACTGGGAAATCAGACAGACATACCCGCAGCAGGACGACTACAAGCCCAAGGAGATCGAGTCTGCCAACCGGCAGTTCCCCACGGACGGCATCGCGTCACCGAGCTTCGAGGTGTCGGTCACCGCCCAAGGCTACGCCGAGGCGCACATCATACCGACGCTAGCGTTCGGCATCAAGTTCGATAAGCAATGGGATCTTGAGGACGCCGAAATCGAGCTCTACGGAGATCTCTACGGCCGCGTCCGCGCCATGTCGGACCTTGTCGGCGGTGACTGTCTGTTTGGCTACAAGGTCGAGGCCGGAGTGAAGCTGATGGCAGACGCCCATGTGTCCCGATTTCTTCCAATGGAATCCATCTCCTCACACGTTTGGTGAGGTAAGCGGCCCGCATCTCTTTGAAGTCCTGGGTATTTTTACTAGTATCAGAAGACACTAACCTTGCTGGACCATACGCAGCTCAACAAACGCATCATTCCCGAAGGCGACAAGGAATGGGAATGCGTCACGGCCGAAACCAAGAGGCATATCGAGGGCAGAGGAGAGAGTCGCAACTCCTCTCATTCCCTCATCGGGAAGCCCAGTCTTCGCAAGCGCCTTGTCCCATACGAGCCGCTGGTCAAGCTACCCGACGCCGAAAAGCTGTGTCCAGTCGAGGGCAACCAGGGCGCCCAAGATTGCGCCGACACGCAAAACGTCTTCGAGTTCTATGATGATAGCACGAGCGACGCGCACCCGGTAGAGTTCCGCAAACGGAGCATCTTCGACGACGATGGCGGCTCCCTTTTTGCTAAGGGTCCCTTTAACGAGACGGATGATTATAACGACTACAGCGACGATCAGGAGTACGGTACCTCGGCAAGCGAGATGCACCTGGTCGAAAGAGGTCCTCTGGCCAAGCGGGCGCCGGGCAAGAAGCTTGCCATCTGCAACGGGGCTCACCAATTCCACATCAAGAAGTGGGACACATCAGGCACCTTTGACATTTATGACAACGCCGACTGGGCTGATTGCAGTAATTGTAAGTACCGCAATACTTGTTTCTTCTTCTCCCCGGACGTTATCCCTTTCATGGGCTGAACCAGGCGGGTTATTAGCGCACACAACAGACGACTTCGTCATTCAGGCTACGAGACAACGGGTTCCATACACCACGAGGGCTGGAAACCCGGCTCTTGAGGAGTATCCCGTGGAACACGTCCTGGAAGCGCAGATGGTTGTTCTGTTCTTCGAGACGACGGCCTTCTCGGACCTCTGCTTCGATATGGAAGAGACCGGATCCGGCTGGTTCGATACGAACGCCGTGGACCCCATCGTCCCAAGGGCGCCGAGACGGTCCCCGTGGCAGTACATCGCCGACGCCTGGCCATACTCGAGAGGGACAGAGACCCGGTCCCGGATTCCCTACCCGGCGCACAAGGAGGATGATTTTGTCTTCGTCATCGGGCCGGTCAGCAACATCAAGTCCAAGGCCTTCCAGAACTTCCCTGCCCTGAGTGGTACGGACGACATGGGGCGCGCCGTGGCTTCCGAGGCCACCGTTGGCGATGCGATCCGAACCATGAAGACTGCTCTCATGCTGTGGAAGTATCTCACCACGGGTGCCATCCGGGACACGCTGGTGGCGCAGGCAACGCGTGTCGGCGACCGCATGGAAGAGATATAGGACTTGCTGCGCAACGACCCGAAGTATAGCGCTGAAATCCAGGGGATGAAGGCGTTGTGAATGTCATTTATGAAGGGACGGACCGACCTCGCTGCCTCCAAGGTCCGGGCGTTCATTCGTCAATGGATGCCTCGTATCGAGCAGGTTTTGGATAACACCGACGCAGCCCAGGACACGCCAGCGCGGGCGGCGCTTAGGGTCAAGATCGAGACGCTCAAAAGGAAGTCGACGGCATGGCTAGCTGGTCGAGCCCGTTCGGGAGATTCTAGCCACGCACGCTAGTTAGAGACGGAGCATGGACTGTGTGTATCTATCCTGTCATTTTGTAGTGTGGTTTTCTAGACCTGTGACGGCTCCATCTCAACTTCTGCTGTGATGATGCGTAGCAGTTCAATGTGACAGGACAGGCAGAATCTCGACAGCATCCTCCTCGAGGTGTGTATACATAGGAGGGCGAGACCACGTTCTGTACCGACACCCCTTGGCGCGTTTCAATAAGTGCAAATATGTCTGGTTTGTTATTCCTTTTGTCTACATACATATCTGTGCTTGAGAACCTATACTAAGTAGACATGCCTGCTCACTCACCCCTCTCGACACTTCCCCCTGACAACCGCACTCACCATCATTCGCCACCACTCTCACATCAACTCGGTACATTGCAAGCAAGACACTAAATATGGAACCCTCATCCGAACGACTCGACTTTGTCTCTTCAATCGAGATCGGCCAGCCTTCTAGGGCGGTGACCAGTCGAGTCCAAGCGCGTTCCTTCACGGCCGTCCAGCTCAACAGCCATTCTGAATCGCTCCGACAGTTTGAACAGGTCTTTGACGATGCCGGAATCCGCCATCTCGTAAAGACCATTTGCTACGATGTCCTTCTCCCGAGCACCAGCGACAAGAGGCTGCAGAACAAGTTCCAGTCCACCCGTGAGGCCGCCACCAACTCTGCAGCCTTCACGCGCGCTGTACTCGCCCTCTTCACCAGCCTCAGCTCATGGCAGAGGAAGGACTCGCAGGGGAACGAAGGGATTCGGCTCTCTCTGACAGCCACGTCGCCCTCGGAAGATATAGAGCGACGCAATGGGAGCGTGACCGTCAAGAGGGGCCGGAATTTCTACCGATACTTGGATATCGACGCCAAACTATTGCCTTCCGGCCGTCTTCCTTCTGTCGCCTGCGTCTCCCTCGCTGAGCCTCGTCAAGATAGACCGGGGCACTGGCCGGCCGACTGGTCGCAAAATCCACCCAGCGGCCGCCTATCACATGGCGACTGTCGTGCCTTCTCTCCAACATGCCTCATGTGAGTTTTACATGCCCAAACTCCACCTCTCTCAGACCCGACAGGGGTTTCGAGCGGCGCTCGCCCAGACGCTCCTCGACCCCTCGTTCACGTCTCTTGCAACGCTCGAGATTCTACTCTCGGACAGCGACCCAGAGAACGAGCTGGCGCAGCCCGAAGAGTACGTTGGTGACGACGGCGAGGACGACTTGAGCCGTGGTCTGGCCAGGATTTCCGGGCTCACGACCATGACGTCGATTACTCTCCGCGGGAAATGGATTCTATACCCACGGGCATTTCCATCTCAAGGATTTGGTCCTAGGCTGAGCTTCTACTTTGTCGAGGTCTCACTCGTGACTCCTGACGGCAAGTGGCTGTTTGACGATGCCAACCCTGACTATGAAGCGTCCGAACCCGAGGATGTGACGACATCGAACGAAGACGGCCCTGCTGACGTGGACTCGGAAGACTCGGATGCCGCTGATTCTATCTCAAGGTCCCTGGCCACGGCGAATTTGGATCGTCCCTCGAAGCAGGTACGTGGTGTCCCGAGCCCAGAGACGTTCACGCCGCTCGTCGCCTCTTTCGCCAGAGCCGTCGCGGGGGCAGACGTGCCGCGGCGTGCCGAGATGCACATTCACGGAGTGCTCGCGATGGTCGACGTCGGCTACATCGGCGTCGGCGAGGAGGAGCGGACCGCCTTTCTCAACTGGCCTGCCTCGGCCCGCCGAGCCATAAAGGAGGGGCCCGTGGAGAAGGCGACCTGGTATCTTGACGCGTCTGGAGAGGGTTCGGCCGTGCGGTGGAAGCTTCCGGCGCAGATTCGCGCGGCCATGGAAGACGGGGTGGGCGAGGGCAACATCAAGACGTCAACGCCGGAGGGCGAGATGGAGATGGAGTAGGGCTGGTCCAACTGACGGGAGGATGACGCTCTCTTGTCTCAATACCCACACTGATCAATATGAGTTAGAGGGAACAGTGACAAGAGGCATGGGAATGGAACCATTTTTAGCAGTAATGCTAATCAAGAAACCTGAAGTTGGAGAAAGCACTTAATTAGTGGTATATGAAACTAGGACATTCGTCTTAATTTTAAAGCAGCATTCCTATGACTCTCATTACGTCCCATACACGCAAAATGAGGTGCGTTGAAATGTCCCATGGCAGCTAAGTTTATGTCTGCGTCTAGCCTGACCAGAAGTTGAGCAACGTCCATATTCCCATAGCCACATGCACTCTGGGGAAGGCTACCAAAGAAACCACCAGTCTGGGCATTAATATCTGCACCCGAGCTGATCAGCTCTTTGATGAGATCTTTGAACTGAAGAAATGAATATAACTCTTTGCCTTTGAGATAGGAATAGCATGAATGCTGCAAGAGTCTAGTTAACACGCCCTTTTTGAAATTAAAATCCACACCTGTATTAGCAAGAGCCTTCTAAAACGTGCTAAAGCCTGTAACATGCTTTTTCCTGTAAAAGTTGCTATAATCGCTAATCAAAGCGCCAATATCTACACCAAAGTCAATAAGCATATTAGCGATAATCTTGTTGCTCCCGCAGCATATACTACATAGAACAGTATCAAACTTACCTCCTATCAAGTTAACATGGGCACTGGAGTTAACCAACATCTCCACAATATGTCCATGGCCCCTGTAGGGTGCAGCTTGAAGAGCATTACTGTGAGTGCCGCCTTGAGCATTAACATCTGCGTCCTTCTTGATGAGAATCTGTACAATCTCCTCATTACCCCCGAAAGATATTTCATTAAGTAGATCTCAGTGAGTTCCGCATCTTGAGTTAATGGCTGTGTCCAGGTCAATAGGCATAAGTGTAGTATCCTCATGGCCTGCTGCAGATAATGCCTTAAGCGATTCTCCATATCCTTCCTCTTGGCTCCAAGAAGAATGAAGAGGAAAAGGGTATTTAGGGTCTCTGAAGCAAGAGGCAGTCGGATATCAGGCTGTCATGTTGAAAAGGGGGCTTGGCTCATACAGAAAGCAAGGCGCCAAGAGTTCCGCAACATATAATTGGCGGCGACGGTGGTCGACGCCGCAACGATGCACGAAGAAAAGTGGAAATGTAAGCCGCCTTCCAAGGGGTAGAATCGCCAACGTGTGAGACGGAGCAACAGGCCATGTTCCACTCTTTCGACAGTCGCCGGAGCCCCTCGGCATCGGCAGCCGCCGCTCCGACTCTGCCCCGGAAAGTCAACCGCTCGTGCCAGGAGTGCACGAGACGGAAAGTCAAATGCGACGGTGGACACCCTTGCGCCAGTTGCCAGTACTACAAAGTGGCAGACTCGTGCGAGTATAGGCAGCGGAGCAGACGGCACGCTGTGAGCAGGAGGTATGACACGACACCCCTCATAACCCCTGGCATGCCTATGAAGCCCCGGGGCTTACTTCATCGAGACGACGACAATTAACATGCACCCATTAGCACTCTTGAAAAGACTGCAGAGAAGCTCCGCGACCAGTCCCGTGTCCTGCAGGAACTCTTCCCCGACGTCTCCGTGGACGACCTGCTCGGCAAGAGTCGGGCGGAACTGCTCGCGTTGCTACCACGAGACTCGCTCTCTGGTACACGTCCCGCCGTTCCACAGGCCGGCCTCTTACCAGCTGGTGTCGTCTCAACCGCTGCTCCGGAAGAAGACGGGAACGAGGACGAGGACGATGTTCCAGACGACCCGACGCAGCTCTCCGAGAGCGGGGAAGCCGCCAACGACAGGCGCTGGGAGGAGTCCGCGCACCAGCCCACCACCATCCGAGCCAGCGACGACATCAACGCCGTGAGCCTGGCGACGGACCAGCACCATAGTTCCTACCTCGGCGTCACCTCTGTTAGCGCCGTCCTGAGAGCCATCTTCCGTCTCTGCCCCGCCGCGAAAGAGCACACGGCCCAGCGCGTCAAGACGTGGAACGACGCCCAAAATCAATCCCAGCTGCTGCCGTCGCTGTCCCCCGCCGGGGCCGGGGCCGGCCAGAACCCTCTGCGCGAGCGGCGCTGCATCGTGTTCTACTTTGACCACGTCCACCCCATCACCCCGATTCTCAACGAGGACGACTTCCGGCGGACCCTTGCCTCGGGGGCCCGCCACGACGGCTCTTGGCTGGCCCTCCTCAACATGGTCTTCACTCTGGGCTCCGTCGCTTCCGGCAGCGACTCGCTGCACCTACACTACTACAAGCAGGCACGCGCCCACCTCGACATAGACTTCCTCGGCTCCGGCAACATGGAGAGCCTCCAGGCCCTCTGCCTGTTAGGCGGCTACTACCTCCACTACCGCAACTCCCCCAACATGGCCTACGCCGTCCTCGGCGCCGCCCACCGCGTCGCCATAGCCCTCGGCCTGCATCGGGAACCCGCCCCTCGCAGCCGCATCGCCGACGAACGCCCCGTGAGCGATGCGGAGCGCGATACCCGCGTCTCCCGCGCCGAGACACGCCGCCGCACCTGGTGGGGCCTGTTCTGTCTCGACACCTGGGCGAGCATGACCCTGGGCCGTCCGACCTGCGGCCGCTGGGACGGTAGTACTATGGACACGCTCCTGCCGGCGTCGTTGTTCCCTGACGACCACGTCGCCGCATCGCTGCGGGCCAGCTGCATGTTCTGTCACATATGTGACCGGATCCAGCACCGCTTCGCCCAGCACGCCCGCTTGTCCGCCCAGGAGGCCTTGGCCTTCGACCGCGAGCTCAGGGAGTGGCACGCCTCCTTGCCCGAGTACCTGCGTGACCCGGCGAACTCCCCGCCCCGGCTGGCGATGGCCCGCGAGTTCATGCGCAACCGTTACTTGAGCGTGCGGCTCATCTTGTCACGCTGCTTCCTGTTGTATCTCGCCCAAAGCCACGGCCTCAGACGCGGTGCCGCGTCTGTCTCCAGCATCGCTGAGCCCTCTGCCGAAGATATGATGCTAGTCGACATATGCCGCTCTGTCGCTTTGGAGGCCATCGATGCAATAACGCTCTACTGGATGCCCAACCGCATCCACGTCTGGAACTCGGCCTGGTACCTGTTCCAGGCCTGCATGGTTCCGCTGCTGTCCATCGCCATCGAGACTAGGCACCGCCACTCGTCCTGCCAGCAGGAGAGACCGGCCGTCCGCCCGATACCTTCACTGGCCACTGCCGGCATGCCTCCGGTAGCACCCCTGGCCACATGGTGCGCGGGCCTCACCAAGGCCCTCGAGGTCTTCGCCGAGATGCGCCCCTGGATGCGCACCTCGGACTACACCCCGGAAATCGTCGCGGCGCTCTACGAGGCTGTCACCGCCGAGATTGAAGAACCCGGAGCCGCCGTCGGGCCCGCCACCCGCACACCCTCAGCCACGACGGACGGCAGCATGGACCTGTTCGAGTGGTGCGACGAGCAGCTCGCGGAACTGGACTGGGGCACATACCTCGGCGTCGGCGGCGAAGATGGGATGCATCAGCGCATGTTTGCCTTCTTCTGAAAGTTTGCCTCGATATGCTGACGCAATGACATGGATCATGGGCTGTTTGCCGGTCTGAGAGCCACCGGTGTTTCCCTTCTTTCCGTACGGAACGCAAATATTGTCGTGGATCGTGTTTTCTATATGTAGACGATATCCTTGAAATGCGTCAATATAACTAACACAAAACCCTTGGCGTCAGCGTGTCTCGCCGAAGCTATTTCACACGCGAATGGTAGTAGTATCTATGAGAATGTGACGAGGATGGACAAACAGACACAGTACAGTCCTTGGATAGCATCATATTGCTCTATTATTATACGATGAAGTGACAAGATATCATTCACCACATCGGCTGCATCTATCTCATTTGGGGTTTAGACCCCCTCCGCTGCAGGCAGTGGTTCCGTCCCTATATCCCCCTAAAAACCCAGCTAGAATCGCTTGCCTTCCCTGATCGTATCGTCTAAAAACAAAAGCCCCCCGGGTATAGCTCACTCAAACTCCTGGCGTATAGTAGTAGTAGTAGTGTAAAAGCTCAAAAGAGAGCAATAGGGAAAAGAAAAAAAAGAAAAGCAAACCCATTTTCCAAAACATGAACCGCCTTGAATAGGGAAAAGTGTAGACGGCGATGACCTTGTGGTCAGGATAGCACCGCTCTCTCTCACGCGCTACCACCAAGAGCCGCCCTCCACATTTCAAGCCAGCCTCTGAAGGGACTTGCTGGTCCTGACCACCACCCGCTGCCGCGCCTTGGCCTCCTTCCGCATCCGTACAGCCATCCACACGTCGGCCTTGTCCTCCTCCCTATTCGCATAGGTGCTCTGGTACATGGTCCCAAGCGCCGAGATCCTCCGTGTGCCTCTGGGGCCGAGGGCCAGATCCGATCTAATTGGGATATCAAAAAGGCTGTCGTCGTCCTCTTTCCCTTTCTCTTCTTTGACGGGCGAGATAGGAGCCTCGGCCCAAGAGTCCAGCGACGCCCTGCGGGCGAACCAACTAGGGTTACTCAGCGTGAACCGCTTATTCGAGTGCTCTAGTGACGTGGCGCTGGAGTCTGGTATTTTGGAAATAGTGTCAAAAAGCCCTGGCAGCTGAAAACCCTGTTCACCGTAACCCTCGACGCTGAATAGAAGTTCTTCCTCGTTGCCGCCGATATGGACTGATTCCCTTTCACGGGTAGTGATAAACGAGTCCGCGTCGACGTCGTCCTCGGATGACAAGTAGTCATCCATATTGAAGCTTGTCTCGGGGTTAGCCAGGTCCATGGGAGCCGACAGGGCGTTCTCGAGGGCTGCGCAATACGCGGCGAAATCGCCTGTCTCGCTATGCAGCGAAGTCTGGCTGTCGTTCCTGAGCGACGACTTGGTAGCCAAATCAATCGAGGTCGTCGTGGTGCGTCGAGAATGCGTGCGCTGGAAACTGCTAGTGCTTGACGTGGTCGGAGACGAAGACGACATGGACCACTGACGCAAGCTGCTTTTCCTCATCGAAAAATGCTCCAAGGTCTCTTCCTGAGTACCTATCCCGTGCGGCGACAAAGGGGCCTTCGGGCTCTGACACGAGTCCTCTTGTTCCTCAAGCCACAAGCGGCCACTTCTCATCACATCTGTTACAACCGGGCATGTCAGTAGGAAGGCCTCATGAAAATGTTGACAAAGGTGACGAGGAAATCGGTAAAGGCACTAACGCGGTGAAGGGGCTGACAAGGCCACATCCGCGGAATTTTCAAAGCTCTCAATCTCAACTCGGCTGACCCATCCCCTTGTGTCAATCGGTTCATCGAGCTTCGCGTTCCGTGGCCACTCGGTATGGCGGGCAGTTGGACCTCTCGCGAACAAGGTGTGCCGTTTGGATGACGAGTTCTTCTGGGTTGGGGAGGAGAATGTGGAACTAGCTACTGACCCTCCGCGGGATGACGGCCTCATCGACTGAAACGACTCGACATAACTGTGGCCTGACGTCTTCGGTCGTTGTTGGACAGGCAACGAGTAATTGTGTTTGACCAGGTAAGGTGGCTTCTGTGACGTCTTTGGCGACAACGAAGACTCGGCCTGTCCGCCAACCGAAGTCGACAGTATGCTCATTGTGTCCAATGGGGCCTCTCCACCTAGTGTAGAGCGTCTTTTCTGCTGCCTCGCGGCAATTTGAGGGGCAATTGCGCCGAAGGTCATGGGGTGACTGTTCAAAGGTCCGGCTGGGACGAATGAGGAGACGAACGAGACGGGGGCAGTTGGGATGTAAGCACCCAACGATTGCCTTCGCCGAACGCTACCCGACCCGGCAACGGACTCCATGATCGGTTGTCGGCTAAGAGAGCTTTCGGGGTTCAAGATGTTGGACCGAAATGAGACTTGGCCGATCGACGTGGTCAACGACTTGGTGCGGTTTTCATTGACCGTGGACTCACGACGCCCAGGATTTACAAACGTCTCTCTCTTGTCCCTCACACAAGTTCCTGTGGTTTGAGGTCGTAAATTTGTGTTCGCGGCGTAGAATTCCTGGACCCTCTCGGATGCCAGGTCAACACCGTTCTCGCCAATATTCCTGTCAGCGACATCTTCGCCATAGTCCCGCGCCCCCGACGCCTTGACCCGACTTTGGAAGCCGGATGGTCTGATTTCTGACTGAGCATCGAGAAGGTCGACAAAGCCCCTCGCGGCTGTACCAGTACTTCGCATAGACATATGACGAGAATGTGAAAACGGAGCTGGCGGAGGCAAGAACGGGTCGCCCTCGAAGGGGACGGCCGAGAGATCGGCCCGCTGCTTCGGCGTGGGGGAGAAGCCTGAGTTTGTTGACGATAGCGATCCGATGCGCGGTTTTCGGAACGAGAGAGGCGGGCCCCTCGACGAGTTTCTCGCTGGTTTACTTGATGGAGATGGGTTCCGCCAGTCGCCGCCAGGAGCGGAACTGGGACGTTGGGCACTGGTATCGCGGAATCGAGGAACTGGTGGGGCTGGAGCTGCGATGTCGAAATCCGTCATAAAAGACAAGTTGGTCTCGCTCATTTTGTAATGAGACCGTTGCAAGCCCTCAAAGACAGCTGTTGGGCCATTTCCAGCCACGGGATATGTTCCTGACTGTGTGTAAGCTGGATGGGCGTGAAGTATACGGGGGTGAGATGGTAGTCTTACCTAGGAGCGGGGGAAGGGAAGCAGTGGTGGCATCATAGGCCTGGACCTTGATCTCGTTTTGCGGCTTGTTGGGTGACTTCTTGGAAGAGAAGAACTTCAGGAGGCCCATTATTGCGGTTTGTCGCCCGCCATGTGGCGAGGCACGAAGGCCGAGCAGCTAGCACGAAGCCAACAGACGACGCTCACAGGCCGATAGGAAGATTGATGCTCAGCCAGGAACACAGGAAACAAGCGAGTGCTTGGATGGTGAGAGACGGAGATTCTGCCGGTTGTACAAGATGGAAGTGACGAGAGGATGGAGCAGACGGCGGGCGGAGAAGAGAAGGGTTCGAGCCAGTAGACGGGGGAGGGGAGGGTCTAAAAGCCAAACAGGTGGGCCAGACGGCGTCAGTTATTGAGAGGCTAGAGAGAAAAAGAAAAGGAGGAACGATGCGACATGACGAGTCGTGTGTCGGGGTGCAAGGCTGAATGAAGTGTGCGTATAATACTCCGTACTCCGTACACTACTAGGTAAAGACATCAGAAAGAGAGGGGGGGGGGGGGAAGCGGAGCGGGTGGGTGGGAAATGATTGACGCTAAAGCGGGTTTCGGGTCCGGGCCAGTCCAGGTCGAGGGCTTCGTACAGTCGAGACGATGCATACGATACGATCCATCGTTTAGGTACCTGAGCGTGGCTGCGTCAAGCGGCAGCCGGTGAAGCAGGGAGCCTTAGCGTCGCGTCTTTGAACGGCCCTCTCAGCAGCTCCGACGAGGGTAGTAACAGTCAATAATCTCTTGGAGAGCAGGCCGGGCGTTTGCGAGGCCTCGTCAAGCGCGAGAAGCCCTGGCTAATAGAAGACGCACATCGGCCTGCCTATTTGTGCCGCCATATAGGCAGGCCGATGTGCATCTTCCGAGTAGCTTGTGGGATACCTGGTTGTCAACGATCAACTCATTTCCATATCTCTTGGAGCCGAACAGGGATGGCCGCAAGCACGAGGTCCTGTGTTGGTTTGCAAGGCAAACAAAATCCCGAACGGCAAAAGGGATTGGCCAAGGCCCGGACAAGAGGGGTTGAGAGTAGGCCGGGTCGGTGCGATAGTGACAAGGGTTCAAGCTGCTGCTCAGACGAAATGGTACATTAAGGTTCCGGGAGCAGGTGAGCAAACGGAGAGTACCTACCTATCTAGGTACTCCTAAGAGTACACAATATGAAGCGTATATAGTATGTAGATACTATGTAGGTATGTAGGTAGTCTACATCAAATGGTCGGACGGGGAAAAGGTGGAATGAGTGGTGGGATGGACCGCGGGCCCGTGCGAAAGTGGCGGCAAAGGGCACAGGACAAAACAGTCTTCAAGCCATTTCCGTGGTGGTCCAGTCTTCCTTGGCTTGTCAGGACCTTTTCACCCGATGTTGCAGCGGCCAAAGGTATGAGACGAAAAAAAAAAAACGAAAAAAAAAAGGTCCCGGCCTAGGTGGCCGGTGCGGGTGACGGTGCAGTGTAACGTACAACACACTGAACCACTTGATGTAGATAACTATCTACATAGTACATAGTAAACGGGGGATCCATCCATGATGCTCTGCTTGGATCAGCGGCAAACGTTGCCCAGAGATGGCAATCAATCCCTTGACTTCCTTGTGTTACCAGCCGGTGCAGAGCCGAGGCAGATACACTAGTCTCCGAAGCGAACCGTGCCTGGACCAGGGTGGCATTATTGTACCCATCAAAACGACCAAATTTACATGAAAGCTGTTCCGAGGGGTGAAGATGCCGTGTCCACCATGCTTGCTGAAGTATCCGTATGTAGGTATGTAGATATGTAGGTATGCCTGATGATGTTTATGGTCGGGGAAAAAAAGAAAAAGAAACATGGGGGGTCAGGATCAGGGATCAGGGGTTAGAGATGCATGCCGATTAGTTTCGCATCGGAGAAAAGAAGAAAAAAACAAAAAGGAATCGGGGTGGGTTGGAAACGAGCCCGTTTGCCAGGTTCTTGAATTGGTAGCACCAGCTGATCGGCCCCGAGGCTAGCGTGTGGCAGCAGAAACAGAGTCAAAGAAGTTTCCTGTTAAACGGCGTCCGTTAACAGCAAATAGGTAGATAGGTAGCTTTGTTCCCTTGGTCCCAGCAGGCGCAGCACCTTAATGGTATGCATTGTCGGTTGACTAACCGTTTGGGATCCGAGCTCGACGGGGGGAGGTTGGGGGTTCGCCTCCTTGATCGTTGCTGTGGTGGTTGAGAGGCGTGTCGGGGTAGCAGCAGTGTAGCGTTGTCAAGTCATGCATGCTATATCAATGGAACGGTATTGACGGATTGACGGCAGTTTGTTGCATGCTGTCTCTCCCTCCCTCTCGCTCTCTCTTTTTCTCCCTCTCTCTCTCTATCCCTGTCTTTTATTTTCTCCCTCTCTCCGCTCGTTGAGTCAACGCGCCTCTCCGTCTTGCCTGGGTCGAGGTAGGTAGATAAACCAAGCCATCTTCCCCCCCCCGGTCTCAGATGTGCGCCTGCGTCGCTGCGAGACATACATATCCCGTGACCCCCGCTGATTGGAAGCGGGAGGCAGCAGATCGTGCATGGGCTCGCCCCTGGTGTCCTGTGGGCAGTGCTGGCTGCGATTGGGCTTAGGTGAATGACGCATCCCAAAAGTCCAGTGCGAACCGGCAAGACGGCCAGCTTGGTTCACCGTCATGTTCATATCCGATTTGCAGGGAAGTATGGCCGAAATGGTCGAGGACGAGTCGCGAGACGCAACGCAATGCAAACGACTGCTCGGGTTGACATCCCCCCCCCAATCTTCAATCTCATTGAAACTTGGACACTAGTTGCGGTGGTGCGCATTTACAGCAGTCTATAGGTTCCGTGCAGCATGCCACCCGTTGGTCCATGATGAGTGGTAGTCAAACGAAGCGACCCATGAACAGCGTCGTGAATGGGCGCTGTGACAATGTTTCGTAGAATCGGCTGGAGGCGATGGTGGAGTTGGTGCAACGCCCTTCCCCTCCGTTCATATTAGGAAAGTTCTGCCTCTGTTCTACCTAATACATAGTAGGTGGGTACTGTGCTCTATCTGCGCCCGTGTTTTCCGCACAGTCATCTTAGTCATGCCATCTTATTATTCAACGAATCCTGGGCGCGTATCAGTTTGGCTTGCATGACATCGAAGCCGAAGCAGGTACTACTGGCATGTAGCTACCGTTATTGCTTTTCTCCTTCCTGTTTTACCTTTTTTTCTTCTTCCAACAAACTGAGATTTCCACAAATTATCTAGGCAGGAAACTGACAAGCATGACCATTTATTGAGACAACAGATGTTGACACGTCAATCGTACCGAGAGGGGGAACAGTCGTTTTGCGGTTGCATGCATATACCTACGTCTGCTCTGCTCCGTAGGTACGTAGCGTAGAGGTCAAGGGGGAGGAGCGGCATGTGCCATGATCGAAACCCTTCGCCTTCAACTCAACCCACTATCCAGCCGCTTGCATGGATGCGTCCATCCGGCCTCAAGGGCTTGTCGCTACTGCTCCCAAAGGGGTCTCCGGCAAACGGTTGACGCCCCAACTCAGGGGACTCGCGTTAGCTCATTAATTATATTACACAAACTCAATACTTCGTACCGCCCGCCATCTGAATAGCCTTCTAGGAACGATCAACCACCACCACGTGGAACGAAATGGCCGTGTTCTACCCGAGCTCTCGTCACCTCATCCTGGCCGCCAATACGACCCCATACCTACTCCCTCCTCCCCCCCTTGGGGTTCCGGTTGCATCAAATCATGGCCTGGGCATGCGACAAACCTCAATGAGACGTCAACCCCATGCGATAGGAACAACAGTGCCATTCCTTGTGTCAGTCTCAGTCGTTTCTCGACTTTCTGCGATTCAGCCTGCCATTCGTTCTGGACTGCACAGGAGATTGGCCGACGAGTAAAGCTTTCCAGGTCTGCCATGTCAAGAGTCTATGGCTCAAGATATGGCCAAATTCCTTCACACTACCAGGAGCCGTCTTTTCCGCCCATACCTCTTAGCGTGGAATATCCACAACCCGGCGCAGCTATGTTCGGGTTCGCGCATCCCAGCCCAGCCGGTGCCGCCGCTTGGATGGCGCCCCGTGCCCAGTGCTCGTTCGACATACGAACGCTGAACACTGTAGCGTCCGAGCGGATATGTCAACCTGCAGGGGGTGCACGTTATCTGCCGTTAAGCTTGAGGAAAAATAAGCGGGACGAAACCGGTTCCTAGCAGCCTGGAGCGCGAGGGGAAATAAGCTTCCAGATGAGACATATCGTGGGACCCCAAGTGGCATGCCGTATATGCCGGTCTGTGTATACCGGACCATCGTGAAGGATAATCAAGAGACAGGTCGAGGCTCTCGAAGCGCTGCTGATGGGAGACCCATGACCTTGGCCGACAAGCCATATTGTTTGCGACTAGCTCGACTGCCGCGGACAAGTGTCGCCGTAGCGCTGCCGTTGCTGCCGCCTGCTTTGGAACTGTCGACGTCTGGCTAGTTGGCCAATGCCTATTCAATCTGCAATTTCAGATTGAGACTCATCCGTATTACTCCGTCACCAAGAGACAATTGGTTGCGGATTTATTCCCCACCATCTCATTGAGCTAGTTACTGTCACTTGACTCACTGGCAGCCGGGACGTCAACTCGAATCAGGGAAGCGAACGCATCAAAGAGAAAAAGAAAGAAAAAGAAGGAGAGAGGAAGGCTCCTGTTTATGCGCGGGTTGGCTACCGTACTTATTTTTAGCTGAACCTTGCCATGTCCCAGGCAGCCTTGAGAGTGTACATGTCGGAGACCAAGTATATTTGGCACATGTGTGACACAAGGAAAGCTCCAGCGCGACCTACTTGCCTACTGCCTACTTTATGACCTCTACTTTCCCCGTGTCTTTCGCCTTTACTTCATCTTACCGTTTCTTTACTGTGTCTCGGTCCCTTATGGACACTACCTAGGGTGGCAAGCGAAGAACTAATCGATAAAGGACGAAGCAAGAGAGGAGGGAACGACAAAAGTAGCATCTCTTACACGCACCTTCCTAAGAATTTCAAGTGACTGCTTAAGGAAGCCAGAGACTTGCCATTGAAAATACATGCGGGTGTCACCTGGCTTCTGGATTGCCCCGCTTCAATGTTGGACCTCACCTCCGCCTTTCTGGTTGATTCCCACCTATTGAGCCATCGTCTCTCCACGTTCGCACCGCCGCAAAGCCCTGTCTTCTAAAAAGCCTCTTATACGTACTGTATTCCTACACCTCAAGTTGCCACTCACGAGCTGCCAGGCTGGAAGTCCCCCGCAGTGCAATAGTCTCCTACAGGACTCATCCTTTGCTCGTCCATTCACAATGTCCAATCCCAAGGACAACAACCTGCCCGTCCAGCCCGACGAACTGCAGGGTTAGGTGCCCTTCTTCACCGAGCACGACGGCACTCCCATTATCGACGATACAAGAGAGCATAACAGCCTGCAGCCCCTTACTTATATTGATGTCGCATCGGAGCACAGCACATCCGTCACTACGCCTGCCGGAGATGGCGCGCCCCCCGAGTCCAGTGCCTTTGTCAAGGATGATGCCTTGAGAACACAAGAGCCCGAGACAGCGAACGACTGCAACTATGGAAATATCCCGTCGGAAATGTCCTCTTCTCTTGCAAGGGGCCGTGCATGGTACAGCGATGCGCAGTCACAGTCCTCACCGGAAGCCACTGGAAACCAGTCTGGCTTTACAAGGAGCCAGACAGCAGATAACCACCGAAAGTCAAAGACGGAGTTCAACTCGATCCCGGACGAGGTTGTCCCTGTTGGACTGGACATGGCCAGGTCCCCCGGTACTGGTTCCCAGGCGCACAGGAAGTCCTCTACTGAATTCGGCAAGATTGTGGCTCCCGGCAAGTCATCTCCTCTTCACGCACTTACACTCTCCTCAACACTAATATTGTCTCCAGATGCCGGTCTCGCGAAACAGCCGCATGTTCAGGATCAGGCCGCCGCTCTACCACCTGTGGTCCCGAAGCCTCACTCCGCGCCAGGCGAAAAACAAGACAACGGGGGGCGGAAGGCGGACAGCCAGCTGTGGCAGAAGCCCGAAGCCCAGGGGTCGTCACAGCAGCTCTGGAGATGAATCCGAGTTGCCTGTAGATGGGCTTTCTTAGTTTATTACGTACAGGCAAGGCCTTTGGAAACACGCCCCTATGCAATGTGTAGCCTTACAGGGATGCTTCCTGAGTAGGACAGTACCTAGAAATTTCGACCAAGAATGCTTCATGCCGTATTCAACTCGTATAGAGCGTCTCCGTATTTCCCATGTCCTAAACGCCAAATGGTATCCTTTCCTTTTGTACTTTGCTCTCACCCAGACATAAATAACTCCTTAGTCGAGGGATCCCGCCAACGCGACGGCGCTGAACCGGAGATCCGCCCCCTCTCTCTCGAGGAACTTACGCGGCCCCCAGGTGAGGGCTTTCTCGCTCAGCACATCTTCGCCGGCGTCCAGCTGACCGCGGTTCAGTGGCCCCTTGCGCCGGCCGTCGAGCTCCCACAGGGTGCCGTCGTCGCCCCTCACGAAGCAGACGTAGTGCAGGTCAACATCGTCCGAGGCCTCGGGGGCTTCGGTAGCGCCCTGCGAGGCGGCCTCGCGGTGGGCGGTCGCCAGCGCCGGGGTCTTCTCGAGCAGCTGGGCGCGGGCGACGGGGTCGAGGGGCAAGGCGTTCTCGATGAGAGTGTCCAGATCGGAGGGCTTCTCTGCATCGCAAAATTGAACGGAGGGTCAGTAAAGGCCTTCATTATCAAGAAGCTCGTGATCATCTGGTCATGGAGAGGCGTAGGTGGAAAGAGTGAAGTGGTGTGGGGGGGGGGGGGGGGGGGGGGGGGGTGGACATACGGATATACTCCCTAGCTGGTCCGTTGGCAACCGCATGCAACAATCCCATCAGCCCGCAGGCGTTGCGGATCGTCTGGCGGAACCATACAACGGGCTCTCTCGGCCCCTTGCCCTTGTACTCCTCCAGCAGCGAGTCCTCGGCCAGCCGGTGACTCTCGTAGGCGGCGCTGACGGGGAAGACGAGGAGGACGGCCAGGGCGGGGCGGGGCACGAAGGAGAGCATGTCTGGGTCGGTGAGGGAGTATACGTCATGGACCGAGAGGGCGGGCGAGAGGCCTAGCTTGTGCAGGAGCGAGGTCATGAGCTCCGGGTTCGCCTCGAGGGGAATGAAGGCGGGCGCCGCGGCGGAGGGGTCGGGGTTGGTCGAGGTCATCTTGGCGGGCGTCGGCTATCTGGTGATTGTTTTTTGTTCTTGTTTTGTGGTGGAGCGGGATATCGACGCTTCGTTAGGTTTGCGATTTGGAACGACTGGAGTGTCTGGTGTTTTTCGCTTGTTCAGGATCGAGAAGTTGCTCTGTAAGAGATTAAGTTGTTCAATGTAGATCGGAGTTGTAGACTGGGAAGAGCTGTTTGCCCCTCCAAGGCATCTGAATGGCGGGGTCAGTGAGGTACATAACCGGCAAGGGGGGTGCGCCACAGAGCTGTGAAAGCTTGGCTGCGGGGGGTGCTGAAAGAGCTTGAGCCAGGCCAAGCCATGTTGAGTCAGGACGACACTTATTCACCCAAGATTGTTACTCGTCTGTTTTTGATGAACAACGCATGGAAGAGATGTCTGTCTGTATACTGTGAATGAATTCTGTCTTAGCTAGGGTGGCGCCTGTATTTCCTTCTTTTTCCCTCCTTTTTCATACCATGTTAGTGTTATACACGTCTCAACCTCCCCCGTTTTGGCGCAATTGGAGCGCTTGGTGACCATCGTCCCTCTAAGCTTGATCTATACACTTTGAAATATTACAGGATTGTACATCCAAGTAAACCTCGGGGGCCGTCTCAGAATAGTTTGTCACGAAGGCTGTTGGCCGGTGGCAGGTTCGCTCTGTGGTCGGTCTTGCACTTCTTTGTACTCACTCTCATCCCCAACAAGGGGCTCCTCGTGGCTCAGATAGTTCCACTGCTCTGGACTCTCGTGAGAAGGCTCGCCATTGACAAGGACTTTATCCTCGGCGTGTTGGCTCTCCTCTTCCGTGAGCAGCCCTTGCTCCAACTCCTTCTGCATCGCCATCTTGCGCTGCCGCTCACGGACCCTGCCGTGCACAGCAGCGTCAAAGACGGTGTTGTTCTCGAGGTAGAACTCAATCTTCTCCTCGACGGCGTCCTTGACATGAAACGCCAATGCCTGGCTCGTGAAGACGTTGGGGAAGCGGTAGCTCACCCACAGATAGAGCGTGATGGCCTGGTGGAGTGTTTCGATCGAGTGAAGATATCGCCTGCCCTGGTTGTTGAAGTCCTCGAGCGTCGCGTCGAGCAGCTCAAGGTTAATGGGCCCAATATCGTACAGTGCACCGTCGCTACGTGTGGAGATGCACTTGGCGATGGCCTGGAGTATCTCCTTCTGACCGCTCTCGCGCAGTGAGATGGGCGCGTGAAGGATGGTGATACGCTCCTGTATCGTCATCGGGAACTCCTGGATAGCGTCGGCGATCTTCAGGTTGTCTTCGGGGACGTGTACAGTGTATCGCTCTGATACTGGGGCGAGTTCGCGCAGTCGCAGGAGGATGAAGCTGAGAGGCGTGTCGGGAGGGAAATATTCCGCAAACTGCTCGATGATAAAGGCCGGGGGATGGATGGAGGCCACCTCTAGCGGTGCAGTCTCGGAGTTGAAGGCCTTCTCAATGATTGGCAAATCCTCATTATCTAGCGTCGTGACATAGCCCATCTTCTTCCCCTCAATATGGGCGGTGCCGTTGTGGTCTGTTGCCGCTTGCCTGGCTGTCTTGAACCGGCCTGCTCTGCCACCAATCTGCTTGACCTCGGAGGTTGTTAGAGTACGGAACTGGGTGCCGTCGTGTTTTGTCGCGGTCTCGAATATGACACGCTTGATCTCCAAGTTTAGACCCATGCCAATGGCATCACTAGCAACGAGGAAGTCGTAGTCATTGTCCGGGTCGTTGAACAAAGCTGCCTGTTGCGCTCGAGTCTCGGGTGGTAGAGACCCGTAGACGATGGCACAACGACGACCAGTGGCCTCCTCAATGGCATTCTTCAGACCGTGTAGGTGGATTCGATTGAAGGCGACGATCGCGTCCCCTTTCTGGAGCTTTGTGAGGTCGTTGCCAAGACTTTCCTTCATGGTTTGCAAGGGGCTCAGTCTTTGGTAGCGATGGACGATGCACTTGTCGCCAATGCTGGAGCATATCGACTTGATGAGATCGACGACACGCTCCTCACCACACAGGTGGACTTCCTTCGCCATGACACCGAGGAAAGCCTGGGTCCAGGCCCAGCCTCGCTCTGAGTTGCCAATCATCTGGATCTCGTCTAGCACTGCGACGTCGACGAGTCTGTTGAGCGGCGTCATCTCGACGGTGCAGCTGATGAAGTAATTATCCGCATCTGGTATACGTTGCTCCTCACCCGTGACCAAGGCACAAGCCTTGCCCTTGGCCTGGAATCTCGAGTAGATCTCGTGGGCCAGAAGACGCAATGGCCCTCCATAGATGCCTGACTTGGCACTCTCGAGCGCCTGCAACGCCCGATACGTCTTTCCTGAATTCGTCGGTCCCACGTGAAGGTGGACGGTGCGCTGTATGGCCCGCGTGGCGGGAAACCACTCATGAGGGAACCTCAAGTCCGCCAGCTTCTTCTGCCTCGGTGTGGACTGAGACAGCTTTGACCGCATCATGAAGCTCTGGAACGAATAACGTAGCTCCGAAGTCAGGCCCTTGACATCGCCGCGGATGAAGGCGTTCCGCAGAGACCAGAAGAGCGGGTTCTCCTTGCGCAGCATCGCGCCCTTGTTGGCCATCTGTATCGATCGCTGTATCGTCTCCCGGAATAAGGCGATCTCGTTGTTGAGCCCATGTTCGCTTCTGACGCCAAAGTTTTGGAGCTCGCGGTTGGTCTCCGAATAGCCGCCCATGTTCTCGAGGACGACATTGAACTGGGTAAGGATCATGGATTTAAAGACGTCGTACTTGGACTTTTGGCGGTCGGGAGGGTTGTAGCGTTTCGCGGAATTTTGCGCTGGAACCGCCTACATGTCCATCTCAATGGTCAGACAATCCAGCAATTCCCTACGGTCTGCAGCCGTCGCCGTCACTCACCTGGAAGGCGGCCAGGGACGATGTCGCGAAGCCATGGCGCGAAGTAAGACGACTGCGCGCAGCGCAAATCTTTGCAACTCGCAAAACTGGTCTCATGGTGGGTTGTGTTCTGACCAGCGGATCATGGCTGGGGGCATGCGATAAACATGTCCATTAGCATCAATGTAAGACTAGAAGCAGTCCGCCCACCCTTTCGCCTCCCCAGCATCAACACTCACTCTCGCATCTGTGAATTTTTGGGGCCGATAAGAAGCAATTTACCCCTGGTCTGTCTCCTTATCAGTAAGAGCTCTGATTCGTCCTTGACGAGTGGCTGTGCGCTGCCCCACTCCGGCTTAGTGCCCCCCCGTCTCCCGATTGCACCGTCCGTCTACTTCGTCATCACGCATTGAGGCCCCAGGTTCCCACAGCATCCTGCGACAGCGCCCTCCACGCCGACCTCCGATCTTAATCACTTACCTACCTTACGTACGCCCCTCGCCGTCGCACCTCGAATATCGCTGCCTGTCGACTTACAGCGCATTTAAAAGACCCAAAAGAATCTCAAAATAGGCTTCTCGGATCCTGTGGATCTACCTATTACGATCATTATGGCTTCCTCATCAACGCCCGTTACCCCTTTGCTTTAGTAAGTTGTCGTTGACTTTTCCATCTTGACCGGCCCGTATCGATACCAGGCGCAACTGACCTCCCGGTAGCTCGTGCATAGCACACAACAACACTATCCTCAGCGAATGCACGACATCCGCCTCGTCGCAAACCTCATCCCTCGCCTCCATCATCCTCCCCAAGATCGATCACAGCAGCCCCCAGAAGCTGACCTATACACACGGTACGCACCACATTCACTACATCGCCGAGGCACCTTCGGATCACCCAGACCACCCTTCCGCCGGCGGGCTCACCTTCCTCGTCATCGCGGATGCCTCACTGGGCCGCCGCATCCCCTTCGGTTTCCTCTTCGAGATCCGCCGCCGCTTCCTCGAGCAGTTCCCCGCCGAGTCGACCGATTATGCCGAGCTACCCAACTACGGCGCCGCCAGTTACAATGGCCAACTAAAGAAGTTCATGGTCGACTACGGCACCACGAACGGCGGCAAGGACGACGCCATCTCCAACGTCCAGCGTGAGATTGATGACGTCCGTGGCATCATGACGCGCAACATCGAGGGCCTGCTTGAGCGCGGCGAGCGCATTGACCTGCTCGTCGACAAGACGGATCGTCTCGGCGGCAGCGCCCGCGAGTTCCGCGTCCGCAGCCGTGGCCTGAAGCGCAAGATGTGGTGGAAGAACGTCAAGCTCATGGCGTTGCTCACGCTGGTCGTCGTGCTGATTATCCTTGCGATTGTGGTTGCGGTGAAGAACTGAAAAAAAATGGTGGTGCGAGGGGGCCGGGGGGAGGCATGAGCTGGTATCCAGCCCGGCGCTTTGTGTCTTAAGGGTTTTGTGTACATGGCGGAGTTTTCTTGTTGCGATTGTGTAGGTGCTGACCTCAGATTGGGTATTGGTTTGAAAGGCGAACGGAGAGGCATATGGGAGAGCAAAACAACGGAGGCTTTAGTCTCATTATCCATGACCACGAGGGGATCACCCTTGATTACATATTTCTCCTAGGCTGTCAGTCGTGGGTACAGAAGCCACGTGGGAATACGAATGAATTATTTGAAATCTTTTTGATACCTTGAGTGTGTATCTGCGGGACTAAGCCATAGATATAATATGTGAGGCTACCTACATTGTTGATACCCAAGCAAACAGTTCTGATTGTTTCATCGAGCGACGTTGATCTCAGGATCAACCACCTCGCGAGCCAGTAAGCTGAAGCCGTATATTAAGCAAAGAAACTGCGAGCAACTCCGTATATTCATGGCCGTTCCAAGACGAAAGGCTCATCACTTTATTGAAAACACGGTCATCACACTTCATACATGGAAAAGAAGCTCCTGCCATCACACCCTATGAACGAGGAGGGCTCTCACAATATCGATACAAGGGGTGGCCATCGTTGGTTCGTCACATTCTTACGCTATATGAAAGATGAACTGCACCCGTGATGACTCTCGACTCTCTTTGAATAAGCGCTCTCGAGTATAGTCACGCGCCCTTGACGACAGAGTGGTCGTGGGCGTTGCGTTGGGCAGCTCGGTGAGCATCCGCCGCCGCAGCTTTCTAGACCATGATCAGCGGCCTAGACATCGAAAAAGCCCCTATGAAACCCACATTACACGTATCCCCTCACGTTCGAGACCACCTTTTTTTCGGCGTACTCCGATACTGACATGACCCGTGCGTGACGACGCTCTCAGAGCTTCGGCGCCGAGTTCCCGTCGGCCCTCCGTCCGTCCTGATAGACGTAGCCGTGCGCCACGGGACTCATCCCCGTCCCATGCCCCAGAGACGACGGCGGCCGCCGCAGCTTTCCCGTGAAGAAGACGGGGTGCCGGGTGGAGACGTTGTGCTGCACCGTCTCGGCGTACCTCTCCCAGGTCGCCTGGAGTTGCGGGGCCCTCGTCTGGAGCGTCGCTGCCGCTGCGTGGTTCGTCATGGCTGGCGATGAATTGGGAGCCATTGACCTCGGAGGCGTCTGGCCGGTCGTGGGCGTGTGTGTATGCGGAGGAGGGGGAGTTACGCGTTTGTCGGCAAACGCTGGCGAAGAGCTCGGGGTCTTATCGTAAGGCACGTCCGCCCAGGTTCTGTCGTCATCCCGGCTCTGTGCGCCATCGGTGTTGCGGGGAAAGCTTTCCCCCAGTTCGGCCGTTGCAGTGAGCCACGGCACTTGAACGGGCATGGGTGGGGGGTGGGTGCCCCCGGAGTTTGGAGGAAGCGACGTGAAGAATGTGCACGCCCGAATGACATTTTTGAAGGCTCAAGCCGAGGCACGTTAGAGACCTTCCGTATGCAGCCAGAAAACCCACGGAGACGCTGCGTTGGGGTTTTACGGTCTACCATATGGTACTAGGCTATAATGTCGTGATTATTTTCACGTGTCCTTCTTGGCCTTCTTCTTGCCCTTTGGCTTTTGCGACTCCTTGCCCTTTTTAATGGCCTCGACAAGAGCCTCTACCTCCTTGATCTTCTCCGCCTCCTTCTCTTGCTTGGCCTTTTCTTCCTCGGCCTTCTTCTGCAGCGCCCGGACGGCAGCCTGTTCCTTTTCCGTCGTCTCGATCAGCTTGTCGCTTTCCTCCCAGAGCTTCTTGGCCACCTCTTTGTCCTCCACGTCCTTGCGCGCGAAATCGACCACTTGGCACTCCTTGATTAGCTTCCCGCCGCCGATGCGCACGAGGCTCGACTCCATGGCGGCGTAGAGGATCGACTGCGCGCCCTGCTCGGGGCTCTTGAGGAGCAGCCACGGCACCGGGTAGGCGACGAGGTACGTGAAGAGACCCCACAACGTGCCACGCGAGAGCCAACGGCGCATTCCTGGCGTGCGGACAAAGCCTGGGTCGACGAAGTAGACGCGTGAGTTCATGGGCAACTCGTCGGGTCGCTTGTAGGCGTTCAGGTGCTTCTGGAAGGCCTGGCCGAAGACCATGAGCGCGAGCTTGCTGCGCTTGTACGCCTTGCTGGGAGACCAGGTCTCTTTGCTCAGGGGCTCCTTGAGGGAGCCTGCGCCGATGTAGGAGGAGCAGGTGGCGAAGATGATGCGCACGTCGCGGTCAAAGGGCTGCGCCTTGATGGCGGGGCTGAGGATGGAGAGGAGGTGGAAGTTGGAGAGGTAGTTGACCATCCACATCTCCTCGATACCCTCCTTCGTCTGCATCCTCTTTCCCGCGGCGGGCGTTATGGTCGCGGCACAAAGGACAATCATGTCGAGGCGGCGTGGCGGGGCGTTGTCGATCCATTTGGTCGCAAACTTGCGGATGCTGTGCAGGGACGCGAGGTCGACCTGTTCAGCGTAGATGAGCTGGTTGTTCGTCCGGGCCCGCACGTCGCTGATGTACTCGACAAGAAAGGGGTCCGAGACGGGCGTGCTCGTCAACAAAACGATTTGCGCACCGCGTCTGGCCAGCTCCAGCACCGTCGCCGCCCCTATGCCTGAAGTCCCGCCTGTTATCATGACGACTCTCCCGTGCATGTCCCGCTCAGCAGGGTTGGAGGAACCGGCGCTCCATAGCTTGATTGCCACGAGCAGCGCGACCGTTATGATGGCTTTGGTGATGAACCACCAGTTGTCCGTTACCCATATCGGGAGGCCGGTTTCGAGCACATGACCGAAGAAATCGAGGGGCATCGCGTTGAACGAGTGACTTGGTTGAGGTAGGTGTGGCGGTAATGGCGACTACTTGTGATGGCCGAGCATTCCAAGACAAGAGGTAGGTAGGGTATCGTCGGTGTAAGGAGGTATTCCGGCGCTGGTCAATGTCGTGGACAAGCTCGTAGTGGACAGAAAAGAAAGCAGACAGTTCGAAAGTAAGTGTTTGGCGAGACCGCCAACTTGCTTCTAGAACAAGGCGGAAGAGATGATGCGCCGCCAGGGGATTTCCGAATTGCGATGACAGGGGCAGGCTGATGGCGTGGCACAGGGCGCTAAGTGCAGAGTCTGCAGGGGACGCAAGGAAGCCTGCCCGCGTTGGCTGCCGCTGCCGCTGCCCCTGCCTCTGCTGGCTTCCAGATTGCTGACATAACCTTCCTTGCCCCTCTGGACCTGCAACTGTGGGCCTATTCATCGACCCTTCTCCATCACATCGCGCTTTCATCTCATTAACAAATCTCACCACAGGTATCAATTCGGTACCGCGCAGGTCTCTCACGAGTACTTTTCGAGGGGGTGAGATCCTGGAGTGACGACCGCCTCAAATGCAGAGACAGGCCAATGACGACAAGGAATATGACGAGGAAGAGGATGTTCCGCTTCACCACCTGCGGCCCTTCGGCGCAGGTATCCAGCGCAGGCCGATCCAGTTCGTCAAGGCGTCGGACCCAGCTCTGAGCACGACCGAGCCGGTCAAGACCACAAAGTCCGGCTCTTCTGTGGGGGATTTCTACCTCAGTCTTGTCCTCCCGAGCGAGGAGAAGAAGCCAGAGGCCGCGAAGCCAGAGGCACATATATGCGCCATATGTGACTTGCCACTTGGTAAAGACGATGCCGTAGGAGAAAGCAACAAGGGCGGCAGTGACAGCAGTAGGAACACGGCAACAGCACTGAAGCACGAGGCTTCCATTGCTCATCAGGTGTGTCTCACGCACTCGCACCCCCCATCGGCGCTGGACCGGTCGCGCATGGGCTTGACGTATCTATCGTCGCACGGCTGGGACCCGGATTCGCGGATGGGTCTCGGTGCCGCAGGCCAAGGGATACAATATCCTCTCAAGACGAAGGCGAAGGAGGACAAGTATGGCCTCGGGCTAGACATTCCCAAAAACTTGAAGAGCAGGGTCGAGAAGAAGCAGAAGCCTCAGACGCTGGACGCGAAGAAGTGCCGGAAAAAGGCAGACGAGGATAAGAAGAAGGCCGAGAGGCTGCGGCAGATGTTCTACGGTAGCGAGGCCATGGATAGATACCTTGGTTCAGGATTATGACGAAGAATAAGATACCCATAGCAGAGTGTGCAATAGCTGGCATTCAGCATGTTATATATCGTAACGAAAACAGATGGATCTGTGTCTCCCCCATTGCGCAGTACAACACGGACAACGAAACAAGACGCATGCATGGCGCGGTCTTCCCATCTACTTCTTGTTTCCACCAGAGTATTTGCACAGACAAACAGACAAGAAGGCGGAGAGAGAGGACTGAGTAAAGATGAGGGAGACAAGAGTAGTATATGGTGCCTAGAAAATGACGGGGAAGAGACTGAAGATGACGTTTGTATGCCAGACGCATGGGCTACGTGGCTGTATATCGTGAGAAGCACATGGAAAGTATAAATAGAAGCTGAAGTTAAGGGTTTTCCATCATTGCGACGAAGGTTCGGGTGGCGGGGATGTCAATGACAGTCAGACCAAAAACATTGTGATTGTGAATAATCTCCTACTTTAGCTTGACAAAACACCTAGTCGGCAATCTTGGCAGATGAAAACGAGTAGGAAAGAAAGGTAAAAGATGGTATTATTGGGATATGCAAGGGCCCATCGAGGCCTGATAGCCATGATCCATGCGAACATACCTAGCTTAGGCTGTAAGTACCAGATCACCTCCTGTGTCGTTTCTTTAAAGGATGCCCGGGCAGATGCGAAGGCGGTGACCTCATTCGTCAGCCTTTGGGGGGCTGAAGGTGGGGGGGGGGGGGGAGAGGGGGATGCCGCCGCGCTACAGTATCCGTACCAGGATACGCCAATGCACAACTCCAAGGGGCTCCTTTGGCAAGGGGTGGTCGTTCCGTTGGTATGTTAAACTACGGATACCTACCTAATAATAAACTTGGGACCACGACCAAGACCAAGAGTAGGACTAAGGAAATAACCTGTAACAATGGGACTGCATCTGGTTCTATCAATTGCCTACATGCATACATCATCCATCGTCAAGTGCCTTGAATTCCTCATTCTCAAACAAGCCACACGGCGACGATAACCCAACGGGACAGGCATCCCATCCATCATCCATCTATCGTTCCCCTTCCCATCAACAGATCACCTTGCCTGACTGGCCTGGCCTGCTTTCAGGGGACACGCCGCCGAATGCATGTACGTACTCCCCCTCCACCCCCCCCCCTCCACATAACCTTGTCCGCATAGAGTCGCCTCTTCGAACCTAGGTAGCTCAGGCTTAGGCTCGAGGCTCTAGGCTCTGGGCATTGAAAGTCCCACCACTGCGACCGCTTCTTGCTCCATCTTTGAAACCCCGCCAGCCCAGAACATCAACCGCGCTGGACACGTCGTAGGTCTCTACAAGTCTCTCTCGAATCAAGACAGAAGCCCGACTTCTCGATCCCCTATTTTGCTCCAAATCAGCAGCGTACATTGCAGCCTGCCTCGTGCGCCGCTTCCTGTACTACAATCCGACAGCGCACCCGACTGCACCTAGCTTCGCCCAAGGCACGAACCGTTGACTCTCTGTCTCGTACCGACAACAATCTGCCTTCTCCCACGAGACAACATTACCTGGCTGCTCGCTACCTACGCGGCAACTTGCCACGATGGGCGTCTCCGCGCTCCAGGAGCAGCATGACGGTAAGCTCGCTCGTCGCCCAACTAACTCTGTGCCCCCCTCAAAACACCCCCCAAAGACTGACGGGCTTCACAACAGTCATTATCGACACTATCAAGAACATTACCCGAGGCGACGTGAGATCCACCCAATCTGTGATGACTTCGTTGCGTGCCATCCACCGAAACTAACGACAACAACACCCTTAGTGGAAAGTCCTAGTTCTAGACGAAGGCTCCAAGAAGATCTTGGACAATGTCGTCAAGGAAGATGACATCCTCAACCACAACATCGCTAGTGCGTCCTGCAAACCGTCCGTACCTCTTGTGCCGCCCCAACCCCTGACACCCTTGGTACAGACATCGAGCGCATCGAGCAGAAGCGAGACATGAACCCCGAGATGGACGCCATCTACATCCTGTCTCCGCAAGAAAACATTGTCGAAATCCTCGTCAACGACTTCGAGCGCCGCAGATACAAGCAAGCCTACCTCGTGTGGACCGGTGTCTTGGACCCCAGAATTCGTCGCATGATTGACGGCTGCCCGCCGGCCAAGCAACGCATCGCGGGCTTCGAGACCTTGTCCATTGACTTCTTCCCTCGCGAGTCGCACCTGGTGACATTCAGAGACCCCTGGAGCTTCCCTATCCTCTACCACCCCGCTTGCAACAACATGGTTGCGCGTCACATGAAAATCTTGGCCCAAAAGGTGCGTAAAACATGTGGCATGCGGGCTGCTTGTTTGTTTGTTTGTTTGTTTCGCTGACAGGCGCAATCAGATTACCGGTGTGTGCGTCACGTTGGGCGAATACCCCAAAATACGCTACTACAGGCCGAGAAATCCCCTTCACGAAGCTGCAGTGCTTAGCGCCCACCTCGCCCGATTTGTACAGGAAGAACTGGACGAATACGCGCAATGGAACCCCAATTTCCCACCACAGTCGACGAGGCCAGCGGGTACTCTCGTTATCACAGACCGATCAATGGACATTGTGGCACCACTGGTGCATGAGTTCACATATCAAGCCATGGCCCACGATCTCCTCCCCATACAAGACGGCGACAAAGTCACGTACCACATGGTCACCAACAGCGGTACTCCGGAAGAAGAGGAGAAGGACATGGAGCTTTCGGACAAAGACCGTGTCTGGGTCGACAACCGCCACCGGCACATGAAGGATACAATTGAAAAACTCATGTCCGACTTTCGAAAGTTCTTGTCCGACAACCCGCACTTCGTCAACGAGGAGCAAGATACGACGAGTTTGAACGCCATCAGGGACATGCTGGCCGGACTGCCTCAATTCCAGGAGATGAAGGAGGCATACTCGCTTCACTTGAATATGGCACAAGAGGCCATGAACATATTTGAGAAGCAGAAGCTGCCGGACATTGCTTCTGCTGAGCAAACGCTGGCAACGGGGCTGGACGAGGACTTTAAGAAGCCAAAGAATATCTTAGATCAGGTTGTGAGGCTGTTGGATGATGATGCGGTTTCGCCCGCGGACCGACTGCGCTTGATCATTCTCTATGTGCTTTACCGAGATGGCGTCATCATGGAAGACATCAATCGACTGTTGGCGCATTCCGGCTTGCCGCAAAGAGACGGAGAGGTTGCAGTCAACCTTGAAATGCTGGGCGGACGCCCCGTTCGCAGCGGCCTGAAAGACGTGCGGCCGGCTCAGCCGCCTCTGTTCACCAAGAACACCAAATCCGCCGAAATCAGCGAGGAATACTCGCTTTCTCGCTTCGAGACGGCGCTGCAGACGATGCTCGAAGAGCTCAGTCGGGGTACATTGGACCAAACGGTTTTCCCTTACGTGAAGCCGCCGGCAGACCCTAACGAGGATCTCTTGGCGTCCCAGCAAGGTTCACTGCGCGCAGGCAGGCCGAACTGGGCGGCGGCGGGCCGAAGACCGCCAGAAAACAGGCAGCGCTACATCGTGTTCATGGCTGGTGGCGCAACATACAGCGAAAGCCGCGCATGCTACGAAGTTTCAGCCCGTCAAGGCAAGGATATCTTTTTGGTGACCAGCCATATGCTCACACCGCAGCTCTACATCCGCCAGGTAGGGGACCTGGGCAAGGACAAACGCACGCTCGACATCCCCATGGAGCGGCCGACACCCCGTGCTCCGGCCTGGGTCTACGAGAAACCCGCCCCTCCGCCCAACCCCATAGCGCCACGGCCTGCTCCAGGAGCACCAGGACAACCGGCGGGGGGGGCTGCTCAAAGACTGCCGCCTTCGGGTGGTCTTCCGAGCCGGCCAGTGGCCCCGCCGACGGCCCAGATGAACAGCATGAGCCTCAACGCCGCTACGCCCGCATCGAACGGGGGCAGCGCCTCGCCTGCGCCATCAGAAAGCGGAAAGCCTCACAAGCTCGAAAAGGACAAGAAGAAGCGCAACTTCCTAGGTATGAAGAAGAGCAGCAAGGATAAGGACAAGCATTGAGGGGCACGAGGATCAAATGTTTGGAAACAAACTCAATATACATTCTGAACTTGAACGGTGCACTCCTTTTTCTTTCTCATTTTGCCAGCGTGGCGTTCTTTGGTGTTGACCCAGATGGCGGGGGCGGAGGGGAGGGGAGGGGGGCATTTCGGCTTACAGATGTTTGCAAGACCCGATGACCCGAGGTGGTCAAGAAGGGGGCGGCGACTGGACAGGTTCTATTGAAGGTCTCCTTCTTATCCTTGTTCTTTTCCCCTCTTGTTTTTCACTGGATTATTTTTAGAAGGGATATCAGGCCGTCCAAGTACACCGTCCAAGGTCATGAACGAGCGTGTCTGTGCATTATTAGTGTTTTTTCCTTTTTTTTTTCTTTTTCCTTTTTTGAATACTGTGCGGTCCATCAACCACCTGTTGATAAAATTTCCTCACTTGAGGTCTTGTGATTTCAGCATGCTTAGGAATCAATATATGCGCGTTCTGAGAGAGGGTGGGAGAAGTATGAGAATGTCTACGCACAATCTTTGACCTCAACGCTGTTGTCTCCCCTCAGCATGTTGAACATGAGACGTACACATAGTCACGAGGGACTTTTCAAAGAAAAGGATAACTGGATTATGGAAGCGAGGGAACCAGACATCCATTTCATTTCATTCATGTCTACCGTGGTAGAGTAATATCGGAGCACCCTATCCCTGCCTCCCCTCGGAAATTCGTCAATCCGTTTTTTGTATCTGATTCCACCTCTGCCCAATACCTTCAGATTATGTGGGGTGGACAAGGCTGTAGCAGCCTCGGTCAAGACCAAGGCTGGTTTGGTTTAAAACAGTGTCTACTCTCGTGAGAGGAAGACGTAATCGCGGGAATATGATTCGTCATCGGTATAGCTGATGTATGGTTCACGCGTGCGAAACGGACAGGGCCATAAAGAGACCGCCCTCTCCAGTCAGGCTGGAGAACCGTAGTTACCGAGGGTTAGAAATAAGGTTATTGATTGAGAAATATCCGACATAACGTCGTTGTTCCGACATTTTCATTGGGTTTGTGTACAAGTCATATCCTTCTCAGGGACATACACCTGTACATTTCGATGCAGTGACTCGAACAAGTTTAGTGCAGCTGTTGATGTGCTGCGGCAGTGAGACCTGACCCCAGATGTCAAGGTCGAAATTGAACCTGTACTGAGGTAAGGTTTACTGTCTTCGGAACGCCTGAGCGGCGCCCGGGGGTGGCATACGCCCGTCAAAAGGGAACACGTGCCCCTCAGGCCCAGCGGGACCGGGAAAGCCAGGCATTCCAGGGGGAGGGATAAATCCGGGAGGAGGACCGCCGAAGAAGCCCGGAGGAGGGGGCATATTGCGCGGCGGCGGACCTGCCATGACCTCCGGGGGCGGGAATGCACCCGGAGGGAAGTTGGGCGGGAACATAGCGCCCATGGGGTGGTTGCGACCAGGGCCGCCGGCAAGACCAGGAGGGGGAATTATGGATCTCTGTTGAGGAGGGATGAGGCCGCCGGGCTGGATCCAGTTAGGGTTCATCTGGTCCAAACCTGGAGGCGGGGGAGGGCGCTGCAGGATCTGCGTCGGCTGCATACGGGCCTCGGGTTCCGGGTGGTGGAAAGCTTCGTCCATGAAGCCCGGCGGGCCCTGGCCTCGCATCTGACGTTGAGAGCCACGGCCACCCTGCGGGATGCCCTGCGGGATGCCTTGAGGGATGCCTTGCGGGATGCCATGGGGGATGCCCTGCGGAAAGTCGGGTTCGCGATCTTGAGCATGCGGGATCTGGGCAGCGCGCTGAGGCTGCGGCATGCGCATGAGAAGCTGCTCGGTGCGCGGAGGCTCTGGCTGGTTTCTCATCAAGTTCATCAAGAACTCAGTGTTGCTCATGTTGCGACCTTGGTTCGGCTCCATTCTGGCCGAGCCCTGGCTAGAGGCCTGGTGGCGCTGCCCAACCAAGTCCTGAAGCAGTTGATCTTGACGAACAGCAGGCTGCTGGCCTGGCATCGTGGGACGTGGAGCAAGGATATCAGACATGGACATGGAGGCTTGAGGCATGCGGGGACGGGGGTCCTCTCGGCGCTCGCCACCATACTGCTGGAAAGGCTCGGGCGATGCAATGGAGCTCGAAGGAGCCGGTTCGCGCGCAAGTGGAGGGGGTTCCTGGAAAGGCTGGGAGGCAGGAGGGGTAGAAGACTGAATGTTCGAACGCTGCAGCTTCATGAGCAAGGCCTGGAAAGCTTGCTTCTCAGAATCAGGGGCAGGCGCAGACCCGTCGGAGCCGCCAATGGAAAGCCCGGCAAGAGGTGTCGAGGGCTCGGTCTGCATGCGGCGGTTGGGATCGTCTTGTGGCGCATTGAAGAAGGACGTGAAGCGGGACGACTTGCCGCCGCCAGTCTTGGCCTTGGCAGAAACCTCCTTCTTGGGTTCATTTGGGGAACCGACATCCAATCCAGCAGTGGATGCAAACTTGAGAAAGAACTGATCAGGACCAATCTCGACAGCAGGCGCAGAAGCGACGGCTGGCTGCTCAGCCTTGACGGTAGCCTCGGCAACGGCAATGGGCGCCTTATCCTCAGCCGGGGCGTTGCGGCTTGCCTTCATGCTCTCCATGAACTTCTTGAAGTCCTCTTCGGTGTGGCCTCCCGACTTCTCCCCGGCGGGTTCGTCAAACCACTCGGGCTCCCGCTCTTGCCTATGATCCCCACGATCCCAGCGGCGTTCGTAGTTCCGGCCAGTCGTCTTCTCTTCAACGACCTCGGCATCCCGGTTCCGGTCTCTCCAGCTTTTAGCACGATCAATGCGCTCGCGAGCTGTCATGGCGGGCTTCTCGGGGGTGCTGGCGACGTTGTTGCTGCTGTTGCTGTCGTTCTTGAACCAGGGCTCCGACTTGCCCCTGTTGAGACCATTTCGAGGTCGCGGTTCAGCCTCTTCATGTTCATGATCCTTGTCCTTGTCGTGATGGTCAAAAGTGCGGTGGGTTCGGTCTCTGGGGCCCTCCCGATCATCGCGATCACGCGGACGGCGTTCGTTGGGGAGTCTGTCACCACCACCCGCGCCCATGCGACCTTGAAAGCGCTCAGCACCTTCGTGCCCGAAGCTCTTGCGCGGCTTCACGGTGCTCCATCCCTCCTGATCCTGATCGCCGTCCCCACGACGGCGAAAGCTGGTGTTTCTCGAGTCACGGAAGCGGTCACCCTCGGGAGTATCGCCGTTGCGGTTGCGGAAGTTGAAGCGACTTGGCGAGTCAGCGTCCTTGAGCCCCTTGTCGCTGTCGAAAGGCTTGCCGTTGCGCAAAGTCGCAGAAGCGAAAGCTGTTCGGGGTGGTCCAAGGATAATGTCTTCAGGATCTGTGATTGGCGTTGCTGTCAGTTATTGCACACGAAGAGGAAGGGGCCCGGGCTACGTACTTGCGCTGTTTCTTGAGGCGTGGCGATCGAGGCCGGGGCGGCGGTTCGTCTGGTCAAGGAGGGGGTTGTCGTGGCTTCTTCTGTCGGCAGTAGTCTTGGCCTGGTTGGCGGTGCTGCTGTTGCCTTGGGTTCGGGAATTGTCTGGGGGAGGTCTGGGTGGGCTGTTAGAGGAGTCAAGTGGGATGAATTGGGGTGGACGGCATACCCCATCCATTCTTCAGCAGGAGGTAGTGCGGCCGGTTTGACGCATAGCGGTGATTCTCGCAGATGAATGAGAAACTCTGCCGTATATTGAATTGCCATAGCAGTATGATGATGCAAAGCGCATCAGAGTGGGGCTGGGAAGGCTATTGTTGTAATGACGAGGGCGGTGATGTTGGCATGGACAGAGGGGGAACCAGTTCAGCCGACGGAACCAGGGAAGCCGGCTGGTGGTGTCACACCAGAAAGGAGTAAAGTAGGAGATGAAGGAAAGGGTTTGATCTGTTGTTGTCGGTGTGGTGATTGAGAAGGCAAGGCTGTGAGGATTGCGGTCGTAGTCGTAGTTGTACTTTGGGTGTACGTCACACAGAGTGGTAGGGAGAATGGTAAACAGGTGTAGGTAGGTAAGTAGGTAGGTAGGTAGGCAGGGTCGAGGGAGGTCTGTCAAGTCAGGCAATCGGTCGTCGGCAGTCGTCCGGTCGCGGTCGCTGGCGCAGTCGAGTCGAAGCCAGTCCAGTCAAAGGCGGCGGGCTCCAGTCGGGCTACGCTGCAAGGTGCAGAGTAGATGGGGCTCGGTGCCTCGTTGCGGCCAGGTTGATAATGTGAGGCTGACAAGGCGAAAATGGGATCGATGGTTTATTTGGCAGTGGAGTGATGCAATACGGATGCGTTGAGAGAGATTATACGTGATGGGTGGTGAGTTTTTGGCAGCGAGCTGTCGGAGCGTGGAAGAGAGATGGTGGTCAAAGGAGTTTTGGCACTTCGGACGAAACCTGGTGGAGGAGATGCTCAGGTGCTCAGGTGCAGCAAGCAGCACCACACAGCAAGCACCCACCACCAACACAACACCATTTCTAGCAGAAGCAAGCAAGCAGCGCCAGCTTTGCCATTCTCCATGTAGGTACGTATCTTTCCTTACCATATGTTCCCCACTCTGGGTGCGTGGCAGCCAAGGAAAGAGCCATTCCATTCCGGGTGCGTGTACCTTGGTACCTCCCTCCTTACCTGTGTCCTACCGCCTTCCCTGTCATGTCCTCGAGGAAGGTGCAATCCCCTGCACTGGTATTCGTTTACCTTAGGTAACCTTAGGTAACTACGTAGGTACCTAGTTCCCTCCCACCAAATGCCAGACCACAGCAAAACTCGGGTGACATTTTCTTTTCTTTTCTTTTTTCCCCTCTCTTATCCCCCCCCCCCCCCCCCCCCTGATGGGGACGGTGGTAAGAAAGCAAAGGATCCGGCCATCCCAATGTTGCAGGGTGTTACATGCCAGTAGACTACTGAGAGGGACGGACGCCGAGTACGCTTGGTACGAAGGGCGTTATATCGCCAACCTGAGCTCCATCAGATTGGGTGGGTATACTCGGATACGGGGCTTTTGGGAACGTTCTGCACTTATGAAAGGGACCTCTGTAGAGCTACCCCGAAGTGTTGCCCCTGCAGTTGCTATGAATGCCGGAGATCTATAGGGTGAGCGTATGGTGCCAGAGGGGCTCGGCAAATGACTTATGTCCCGTCCTTTCGCATTTCTTCGGCTCATCGGGAACTCGGCCTTGTGCGTAGAGAGCCGCGC